CGGGATGGAGAACAGACAGGTATTGCGCATACCGTGGCATCATCAAATACTGCGTACTGGACCGGGGCGCGTAAGCTACAATGTGGTATTACATGTAATTCAGGTGCCTTCCAGCAGTCTGTCAACTCTTTGCCATGGCTCCAGAGATGGGTTGATACGTGCCCGCACGAAAGCTGTGTCGGCCGCCTAAGGGCAGCGCTCCTAGAATCTAATGCGACAGTGAATACGTGTAAATTGGCACTTAGCCGTGTTCAATCGGGTACGTAGTATGGTCAGAGAATCACGAGAGACTGGACCTCGTGACCTTCAAACGCATCCACTCAAAAGCCTATTCTTACTCGCCTCCCCGATCACATTTCTTTCGACCTGGTGGCTGGTTTCGGCACAAGAGGTTTTCTCATCACGATCAAAGCTCGTCTAATAAATCGGTTACTTCGGACCTATGTCATTCGAAATCCCCTGGCCTGACGGATTATTGGCATTTGATGGTGGATAATGGGGTCAGGATGACTGGGGGGCCAGCAAGAAGGATTGTGGTGGTACCGTGCCAGGTGTGTCACGCGTGTCGCGGGCGGAAAGTCTGGGCGTGGCCACCAGGAGAGGTCTTGGCGAGCGGAAAGCTTGATTTCTCTCTTGGCTGATCCAGTCGTACGAACTACGTACATATTAGGAATCACAGTTCGTTACTAGACGACTGTCATTGTCAGTTGTCGCTAGAAACGGTCTGACAGCGTCCTGAAGCCCTGGTTGCTACCCAATTCGACGGCAGGCGTTGGGGACGGTATGTTCGCGGGGGGCCTTGGCCTGGACTGGTCGGTCATTTCAGGCTGTTGCTCCTAGTTAGTGTCAGCCAAGTATACCCTTGGCAGGTACTTGTTATTAGCGACCACTCCTGGTGTATCAGTCCCGTCGTATGCTCCTCCGCACCCAGCGATTGATTGACAGCCGCTTTCGCTACAGTGACATTCAGGGACCGACTGACCAATTCGGCATATCGGAGTGTCGGAGTTGGCGGTGTAGCCGATTCAATTGGCAGCAGCCAGCAGGTCTTAGAGGGTCGCGGGAAGGGCTCGTCAGAAGCCAGAAGAATCGTGGGGCTCGCCACAACAGACTGAGAATTTGCAAGCACGGACGAGTGAAGTCTAATTACGGCATCGGAGCTGCGCAGATCCAGCCTCGAATTAACAAATTCAGGTGTGATGATGATGTGCGCGACGCAGCAGCAGAAGCGCTTGTCTCTGGGGAATGACGGCGACGGTGGTGGCAGCGAGGCCAATCGCAGCCTCGCGAAGAGGGGCGCTGCCAATATGCCAAGACACGCCAAGGCTTGGCAGAACTTGGCAGCACAACTAGCGTGGCGGCTCTTGGCATGGAAAATGCTAGCGAGTACGTCCGACCCTGCATGTTAACTCAACTCAATTTGTGTACCTCCTCATCGTCAACCACCTGGTCCCGGTGCCAAGACTCACCCAAGACTCTGCCAAGACCTCCGCTCACCCTTCTGATCTTGCCCAGGCTCTTGTGCGAATGTAAAGGGTGAAGGCACCCCCGAGAATGCTTACAGAAGCTCTTCCCTCTTCATATTCGTTGGAACAAGTCGCTTTTTAAATCCTTGATCGTCTCGTACATCGACTGCTTGTCGAGAACTCGCAAATCCGGTCTCTCAACTCTCCTCACTTAGCCCTACAAGCGTCACTCACCTTGTCTCAGACGCACAGCGCAGGCAGTCGCGCCCGCCGCGCAGGAATACCCTCCCTACCCCACGGACCATGTCTCCCCCGATTCCCGAGGGCAACAATCCCTCGTCAGGGTCCAGCAACAACAGCACTTCTGACTCCAAGTCGACCACGCCTCCTCCCTCGAGCACTACCTCGACTACCTCTGCAGCAGCTCCCCTCTCGAGTGGCCCCGACGATGCCCTCATCTGCCGCTGGAACAACTGCCTTCAAAAGTTCCCCGCGCCAGAGTCGCTGTACGAGCATATTTGCGAGCGTCATGTTGGCCGCAAGAGCACCAACAACTTGAGCCTCACTTGCCAGTGGAACTCGTGCCGGACGACAACCGTCAAGCGCGATCACATTACGTCGCACATCCGCGTTCATGTCCCGCTCAAGCCCCACAAGTGCGAATTCTGCGGCAAGTCTTTCAAGCGACCCCAGGATCTGAAGAAGCATGTCAAGGTAAGGCCCTTCCCGGCTCCTGCTATGCAGTGAGGACTATTGACTGACTGGAATAGACTCACGCTGATGACTCTGTCCTCGCACGTCCCACGGCGGACCAGCACGGACAAGGTGGCATGAACGGCTACAGGCCCCAGATGCCCAAGGGTATGTATCCTATGCGCCCCATGTCGCGAACCAAGACTGACTTTGCCAAGCCCCCAGCTACTACGATCACAACGGCCAGATGCGTCAGCAGTACCAGCCCCAGCATCCCGGTGGCGCCCATGCCCATCCAGGGAGCTACTACGCGCCCCAGCCCTCGACCAACTATGGTCTCTACTTCAGCCAGGCGCCCCTGAACAACCAGCGCACCGAGCAGCACATCGGCTACAACACTGCTCCCTCTGGCGGTTACGATCGCAAGCGCACCTTCGAGATGGTGGATGACTTCTTCACCAGCGCGAAGCGTCGCGAGATTGATCCCTCGTCGTACAACCAGATTGGCCGCTCACTGCTCCCCCTCCATGGTGCCCTGTCGATGCCCAACGGCACCATGGCTGCCGCTGAGCATCAGTACGTGCCTCAGGCGGCACCTCAGGCGGCGCCCATGGCTCACGCCGGGCCTGCCCCTACTCAGAACCCGCTGGCTCAGCAATATTACCTGCCTATGCCCTCGAACGCCAGGACACAGAAGGATCTCGTCCAAATCGACAATCTTCTGGTTCAGATGCAGAACACAGTCTATGAGAATGCCCACCATGCGCCCAATGATGTCCACCACGTCCATAACGGTGACCAGTTCAGTGGGTATCGCAACACACCCTCGCCTCCCGTCGCCCAGCGCTCTCCGACGGGCATGCCCATTGGTGCTGATGGCTACCAACACATGTCTGCTGCTAGCATGCCTTCGCCTCTGAGCGGCCTGTCATCGACCGGCACGCCTGCCGTCACCCCGCCGTCAAGCGCCATGTCATACAGCTCCGGTCACTCGCCAAGCCCATCTGCTTCGGCCATGTCCCCTCAGTCCCGCCACAGCTCCACCACATCATCTGTCATGTACCCGACCCTGCCAACTAGCTTGCCCGCTGTCAACCAAGGGTTTGGCCAGTCTACTACCGCAACGCTCGGCCCCAGCTTCGAGAGCAACGAGCGCCGCCGATACTCTGGTGGCATGCTGCAGCGCCCTCGGGGCCCCCCTCCCAGGTCGATGCCTGCTGAGGATGGCGCAAGCACGCCCAAGAATGGTGACTCTGCCCTCTCCATCTCCTCACCTGCCTCTGAGGAGTCCGAGGTCAGCGAGGCCACCCGCGAGCGTGAAGAGCAATACGACCGCTGGCTCGATAACATGCGTGTGATCGAGAGACTGCGCGAGTATGTCCAAGCCCGTCTTGAGCGCAGGGATTACGTGGAGGAGGAGGAGGAGCGCCTCGCGCTGCGGTTGAAAAAGGAGCACACCCCCGAGGCCATGGAAGTCGATGTCAGGAGCCCACGCAGCCCTGTTCCTCATCGAGAGAACCATCCCAAGGAGGGTTCGTCGCTGTATCCCATCCTGCGCATGCCTGGCTCATAAGCAGGGAACATGGCGTTGGTTGTTGAAGCTCGACAGTTGTTGGAAACTTGCTTGACGCATATGATGAGCATTTGAGTTATGGCAATGTATATGACATGATCAAGGCACCATTGCCGGTGCCACCCAGTAGGAAAATAGCTATGGATGATTGTGGGAGTAATGGAGTTCTATCTTGTCTTCACTTTCTTTCACCATTGCGCGTGCATGAAGCTATCTAGCCAAGTGTTACAGAACAGTCCCTCCGCACGAGGTAACGGACGGGGTAGTGAGCTTCCCTGTGTGCGTGGGCCTGCCTCTCCTGTCCCGATGTCCTCTTAGGCCTCTGCGTATGATACCGGCAGTGACGGAATTCTTTCGCTTGTGGAATGGAGATGACAGCCAGCCGTTGGGCCAAGATGCGGTGGCGCACCGCCCAGCCCACGATGTTACGTGGATCAAGCGATCGAGTACCAAGTCGAAGCATGAGCCACCCAACTTGTCTCGTACGTTTGCGGCAACTTGCTTATGCACATGCTTGTAAAAAGAAGATTATTGAATCTGACGACACCGCAGTGTGGCCAAAGAGTAAGTAGGGGGTCAGGAGCACGGTCTCACGCGGCGACGCAGGGAAGTACATCTCCATTGTCCGCAGGACATCCACGGGCAACTGGTGTCCGGGGCAAATCATTCTCATCCTCAGCTGATGCTATAATCAATGAAAAGGTTCCTGAGTCTAGTCTTGAATGGCAACCGGATAAGGCAGGTAATCCAGTAGGTAGAGACAGAGAGTGAGACGCCCGAGGCACATGCCGGCTCTCAAGACCAATTAGTACATGGGTAGGCGAGATCTCAAGATAACATGTAAGGGTGGAATCGATGGATTTCTCATTCAACCTCGCTCAAAGCGGGTGAAAGTATTTTGACTCGGCCAGATGACGGGTCTTGGAATGTGTCTCACTTTTTTGTGAGTCTACGGCTTGGCAGCTGTGATTACCGAAAAGTGCAGCTATGTACCTTTGACGTTGCTTTAGTTTACCCCAGGTACCGTTGCAATCGATGATTATTTAAGGGTTGCATAGGTATGCGCAGTGACCAGGGATTGGCGCTGCTTTCACTTTCATCTCACTATTCGCCTTGTCTGACGCAACTCGGCTTGGCTGGCATCTGACCCTTCAGATATAGCGTCCCAGATTCTGGCTTCATCTTCCCTCCAACCTCTACAACCATAGAAAAACAAACGACCGAATTTTGTTGACACGAGCAAGAAATCCTCTCCGCCAAGATTCATCATGCGTCTCATCAACCTCACATTCAGCATCCTTGCGGGTGAAGCCGCTCTCGTCTTCGCGGCGCCGGCTGGCTCGGACCCCAACGCATGCTGCTGCTGTGATATTTCACAACCAGCCATAGTTTGCACCAGCAGCATCGATATCTCCTTGTGCTCCTGCCTCGCCGTGGAGTGCCCATCAGACGCCCCCGTCATCTGGCGCGACCTCGACGAGAAGCCTCCATGTCTACCTACGCCTCCAGCACCGGCGCCCGAGCCCACCTTGCCAGCACAGGGCGACACCGCCGACTGCTGCTGTTGCAACATCGGCAAAGGGGCCATAGTGTGCGACTCTAGACCTGTCGACGAAGGCTGTATCTGCCCTCTGGTTCTTTGCCCATCCGACGCACCCACCATCCGGGCTGAGCCTGACATGCCCATGCCCACGCCTACACCTTGTCTCGCACCCTCTCCCGAGTCTCAACCTCCCGTCGAAGCACTCAATGCCGAGGAGAGCTTGGCGGAGTGCTGTTGCTGCGACAGTTCCCAGCCCGCCATCTCTTGCCGCATGGTACCCGAGGAGGAGGGTTGCTTCTGCGCCGCTGTGGTCTGCCCCGAAGGCGCACCAACTGTCTGGCCCGAAGGCATGCCTGAGATGACCTCGATGCCCGAGGCACCAGCCTGTTGAACCTCTGGACCGCCTCGCATCTCGTGGTGGTGATCAATGGAAGAGTGATTGTATACTATACCAGTGATTTGGGGCACTTGCTGCCTTTAAAGCTGTCATCAACGCCTGGCATGGCGTACGGGGAACAGAGTGCTCCGGCTTTTGTTGATTGTAGTGGGCAAGTCTTGGCAATACGTAAATTACAACTCTCATAATGCAGAAGATGGTGCCCACCAAACCTGGCCATGTCGCAAATTGAGATATATGATGTTCCTCATTCTCATCGGTCGTGCGACCAATTCGGGCCGTCGGTGCGGTCAAGTGAAGGCTAAGTATACATTTATTTCCCTGGGTTATTGCAGTATTCATTAATGCGTTATCCATGACATGACTCGCAGGCTGGGTCACCGTTGCGCCAAGTCTCTAGACAGCGCCCTGAGGAGGAGACGCTCTAAACAGGCTTTCAATGGTTCAGCCTTCAAACGCGTGCGTTTCATCATCAAATGGGGCGAGCAAGGGAATAGGCGCGAAAGGGTTTGATTCCCGTTCATGTCCGCCTTTTGCATTATCGCTCTCCGTGTGTATCAATTACAGTTAGACATTAGTACGGATAGTATCCCATAGGAAGACTAGTACGTAGCCAAGGCACGATTGATCGCACTGCCCAGAGATATGGGTTTGTCTGTTCGCGATGCATACTGCTCCAATTGAACACGTGGGAACTTGACGCGCACAACGAGGAACAGGGCCAGCTCATGATCTCTCCCCTTGCTCGTCGCAAATGTTGTCGTGGCCAAGGTGGCTTGGTAGGAAGTACTTACAGTCACGTAGTCAGTGGAAGTCTGGAAGCTGGATGCTAGGAAGAGCAAGGTGAACAGGTAGAACGAACACCATTGGCCAAACAGCTCTCGTGGAACTTTCCCGAGTCCATCTGCCGTCAACATGAAGAGACTGTGACTTGCTAAAGGGAAGAACGACCAGGGCGTGGCTGCCGGGTTCTTCAATACGGCGTTATGGAGCACGCAAGCCAAAGAGAAAGTCTGTGATTGGACAATCTGAGCAATCTACCCTGCCACATGGGGGAAAAACGGGAAGGATCAATTGGATAGCATCGCAATCCCTCCTCCCACACTGCAGGCGTGGTCAGTCCCTTGGGCCGAAGCACCCCCTTGGACGGTGGTTACCTTACCTTACGTATCCCGTACCGCACCTGTACCTCAGGCGGCCCAAGTCGGTTTGTTTTTTCATGTCGTTCCCACGGCTCTCGTCTTTTCCTTAATATCTGTCTCTCAGCGACTTCCGGGACGCGTGGCGACGACTTCACTCACTCACTCTCGCCATTCACAACTGCGACGCAGCCATCCAACGAACGACCAGTGGAAGGGGGACCGCAGCGCGTGCCGCACGTGGGCATGAGCTTCCGTTACCTGGACTTCAATGAACCTGTCAGTCATGGGTCTCGATATGCCTGGCCAGTTGCCTTTCATCCAGCAGCCAACGTCCGGTGTCGCCAATCCGTCCGTGACCCAGCCCCAACCAGTTCAGCAGATGCAGCAGTCGACCCAGGTCCCTGCTGCGAAGCGCCGTCGTACGGCCTCTGCTGTGGTGTCCAATTGCTGTCGCACTTGCAGGCTGCGCAAGGTGAGTGAGCCGAGTTCCTCATGCCCACGTTCTCACGCACGCACGCACGCACGCACGCATCGACTAACGGCCGAGCTTTGTCCAGGTCAAATGCGATGGAAATCCTGGAGACGGGGGCCCTTGCGCAAACTGCGCGCGACTCGAACTTGCCTGCCCATTCATGTCAGGCCCCTCCGTGCCCGGACCCCCAGGTAAGTCGCATCGCCGTCGCCATCGCCATCGCCGTACCAATCACTGACACTGGCCAGATAAGATTGCGCGGGTGAAACCCTCGAGCAGTCACACGGAGGCCGGTACTATTCGCAAGAGAGCCCAACGTGCGTGTAGCCAGTGCCACACCCAAAAGACCAAATGCTCCGGCGACCTGCCCCGTTGCAAGCGTTGCGAGACTGCTGGCTTGAACTGCGAGTATCTGCCGCCGAAGCGCAAATTCGCAAATGTTCGTGTGGGGTCGGAACCAGCTGCAGACGAGAGTGCTCCCGATAGCGCGAGGGGCAGTACAGTACCCTCGAGCGCGACTGCTAACAACACCACTGCTCCGACATCTGATGCACCAGCACCAGCTGCCCGCGCCTTGACGTCGGAGAAGAGTGCATCCCCGGAAGCGTCTGTCAACGGGGGAGCTAGGGGGGGAGATACATTTCCCCTCGTCATTGATATATCTGCCCTTACATCTCAGTAAGCCACTTTTTTTATCAGACTTGCCACAGCATGTTTGCTAACCTTCAAGGCAACTGCTTGTGAGGAAGGACCTCATTCTTCGCCACCTCGATGCATATTTCGAAAATATATACTGGCTGCCAGCCATGGGCTTTTTTCACCCAGAAACGGTATATCGTCAAGTTTACGTGTGTGGCCTTCAGCGTTCCTTCGGATTCGCATGCTAATATGTGATAGGAGGGTACTTTTGATCCACCCACAGCTGCGGCGTTATGCGCGCTCACTACCTTCTTCGTCAATCCGGATTTCAACTCCTCTCAGGAGTTTGGCATGAAGTGCTGCGATGAGGTTGAGTTCTACATATTCCGCAACCTCCACAAGTTCTCGGAGCGGGTCCTCCTGCCATACGCGCTCATCTTGTGCTTCAACTTTTTGAACGGCTCATTTGCCAAAGTTTGGCAATGCTTTGGCCTCGCAACGCGATTCATGACTGGACTGCAGCTGAATTGGGAGGTCTCTTCGCGTAACAAAACATTCCAGCAGCAGGAGCTGGGACGGAGGCTTGCATGGCAATTCTTCGTAATGGACCGGCTGTTGGCGGGTGGCTACGAGGAGTACATATCGTGTCGCGCGGATATCATGAAGATCCGCCTGCCTTGCGAGGAGAGCGCGTTCTGGGAAAACAAGCCGATATTGGCGGAGCGATTGACAGACAAGAACGCCAAAGCGCAGGGCGTTGGGTTCCATGGTCTGACTGTTCGGCTAACCGATCTGATCCATCGGATTCAATGGTACGTATTGAGCCAAGGGCGTCTTCTGGGAACACTTTTGCTGACTGCCATAGCTGGACGAAGCGACTGTCCTCCAAAACCACACTCGAGCCCTCCAAGGTCATGGAGGATATCAACAATTTCCAGAACGAGCTCACCCGTTTCCACCTCTGCATACCCGATGATATCAGGCTTAGCGATCAAAGTATTGCCAAGTACATCGCGTCCCCAGAGAAAGTGGGCTACGTTTATCTGCATACGCACCTGTCGGTCGGCCACATCGACCTGTACAGGTTTGCTTTGCCCGGTATCATCGACCCTAAGAAGAATGATATTGTCCAGAGGCTACCCAAGGACTTTGTCGAAAGATCGAAAAAGCAGGCTATCGCTCACGCGCTGTGTAGCGGTCGCTTTTGCATCGCTATACAGAAGGAGGCGGAAAAACATCCGTACACCGGCAAAGGACCGGTGGCAGGCGATTGCACCATTCCTCACATGGCAACGCAAACTCTCCGCGTCTTATTGCTTGCGATACAGCATCGCATTTATGACAACTTGACGCAGGATACCACTGCACCCCTTTGGCGTTTCGAAGACCCAGACGAAAAGTACATTCGCCGACTCATCGAGGATGGGCTGTTCAAGGTGTCCGAGCCATGGAAGCATATCTTGATGACTTGTTATCAGGCAGTAAGCAGCAGATGATTCGTTCTGTGAGCAGACGAGGCTAACCTACATGCAGCATACTAACAATATGGCCATGTTTGAGGAGTTCAACAAGACGCAGAAGTTCGCGGATCAAAAGGGCACCGTTGGTTTTGTTGGCTCCAAGGCTCCATCAGGCGACAGCCGGCTCCCCGGGCCGCACTACATTCTTGAAAATGCGTCGTTTGGCGTCGTGGAGCAGGAGAAGCGCACGCGCGCTGGTGATGCCGCAACAGCAGACCGCTGGTTCAAGGGTCCACAGCAGGAGAAAGCTTCATCGCCCGCCTTGATGCCTACACCAGGCGACTTTGATGCTACCTATGGGCCGCCTGGTCTGCCCCTGTTGCTGGCAGTAGGCCGCGACGCAACGGCAGAGCACAGCACCGGTCAGCCCATGCCCGAACACAACATCTACGACATGCCTCGGGAGACGACGATGCCCACGCAGGATAAGGCGTGGCTGGCCCCGGGCTACTCTGACTCAGTCAATGATCAGTACCTGGGTGCAAGCGGCGCGAGTGGTGCAGGCGGCCCTGGGTCTCTTCCCATGATGCAACAAATGGATGCCCCTGAGCTGGCCATGGTGTTTCCCCCTCCGCAAGCCGGGCAGCAGCTTCCGAATAAATCACGCACAACCAATGTGTCAGAGCAGTATGTGCCGCCACAACAAGGTGTCTTCATGAACGGATATCCTGCAGGGTATGGGGACGGCGGCGCGTCAAGTGGCTACATGCAGCAGCCGCCGAACTTTGGATGAGGCTTGTGAAAGACTCATTTGTATGTACACGGACATTTGTAACTATATCGCATTTGCCCATTTGGGAAGAATTATGGATACGATGAGCGGACAGTGAAAACTGAACTCGAAAATGGAACTTCGCTTTGAATTGCAGAAACTCGCGCAAGACCTCTATAAGGGACTTGCGCGCGTTGGCCAGGCAATGAGCCAGGGCTTTTAGATTATACACTATAAGAATATACAGTGATACCACAGGGCTACTACCAGGTACCCAAATGATACATAGACACGGGGTCATGTACCAGCCCTCAGCCTCCAACCTGTGAAGGGTGTGATTGTCTCCATCGAGCAATTGATGATGATGTTGCCAAGCCAGGAGATAGGAGACGAGCAAGCGTGGGAACGCGACAGTGCGAGCGTTGCGTTGCGTCGCGGTGTGGTGTGATGGGGATAATGTATAGTGTGCTATGTCGTTGAAATGATCCGGAAAACCCCATGCTGAGACCTGCAATGAATCAAAAGTTGAAAGAGAGAACAAGTCGCCGCGGAGCGTGGACCACGAAACCCGATAAAAATGTCGTAAGTTCGCTGGAGACAAAAAAACACGCTTACTGGTAGGTTGTACGGTCTTTCTCCTTCAGGCCGCCAATCTGGTCCATGTCGACAGAGTAGAAGTCACCCTTGGATTCCTTCTCATAGGCTGGTAGTTGCTCCTCCTGGACAGGTTCCAAACCGACAGTAGCGTTGTCACCCACACGAACGACGAGGACGCGACCGCTCTGGTGCCTGCCCTCGTTGTCATGCTCGTCGGGAAACGTGATGTGAATCTCTGGCACATTATCGGGCGAGTGGGGAGGCGAATTGGGGTTTGCGAGCATTGGCTGGCCATTGCGGCTGATGTAGATGGTGCTGGAGCGGCCGTCGTGCGAGGTTTCGATGGTGAGACCCTGGGGAGGACCGCGACCATGCGAGTGAAGCTTGGAATCGTTGTAGGAGGGCAGGATACCGTTGTGCATGCGCTGTTGCATGCGGCGGCGGCGGATGAGGAAGAGCGCCGAGAGGAAGACGAGGGCGACAAAGACAAGGCCCAGGACCAGCAGAAGCATGTTGATCATGCTGTCATCCTCAAAATCACCGAGTTCGTCCGTTGATGAGCTGCGAGCGAGGATAGCGCGAGCCAAGTGCTGGCTCTCCGCGTCGGGGTTGAGAATAGGTCGCGACTGATAGCTAGAGGGCGACATGATGGGCGAACAAGTCAGAGGGGGCAGCTGTGCTTGATAAACGAAGGGATGGCCTGTCTGTAGTTTTGTTAGTCCACGCCCGCATGATGGTGTTTGAATGTAATGATGGATGACGGTGGCAGCACGGCCATTCAATATTCACCAATCCCCCATAATCCATTCCCACGCGAGGCCGGTCGTCCTAAACAGCAAGGTCCCGGCGGCAGGTCTGAGGAGGGGCGGTCCGAGACATATTCATGCCATTGCGGACCAGAGGAGGGCTGCGCAAAACAATTGCATTTGCAGGGTCAGGTTTGACATACACGAGGGAGAACAATTGCCAATAGTTTGTAAACAATGTTCAGAGAGTAGTGCCAAAGGGACCGTTTGTCAAACTGGGCGGTTCGAGCTGGGTCTGGAGATGAGTCGTTATCGTCGTCAGCGTCGTTGAGGTCGATTAAAGATCGGACGGATATCAGCTGAAAGAATGAAGCTGACAATCCTAACGGGACGAGCGTCGAGACGCAAGAGCCTCGTGTAGAGTAAAGAATGAACGACTTGGAACGCTGTGCGCTTGTAGGAGGAAGAAGAAGAGAACAAGAGAAGAGGTGGATGGTCGTCGCGGAGGACATGAGTGTGAGGTGACTATTACTGCACTGCGATCCACAACCATCAGCAGTCAAACGGTGAGCGTGGCCAATGAAGAGCCAGGCTCTGGGCGCTTGGACAGGTCTGGACGCGCCCGCCAGTTGCTGATAGTGATTCACACGCCAGATGAAGGTGCCATTTCCGATTGTTCGATGAAATTGCGCTGGGTCGTAGCCTGGACTCCCATTGGCCACGAGCTGGTGTCTGCAGCATCCCACGCCAATCGTGTCAACGGCTGACTTGATGTCGGCGCTATGCCCGCTATAGTTAGGCAGCGCATTGCGTGAGGGACATGCTGATTGGTCACCTAATTAGAGACCATGCATTTCCCCTGCCAAGCCTCACGATCTTTCCAAGTCTGATGATTGTCCCTGACAAGTCAATTTGATTGTGGAGCTTGCGCGCTCGACAGCTGAGTCGACACTGGACTTGGAGGAGAATCACGACATCTCTATTCCAACATAACAAGTTTCCTCAGCAGCTGGTCTCCTCCTTATGAGACCGAACCGAATTTCCCCCCCCACATGCTCCGAGTCTAAATGCTTTCAAATACCAGGTGACTGGCACTAACCGCTGCTCGGCCACGGTTGATGAGTCGTCTCGAACCCTCAACAAAATAAAGTCTGATAAACGACTCGCTGATGGTGTGAAACCGGGGTAAAGGTGAGCTCTTGAGGGGCGGCTCTGAGGTATTGTCACAATAAATTCGCGCCAGCACACAGACTGGAGAAACAACCTGTCTTCTGTGCCGAAACTTTCTGTTCGTGGAACAGATGTTGACGCCGGTGTTGATGCTGCTCTGCTGTAGAATTGAAAGCGTAAAGCGTCACAAAAGCGCTGAGCCCAAGTCCAGGAATTTTCCCATACTTGAATCGTATACTTGAAGCAAAGAAGGACTAGGTCGATTGGGCTCGCTTCGCTACCGGGAGGACGATGACACGTGAACAGCCACACGAGCCTTTCGGGCGGGACGATGCGAGCCAATGGAGGTTACCTACTCGAGAGCATTACACTTTCCTGGGCGATAAATATCCCAACCTGAGCGGCGCTGAGGTGAGTCTGCCGAGGGTTTGCACCATTGCGAATGATTGATGCTCACCAGTCGTGCTATCCGTGGAGTACAGGCTTCCTTGTCAAACCGGACAGAGATCAAACACCCCAACAGTAGCTGTCAATAGGCTGCCGTCATGCCCGGCGGACTGCTCGGGGAGGCCCCGGTGGACTCGACGCATGCGCCTACGCAAACATGCTACCCTGTCTGTATGTTTGACATCCCCGCCGACAAGTTGCCCCCTTCCAGAAAACAAACTGATCAGGTTGCTCGTATCGGAGTGTCTGAACCAATACATCGCACATTCGGGATGGAGCGCTGTAGCAAGCCAAGACGCACAGAAGAGATTGATTATTTTCAGCATTCACTAAGGTATATGGTTGATGTCGATACACCTGCTGCAAACAATCTGAATATGACTTGGACCGCAGCCTATATGTATGATAGCCACGATGCGGGGACCCTTTCCGGTGGGTGCCTGCGTGGACGTGTCCCTCTACACGTCCCTGGGTTCAAACATTATTTCCCAGCCCAAATATAAGACTCTCTGGGCACGGGTCGGCGACTTCATCTCAGTTGAGCCGGTCGAGGGATATTCAGAGAAAGGGCGGAGGCTCATGGACTGAATTTCGGCATCGCTCAGCTGCTGACCGTAACATCTGCGCCGGGCCAAGCATCTGCCTGGCAGACGTGCCCTAGTGCAACCAATGCAACTCAAACAGCCAAGCGTACGCAGGTTGGCTGTGCGAAGCATCCAAGTCGTGCAGGATGTCGTGCAATGTACGCCTCTAGAACACGGGCTTCCAAATCACAGGATAGCCGTCACTGCTCGCCTCTCATCCCCTTTCTCTTAACCCTCCCTCCTATAGCTTGAAGACATTTGCTCCTGGCTGCTGCCGTTGTCGACTCTCCAGAGGTCTCACCGAGCTGCATTGGCCCCAGACAGCCTCATATCCCCATCTCCACGAGGTCTGCAGCCGACAGCGTACTAAGCCCGCCCACCTGTCTCACTCCTCATTCCTGCTACTAATTACCTTTAAATCTGGACACTGAAATAACACCATCTCCCTACGCGTCGAGGGCAAATTCTGGTGGTGTTCTGGTCGAGGACAGAGGGCTAACATTCCGAAGGGAACTGGTTTCCCTAGCCTTCCGGTTGTGGTTCCAAAGTTTGCGTCTATCGAGGTATACAAAACCAAGATATCGCACTCTTTCTTGCTTTCTTTTCTCATACATATCACCTTTTCGTTTCGTGGCCCATACGCCTCACTTCACAGCGGCACGCAGCCATCTATTTGGGTAGACAGGACAGACTCATACCCCAGCAGTGGCATTGCCGATTTCGACAGACATTTCGACGCGGTACACTCGAATATCTGCACATGCTTCTTTGCAAACGATTACACGATATACCAACATCCCATCAATCCACACTCGACCTCACCATTTTGATGAAAAAGAACAATTGGAACAACTCTACACCGTCCAGACATTCTACGCCATCCATCAATTCTACGCCTTCCAGCAACTACTTGGCCAGATTACTTTGACTCTGGGCACTGTGGAATACATCGCCTCCAAACCAACCCCCCCCCCCCCCCAAAAAAAAAAACTTGCACATTTCTTGCCCACCACCCTGCAAGAACCATCAATTGTGCGATCTAACTTACCTTACTTGATTAAGTTACGACCGCAGCTCTGGTAAGTCAATTCTGACCCTTAATTATCTCTTACCTTGCGCCAATCTCCCTCGAGAACCCCTGGACGCTAGCCATCCCTTGCGAGCGCGCCGGCTAGCGCTGTTGATTAGTGCAGCCTTATCGGTCACAACTACCGGTCGGGTGTCTCCCAGACCCGGTTTTTATGCCCTTGTCTGTCGGATGTCCCTTCAATTTCGGCGCTGATGTCGTTCTTCTGAAGACGGAGACTCATCAAGTTATGCAAAATGACATTGATCGATCCATTTCCTCGGTGAACGGTGCTGATACCCTGGATGCAGTCGTTTCCCCTCACACACACAAATCGACTGATCGGCAATTCGTCCGTGCCGCAGTGGACACGAGCGTCGCAACTTGCAACAACTGTGCAAGTGAGCCTACATCACCGCCAAGGACACTCACCCTTCGAAGTTCGGAACCCTGCCTGTCAAGTGTCAAGAAAGAAGCGCTACCGAGAGCTATCTACGTCTAAGCTCACGCCAGACGACTGTCGCTCACATTGTGTGAAAAGCGTGTGGTCTCTGATCAAAGCTTCTTTTTTCAAGAAAGTTTGGCGATTAGACTTACGGAGTATAACAAGCTCTTGAACGCTGCGACAGCCGCTTGCTCCCTGTCTATTCACCCAGCCTCACATCGATCTTCCCCAAGGTCTAGTATAGCAGGCAAGCCAGCACCCATCAGATCACCCAGTCTACGGTAGTATGCCAGTCTCGGTAAGTTCATCTTCCTTTGTTCATCACTCGCCCAGCCTTGCATTTTCTTTTTGGCCAGACTGCCTACCCCAAGGGCAAGCCGCCATGTTGTCCTTTCTTTTTTCTTTCACGACTCATGTCGCCCTCTGTACGGAGTATTCCCTGCTCTACTCACGTAGGGTAGTGACCGACCGCCTTTAGCGGCGGTCTGGTGCAAGCGACTACGTCAGAGAGACAGGGCAGGCACGACCCACCAGCATGCTGTGTGTTTGCTAGCGCCTCAAATTGTTGGCGCAACTCGCAAGGGCCGCAGGCTTTGCTGATTCGTCTGGGGGTGGGGCCTACGCCCAAAGAGTCCAGAACTCCAAACTCCAGTCGCTGCTGCTTTTTTTGCTGCCAGTGGTCGCATCGCTCTTGTCACTTCGCATCCTCAAAGTCCTGGTGATTTTGATCGGCTGGGCCTCCAAGCATCACATCATTTCTCCTGCCGTTCTTCTCCAGGTTTCTGCTGGGAGTTCTTTGAGTCATCATTCGTTACCCCCCTTCACTGTAGCATCATCACAACCCCTGTCAACGCTCACCACCACCACTATCGCTATCACCATTTCCATCAATATCGCCGTCGCCGTCATCGTATCGAGTTCCTGCTAACGCATCGACCCTGCAAACAGCCACAACAAAAGTGGCCGTTCACTTATACAATGCCATCGAACGGCAACCCCGACAAGGCTCAGCAGCCTCTTGGCTCTGGCCTCAACAGCGTCTATGGTAGCCAAACCAGACACGGCTTCTGGAACACATACCAGCCGTCACACACAAGAGGCGCATCACTAAGCCAAGGTCGGTCAAAGGAAACACCCAGAGCAACTTTAAGAGCGTGGGTCACTGATTTGGAAACACTAGATCCTACCGAACTCACCAGCAACGGCACTCGCATTGGCCGCGAAGGGATGCTTAGCAACTATCCATGGAACGGCGACAACAATCGATCCTCCAGCTCATCTCCTTCACGAACTCGAAACGGTGCCATACCCAGAGCCTCAACATTTGGTAGTGGCGCTGATGCATCTGGCATAAGGAACGGAATGAACGGCCATGGCAAAAATGGATTCGCCGACAATGGGATGACTCGATCCACCAACGATGCCTCATTCTTCGAGACTCTGTCCTCGATACCAGCTACCGACCCGAACGGCCCTCCTTCCCGCCAATCGCAGGCCTCTCCCGGCTATGGCGACTTGTTCAACGGACGCACAAACGGACACGCGCAGAGCAATTCCTCCTCCCAGCGTGCCATGCCGAGCAATGGCAATGGATCTTCTCATCAGGCCAGCAACAGCCAAGCCTTCTCCCGCAACCAGCAGCTGGCCGACCACATGGGTATGCCATACGGGCGGCGCGGCCCGGCCGAGCATGGGGCATTGAAGGGGATGTCCTCTCAGCCTTTCCAGTTCAACCCCGGCTCCCAGCCTTTTGCCGACACCAATGGCTCTAGATACGGCTCTGCATTTGCACCAGACTCGACCATCGAATCGCTGACCAACGGTTTTTCTACGCTCAGGCGACCATCCGTCTCCCCAAGCGCGTCATATCATCCGGAAGGCAGCCACACCTTCAGAAGCTTCCCAAGCAATGCGAGCCCATGGAATGTGAACGGTGCTCTGTCGAGGGATGCTCAGGCTGCCGAGGTCGAAAGGCGAGGCTCGGCCCAAGCATACGCGAGTACTTCTTACAGTTCCGGCTACTATTCTCCTCAGCCTTCCTACCCTTTGTCCCCTCAACACGGCAACAACTATCTGGAGCAACAGTATCCCCAGGCATACAGGCAAGCCATGCTGCCAAGCTACAACATGCCCTATAACATGCCATATCCTCTGAGTGGCACGTTGCCACAGATCCACCCGGCCGCCGATGGCGGCCCGACGCGAGGTGTACGCAGCGCCCGCCTGGAGGAGTACAAGAACAACAAGGGCAAGAAGCACGAGCTCAAGGACTTTTATACCTACATGGTAGAATTCAGCGGGGACCAGCATGGCTCGCGATTCATCCAGGGCAAGTTGGAGACCGCCAACAGCGACGAGAAGGAGCAAGTCTTCAGGGAAATCGAACCAAACGCCATCCAGCTGATGAACGATGTCTTTGGCAACTACGTGGTGCAGAAGTTTTTTGATCACGGCACCCAGGTGCAGAAGAAGATTCTCGCGAACAAGCTCAAGACCAAGATGGTGGACTTGTCGCTACAGGTCTATGCATGCCGCGTGGTCCAAAAGGCCCTACAGCATGTGCTCGTTGACCAGCAGCTCGAGCTCGTCCAAGAGCTTAGTGCTGACATTCTCAAGGTGATCAAGGACGGCAACGGCAACCATGTGGTGCAGAAGATCATCACCCTCATCGACAGGAAGCACCTGGACTTCTTGATGAAGGCGATCAGTGGCAATGTTATGGCACTCTCCAATCATCAATACGGTTGTCGCGTGATCCAGCGCATGATGGACCACGGCACCCCCAAGGACCGTGACAGCATCATTGCGGAGCTGCGTCCGTCCGCACACTTGTTGCTGCCTGATCAATACGGCAACTATGTTGCACAGCACATTATCCAGCACGGCAGTTTCCAGGATCGAGAGCGCATGGTCCGATTAGTTCTTGATCAGCTGGTAGACCTGTGCAAGCACAAGTACGCGTCCAATGTGGTGGAGACGTGCATCATCCACGGCGTGCCGGAGCTGCGCACAATGATCCGCGAACGCTTCGAGCAAGTGGGCAGCGACGGGACAAGCATTCTCAGCCAGCTCCTAAAGGACAGCTATGGTAACTATGTGATACGTAAGTGTGGACTTTGTGTGTTGCTGCATCGACCGCCGACTAACAGGTTTGAAGAAAAAATGGCGACCTTCCTTCACGGTGAGGAGCAGAATGCATTTGTCGACCAGATCAGGCCCCTTTTTTCCAACTTCAAGAAGAGCGGCAACGTGCGACAGATCTCAGCCATGGATAAGATGTTCCAGCAGCATCTCTGCGGAGAGCTGAAGCCAGACAAGGATACTTACCGCATGGTCCGCCCCGTGGCGCCGGCCCCTGGCATCACACAGGAGCCTAGACAGTCTCCAGGAGTCCCCACTACGGTGGCCGATAGCGACGACTCCGCGCTCATGGCAGACGGTATCACCACCAACGGAGATGGGCCCGGTGCCTAGAGTATATTCGGATGATCCTGATTGCGCGGTACGAACCTTTGCCATGCGATACGTTACGCACACATTATTACTCAGTTTTTAACACCCACGCCCGGCTATGGACACGGCAGGGTCGCAGGGCCACAGGCCGTACTAATTCCAACATGCTCGGACTTTTCTCACGTATCTATTTCCTTGAGGGAGGGCAGCGAAAGATCCTCGCCTCGTTCGTGTACACATTGGGTGCATCGAAGGGTGGAAGCGGGTATACATACAGGCGCGGGACATCATTTTGCTGGTAGTTTTGCTTGTATGGGTTTTGGGGATCAGCGATACACGACTGGGCCATAGCGATTACAGACTATAGAGTGCGGCATTGTTTTTCACCCTCTGTTCCTCCGGGACAGTCTATAATGCACAGTATTTCCTTTTACCTCATGCCTCTCTTTATGTGCTCGTTGTCCTGATATGACACGTTTCCCCCCTGAGATGAAGCAGCAGCAGGAGCAGTCAGTACGAGGAATCGATCAATAAAATGGTCAGTCAACGCCCCTTGTTAGGGGCCCTTTCACTCCCGATATTTGAGTAGTCGCAAGCACCGGCAAGTCACAGTCGAGCTCTGTGACAGATGGCCCATCCATCATCGGATATGGCCCGACCGGACTCGAGCCGGGTGAAAGCCGGGGCGGCATTGATCGGCATGACGCACGTGGGCGACGTACCTGGGAGGAAGCAAATCCCTTTTGTCATGACCCCGTCGAGACCTGGACCGTAATTAACATCAACAAGCCTCACGAAGAAGCGCCCAGCGCCACGTCGATTTCTCACACTCGATCCTGATATCGCCAGGGCAAGGGTCAGTGTCGTGTGGGACAATCGAGCGGCAGCACTCGCGATTGACTCCCCGCCCTGCTCGGCGGCGACCTGCTCCCATCCTGAGCTGCAATGTTAGTCGCAGCAAGGCGCCTAGGCGTGCTGGGATGGCGCGTCGCTGGCGTCTCACCTGCGCAGCGTACACCGCGATATCAATCCTCGATACCACACAGATTTCCAGTGCGAACCAGGTGGAAAAGTACCTTTGCGCCGCGGCATGGCAAAGCAGTTGAGCCACCCCCTTCCGACGAAGGTCTTCCGACAGAAGAGATGACGCCCTCTGAACAGCAGCAGCAAAAACAGCAACAAAAGCAGCAACAGACTGAACAGAACCACTCGCCGGAACAACGACCCCCCATGACGAAGAGTGTCGTCGCGACAGAGGATCCGGGAGCGGCAGACGTCACAGCAGAAGACCAGAAACGGGCGGCTGCGTGCAACGGGTCCAAACCGCACGGTGTCTCAGACGACGTACCATCGGCCGATACGCAGAGGGAATCAGAGCGCGACATCAAAAGCGCAAGCCCGCTGGACGAGGTGCTGCACGTGGAGCCTCCCAGGAAAGCCGCAAAACAACACCCGGCCATGTCACCGCCGCCCTACGTACATCACTTCGACACGTGGTCGCTGGTGAACCAGCTGCAGGACGGCGGGTTCACAAAGGGCCAGGCTATCGAGGCCATGAAGGGCGTCAGGGGCCTGTTGGCCCAGAACCTCTCTGTTGCGCAGGACAGCCTTGTGAGCAAGAGTGATGTTGAGAACGTGAGTCGCCTCTGATCTGGAGAGGTATTCTACAGCTACTAACGGGCTTGGTGCAGGAATCATATCTCTTCAGGGCTGCTTGCTCTGAGCTCGGCCAGGAGATCAGGAACAACCGCCGACTGCAGGATGAGCAGATCCGTCAACAGAGGACGCATCTGCAGCACGAAGTCGACATCCTCACGCAGTCACTCAACCAGGAGGCCTCGACGCTTAACGACAACGTGCGGGGCATGTTCAACGATCGGAAGATGGCCGTGCGCGAGGAGCAGAAGAATGCGGAGAGCGCGGTATGCTTGCTCTCTGACCCCGGCCAGCTCGGTCGCGATGTTGCGTGGTGCTAACCCCGAGAATAGGTCCAGCAGATCAACTACAAGATCAGCACCAGTCTCGGCAGCGACAGCAAGTCCGAAATCGAGGGCGTGCGCTGGATCCTCATCCGACGATCGGCCATGGGCATCTTTTTCATGGCGATGCTCACGCTCGCTACGGTGCGGTATGCGACATATGTCTCCAATGAGCGGAACAAGGAAGCCCATCGACGCAAAGAAGAGCAGCAATTGCTCAGGAGAGAGGCCGGGAAGCGAGATCATACATCCGCGGCCGACGCTGCGGCCATCCTGGCGGCGAATTGAAGGCGCAATCTTCATCACGCATGTAATTTCGAACCAACTTAGACTAGAGTGCAAATGGGCGCCGAGCGAGCAAGGCTCTTCTTTGTCGATGCTTGCATTCCCACGGAATAGAAATTAGTATGCCAGTGACAAACCAAACCTGTATCCCACATCCCGCATCACGTGCGCGGCTATACGCGTACTTTCACTCACGAACCCCTCGACGCGTCTCTCATCATCCTCACCAGAACAACCACAACCTCATACAATGGAACAGCCACCAGAGCAGCTCCCGCCTCCCGACAATGACACCCTCGAGGGGGAGGTATCCCATCAGCCAACGCCAAATGCATCACAGCCGCCCCCCACGCCGGGAGCACGCGCCACACGCTTCACAGATCTGTACGCCCAGGCACTCAACCACACCCTCTCTAAGATTTCCTACGACAATTTCCGCAGCTGCTATCCCACCATCCCCGAGTCGATACTGCGCCAGGTGCAGGCGCAAATGGTCGGCAAGCTGGGTGACAAATGCCGGAAGGAATTCGACAGCATCATGGAGAACAGAAACGTCGTGGCACGGCTGAACGAGTTGGAGGCGTTGGTGGGTGACGCGACGGAGAGAAAGGAACAAGGCGAGGAGGCTGGTGTACAGTAGGTGTCTTGCATCCTTCGGAGACGAAGAAGAAGAAGGCTAATCTGGGGGGCCTTATCAGACCGCATCTACTACCGCCAGAGAGGATACTGCAGGCCCACCTCACACCGGCACTGCAGGCGCATCAGTCGCAGCTCAACGCGCGGCTGCAGACCACGCAGTTGCAAAACGCACAGCTCCATGCCGAGGTGCTAGATCAGCACGCCGAAATTGAGGACCTGTTGACGAAGCTGGAAACCGTGACGGGGGACGTCAAGGGCGCCAACGCCGCGCTGGCGGAGGTTGTGGAGGCCTTGTCCCAGGAGGCGCGTGAGGGTCGAGCTCTCGTAGACGGGACAAGTGTGTGAATCTGGTGATACCATGGGTTCAATGGACTTTAAAGCATCGGCGTTTTGGTGTTTTGACGATTTTTAGTGGGAGGACTGGGCTACCATGCTACACACTTGTTCCCATCTTCGAGAAGGTCATCGAAATATGGAATGCGAACATTTTCAGTTCTTTGACTTTCGAAATGTGATAATATGATATATATACTGTGCGGCTGCTATATGCGCCACCCCCTGTCAAAGGCGATGGTTTGGAGGCCGTGTCTGAACTCCGTGAAACTCCCCGCCCGCATGATCAAAATGGGTTTGCCTCCCAATGTGTCCCAGATTCGGATGCCCATGTTCCCGTGTATGCGCCAGCAATGCTTCTCGCGAACCCAACCGCGATGTCCCCGCTTACAATGCATCAACGAAGACCGGCGTAACCCATGTTCGCCAGCCATGTCCAAAAGAAAAGGGGTATATCGTACCCAGAAACCCGGTTGTGATTTCTAGGCACAAGCAGAGACCACTGCCTTCGTTGTCGTGAAATTGACAAATGACACAGCCGCTGGGGCCGAGGATAAGAACACGAAGCGACCTCTAAAGACGCATGTTGTCCGTGTGGATGACCTGCCAGGGGCCGAAATGATCCGACTCGCCGTACGCTGGTGGCAGCACACGAACCATCCGCCCCGTAGCCCAATCCACATACCACTTCTTGCCTTCTTTGATAATGAAGCTGGACTTTCGAGGGCTGCGGAATAAGAGGTTGCTGTAGCATAGCTTGGCATACAACGCATCGTGAGCGCTGGTCCAACGATGCTCGGGTACCCATTTGCCATCGTGAGGATCAACGCCTTCGTTTGAATACGATGTCGTACTCAGCCGATGCGCCACTTCCAGCCGTGTAGGAGCAGCAACTTGATCACTGGCGCCATCAACCTCATGCTGTTGATCGACATCAACTCCATCATCTTCATCATCGAATACTGGTGCCGATCCGACTTGCGCGTTGACTAAAGCTTGCGTCTCCTGTTGGTCCGCGTACAAAGACGGCAACGGATCCGGGGAGGATGATCTCCTCCGCAGGTGACCATCTGGGCGCCCTGTTGCACGGACTTCAGTATTTGTGGTAGGAGCAGCATCGACACGACTCGGCGAAGGCTCGGTCGCTTGTGCTTGGGCGGCTGGCGCAGCTTGGCGTACTGGTGAGTGTTCTCTGTACCAACGCACCCTCTGCACCCTGGGGACAGACATGTCTCGAGGGAAATCACGATCCTCAATGGGTAGCGCCACATCGATTGCGGCGAAAAGGCCTTGAAGCCACCTGTTGAAGGTGCTCAGCTCGATGCAGGATAGGAGGAATTGATCAGTCTCGGCGCGGACTCGGATAACATAACGACGTCTAAGTCCAGTCAGCTTCGAGCCTCTAAAATACACATGCAAATCAGGCATACTTCTTGTAGTCAGCCGCGATGCCAGCGTCTGCGTACAGTAGGCTGTAACTCTTTTGAAGCTTTGCCTTGCGCATCCAAGGGGGATTGTCGGGGCTGACTGATGGGCCGTCCTTGGTCCTACCCCAGGTCCGATTCTTCTTCACGTTGTATAAGTTCAACGCCGTCCCAGTCAACGTAACGAATGTTGTGTGCCAGCGGCGCTCCTCGGCCCGCTTCGTGGTCTCCTCGATCTCATGCTTCTTCATAAAGACTCCTTCGAGCTCGACAGAGCTTGTGTAGGCTGGCAGCATCTCTTTGCCTTCCAATGGCTCCGCGGCACCTCCAATGCCTTCCTCAGCCGTGACCAAAACGGCCTTTCCTTCCCCATTCCTCGGACGATCTTTTCCTTGCCCGTCTCTTTGCCTGGGGTCGTCGACTTGGTACGGTGGAGGGCGTGAAGGTCGTCGAGGATGCTCTGTCATGATCCGTTGATAGCGCAGGTCTTCGTCCATGGATAGTCGCCGGCGACTGTTCGCCGGCGACGGAAGCGATGCTGGCTCATGTCCATGTGGGAGGACCGACGCATCGTGACGGGGATCCATGGGGATGTGCGGTTTTATATGCGCCGGCGGTCCGTCCGGGCACACCGGCGCTGATCTTCGTATGGGGTCGGTCGATCTGTGTGCGGACAAGACTTGGTTCAGGGTGTGGACGTAAACACGACCAGGCCTGGGACAGAGGGAACAGACAACAGCGCAGCGCCAGCTCTATGGTGAGACGTGGGTCCTGTTGACGACACCGCCAGGTGGACAGCGGACTGGATGATGTTTCTGGCGCCCTTCTCTAGGTGGACGACAGTGCGTATGAGTGAAAAGTACGTAAAAGACGGTGCCTATGTCACTTGTTGTTGGGGCCCCGCCGATGGAGTCACACCGGAGAATATGATCATAGCGACCCGCTCAAGACATGCCAGCTGAGGTAGTAACAGTGGACTGCGGCCAGAACCACAGTACAGGCTAGAAGCGTCGGGGTCGAGCTGGGGGACAACGGCGCATGACAGTTGCGACCGCTTGTTGGAAGGCTTGGGGCGTGCGCGCAACGGCAGGAGTTGGGTCGCAATCCGCGGAACAGGCAGTAAGTCAGATATTCTTCTGCGTGGCCGCAGATGCTGTCGCTGCGATCCGAGCCAAGACCCCTGAGGGTAATGTGGCCGAGGTTGGGACTCTGTGGTCGTCGCAAAAGGACCCGCCTACGTTAGTACAGTAGCAATGGATATGTGTAAAGGCTACATCAAACGGCGAGCCAAAGGGACTGTGTGAAAGATCGATTGTCGTTGGCACAAGCCGTAAGCGCAAAGAGCAGCGCAGTGGGTTGGAATGTGGGTGATCGGCACAACTCAGCCGCGCCGGCCGGACTTTGGTTTCGGGGCCTTAAAACGGTCCAGGACCTTTTGACATCGGCGCGCTGGGATTGTCGGTAGTATGGGGGGATAGCGCACGGACACACGCAAGCGCAGCGAGTGGTCAACCCAGGCTCAAGAGCCGGACAGTTGCAACAGTCTGATGCGCAGGGGCGTGTTGCGAGCGCGAGTCGTCAGCGTACGTGTCGATCCGTAAGGTACACGTAGAGAGAGCGGGCTATAGGAGTCGCGGTAACCGACATTGGACCTATGGCCGAGCAGCGACTGCTGCTCCAGCTCATCAGCACGCAGTACGGGTACGGTACGTAGCAGAGGCTGGCTGGGTGCCTGGTGCCGACTCGGAGGGTGGATTATGGGGACGTTGTGGGAGGGACAAATGGAAGGGTAACTGGGTAAGATGAGGTCGCATTGGGATCACCAAAAGAGTCCCCGGCATTGGCACTTTCCTCCATCGGCGCCGCTGAGGGTCGTTGCATTGTCAGCGGGCTGCAGTGGCCTCGAGGCGCTGAATGAATCGACAGTCGCTCTTGTCCATCGCGACTGGAGCCGCAAAAGGTCCCCGTCCCATGACACCGCATCCGGCGCTTAGCCCCTTGCGGTAGGTGGCACGCTATTCTCCTGCGAAACCGCACGAGGGGCTGTAAACAGTCTGGGACAAAGTTGGCAAACGGAAGTCGCGGCATCGTCCGACACCGAAACCAATGGTGCCACTGGTCTTGGTCTCTTGGTACTGCACGCGAGGGTTCCATAGCCTAATTGCGATCGCTTAAGCAAGCGGCAAGCCACTTCAGCCTCCAACGACATACCTAGGATCTACTAGACAACTGTTTCCTGTTCAAAATCTTATCTCGGAACCTTATCGACTCATCCATGCTCTAGTGAATGACGTTGCTAATTCACACATCGTAATGAAGGACGTGATTACTTGGTCGGCTTTGTTGGAGTTTGGACCCGTCGGCCATCGGGCCCTCGCATCACTAACTCACAACGCCGACTACCTTGTTGACAAACAGAATCCACCGCAAAGGACCTTTTGCCAGCAGCAAAAGGACGACGTCCCGAAGCCAGTAATAGTACGGACTCAGGCAGGATGGGAAAACTCTGCTGTCGCGCCGTCATGCGCCGCGACCAACCGATGCATGTACAAGGAATGCACGCAGCACAGCAGCAAGTCATTCCCAAGCCTATGAAAAATGACAGATCCGAAGACCGACAGACTATTACAGTACAACCAATCGGACAGAACTTTTGGCCTCTGATCCGGTAAGGTACCTTTGCGGCGCTCGCCAGCGCGCATCACCATCTTCATCATTATCATCATCGCCGCTGACAGGCCTCATCATCCCCTGCTGGGCCTGACGACTATGCGAGCCGCTGATTGAATCATTTGCATTGAAGGCCCATGTGTTGGACCTGGATTTACTCCTTCTGCCAGGAGTCCCGAGTCCCATTTGCACTTTTGTGAGTCGATGCTCATGCGGGACTCGCTCCTCGCGGCTTGTTAGGATGCTCCCGCAAGTCTTCCCAGTCTTGTGCCCTGCAACAACCCGAGCCAGTCTTCTGGAAGAAGTCTAATGGAAACAAGCTTGATTTGAGTTGCCCAATGATGAGTTGATCCTCACGAAAAGCTATTTCCAACATTCAATATTCGTTTGCTACGGAGACGGGAGTGTCTGCGGGATCCTGCGTACAGTGCTTTCTGATCAAGTCCACCACATGGGTTTTTTGTGATCACTGTACCCACCTCGTCATCAATTGTCCACAGATGCAACATCTGATGATTTCAATCAGGTACTACAATGCCTGTGGAATGGCTGGATAATACCTCCAGTCATTGGCCAGCCCTCGACATCCTCCTCGTCGTATGACTTTCTTGTTCACAGCAGAGCCTGCCTGTCTTGGCATGGTGTCCTCCGTACTGGGGGGCCGGAACACCACAATGCGTTCATCAAGGTCCTCATTTCTGTCGAAAGGTAATTAATTGACCAACAAGTAAACAGAGAGTGCCTGGCTTGGGGGAGTTCTCTAGGCTCGGAACCACGAAACTGCATGTCTGATTCGTACTCTACGGCGTGGAACCTTTGATTGTAGCAATGCAAAAAGTCCACCAAGGCAACACCACCGCATCAGCGCGTGTGCTGAATGCCGCGCCGATCTCACAAAGACCGTAGGCCGCTGCGCCGCAGCCATAATGCAGTGGGATGGTCCGCGATGTGATGCTCGGGCTGATGATGAGCATCAGCCGCTGTTGGAACATGTGCGTGCCAGATACATGTACAAGACGCATCGTGCTAGGCCCTACGCGATCCAGTGGCACCTGACACTCCTTTCTACAGCAGATTTAACAAAGGTTTAAGATCTTCAGACACCGGCACACACAGAAAGGTAAGGTATAATACACCCATGTTGCATCATCTACCTTACCTCAAAACTCCCCGTCCAATGCCTGCCCACCCCCAGACTATGGTACATCATCGTTAATGTTAGCACGTGTCAAGCATAACGTAGAACGTCAGCACATCCCCAATACCCTTTGTCCTTCCGTCCAAAAACAGCCCATCCTGCGCTCGCCATCGTATTAAGTAGGCACTCCGTTCCGAATGTCCATCGTTATTTTTTTCCATTGGCCCCTTTCCAGCGATCCGTGCAGGTTGACAACAAGAGGGGACAAGTCGTCGCCACTCCTGCTGGTAGTCTCCATGCGAAACAGAACCGACGATAAAAAGTGAAGACAAGAAGTGAAGAGAAAGACCAATGCGGCTCCCACCAAACTCCAGATTCCATGCTCCCTTGCGCTGTAGCTCAACTATTTGAAAGCCCGGTCTACAATGCAAAGCAATAGCTCAACAAGGTGAAACCAGGCTGTTGGGCAGTGACCAGACATCATGCCCCCGGCGTAATAACGAGCAACACGTGAACACGTCTCAGCACGTTACACTCGCAGTTCAAATCGAGCGTAAAGTGCTGCAGATTTCCACGGCGGCCCTTGTTGTTTCGGTCGATATGCTCACCTAAGCGTTGGTGGCCTGTGCGGCGCCACCGCGGCCACGAGCACCACCGCGTCCACGGTTCTGGCCAGAAAAGTTACCCCTGGCGTTGCCCTGGCCACCACGACCACCCTCAAAGCCACCACGGCCGCGTTGGGCGCCGCCACGACCGCCGCCGTACGTGTTACCGCCGTACGTGCCGGTCTTGGGTCGACGCGGCTCAACAATGATCTGTTCCCCATTCACGGTGTGAGGGTTGGCGCTCACAGCAGCATTGTATCCCTCGGTGGTCTTGTACTCGACAAACGCGCAGTTCTAGAGAGTCAGCACATTCGCCAAAAAAGGAACATGGGGGCTATGGTTACGAACCTTCTGACGGTTGATGTCAAAGTAAGCAAGCTCACCATGGGCCTCGAGGGCCTTCTTGAGGTCGGACTCCTGAACCTTTTCTGTGACGAATTTCACGTAACCGAGGGTGCCCTCTTTCTCAGGGGCTGCCGACACGGACTGCGGGCGGTTCTGGCGCTTCGAGTCACTACCAGCAGTCTGCCAGCCGGAGGCTTCCTTGGTAGGTTCGGCAGTCGCAGTGGGAGCAGGGGCACTTGTCTGAGCGGGAGATGCGGCAGCAGGCGCAACAGCGGCCTGGGCAGCTGGGGGCTTGTTCTCCTGCTGCTGGGCAGGAGGTGTAGCTGTCTTGGGAAGAGGGACAACTGGACGAGGTCCAGCTGCTGCTGCCGCACGGCTGGCCCAGGTCATAGGCTTGGGAGGGCCGGTAGCCTTCTCGGCTGCAGGGACGGCCTCAACCGGCGCAGCCTGCTTGGGAGCAGGTGTAGGGCTGGGGTCCTTTGGCTTCTCGGGCTGCTTGACGTCCTCCTCAGCCACCTGCTGAGCAGTACTGGCAGGATCAATTGCCTGAGACTCGGTCTCCTGAGCCTGGACATCACCGCCGGCATCGGGAACGGCGCTATCGGCAGTCTTGTCATCAGAAGTGGCAGCCTCCAGCTTCTCCTTGACGACCTCGGTGTCTAGCTCACTGTCTTGGCTAGCCGCAGCTTCAACGGCAGGGGCAGCCTCGGGCTCAGTGGCCTCCTTTGTTGTTGTGATGTCGGCATTGGGGCGGTCGGCAGAGATCTCAGTAGGTGGCTGAGCTTCTTCCTCGGACTCTTCGTCGATGTAGCGGAGGATATCGTTCAGGACGAAGTAGCCAGAGGGTTGCTGGGCGAGAACAAATGTCTGGACAAACTTCTTGGGCTCGCCTGCCTTGTTCGAGACCTCGCCAATGACTTGAATGACGATGCTGTCGGCAGAGGAAGCTTGGCTATCAACGTTTGACACACGGACCTTGCAATCTTGGAAGTCGAGCTGCTTGATGCGCTCCTGGATAGCCTGAACTAAGGTCAGATACACTCCAGAACTCTCCCGCCCTATGCGAACTCACCTGACGGCCAACAGATACGTTGGCTACCTCAGCCTCTGCGCCACTAACGAACTGCGACCGCTTGCCGTAGAACAACTGGAAACTTGGTTAGCCAGACGAATGAGAGCGGGATCTTTGCACGTACGTGAAGCTTCTCGGGAAACTTGCTGAGGGTTGTGTAGTACTGCTCGACAAAGTACCAGCCAACCTCATCCTTGGACAGGTCATTGGTGCCCGACGCGTTTGTGGTCTCGATCGTGGCGTTGTTGGAGTACTGGTCGGCGGAGCCCTTGTATTGGTCCTGCTGGGCAAAGTTTCCGTTGGTAGCCATCTTGTCGGTCGGGCTCCGCGTGGGAAGGGGTATTGCAGTTGAGGTCCTCGAGGGAAGTGAAACTTTGACTAATTCAAGGTTCAGGTGTATTCCCGTGCTTCACAGGAAGGCAGCGAGAGGATGATGCTCCGGATACGGGGTCGCAATTGCTGGAATAGAGAGTCTAGAGGGAGATCCTTGATGCGGGAGATGTGTGACAAGGAAGGATCGTCGGAAGATACTACGTCGGGGAGATGCTGCGGTGATGATGAACTGTAGCGTCGCGAAATGACAGCACAGGGGTTGCGACGTAGAGGGTGACGTGTGTGAAGCGTTGGCGATGAAGAATGTGGCCACAGCTTTTGTGGGAGAAACGCGTAAACGTGTGAGAGTTGGATTATGGGGAAGATTAGGTGTTGGTGGTGGTGGTGGTGGTGGTGGTGGGAGCAGGAAGCTTCTGTGGAATGCTTGATCAATGAGGTCGAAGATGGGGATGCAAAATTAGGTCTCCAAGCTCAATGAAGCCGACTTGCTCTAGGCTCCATTGAGGAGCGTGGTCTGTGCTCTGCGATCCCGGAGTGGAGATTTGACCTCAAACCCTACCTGCCTTCAAGGTAACTGTGCTTAGGGTCACAACGAGACGGAAGGAGCTCACAAAGAGGAGGAAGTTGCGAAGGAGAGTAAATCTTGGGACGATATCGCACGCAGGCGGACAAATTCAAGGGTTCTCGAGGTGTCGTCAACCTCCAATCACTCGAATCATCGGTGCATTCATGTATTAAATCATACTAAGTCTGGGCTGCTCGACACCACTCCAAATCCAGGGCTCACAATCACACAACACTGAGCCCCCCACACGAGCTGATCTCAGAGTCACGTTCTTATACACTGACAAGTCAATTGTCTTCTCGCAGCAGCTGTAGCATGGTTCCACACACAAAGTCCGCGTGTTGTCCCGCTGAAGCGCTGCAAATCATCGCTGCTCTGGGGTTGTATGTAGCCTCGGTGTGTCGGTGAGTGATGGACCCCACACTCACTCTGTCTGACGCCTGCCACGGACCACGGTGAGTGAAGGCTGAAGCCCGCCGCGCCGGCCCACACTGCGGGGGCCGCCGAATTTCTGTAAATGCCAAAACTTTTTTCTACTATCTTATCGCTGCCAGTCCCTGCGTGTGATGTTCTGGTCGACGAACCTCCAACCTCCACAAGCCACCATCTGCTCTTACATAGACTATTGTGGCCTTGTTTGCATGCCCAACTGCGAGACACGAGTTTGATATTCGACGGATTCAGATCACACCGCCGCCGCAATGCCTAAATCCAAGCGCGCAAAGGTCGTCCACATGACCCAGGTCGCAAAGAAGACCCGCGACGACAAAGACCAGCTCTTCACCAACATTCGCGAAGCCGTCCCCGAGTATCAGCATGTCATTGTCTTTGAGGTGGACAATATGCGCAACAATCATCTCAAGGTTGTTCGACAGGAGCTGTCCGATTGTCGGTATGTTTCTTCCACCAGCCCTCTCGTTTCTCGCTGCAACGGAAAAGTTAACGGCTGCTAGATTGTTCTTTGGCAAGACGAAGCTCATGGCAAAGGCGCTGGGCCAGAATCCTGCCGAAGCCGTTGCCCCTGGGATCGAGGGCCTCACCAAATACCTGGCTGGAACTGTTGGGCTGATCCTTACGAACCGCCCTGTCGAAGCCATCCTCGCGTACCTCGACAACTTCCACCCGGTGGACTTTGCGCGGGCTGGTGTCCCCGCCACACGAGAGTTCACCATTCCCGCTGGCGTTGTCTATTCCACTGCGGGGGAGATTCCCGCGGAGTACGATGTACCAATGGAGCACACCATTGAACCTGAGCTGCGCAGGCTCGGCGTCCCGACGAGGATGGTCAAGGGCAAGGTCGTCCTTGGCGAGGAGAGCGGCGAGGGTGAGGGCTATCTGGTATGCAAAGAAGGCCAGGTCTTGGACTCGAGGCAGACTAGGCTACTCAAGCTGTTCTCAGTCTGTCTCAGCGAGTTCAAGGTCAATGTGTTAGCACACTGGAGCTCAGCGTCAGGCGAGGTCATTGAGGTCAGCCAAAGCGCAATGGAAGAATAGAAAGACACACAGATGGCATTGCTCGCATTGGTAAGGCTGTTGTTATTTAGTAGGCTCTATACCAGCGGTACTCTGGGTTTCGGCGTTGGGGATCAAAATAAATGGGCTCCTTGAAATGATACAACGGGATCAAACATGAATTTTGCGTTGATCAATGAACGATAGTGGCTTGCTGTTCATGGTTTACAAAGTAATGCTGCCTGCTCGCAATAAAGTACACATGGTATGAATCTACTGAAAACTGATGATACTACTGCTACACTCAAACTGTCGGTATAAGTAGGCCACCGCTTACCTTTGACCTCACAGAATCTTGCTAAGCCAAACAGAAACCAGCCACAGCCGCTCCCAGATACCTGCCTTGTTCCATTTCATGTACAATTGCAGGGCTCATTACCTCTCGGATGCCCAACCCACAATGATCCTTGGTCTTGTGCGAATATTTGAACACAAAAGTTTTCTTGAGCTTCAACAGCACGGATACTGCCATGCTCGGATGCGATATGGGAGTGGTAGTCACAATACTCCCGTGATTCTCGGCTGTGGCTGGTTGCTGCTTACCCTTTGGCGAAGTAGGGGAAAGAATCGGAATGCAAGGAGACCGAACCACCCACCGAGAATTTTCGTGGCTTGTCTAGTATCGAGGCATCTTGCGCGAATCGTTGTAGTCGTCGTCGTAACCACGCTTTCTGCTGTCACCTTCGCGAGGCCGGTCAAAATCGCGCTGGGGCCGATCGTCACGCCCACGGCGGCCCTCGCCCACGGGTTCCATGTTGCCTCCAGTTCTTCGATTGTCGCGCCCTCCAAAGCGGCCGCCGTCTCGGTTGTCGCGTCTGTCATATGAGCGCCCGCCATCGCGGTCATACCCACCATATGAAGATCCACGGTCTCCATTCCTGCGGTCGTAGCCACCTGGACCGGAGGGAGCACCGCTCGGGGGACCGTAGCCGCGGTCGCCGCCTCGATCGCCGAATCCGCCTTCTCGTCGGAAGCCGCCACCACCACGGCCTCCGCCGAATCCGCCTCGGGCGCCTCCTCGGCCACGGCCACTGTCGAAACCTCTAAATCCTCCACGATAGCCGCCGCCGGGAGCGCCATATCCTCCCATAGCAGGTCGACTGGCAACCTTGGTGTAGTTCCGTCCACCCAGACCACCTCCGAAACGACGGGGTACCCATGCGCGGACTGTGCGTCCACGCTCGACATCAACCTTGATTTCTCGACCCTTGATGCGCATGCCATCGCAAGAATCTAGAGCCGCTACTCGTCAATGCGCAAGAGCGCGCGTGTCAGTAAAGCTTACCATCGTAGATGCAGCAGTGATGTGGTACGGGACTAAGGGGAAAAATCTGTCCACGCAGAGACGGGCAAGCTTGAGGACCCTTTGTGTCTCGCAGTTTTTGAAGAAGAGGGCAAGCCTGAGGGCCAAAACTTCTAATAAACCTCCGGGATCTGAAAGCGGACACACTGCTGCAGTTGGGTGAGAGAGGGGGATATTTACCTCGCATGTCTTTTTCGCGCTCAAATACGACAAAGGCATAGCCTCTGTGTGGCTTCACCTTCTTGTTGGGCTTCTCATGCGCATGAGTGTCTTTGACGATACGGATCTAGGTTTTGTCAGTTGGTCATCAGTACAGTATGGATGAGGACGGATCATACACGTTCGATGGGACCGTAGCGTCCAAACTCCCGTTCCAAGTCACGCTCGTCAGCCTCGTAGCTTAGTCGGGCAACGAGAAGAGTCTTGAAAGCATCGCCACGGATGTTGGGATCTTCGTTTGGCTTGTCTACGCTAGAGTTAGCGACACTGCCGATGTAGAGAAGGGTGTTGTCCACGCACAGAGTGTGGCGAGGTTGTCCTTCTGGTATTGAAGCTTGGCCTTCATCTCCTGCTTTTTCCTATCCTTCCTCTCTAGCCAACTCTCCGTCGGATGGTAGACATCCTCTTCCTTGTACTTCTGCAGTGCTGGCATGTACGAGCTAACACTGTCAATGGCCGAAGTCACGCGCTTTTCGGGCGCGTGGTCGGGAGGGTCGAGCCATTTTAAGGGAGGGCGCGCGGCGAACAACGCGAGAAGGTTGGGTGGGAGCTTGTCGGTCATTGCGCAACGATGTCCACGGGCACTTGGGAAATATGGAAGAGGCGCTTTTGATCGATGCCGGTGTCGTTGCGTCGACGGGTGGTCGATGAGTCGAAGTCCCTGGGCGTGTGGTTGTGGGACTCGAAATGAGCTCCAACAACACCCTTGTCGCAGAATCTGGCAGCGATCTGATTGCTAGAGTTAAGATACCAGTCACGTGCATGAGGCTTCCCCGGAGTTCCCAGGTACGTACGGACACTCAGAGTCAGATCAACCTCCTACGTTCGCATCATCTTTTATTCTTTTTCCATCTAGGATAAGCACATATCGCCTCTGGGACATCTTCACCAATAATTGACTGGCGGAAATACCTGGTCGGGTTGAAAAAGCGGCCGTCCTTGAGGCACGCCCTGGACTGTGATGACCGTCATACGCGGTTAGAGACAGGCTCTTTCCAAGTATCCTTTTGGACAGTGAGGAAATGATTCTCGCGAATTGAGAAGCTCGTTTCTCTTGTGACCTCTCGCTTGGTGGGTAGTTATATGCCAACGAGTCCATCGCGGCCACGTTCACGAGCACTGGCGCGACGCCCAGATACTGTGGGACCCAAGCCCCCAAACGACGCCCTTTTACCCGGATTTGTACCGCCCTCGAATTTTTGCTGCGTACTCCGTAGACGCAGTAGGACGCGACGTCGTACCTATTGGCGCTCCTATCCATCGGGTGCTTCATTCAGCAGATAAACTTCAAGATGACGATCCACGGGATACGGACAGCTGCTGCCCAAACAGTATGTATACACGCTACCCTTAGCAGATGCGAAGATGGCTGATCGGCAAACTTTCAGAGCAAAGTCAAGAATGGCGTGGGCGCATTCATCTTGCAATGCAAGAAGATGGAATTCCACTACTGCGACTGGGCGGGCAGCTCAAGAGGCATGAAGTGAGTAACGCAACAAGGTACACGGATGGTTCCGACGCTGACCCTGTCCAGTGGCTTCATCAAAGGCATCCTCCCCAAGTTTGCGGCTGCGAACCCCCAGATCGAATTCTCCATTTCTCCCCGGCCCAACAAGCATCCCGTCGTCACCGGACACTACATCAACGGCCGCACAAAACCTGTCTGCGTCCGGAACCTGTCGCCCTACGAGATCCTCGAGAAAGTCGAGTTACTACGAGACGCCAGCGGAGAGAAGCTCATAAAGGCGAATAAGGCCGTCACCAGTACAAAGGACAGTGTTAGAGGCATCTGGTCGCCCTTCCACGGCAAGGGAGAGCCTGTGTGAGGGGTGTGTGGGATTCTGCCGTTTCGTGAACATGTACAATTGCAAGCGGGGTGTATATCATGCATCAACACTGTATTTGCTGGGAGGGCTTTGGGTATTTGAGGAGCGCTGTGACATACCATCATCAATACGTCAAAATTTTGTGTATTCAAAAGGCTTCCGTTCGGATCTACATGATGGGACTCCATGAGGATGGGAACAGATTTACTTCTGCTGCTTGGCGTTGACAATGTCGACGACTGGTGCGCAGTGTTAGCTTTTGTGCGCAACGGGTTTCAGCCAGAATACTTACAAGCAGGCTTGAGCGAGGCACCGCCGACGAGGAAACCGTCAATGTCAGGCTGCTGCGCGAGCTCACTGCAGTTCTTCTCGTTGACGCTGCCTCCGTACAGGATGCGAGTCTCCTCGGCGACCTTGTCGCTGACGTTCTTGGCCAGCCACTCGCGGATAGCCTTGTGCACCTCCTGGGCCTGGGAGGTGGTGGCGACCTTGCCGGTGCCAATGGCCCAGATGGGCTCGTAGGCAACGACAATGCGGCTCCAGTCCGAGATGTGGCTCTTGAGAGACGCGAGCTGCTTGCTGACAACCTCAATGGTGGTGCCAGCTTCGCGTTCCTCGAGGCTCTCGCCGCAGCACCAGATGACGCTGACGCCGGCCTCGGTGGCGACCTTGGTCTTGAGGGAAACGGTCTCGTCGGACTCCTCAAGGATGGTGCGACGCTCAGAGTGACCGAGGATGGCCCAGTCAATATTACTGTCCTTGAGCTGCTCAACCGAGATCTCGCCAGTGTAGGCGCCGTTGGGCTTGTAGAAGACGTTCTGAGCGGCAACGCCAATCTTCTTGTTCAAGCTCTCGCGAACAGTCTGGAGGAAGATGGAGGGAGGGGAGACGACGACCTCGGTGTTGGGGTCAAGGGAGGCGTTGTTGAGGTTGTTGACAATCTCCTTGATGGACGAGTTGGACCCGTTCCTGCGTAGCCATTTTAGTCAATGGGCCCTCGTCAACTTTGCAGCGTCTCAACTGCTGCTCGACGCGGGGCGGGCGCGTCGATGGATGGGTGGAGGGGTAGGTTTCTTGCTCTAGACGTACATCTTGAAGTTGCCGCCGACGAAGAAAGTGCGAGCCATGATGGGCGAGTTTGAGCGACGGTATCTTTTGAGTGAGAGAGAGATGTAAAGTGCGATGTCAGAGTGAAGTTGCGTGAAATAGGACCGCTTTGAAAGGTTTGGACGAATAGTGCCAGAAAAGTAGCTCAACATTGCATGGACATGGAGGGGCAACCTCAGCTCAGCCCAGTGAAGGTCCACGGGTGACCTCACTGCAACTCAGGCTTGCAGTGCAGTGCAGTGGCCGATTATCGGGTCCAGTGCTAGACTACCAGGCAAGGTGGTACCTTGCCCTTTATAAGCACACACATTACTAGCTCGACTCAGCCCCCTAGCTTGAGTTACCAGAATCATATATCCCACAGTCGTGTCTCCCATAATGTGAACTGTCCTCTCGTCAGAAGGCGAACCGCAGGAGAAGACTGGTCGAGGGGCAATTCATGGTAGCGTCGTGCGTTCTCGAAACTTCGCGTTCTTGGCTACGCACGTACACACTTGTCTATGAGTCTTTGATGCCAAGGCTTGTTGCGATCTCTGAATTGCGCGAGACCATGCTCCAGTAGCGTGTCTATCAAAATATTGCATTTGTGTATGTACCAAATGTATCCAAACGCCCCAAGGCCCAAGTTACTGCTGTGATCCTCTGAAACAGGCCTCTGGGACTGTCCTGTTGTCCTCCACCAATTCTGTCTATCTGTGTGCTATCTAGTCATTCCGTCGTGACTCCTCAAGCCGTCCTCGGCGCGGCGTGTGTATCTGCAGCGTCAGGGCACGAAACGGCCTGTCTGCGCCCTCAGCATGGCATGGAGCGTCCCTGGGGCGATCCTTGGCTCAAGAGCCTGTCTCAAGTCCAGAGTGCCTGGTCGAAAGCATCTCAACATCGGATTCGATGGGTGCTGTATCGACTCAAGACGCTTTGCCCATGTCCACGGGTAGGGCATCGTGCTTGCGCACTCCTCGGTACCACGGGAGTGAGGTGTTCCACACCTCGTACGTAGTGATCCTCAAATAAGAAATAAAAAAAGAAAAAAGGTTCATTCAGCCGCTGGAGGCGAACTCCATGGGCCTGGACGCAGGCATCAAGGTGCCGTGAGCCATGGTGTTGCTCATTTGAGACATGACACCGAGCAGCTTTTGCATGTCCGCAATCTGCTGAACAGTGCGCGCGTCCTCGGGGTTTTCCAGGCTACGGGCCATGTCCTCAATGGCCTTGCGGCTGTCCATCCACTGCTCAACCAAAGGCTTGGCGGCGGGCTTCTCTACTTCCTTGGGAGGCGCAATCTTCTGAATAGTCTTGCGGGTGGAGATGCTGCGCGACGGCTCAGTCTGGGTCTTCCTCTTGCGTCCCTTGGCCGGCTGGGCATGGCTGCTGTCCGGAGAAGAAGAGGTGTTGGCCCCTGCGTTTTTCTGGTGGTTGTGTACACGCTCCATGTGGTCCTTGAGGTTCCAATGGCGGGGAAATCCATTGCCAGGGGCACCGCGCTCGCATCCAGGGAAGGGGCAAAGGTGCGGCTTCGCACCATGGCCGTGCATCCCGTGCATTTCGCGCTCGTGGCGGAGGAGGCAGGCCGTGGAAGAGAACTCCTTGTCCTTGCAATCCGAGTCCTTGCAGCGGTATGGCTTGAGGTGTGAGTCGACAAATTTGCTAGAGCGAATCGTAAGTGGCTGGGTCTTGATACATGAGTGTGGACTCTTACTCGTAGTTGCACTTGAGCTTCTCAGGCTTGTGGTTGCAGGATGGCTGTCCCTCCCAGGGGCAGTGGTATAGTCCGTCCTTCTGAGTCACGGCACTCTTGTACAAGTCGTGGTTGCGGGCGCTCTCTACTTCTCGGCGGTTGATCATGTTGTTGGCAAGGGGCATGGCGTCCGAAACCGTGTAGCCTTGTCCAGAGACATCGTGATGGCTGATGTAGTCAATGCTGCTTTGATACAAGTATTAGCGACCGAGGACGGGCCTGAGCATCGCATCGCAGGCATGACTCACCTTGGGGATTGGCAGGCAATCTCTGGAGAAGAATGAGGGGGGCTCAAAGGCTCATTCTGTGCTGACGCAAACCAAGCCTCGCTAACATTGACCGGCGATGGGGTCCTGGAGACGGATCCGTCAATACACCAGGACACGGGGGATCCATTGCTTGAGAGAGGAGCCTCGGGCACCCAGAGCTGAGCCGGGTCCACCACGAGCTCGGTCCCTTGAGGCACGGCGAATGCGGCATCATCCGTAGCGTTGCTGGCATCTTGGTAGCCAGACCAGAATCCTTGGGAAATGACAGCTGGGTCGCTCTCGAAAAACACGCAAGAATCCATTCCGGTGAGGTTTCCAACGCCTTGGGATCCGGCTTGGAAGGCAGCATTACCTCCAACGCCCATGCTGGACGTGCCTGATGACTGTGAGAGCGAAGATCCATTTGATCTGCTCGAGTCCAGTCTGGCCATGGCATGTGGTGCGACTGTGTGGACTGAAGTCATTCCAGCAACAGGCCAGTTGCTCTCCACGGGTCGTGGTCGAAAAAGCCTTGACCCACGGGGCGTGGTCTGTCCGGATGTGAGTACGTAATCCTCGGCCTCTCCTGAATGTGATGATCCATTGTCCGGGAAGTCCTGGAACGATTCTGTGGAATGCGTCCATGATGACGCATGCATCAGGTCTGTGGAAGCTCCTGTGCTCTGAGAGAAGGGAAAGGTTCCAGCGACGTGCGCCGACATGTTTTGATGGAAGCTGTAGTCGCTAAGTAGGTTAGTGTCCTGTTCTCCTCTGACCAAACGGTGATAATAAAAAGACAGAAAGCGAAAAGGAAAAGCAGAAAGCACACATGAGCTGGGTCAACTTTGATCTAGTGCATATTAGCATCATGTGTCGATCGAAGCAGGTCATTTCTACCAACCCAGCCCAAGCAACGTTGTGACTTCGTCCGACATCAACTTGCAAATCTAGTCCGTAGAGATAGGTCCAGGAACGACCTTTCATGTCCATGGTTTGGTTTTGGGTTGTCCCGGTCGTCAAGATATAGGGCAGGGCGCCGGCAACGGTCCAATTGTCGATTCCAAGTCGAGTGGCAGTGACAGGATAGCGGGTTGATAATCCGGGCAGTCTGTTCGCCGACACTGAGGGCCCGTTTGTTCCATTGATCTGGGCATGTCAAGACATCGATCCGGGTCTGAGAAAGTGTTTGCCGATAGAATCACAGGAGCGCGCAAGTAGATCAAAGTGTCGTTGGCCGGGTATGCATGGTCATTTCCCGAGTTCATCCTCCGCGGCTGCGGGCAATCGAATTAGATTGCAGTGGTAGAAGCCAAGTAGCTCGGCATCATTTGCAGTACACAAGGCCGTGTCCAGCTAATCCGCGTTAGGGACGTGTCCAGCAAGTTTCCGGTGTGGGAGTAGTATCCAGTAACAGCAGATATCCTTGATGCTCCAGGAAGCGTAGCGGTCCATGTCCATTGTAAGGTTCCACTGAATGTGTCCGGGGGTTCGTCGTCAAGCTCCGTGGGTCCGCAGATAATAAAGGAAATCCCAGCATTCCAATAGTTGATGATTCTGTTTCTCTCAATCTGTAATTTGGGAAATACTTACCACGACAATGACTGTCGCTCAATATGAAGATTTCTTTGATGATCGTGTCTGGCTCAGACAGATCTCCTGATTGATCCATGGTTGTCCTTGGTTGGGTCCTAGGGCGAAAGAAAACAGATGTCCTTTGTCCGGTATGTCCAGGGGTAAGGTCAAGATCCTCGAAATGGCTTCCTCGTTGATTGTGGCATGGTTGTAAATGCAGACGGACAAAAGGAAAGACATGAAAGTGTGCGATACATGGTGACAAGCAAGCAAAGAGAAGCAGACTAAAAGTACCTTGAGAGCGACTGAACCTCGTCGAGGTCAGGAGTGGTTTTGAATCCAGGCATAGCTTGGCGTGGCACCAGCGTAGCTGTCATTGTGTCCGGGAGAAACCAAGAGCAATTTGCACTCTTCTCTGAGATCCAAGAGACCAAAGGGGGGAGCAATGGTCTCTGTATGTTTAGCACCTGTCCAGATGGGCTGGATAGCTGGCAGCGCAAAGCAAGTCCTGGAGTCCTTGTGGAACTGGGTTGCTGGGGAAGAGAGGAAGAGTAGAAGCCGGAGCGGCAAGTAAAGAGGTTGTATAGGTGGTGGTATGGTATGTTGAGATGGTCGGAAGTGTCGCAGAGTTGGGCACCGATGTTGGGCAAGAATATTGAGGAGCAGAGGCAAAAGAATGCCCAAAGGACGGGGGCACGGGGTTTTATTGCTGCAGTCGATGCCCAACGCAAGGGAAGGGTGAGCCAGTCGCAACGACGATGGAGATGAGGAGTGACGGCATCCAGGAGGTGTCATGCCAGCAAGGACATGGTCCAACAAGCCCCGGCACACTGGCCGCATGGATGCGCCGGCGCTCTGTAGTTCCGGCTGATAGGCTACGCTCGCGCTGGATCTGCAGGAGGAACTTTGGCGGTGACCGTCAGTGGTCGCGATCCTTGTTTTCTGCTAGACGCTGTGGGCCGCTGTGCAGGGGTTTCGTCCTATCCGCTTCTGGACATGGCAAGCCAGGATGAGATGGCTGAAATGGCCAGCTCAGCAATGCATGCTTGGCGCGCGAAAAAAGCAATGCATTGATTTTTCCTGGCTCCAGTCCGTCCTCCGAAGCGTCACTGTCGGTCAGTCCGCCTCGTTCCGACTGCACAATACGACAGCATCATTAGCAACAGACAGTAATTGCTGGTGCTGATGGAAGCCTCACGGCCAATCACTTCCATAACGACGAATCTTTTCCTTTTACCGAGCCCGCGTGACAGACCAGTAGCATGCGTTGAGACGCAGCAGACGGACGCATGCCTCGCTGGCCACAAAGTCGGCCGTGATGCCCACCATCAATCAACCGTGTAAAGTCGCGCGTGATATGGCGCACTCATCAGTGTGATTGCTCCTGCATCGAGCGGGGTATGTGACTGGGAAACAGTCTGTGGGATAATTAGCACGTCGCACAACACATTCTACCGATTCTTGTGAGTGTACGTGTCCGCTTGGGGTACGTATCCAGAGTGATGAGTGAGACTGTCGGTGACTCGATGGGGTCGCGGATCTTTCGGAAGCTTTGACCGCTTCGCCGCATTCTGTATTCTTCCGTCAGGAGTGGCAGGCGTGTTCTCGAGCTGATGCGACGAAGAACAGTGATCAAGGTGTCCCTTGGTGATGATGTTGCCTGGTATGCCTGGACGAACATGGAAAGTTCCAGAGTCGAATTCCAGTCGCGGAGCACGTGATGACTGGATCTCACAGTAGGCAGGAGACAATCTTCACCAGTCAACTTCATGTGAACAACGAAGGTGCCAGCAGACCATATCTATATTAATTACATTATTCTACAGGTTTCACTTCGTCCATTCGCGGAGGCATCGTCGAGAGCGTCGTCGCCTCGCCCCACCAGTTGCCAATGGGTTCATGCGCTCCTTGCCAGATCTCGTACAGCTCGCGATCCATCTCATGATCGAGGATTGGCATGAAACCTCGGAGAACGGCACGAGCCATATCCCAAGTTTCAATGACTAGCGCTCGGCTGATCTGCACGATCCGGCTGTTGTAAACCTCAACCCACTTCCTCAACTGCTTCTCCTCCCTTGGGCTGGCGGCCCGACCTGAGGAGGCTATAGCGGCTCCGAACAAGACACACCAGAACCAGAGGGGGCCGCCCCAGCTAGTTGCCAGAAGCCACTCATCCATGACAGTCAGGTCGTCAATCAGCTGCTCCAGCAACCAGTCTACCAGAACAGCGTCCATCTGTCCACTGCCCACCTCGGAGAAAAGGTAGAAGAATGTGGCAATGAAGCAGGTGCGGCTGCTTTTCGGATCCCCGTTCAGAATGCGCGGCATGCAGGTATTCGGATCAAAACCTCGGGATATCTCGTAGTCAAGCTCGAGATCTTTGGTATGATTCTGCCATAACCGAGCAGCTTGTGTATCTGATTCCTCCCACCAACCGTACTTGGGCGCTTCAGTTGGTGGCAGTGCAGATATATCCCATATCGAGGCGAAGAGAAGGGCCATGAAAGTTGGCCGGTAGTCAGGGAAGTTGACGAGTTTTGCTGATTTACTTGCTCGCAGTCCTTCCCCAGCCCTACACACCTAAGTCAGCATCATACATGTTTACACCGAGTGACAAGCACCTCTCCTGCCAAAGACCTACATTTTGAACATCTTCTGGGCCAGCGATGGACGGATGTCGTGGTGTCGCATTGCTAGTCTGAAGCCCTTTAGGTGCTTGGATGATGTATCCAAGTCTCCAATCGCGCCCTGGCGTTCTAGTCAGAGCCGGACAATCATTAGGTGCCAATGACTGCAATACTTACTTCAGCCAGCGCCAGTGCCGAAATAGCCAGCATAGTCTCGCCCGTATGCGCCGTGTCGGCATTTGACAGTCGCTCCCTTGCAAGTTGGTACGTGACAGACTTGTGGTAGAGAAATGGCACCCGCACTTCATCCATGGAGCCCTTCACCCATGCCCACTGGCAGGCAGACAGCATGAGGCACATGTGCATGTAACCTTGGTTCTCGAACGCCCTGTGGACCCTGAAATGTCGTTGTTCAGCACGTCTTTTGGCAAGCATTCCACGCCTGTCTTCATGTACTTACACGCTCGACTCGAGCTCACGGCTCACTGGATGTTCGCCCCAGACAGCAAACTTCGAGACTGTTTGCAGTGTTAAGCAACAACATAAGCTTATGAAGTCGGCATGACCTACAATGGCAGAGCAATCTTTTCGATGCTTCCGGCAGCGTCTCATATGAGCCACCAACATAGCTGTCCAGCAACCGGTTGCCTAGTTGTGTTGGCGCGAGGCCGGCCATAGTCTGATGAACAACTAGGGCTTTCCTTGGTGACAGTTGATCTATATGCGCGCCCGCAGGCGAATTGGCTGGTGGCGATGGATAAACGCATTCATCGCCAGATTGCAGGCAGTTGGTGCTACTTCACGTTCAGTACGGCTGCAATAGCATAGTAGGAGTCGCTCGACCAGGCCAATAAGTGCTCCGCACAGGCGCCGGTTTGCAAGATGTTTGATCTCGGTCCAAGGAGATACTCACCATATTGGTATGCTCTCATCGCATCTAACATGTCTTTGTTTGCAGGTGTAACACCCGTTCTTACTTCGCCGGTGGAATTTTCGTTTCCTCTCTTTCGGCGGCGCCATGGTGTACACGAAGATGTAATGGCTTGTCTCTACACCTCAGGTTATTTCTAAAGAAGGCATTTGAGCTGCCACAGACGATATCTTCTCCAGCGACTAATGAGTGACTCTCACCAGCGCGGTCAGAATCAGGAGGAGGCTTATGGGAACCGCCAAGCCGTGCAGTCTATACGAAACCTGCATATGTGTCAGCCAATCATGTTTACAATGGCTTCCTGAGAAGTCGAAACTGCGGGGTGCATCCGATCGATAATTCGATATTCGGCACGACCACCGGACTCCGAAACTCCAGTCTGATTATCCACCAACTATGTGAAATCGAGCTACCCTATATGACTTATCTTCCTCCTTTCTGCTCAGGATGGTCTTTATATTTGTCGTGAAAAAAGGTTGGCAGCGCCTGGTTGATCCGAAACTACCCTGGTTCGAATTATTCGGGTTAGTTAAATTCTGGTTCTCGATCGACCGGCGGATCCATATTCGCATGCTGCCTTACCGTATTCAATGTTCTAGACTGTGTTCTTAATATGAGGCGCACCGCATTCCAGCAGGCAAAAGTAGGAAGCGAACGTTGAATCAATCACAGTACAATCGAGCTACTCCATTAGATATATGCACCAGCAAATTCTGTACACAGAAGGCAGCATGTTCTAGTCGGGGTCAATGACTGGAGGAAACTCACGCAGAGAAGCCAGATGGTTGTTCACGTGATGTTGCTAGTTGGGCACTTGGCAGCAGCCTGCCTCATGCACACGTAGCTCAGACATCCGCGTGCACCTCACCCACGGTACCTAAGGTACTAGGCTTTCGCCAACGACACTGACATATGTCCTTGCATTGACTGCCAACTGTGTCCTCCACCAAAATGCGTTGCTAGACTACTTAGTCGTCACTGTGAAGCCTCACAAGAGATTGCCGATGCTCGACAAAGCGTCAGTGGACACGCATCTGATGCAATGCTGGCCAATGGGTTTCCCATCGTCAGCACCTTCAGAGTCGTCGCACTCCGTTGATTCGCCAGCACTGCCATGGAGACAATTCATTCATGTCCTGCTGGCGCCCAAGAGAGTGCCGTTGGTGCCCAATCTTCGACACCGAGGAAAAGCACGGTGCCGTTGACCGCTCCTCGCCCTCCTGGGGCCTCCCCTGTCCGCCATGTCCCGCAGCCATGTTCGCCTAACCGACGCCAGCATACGTACATGCTTCAGGCACTGAATGTCAGATCCAATGAGACGAACCACTTGTTGGCGGACATGGACCTTGTACTACGTGCCGGTGTTTGTTAATAGCTACTCTGTACTCCTACCATGAATGCCTGGTGCACCTAGATCTACTAGGCTTCCCCAGTCTTCGTTGTGCCAAACGGTTGCAAACTGTCGTCTCGTTTGGTATTTCAACGACCACATTTGATATTATTGATCCATCGACACCTCATCGTGGCAGCCTTCATTTGTCCAAATTCGCCACTCTCGTCGCACAGCACACCCTCCTCCCAATCGATCCTCGCCCCTCCAGCCCTCTTTGGATTTGTTGCGCCCAACCGACCTGGATGCTCTAGTCCTCGGTTAACAACAGGCCTGGGTCACGCGTGCTTGGCTCCCTGCGCTTCCTCGCAATAGCTTTGACCTAGTGATGCTAGAGTTGGTACCTGAATCACACTAGGGATTCCACCCAGGCCCAACGGATCAAGCTAATTTCGCTGCAAGGCTCGACGCCTTATTGTTGTTGACCTCTCGGCTCCTGGTCCCTGTCTTGCGACACTCTGACGCTCCGCGCCGCTATTGCCTCCCGCCGTCTCTAGCTCGGAAGACATAAGATGTCCTGGTCCCAAAGTTGACATCTGAGCCCCGATATCTCCAGCAGTACTATCTTCGTCTTCTCTACAGAGATAGGCTTCATCTCTACCGCATTGAAGCTGAACCCGCCACCAAGGCTTCCTGGTTACACTTTCATTTGGTGTATTATACGTTCTCGACGCAACCGTCAGCCGTTGTGATCAGATCCCGGACGCCGGACCTTACCGCTATATCCCATTGTTCCCAGGAAAGCCCAGGAAACCATCGAGCCAGGATACACAGACCATTGGAGCCGTTGGATTTTCTGTTCTCTTCCAGTAATTGGCTCGAGAGACCTGTCGAGACCACCACGGAGCGTTGATCATTTGGTTCCCAAGAGGCTACCCCATAGCCCTTGTAGTTCTGGATTCCTTTCTTCTGCCTTGCTTTGGATCTCTTCTGCGCGAAGCTTTTCTACTTGCACTGGCCATGTACGCACAAAGCCCTGCGAACATGTCTCAACATAATCTAGTATGCAGCGGTCCCCCAGTCACGGGCGGACCATGGGACTCCAACCGCAGGTAGGAACCTGTGCCCCTCCGGAGCGGTTTACTGTTGGCCTAACCACGAACAGTCCCCTAGTTGACTCCTTGAATGGTGCTAACAATGCATTTGAGAATGGTTTCTATACCATATTCTCCAAGTGAGTTGACACCAAAGGATGTCATTGCACTGCTGACCATCATCAGCGGACTGTACTCGGGAAACTCGCACGGCCCGGCCGGGGCATCTGTTGCGGGCTCTGGGTCTCAGCCGTCGTGTACCGATCTCAACTATTCATCGGGCCCAGTGTACACCGGGCGTCCTCACTCCGTACACTACAATGCCTCAAACCACAACTACAGCACATACCAGACCCCCATAGCCCACTCGTGGGAAGGAGGACAAGGCAGATACTCCCCCACGGATTCTGTAGACGACATCATCGCATCGCCTAACTTGTCCGACTACTCCTTGGACAACGGAATCAAGCCAGGCAGCGGACGGCCAAGGAACCACGGCAAGAACCGTCCCCAACGACGACCGTCCAATCGGGATGAATTTGACGGCCCTCACCAATTTTTGCAGCGGCCACCTCCAACCGTGCTGGCTCAGCAGGAGAGAGAGCTGCCGCACCTGCCCACCAACCTGCACATACAAGAGCAGGATGCCGTGTTGAGCCAGGTCAATGACCGACTCTCCCAGTGCGCCTTTGATTTTGTGGCAAAGTACCAGTTTCCTGTGCCTCTGACGCAGGACATGCGGCCCGTGGAGCGTCCACAGGACAGGGAGTGGACAGAATGGGTCTACTTGCTGAAAAGGCTGGCGACCAAGAGGAGGATACCTGCGCGCGTTCTCTACAATGGACAGATCAAGCAGTTTGTCACGATACTGGAAAACTCACTGGAGATGCGCCATGCTGCGAAGCACCAGAGTCGACCACTCAAGGACGACAGGAACATCCTGCAGCTCATCTCGGCCGGCATCCAGGTCGCCAAGATCCTGAAAGATGCGTCGGCCATGGACCATCTGGACCAACTCTACGTGTCGACGGAGAACCAGATCCAGGAGCGTACAAAGTCCCGACTTCGAGGCTGATGCACGCGTGGATAGAATTACAGACCCAATGTTGGACCGCCTGCTTCACAAGTACCGTTGAGAAGGATATACCAGCAAACCAGGGAGACGGGACCGCACGAACGACCATGATGTTTTATGATAATGATCTGGCCATTTGCTTTCTGTTACTTTGCGCGGCATGATGGAGTCAACAGCCAGGACTCGAGATCTGTTGACAGACATACCCTGGGTCAAATGGATATTAGTCGACACTGCGCTGGATCTCGTGTCATGCACCTTGCTAGCGAGAATGTTGCTTTCAGAAATGTCCGAACTAGCCTGATGGCAATTATTTCTTGCTTGTGCTTGTCTGCCTGTGCACATTTGCCGTTTTGCTGTCGTCTCGGTGGGAAGCTAACACATGAACGAGTTCAGGATTTCATCTCCTAAGTCCTCACGCAGCTCATGGGTAACGGCACAAGGTCAGAGCGTGCAAGCGCATATGCCCTTTGAAGCACATGACTATCTGCCGATTCTTCACGAGAGCTAGTTATCGATCATGGAGGCGTCGAGCGTTGAGCTGTCGGACGGCCATACAAATCATTTTGGCACGACTTCATTAGGCATGAGAAGATGTCTGTCCGATTTTAGTCCCGATACCCGCACAGACGAATGGCAGGATCAGGGTGGAGCGGACTGGTTGTCTAGACCGGTGTTTTGTTCTCCCACGTCGAACGATAAAATAAAGTTGACACTCTTGCGCAGTGAGGTCGCGAGGTGTAGGCAATCTGTGGGGTTCCCAAGCTGCGTACTTGACGCGTGTTGGTATTGTGGTATAGGCATCGTGGCTTATCCCTTACCTGTTAAAGACTGCTGAGAAGTTCCGAACTCTTCACTGTGTAAATACACAGCGAGGGACAACTCATCATTGCAAGGAAGCATATTGCCCTCCCGGGGTTTGTTCACGCGCATGGCTACACTGCGTAGCTCATTGTCGCGTCGAATGTTGCAAAGCCAAGTTGTTGAGGAGGAAGAGAGTGAAACATCGGTAAAAATTCAAATCTGCAGATAAACCCTTTCCCCACGCGCATGGGTCCCCAGTAGCTGTGCACGTGACCTATTGACACGCGAATGAGCCTCTTTAATCCACCCGGAGCGCCATGATTTTCTATTCTTTTTTTCCTTCCTCTCCTTACACTATTTCATACACGCACAATTAATCAACTATCTGGGATTCGCCAACTCGCAGTTAGTCATATTTGTGTGCAAGACGAACGGATTTCTCTGCTCTAATATTATCCGTGACGAGGATTCGCTCCTTGTTGCGATCCAGTGGAGTTTCCGACATGTAATTTTCCAACGCAGACCGTGCCCTGGCCTCGTTGTGATGCCTGCCCTTGATAAGCCTCTACAAGTAGTCAATGGCATGTCGCTGGGAACTGGATGTGTACCTAGTGCATGCCTTCGGCGTGGCGGGCGATCATCACTGTTGCTGTACCGCTACCTCGGTCGATACAGCTGAATCGACCTGTGCGAGCATAGGCAGATGTTGCATTGAGGAGAAGCTAATATAATCGGTGCACAATGCTCACTTGCACGGTGGCATGTTCCACGAGCTCTGGCCTACGCGCTACTGCGCTATTAAGGCGTATATGCGTACGGAGTATATGCTCTATACTTGCATGCAACTGGGGGGCTTGCCAAGGTGTACCACTCATCACTGTCTCTGATATCTTGCTCTTCTCATGTTGTCATGACGGCCTAGGGTCTTCCCACTCCATTGCCCACTCGCTAACATCACTTATCGTGACTGTTCCCTAGGTTTCAGGGCCCATGGCGCTCATGCTCGAAGTCATTGGACAAATCCCAAGCAGCCCTGGACAAGGCTCATTCTTGCGACTTCCGCCGGAAAAAGCGCGAACTGCTGAAGATCAGTGAAGAAGGCATGGGAGAGAACAAAAGACCGCGCCGGTGGTATACAGGTTAGTCTATTGAACTAAAACAAAAGAAACCGTCGCATCCTGTGGCCCATTGACAAGGCGCCTGACCTGCGCATGCTGTTGTCCCTCCCTCATCCAACGCACGTGCCGTCTTTTATGTACACGTTCTCCTTTCGCCCTCGTGAAACATTCGCTGCTCTACGCAGCCTGCTTCTTCAGATCGCGGGCGGCCTGCTTGAGACTGAAATTGCACTCCTCGTAAGCGCGTCCGGCACCGAAACCAACACCGACAAAGGCGGGCCAGGCTCTGCGCTTGAACAAGAGGACGGAGAAGACGACGCCGAAACCGAGACCGAGGGTGGACTTGACGAGGAGGTTCGAGAGGCAGCGGTCCCACTACAAATATGTCAACATGTTGCTCAGCATGCTGGTACGCAATCCGCGCGCAGCGTTTGTACCTTCTCGTTAAGGAGCGCTTCGCTCACAGGCCTTGAGACGGCGAGGGGCTGGGGACGGCCGAGGGTATTGTCGGCCATTGTGAGGTTCCTGAAGGACAATCGTTAGCCTGGGGCCACAGGCAGTGATCTAAACATCCCTTCGACGTACTTTTGTGGTTTAAGAGGCGGCGTAGAGCGTGTAGTCAAGCTGCGACAAGCTTCGAGGCGGTTGATGATGGCATACCTGCAACGAGAATGTGTCGGCGAGAGTGCCAGCCCAGATCCCGAAGGCGGTGTACACCGGAAACTGCTCTGGTGTTAGCGTAGCGGCAGAATCCTGGAAATTTTGGCGAAGCAGCTTAAGCGTCACTCAGAATAATAATTATGGGCGGATGATTTGGGTCGTATTCAGTTCATTATAATAACAGCGTCTTGACATTACTTCTTTCTTCTTGATGTAATATTGTCAACATCGCGCCCACTCATTTCTCATCATGGTAAGACGGAATCACTCCTCGAGCGACCACAAAGCTAATCAGGGCAGGGTGAGGCAGAGCTTATCAAGACTGTGCGAGGTCTTGACCAGAGTGGCCCCGGCGAGAATGGAGAGAACCTGTACAACCTCTGGAGATGCCTGACTGCATCGGCTGACAGCCATTTCCATGCCGCAGAACAGAGTTGCTTGAGATGGCTCCTCAGATCGATGAATGGACCAACGCGCAGCGCGGAGACATTGCGACGCTATCCGATGACCTGGAGACTACTCGATTGCGTCTTCCAGAGAATACCGCTGTTTTCACTCGCCAAGTCACTCGCCGATAGGAAATTTGTCGCCGTGTTGCAGCAAACTTTGAAGGATGTGTCACATGGCCAGGACGACCACAGGACGGCAACATCTTCTAAACGGAAACGGTCGCCACCCGCGACCTTTGCTCTCGACTCCTTGACGACTCGAGATGGCTGCGTGGAGAGTGGTCAGGCAATCTTCACATCTCTGAGAACGTTGACGCAGAGGATCGGCGACAGGACGACAACATCATCGCACGACAGGGTTGGAGCAGAGCATCTGGCCTCCCTGTTTGCAAGCCCAGCGAGTGAGGCCGCGACGCTTGCTGCGCCGCTACTGAGGATATGCGACATTTTGCTAGAGAGCGGCAGTTTTGCGGAAGCCACAGGGTCTGAGGATTGGATTGACGTTGTCGCTTCTCTGTGGCACCTTCACCTTCAAGGTGAAGACGACGCCACCGAGGTGGCGAGACAGCTGTTCGGACCGGCATCCGCCGTTGTTGTCCAAGTAGAAGGACTGGCCCAGAGTGGTGATGTGTCGATACCAAACACCATCCGCGATCGATGGAGCAGTGGACTGAGGACATTTATGCATCGCACCCTCATACTCCCTGCCCGCTCGACCTTCCTCAGCCAACAGAATGTGGACGTCATCACGAAAGCACTGGCCGGCGCAGAGCTTGATTCGGATGCACCAGCAACGAAGACGGCAGTGACAGCGCCCGCCCTGTACCTCTTGGCATCCACGGCCACGCAAGTGCTGACTGAGCGAGGCGTCCGCAGAGGCAATTCGGAATGGATGAAGCGAGTCTTTCAAGCAGCCGAGGCTTCGATACACGAGCGGGAAGATCGCGCATCCGTCATGAATGTTATGCTCAAGCAAGCACGAGAGAGCAAGGTTCCCGTGAGCGCAAACGATTTGCGCATTGTGTGCCGCCAGTACGCGCTTCACGACGGGGAGACCGATTGGGAGCTTGTCGCCAACTTGACACAGTGTGAGCCTGATGTGTTCCAGGGCAGCGCGGCCGGCACAGAACTTCTGAAAGAGGTGTGCGAGAGATCAGTCGCACCCGAGGCCGAGCAATACTACGGTGCGGTCACGCAAGTCATTGACGCTATCGTGAAAGGCTTCCGAAATGCCAGAACTTTCTCAACATTCCTCCGCCTCTGGTTTGAACAGCTAGTTGCAGTTGAAGGCAAGAAGTCGAGGCAACGATCGCCGTGGACGAGTATCGGCCGCGGTGAGAGTCCCATATTGGCGGGCACGTCGTGGGTTGAAGACAGCTGCTCTGTCAGTGAGGTCAACGAAATGCTCGACTGGATCGATTCACTCAAGCCGCAGCCCGAGTCGCTCTGCCTCTGGTTGAACGCTGTCTCTCAAGGCATACACAGTGATGTGTACAAGGACGCACTGGGCCAGAAGATTTTCAACGTGATTCTCAAGATCCCGCATTCAAATACCGACATTTCGGCGCTGAAGTGGAGGGTCATCTCCAAAGCCGTGGCTTGCGCGCCAATCAGTCAAAGAGCCGATAATATGGCATTGATAAAGGGCGACTTGAAGAAGATCTTGAAGAAGAGAAGCCTGAACAAGGCCGAAACTTTTGAAGCCTTTAAATGCTGCTGCCGTCTGTGGGTCGCGTTCTCGCCTGACGGCGACCAAGTTGAACTTCTTGCAGACCTAATAGGAGATTTTGACGACGGCATCGGATCAAAGGAGGACTTCAGGACGCAGAATCTGGATGCTATCATCCCCGATGGCGAAGCCGACAGTGACTTCAGCAGTGAACACGCTCTACCCCTATACGTGGCCTGGTGCCTCCAAGGATCAACTCGTTTCAGCAGGCTTTTATTCAATCGGAAGAGCGAACTGCCATTCGCTGTTTCAACCTTGCTAAGCCACGCCGATAATTCCAAATCTACCATTGGACCTCTCTGGCAGACATTGCTGAACAACGAGCATTGCATCAATGAGACCAGGCTTGCCGGGTTGAGCGTGGACCGTACCATCGATGCCTTCACAGCCTCACAGAAAAATGGAAGCTGGCCAGACGGCACAGGCAACATTTGGCTCCGTTCCATTGCTACTGTCCCGCTTGACGCATTGAGTCGAGCGCAGCGTGAGCGGGTGATGCTGGCCCTCGTCACCGCCGGCACCTCTGCGAAAACGGCCAAGAAAATCTCCCTAGACAGCTGGAAAGACATCCTCAGTCTCTCGGCAAAGCTCATGTCTCGGTCGACATTCTACGAAGGCATGGCTTTCCAGCACTTGCTGGACATGGCCAACTACGTGGTCCCCTCAGTTGATCAATCGCATGCCGAGGCCTTGTCGGAGCTTGTTGAGCGCTTCTCAACCATGGCAACCGCTACCATCCAGCGGGTGGCTGAACATGTCGAAAAACGCAGCGCGCAATATCTCGAGGAGGCGGCTGGCTTTGTCAAACAATGCGAGGAAGCGTTGAAGGAGGACAAGAGCCAGCGGATACCAGCCCTGCATCTGATCTTGTTGAAGACGTTAAGCAAAGTACTTTGGGAAACGAAAAGTCTTCATCACTATGATCTTACGGCCTCTTTACCAGCGAATGCTACCACTGCCCTCAAGGAGGGGGTCTTGAGGGTGATCCAAGGCTGGGCAAATGAAAAGAAACTTTTCTCGTCGCCCCAAACAGGCATGGATCTCGGTCTGTTTGCCGCTGTTGATGCGGCAGATGTCGCCAAGGACCTGCCTGAACTGAGTAAGATTAAGAGTACTCCGCTTCACAAACTCGAGGAGCGCAGCGCCAAAGCCATGGAAGCTGGCGACGTGCGTGGATGGAGGGTACAGACCTTGCTGCAAAGGTTCGTGCCCATGGAGCTACAGAAGCCCCGGCCTGCCACGTTCCATAACATCCAAGGCAAAGGCCGCGAGGTGGTATTGAGGCAGTACGTCGTCTCGATCGTCAAGACCATGCCTGCTGCCGTCAAGATGATGTATCTCGAGTCGTTGCTGGGCGAGTACCTTGCTGGCTGCCATACAGACGGCCAGCTCATAGCCATTCACTATGTGGTGGGCCAGCTCATCGAGGCGACCGACCTTCAGATCAGTCCCGGCGAGTACGATCTGGCCCAAGCCCACAGCGACTTGACACGAGCGCTGGCCACATCCTGCACGGCCGCCAATTCTGTCTACATCTGCCGCACCCTCTGTCAGCTCTTGGAGAGCAAGCCCCAGGCCATCACACAGTGGAATGTCGAGGTCCTACTCGGGACGATTGCCTCCTTGTCTTCTGACAAGATCACCGGTGTATCGCCGCCACCATTTATCTGGATGTGCAAGCTCGTCGAGGTTGTCATCAAGAAGCACCGCCTGCGACTAGAGGGACACTACCACATTCTCCTGTCGGTTCTGCAGGTCCTTCTCCGCAACCTCATCGACGAGCAGCCCTCTACGCCTGCGGCCGAGGGGCCTTCGCAGGAGACAAAAGCCGGCGCCTTTGCACGGTTGGTCACACTCGTCTGCGAGCCTACGGCTGGTGCAGTCTCGAGAGCCCAGCTTCACAGCGCTCTCGATTCGGCGACCGATGCGGCCAAGCGATCAGCCGGGCGACACATGTATTTGGTACTGATGCAATATGTCAAGCTGCAGCTCGAGTCCCACGTCTCCCGCGGCGTACGAGAGGCGCTGGAACCGGCCATGAACTCCATCTTCGACATTACCCCTCCCGAGGGGCGGAAAATCCTAAACGATGCCATGGATGCAAGTGGCAGGGCGGTTTTGAGGGAAATGTTCAAGCGATATACCAGGTTTGGCAAGTGGACCGGCGTTTGAATAGTCATATACGGATAGACTTGAGAATTTTCATTCAAGGGTAAATAAGACCTGGCAAGCAAGCCGCGGCGGTTCTACTCTAGCGGTTTTCTTTGCACCTTGGGCGACCCGAATTTCTTGACGTGCTTCTTGACCTGGCCCCGTAGGTCCAGGTCGACAATCGGCCATATAATCAATGACATGATGGCTGCCATGAGGACATCGATGAACCAGTTGTTCTTCCATGCGATGCCGTATGTACCACACTTCATCAGCCAATTCTGCCAAGTCAGGGTAATGATGAACTCCCCCCTCTCCAGCCCGCGGATGGCAGCTCTGGCCGCTTCATCCGGTGTCAGCTTGGGATCCGACTTCTCGAGACTCTTGCTGATCTCCGGCTTGATGAGCTGTTCTTGCTCAAACCCCGGGGAGAGGATGGTGCCGGGTGTGACTAGATGCACCTCCACGTTCTGGGGATACATCATGAGCTCCATGTGCAGTCCCTCTGCGACGCCGCGCATGGCTGCCTTGCTCGGTACATATGGGATGTACCCGGGAATGACCACCATGGTAGCCACGCTGCCCGTCATGATGATATGCTTGGCTTCCTTCTCCACGGGGGTATCGTTTGCGCACCACTCGCGCAATATAGCCTGCGTCATCTCGACCGTGCCGAAGAAGTTGATGTCCATCTGTCTGCGCATGGACGACACGTCCATTTCAAGGAACAGCTGGGGCGCGGACATGCCGGCGCAGCACCACACAATGTCCGGGGATCGGCCCTCGTTCCAGGCGGTGGCGTCGGCGAGCACCCCTCGAGCGTAGTCGTGCACGGCGACATCGGCCTGTATGTAGTGGAATCGTTGTGTGGAAGGGTCGAGCGCCGCCGCCTTTGCGAATGGTTAACTCAGCATGACCCCAAGACAGTATCGCTGGGTGGGTAGCATACCTCGACGCTCTTGAGCGCGACTTGGAGCTTGGACTCGGAACGCGAGAGGAGGATGAGGTTGGCTCCTTTGGCTGCCAGCTGGATAGCGACGGAGAGTCCCATGCCTTCTGATGCACCGGTGATGAGGACTGTCTGGATGCGCATTAGCCGCTTGGTCGTGCCCCAGAAGCGCGAGCACCACGAACCTTGCCCTCGACGGGCATATGATTGCGAAAGAGACCCATGTTTGCAGCGACAGCCCAGGCAATGCGGGCGATGGGCACTCCCACGGGGGACGTGGTCGAGCTTATGTATCGGGAATGTTGAGAGAAGGGGTTTGGCCTACGGAGGGGCGTGGGCAGATTGATGGACCGTGGGACCGTGGCTAGGGGCGTGTGTAGGCTTCATGGAGCGCGCCCGCTAAGTGCTCGAGGATGGAAGTGCGCCTCTGGATCTCGCCCTCTTCTTGGCCGCTCCAATTCGACGAGAGTGTCATCGAAGCCCGCGTTCGCCATGGATGGGTTGATTTCGAAGACGGCGGACAGGCCGAAGGTTTCTCACTGGAGTATGGCATCAGAATGAGTACAGTGTGCGAACAATGGGCAAATACACCGTAACATCAGCCACATGCGGTAACACTGACGCGACGCGCACTGTGTACTTTCCACGTCCATGTCAAGCTTGAATATCCGTGGAATTTACCGTAGAGAGACCAAGCTTCCATCACCAGCCAAACGCCATATTCCAACATCTATCCACGCGCAATTCTCTGCTCTGGTTCCAGAGCGCGCATGATGGGCTCATTACGGTCCAGCAATCAATGGTAGCCATGTCTGACCAGGACGACGACCGCTTGACTGTTCCCAAGTTCTCATCCATCACATCGAGCAAGCCCGAGGCTACCACGTCAGACAAGTCTCTAACCAGACATGGAGCATCTACTGTGCCCAAATTCTCGTCTTTCAAATTGGCAGAGAAGAGCGCTAGGGATGCCGCGCACTCCACTGACCGTCGCCACAAGCACGATGATGAACGTCGGAGGCACCACAAAGATGAGCGCCGTGAGCATCACGACGAGGAACGCAAGAAAAGAAGCCACCGCCATCCGGAAAGAGATAGGGACCATGGAGATGCCAAGCGACGTCGTCATGAGCGCCCTGCTGCGGATGTACAGGCAGGCCAGGGTTGGCTCAGTTCTCAAAGATCCAGGGGCCCGGAAGAGCGGCACCACGCCAGCTTACCTGCGTCTGACTCGCATGGCTCATCAAACACGCCGCACAAGCCATCCAGCACATCTTCCCAGACTTTCTTTTTTGATACGAAAGGCGACCCATTGATCCGGAAATATGGTGGCATAGAGAGAGCCAAGATACCAGATTACAGGCGATGGGGCGCAGGCAAGGTCCTTGGTACGGCTGGCCGACTGGTCATTCACCGTGAAGGAGCTCGAGATCTCTTCAGCCTACGCATGCCGGGCGATGGCTTCTCGAGCGAGAGGGAGGGACTGAGGTCCAAGAGGCTTCGGCTTCAGCCGCCAGTGACCTTGAGAGCCAGAAAGCGGACAGCTAATGCAGAGACTGAAGAGGGTTTCCTGCCGGTCGGTGGCTACATTCCACCTCGCAAGCATGTTCAAGATGTAGACTCGGAAGGGGAGGAACAAGTGAACTATCGATCGATCGAAGGCAAGGCAAAGACGAAGCCCTTGGCCGACAGTGAAGCGAGCGAGGAGTCTGAGCTCGAGGACGAAGAGGAGGCGCCACCCTTGGATCGGACCGAACCCTTGAAATTGCGATCTATAGAGCTGAGACGACAGGTCAAGGAGCATCCTGACAATATTAGTGCGTGGATTGAGCTGGTTAATCACCAAGACGTACTACTGCGCGCTGGACAGGTCTTCAGCCACGAGGGATCAAGAGACGAGGCTCACAGCTACACGGAGATCAAGGTCTCTATGCTCGAATCGGCCCTTGGGAACACCAGCACTGCACGCGACCGAGCTCGGATCCTCAATATGCTGATGCGCGAGGGTGTCAAAGTTTGGCCTCCAAAGACTGCTGCGAAGAAGTGGTCCGAAGTACAGCACGAGGAAGAGCATGATCTGCTTCTATGGAAGGCACACGTCGAGTTTGAAATGTCCAACATTGCAACTTTTCATTTCGACAGGATAAGGGACATGTTGACAACAAGGCTTCACCAGGCCGCGAATCGATCCGAGCCTGGGCTTGCTAGGCGCAACAACTATATTGAGGCAATCTACGTCTTCCTCATACTGACCCGGTTCATCTTTGACGCTGGGTTCAGAGAATTGGCTGTCGCAGCCTGGCAAGGGCTGATGGAAATGACATGCTTCCGGCCGAGCCATGCCGCGAATCTAGACGAGGCTCGAGCAGCATTTCAGGACTTCTGGGATAGCGAAGTCGCCCGCTTTGGCGAGCCGGATTCAGAAGGCTGGAAGAACTATGCTGCAGGCAAAGGCGATTTAGAACCTCCTGAACCAGCGCAAGCCCAAGACGAGAGCAAGCCAGTGAAATTGGGGGATGTCTACAAACGCTGGGCTATGTTGGAGCGCTCGCAGGCGGCGAAAGCGCGTATGCCAGCCCGAACCTTGGACGAAGACACAGGAGACGACCCGTTCAGGGTTATCATGTTTTCCGACATCCAGCCTGTTCTCTTCTTCATACCGTCAACTGTCCTGCCGCAGGTGCGAACCTACTTGCTAGATGCTTTTCTGATATTCTGCGGCCTGCCCCCAGCGTTGTCCTCGAACGAGTGGCCGCAGGACCCTTGGCAAGACGCTTTCCTCTCCGGGGCCAGGGCTGCGTTGGGAGTCAAAAGCAGCTGGGAGACAGAGGAAAATGACGGTATGAACGAGGGTACGCGGAAGTCACCCAATTTCGGAACTGCAAACCTATGTGCGGTTCCCTCTGCAGATTTACTAACCAGCAATGAGACCTGGTACAGCTTTCTTCGCTCGGTAGCGAGCTCGGCAACACTGAACACCGATTGGAGCCAGAGAGGTACGATGCAGGCTATTCAGGGGCTCGGGCTCGGTGCCTCAGCGCCGTACGTACTCGCCTTGGGTGCTGCAAATCCCGAGACAAACTTGAAAAAACTGGCCAAGGGGATGCTGAAGCAATACCCTACCGATGCAGCGTTGTACAACCTGTATGCGGTCATCGAGCAAGCTCAAGGCAACAATGACACGGCTGTCAAGGTACTTAGCTCAGCTGCAGCCATGTTCAAGGACATGTACAAGCCTCGTAGCTTGTTGCTCTGGAGAACGTGGGCCTGGATCGAGCTGGAAGCTGGCAACAAGATGCTGGCCATTAAGCGACTGTGCTCTTTTGCAGATGAGAATTTGCGCCAGGCTCCGGATGCCCCGTTTAGCGCATCTGGTTCCGACCTTCTGAAGGCTCGACAAGCTATAGCATCGATTGAACTTGGTTCGGACGCCGTGAGCGTTGAGCTGGCGCAAACGCAAGCCGAAGGCCTGGCATTATTGGCCTACCTTACAGCAGATGGCTGTACAGAGCCCACGTCTCTGGCCCAGGGCAACATCTCGGCTGCCATGGCTAGCGTGGACGAGGCGACAAGAGATTTTCGTCTCCGAGGGGCAGTGACTCAGGCTGCGCACGAGGCGACTTTGCAATTCGCAGCCAAGCTACTCTATCTCCATGCCCGCAAGGGACCTTTCCGGCGGGCATTCATACGCGAGCAGCTCATCAAGTTCTTGGACCTTTGTCCTCGCAACACCGTCTTGCTCTCACTCTTGGAATGGTGCGACTCCAGCCTCCGGGTGATTGACGACACGCGTACGTTGCTACACGACAAGATCCTGATCCCGCCGCATGATTGCCACAACAGCCGTGTGTTTGCCATTGAGCACGAGCAGAACCGTGGCAACGTGAACACCACGTGCAGCGCATTCGAGCAGGCCGTGTCCAGCGACGCCGCCAAGTCGAGCGTGCAGTTGTGGGTATCGTACATTCGCTTCTGCCACTCCCAGAAGGAGCTACGCGCGAAGGCAAGGGACACTTTTTATAGAGCGCTGCGGGACTGCCCGTGGTCCAAGGATGTCATGATGGAGGCATTCGGGACGCTGGTGCAGGACATGGACAGCCACGAGCTGCGCAGCGTGTATAATACAATGATGGAGAAGGGGCTACGTGTTCATGTGGACTTGGAAGAGTTCCAGGGTCGCCACGACGTCCCCAAGGAGCGGAAGCGCTGATTTTGGACTTTACTCTGCGCAAGGTAGGTGATGGGCTGTAGTCACGATGCCAGCCAAGGAAGGCGCACGTCAGGCTGCAGAAAGGGAAGGAGGGGCCGACACGTTGCCAACAGACCCCGCCATGAACCAGACGGAGTCTCTGTGCACTACTACGTACGAGCAATCATCGGCTACGTACGTGTGCTGCAGATGCAAGCCTGTTCCTCTGCTCAGACAGCGCGTGGTCTCGACTACTGGACGCGACACTATTGTTGCACGATTAACCCCAACGCGCGTTTCAGCTGCGTTGTCAAAGACGCAACACCGCCTTTCACCCGCTCATTAGCACCGCAGACGCCTTACCCCTGCTCACCGATCAAGTCCTCCTCACTTTCACCTTTTCCCATCGCTTCGACTACAACTCACACGCAAGACTGTGAAAATGCCCGAAGCATCAGTCAAGGCTGGCGGCGGTGCTGGCGCCAAGCAGCGTACCATCACAGTCGTCGACGAGCACGTCCTCGCCCACCTTCGCTCCATTTACAATGCCCACGCGAGCGTAAACCCAGATAAGAAGAAATGGACTTCCACAGACATTGAATCGTTCCTCACCAACGTTCAAAGGCACGACCCGTCCGAGACACTCATCCCCCAGACAGGCGACTTTGACTTCAACCGATTCCTCGAGTACATGACCTCCCCCCACAGCAAGATCATCAAGGACCCGCCCCCCACCGACCTCAGCTGGCCTCTCTCCAGTTACTTCATCTCCTCGTCACACAACACCTATCTCTCAGGCAACCAGCTGTCAAGTGACAGTACAACCGAGAGCTACACCAATGTCCTGCTACGCGGATGTCGATGCGTAGAAGTGGACGTGTGGGATGGCGACGATTCCGACTCAGATATGAGTAGCTCTGATGAAGAGGAGCGGGCAAGAGCCTCGTCGTCACGCAAGAAGGAATCGCAAAAGGGCGGCCTGGGTCGCTTTAGCTCCATCAAGAAGCGGCTGCCAGAATCGCTCTCTGCAAGGCTAGAAAAGACTAGCATCGGAAAGCGCCTAGAGGATCGCGAGGCTAAGAAGGAGGGCGCGGCAGCGGTGAATGGCCAAGGCGAAGCCACAGCGCCCCGCGCATCGACGCAGGAGGACGCGCCCGAAGTGGCCTTGGTCGAGCCAAGAGTGCTGCACGGATACACCCTCACGAAGGAGATCACCTTTCGTGACGTTTGTGTGGCGATTCGGGACAGCGCCTTCCAGGTGACGGACACGCCGCTCATTGTCAGTCTCGAGGTGCACTGCTCGCCAGCGCAGCAGGCTATCATGGTCAGCATCATCAAGGAGATCTGGGCCGACTACCTCGTCCCGGAACCAGAGTCCGAGCCAGACGCGCTGCCGTCTCCTGAGCAGCTCAAGTCCAAGATCCTCGTCAAGGTCAAGTTTGCCCCTCCAGGTTCTTCCCCAGAACGCTCGGAAAGCGACGGCGACGATGACGATGACCGACTGCCAGCTGAAGACAGGAAGAACAAGAAACCCTCCAAGATCATCCAAGACCTCTCTCGTCTGGGCGTCTACACGCGGGGCATATCCTTCAAGGACTTTGCGCAACCCGAAGCCACCATGCTTACGCATATCTTCTCCCTTTCCGAGACCAAGTTCCTCGATAACCACGAGAACAGGAGCGTCGAGTTGTGGGAGCACAACAAAAAGTACTTGATGAGAACGTATCCAAAGGGAACAAGAATCACTTCGTCGAACCTGAACCCGGCGCCGTTTTGGGGCTCTGGGGCTCAGGTCGTAGCATTGAACTGGCAGCAAGTTGATGAAGGCACCATGCTGAACGAGGGCATGTTTTCGGGGACAGGCGGATACGTTCTCAAGCCAGAAGGTAGGAGGAGGCCCTGTCGTGATCTGAGCATGAATCATGCTGACTTGTGCACAGGCTATCGCCAGGACCTGCCAGATCGCCCCCAGAAAGCCATCACCATCAAGACCCTCAAGTCTCTGAGCATCACGTTCCTAGCCGCCCAGCGCATCCCCATTCCGGCCGATGATAAGTCCGCCAAGGGCTTTGAGCCGTATATCAAGGTCGAGTTGCACGTCGATGGCTCCGAGGGCCAACGAGGCGGCCGCATTGCCAATGGCGGCCACGAGCGCGAGGGCGAGTACAAGGCGCGCACAAAGACCCACGAGGGCGTCAACATTGATCTCAAGGGCGAAGTGATCAAGTTTCCCGAGATCACCGGTCTTGTGGAGGAGCTGACGTTTGTGCGCTTCACTGTCCGGGACGACGAGATTGTGCGTGACGATCTGGCGGCCTGGTGCTGTGTGAGGCTGGACAGGCTAGGCGAGGGGTATCGCTTCGTCCACCTGTTGAACTCCGAGGCCGACCTGACGGAGGGTGTCATCCTGGTCAAGGTAGAGAAGACGATGGTGTAGAATCTTTGTGAGACAGGTACATCGTTAGCACATGAAGCCGGCGTATCGACCATGCATAGCGCAGCATCACGAATTTCATTCTTCCTTTCTTCCTGCATACCAACTGCCCGAATGCACCATGAAAACGGAAACCATTGCCCAGACTGGCGTCATGACAAAGACGATGACCCCCACCCCAGTGAATCAATCAGTGTGCGAAGCGTCCCTCGGATCACGTTCACTGGCACGACGACGAGGCGCGGTCCCCTCCCCGGTGCCGCCCCCATGTCCATGTCCATGTTCTTGTTCACGTACATGGCCGCCATCATCGCCCCTCGCCTTGGCCTCTCTCATGTCGTGCCCCTTCTCCTGCAATTTGGCGTTGCCCAGAACCCCACCTGTCTTCTCCATGATCTTCCCCACCAGGCTGTCCCTCCTCTTCTGCTGGTGGCGCGGGCGGTTGTCCACTTCCTGGTCACGACCCATGCCCGCATAGGAGCTGCCGTAGCTGTTGTCGTCTCGCCGGCCCGAGTCTATGCCGGACACGTTGCCCAGGCCGCCGCCGCCGCCGCCGGCGCGCCCCTGGGGGTCGGAATGCGCGTAGTCGCTCCGCTGCCGGGGAAGGGGGTTCTTGGCGTACCCGGTCGACGTGTTGAGCGGCGCTTCGGTGCCTAGAGTTCTGGGGGCATCTCGACGTTGGGTTGGCTCGGCGACATGGTGCTTGCGCATGGTGTCAGTCACTGGTCCAGAGATTTAGACACAGATGTAACTTTACCGAATGCTCACTCTGGTACCGGTATGACTCCGTGGGCGGCTCGGTCTAGTATCACATGTGAGTTTGGGTTCAAGGGGGGTCGGGAAAGGGGGTTGATGGTACGCGTTCGTATTGATCGGGTGGCATGTCTGACATCTTGATCTGATTTTGCTGGTTAACGAGACACAAAACTAAGTAATACAGAGATATGTGACCTGTGTTCTCCAGAATCAGGAATAACGCGCTATTACCAGGGGCTCAAGTTGGCTTATATGCTCTCTCTCCATCTTCCCCCACCCACCCCCTTTATCCCGAAGCATCCGCCGCCTGCTCGCTACGGACGTCCACGACGCCCAGCCGTCAGTCCAGTCACGTCACAGTGCCCTCCCTTTCTGTATGACTCGGGCGCGCATTCAGGGTCTTCTTGAATGGCTGTCCTTAGGCGCAAACCTTAAATGCATTCGCGGAAAAAGGTGATATGCGGCATCACCCGACATATCCTGGGGCGGGTGTAGCTCTCCAGCCGCTTTGTCCTTGACAGACTTGACATGGTAATTCAGCATGGGCTGAACACGTAGCAGCCGAGCAAAAACCGGTGTCGTCTAAGAAGTTTGATTCACGTTCTGCTTTCGATCTCAGTCTTGAGGATTCGGTAGTCTCCCTTGATTCGCGTTCTTCGGACGTCCATGCCAAGAACAACGTCGCAGCGCCAAGCAGGCTGGAATAGTTGAAGTATGTGTATAGTTTGCCTTGATGAGTCGGGCAATGGCTCAACGTGGGAGCTGCGTTTCAAGCTGTACAAACGGGGCATGCCTCTTGTGGCCTGGCGAAGTTTCAAACCTACCAGGCTCCAGTTGCGTGCAGCCGTCGCAGTCTCCTCATAGCCGACTTGACTTCTCTTCGCTGACTAGTGCTCCGCGCATCATTGCCGGCCTGCTCTGAGCGTGCCCGTGAAGGACCATCTCCCGACCGCCCTTGGTCCCCCACCAGGCCACGCCGATGGCCGCTCGCTCGACATCCATTTCTCCACTCACGAGCATGTCGAGAAATCTCTTTTTGACTGGTTCGCGAAGACGAGGATCCTCAATGGCATGCAGTGACTCAGCTGCCCCAGACAGCCACTCTTCCACAAGCGGCAAAGGTAGAAATGGCAGGGAATCAATCAAGGCCAAGACTATCGCGCTTTGTTGCGACAATTCGTCTCCCGATGCCTGGTACGCGGGGTCCTGCGCCATAATATTCTCCGGTAGAGGTGCTGTGTCCGCGTTGACCATCTGCATGCACAGCATCTCTAGGAGTGTCTCGGACATGTGAGGCTCTTGTGCAGCGATGGGGAACGGCGGGGACACGATTTGCATGACTGTCTTGAAGGCCATGCGGAATTGTCGAGGAGAGATCAATGTCGGGAAGGATTCGAATAGCTTGATGATGTAGAAAGGTGCTACGCGAATCGTCAGGGGACCGTGCTGTGGGCAAGACATGACAGATAAGGCGGCACTGTGGGCAGCTTCGAACAACTGCACCATGGAAAGCGTCAACTCCCCATCGTGGGATATATATACCAACGCCGGCTTGACAATCAGGTCATCGCATGCGGCCGTGGAGAGTGTCAGGGGTAGATGCTCAGCAAGGTTGAGGTAGAACAGATCCAGCATCCTCTGTGCCTGGGGCGTCGGCAAAGAGGACTCCGCAGGTTTGATCTCGTTGAGGAAGATCTCAGAAGCAGCTGCGTATCTCGACACAATATCAATCGAAGTCATGTACGCAAACGTATAGACTTGAAACGAACTGTTGCCGTCGCGCGCCGAGATGAAGTAGAGGTTCCTCAGGATATGCAGGGACTTGACGGCAACCTCCGGCGCAGTCACATCGTTATACATGTGCGGATCCAACAGGCTTCGCGACACAACGGCTTGCAGTATGGAGGACACACCGAAAAGCAGCCTTTTGAAGGTCTGCCACAGCGCGGGCCATGTGTTGCGAAGGGTCTCTTGGCTGAGCCGTGAGCCTTCGAAAGCAGGATCTACGTCACATAGAAGTGAGCGAGACCAAGTTTCCCAGATCTTCTGACTGAAGGCCCACAGCTGGTCTTGAGCATCTAAAACCGCTCGTGTGTCAGAGGCATTGAGGATGGCGAAGCCAGCGAGTTTGGACAGAGGACCCAGGTTGCCCATCAAAGGTTTCTGCGCCATGTTCTGCATGACGCGGAAGGAGGGCGACGCAGAAGGCCACTCCAGAATGCCCCCAACGCTCTCTGTCGTTTCGCGTCCAATGTGCTCAAGGAACGACCCGTTATCGAAGCCCTCCTCGCCGGTGATCGCCCAGATCGTGAGAGGCAAAAGTGAGTTGCAATGAATCTGTGCTCGGTGGTGCTCGGACAGCAGCGGGAACGCGAAATTGAGCGCCAAGACGATGGACCCTGCTGCGATGCCGCCATCAAACAGGTGGTCTTGCAAGGCGAGGTTGGCGGCCGTCACGACCGCTCCTTCTAGGGTGCTCCGCAGCGATCGGGACAGCCCCTTCCTACCCTCGTTCTCCATGCCCATCAGCACGCCAGTGAGGACCAGAAGATGCTTCCATCGTTGCGAGCGTTCGTCGGCGCCTTTCACGACCGCCCTCGTCCATTCATCGCACTGTAGACCTCCAAGCTCGCGCGGTTGCAGGACCGGAGTCTTCTGGCCAGCGTCTCGCTCGTGCTCGTGCTCGTGCTCGTAGACTCGCAAAGCGGCTGTGTTGTATATGCTGACGATACGGACAGCAGTGCGCAGTCCGTCTGGCTGGTGCCATATTGCGCGCGCGGTGAGAAGCTGCGACGTGAGGACGCCCAGGTTTAATGGGTTTGAGAGCTGGGTCAAGAGATGTGTCGTCGTTCCGATGATCTGCTCGGTCTTGGGACCATCGTGCACGTCTTGATAATACTGGAGGACCGTGTTGAGCAGTCGGTCCGCAGGCATTGTGGCGCCAGTTGACTATTGAGAGAACAGTAAACAAGTCGACGTCTTGTTCATCGCCTGTGGTCGAAGTTGAGAGTCGGAAGTTGGAGCTTGGAATGCGCAGACAGCATTGCAGATCCTCGGTCACTCAATTGCCGAGGCTGTCGCGACCAAGTCCAACCTCATGACGTCGATTGCCTACCCTGCACACGGATTACCGTAGATCCCCAACTCCAACGGGATCCGAAGCTACCGTACGGAGTACTCACCTCTTCTCAACACCACTTGCTATCGACCATCGTACGCGACAAAACGCGTCCGAGGCCTAGCCTCTCGCGAGGACGCATCCAATTCTCAATCCTTACCCGCAATCAAAGCGATAATGACAGGGTACCACAACCCGCCGCCGCGCAACTACCAAACACCCCGATTCCCGTCCCTCAATATTGGGACCGTCTACGACTATAGCCAGGATCGACGCTACACGCTTTATTACGTTTCTGATGTCTGGCGCTTTACGGTCATCTGGACGCTCATCGTCTATGCGCTCTTCCACCTAGGCGCCGTCGTGGTGGCTCTGCTTACGCATGGCTGGCGGATCTCCACGTGGAAGTACCTCTGGGCGGTGCCTATCGTGTACTTGGTCATTGCTGGCCTGGAAGCAATCCTCTCAGGGAGCATCGTGGGACTCATGTCAGTCTTGGGCAACCGAGAGAGGGCGAGATCAAGAACGCTGACTGCTGTAGGCTCGGAGCTGTGTATTCGGCCGGATACTACGAAATGAACACTTGGATCCCTTGCACGTGGGGATTCATCAACTTGCTGATATTGGTTATCTCTTCGTTTACGATCCAAGGTGGCCTCTGAAGATGTCAACGCCCGCGGATGCCCGGGTCGATGACCAGAACAAGCAACAGCACGACAGCATCGCCAAGTCGCAAGACTCGCTGCATGCAGCAAGCAGTCAAGACGAAATTCGCCCGAACCTTGGTCACGTTATCAACTCAATTTACTACCTTGGCAGTGTGGTGCATCCTTGGTCGAGCTCCGGAAGAGTACAGCCATATCTGGCTGTTGAGGCAGACTATGACCGGCAAGCCGGAGCCGTTACATACCAGGCGTATGCGATATCCTCAATGGGCTGTTGGCTTCTCGTGAAGGCACAAGCGTTTCATTCTTGTCCCCTGCTATCGGGCGGTCTTGCGAACGGTCTGGATCGAATTTGCACCCAGCGTTGACATCTTATTCGGTGAAGCCATACGCAGGCGGCTCCAGCGCAGTCTATACTGCAGAGACCGTCGTCGCGCGTTCGCGCGTGTGCTCAGCTGCGGTACAATCTCTGAACACAGCACTGGGGAACCAAAGGTACTCCACGGCCTGGCGAATGCCTGGGGACAATGGTCTGCTCGGTGAACCCAATCACAGAATTGCACATACATATGTGCGCCTACACGGTGCTGTTCGAACTAATGTACCTAACTGCACAGAGGACGGCTGTGTAGAAATAGAATTGTAATACCCCAACCTATCAATCACAGTATGACATGCGCCTTGAGCCTGCGATGCTACAAATGAGCCGTACCCTCCATGAGCCTACGATCCAATGCAGGTGGGTCCTCGCATCACGGACCCTGAATTTAGCAGCACTCGACTCGTGCTCTCCACGGCTCGGGCCACATTCTTGATATTGTTCCGTTGAACAATCATCACCAGATCCCCCAGCAGGAAGGAGCCTTACATTCCCCTCACTTGTCAGCCCAGAACTTATAAGCAAAGGCAAGTCACCCTTTGAACCAGAGGTGGTAAGTCTTGACGTCAAACACCACCTCGATCTGCTCTAATGTCTCTCTTCAGACACGTCGAAACATTCACCTCATCCTCATCCTCCTCACCTTCCCTACCGCACACGACGCCCCAACTGCGCCTAGAGAAAAACACCATGGCAGACAACCATCTACTCAACAGCGACACGAACCCGTCCATGCAGACATTGATCACCCTCAAACCCTATTTTGCCGGCCAGTCAAAGTCGCTTTCCGGCATTGCGCTTCGTGCGTTTTGCCTCGGGCTCACGCTTGCCTCGTCGCTCATCCTTACACTGGCCATTCTCTCCTTCACAGACAGTCCGCTGTGGAGAGCCCCGTGGTTCTTGGGGGCGCTCAGCCTCTTTCACTTCCTCGAGTTCTGGACCACGGCGCACAAGAACACGCTCGTGGCGGGGATTGACAGTTTCCTCCTGACGGCCAACTGGCCCAGCTATGCCATTGCGCATACCAGTGCTCTCTTCGAGACGGTCATTGTTGGCTACTTCTTCCCCAACCGGGTACTCGCACCATCGTGGATTGTCGTTCCTCTTGGTCTAGGCCTTGTGCTCATCGGGCAGATTGTGCGGTCTCTGGCCATGCTACAGGCGGGAGCTAGCTTCAACCACCACATCCAGCAGTCCAAGGCCACCACGCACACCCTCGTCACCACGGGCATCTACTCCGTCTTCAGGCACCCGAGCTACTTTGGCTTCTTCTGGTGGGGGCTCGGAACACAGATAGTGCTGGGCAATCTGATTTGCTTCGTCGCGTACACGGCTGTCCTGTGGTACTTTTTCTACGAGAGGATCAGAGGCGAGGAGAAGAAGCTCGTCGAGTTCTTTGGCAGAAACTACATCACATACCGAGAGAGGGTGGGGACGAAGATTCCGTTCATTAAGTAAATGTCAGCCAATTAAGAGGTCATCTCCTCCTCCATTACGACCCTTTTCTCTGTGAACACCAGTGGAAGAAACCCAGGTCAGGCGCCCATTTTCCGGCTCAAACTGCCGTACTTGGCCTGCCAGGCGTAGAAATACATGAGAGCGGCAAATGGCTGGCCGAGAACCGTGAAGGAGACCCAGAAGATAATGTTGCCAATCAACTTACCCCCCTGTCCCATCCTCCTCTTCTCCAGAGGCGCGGTGAGAGCGATGAGCGGTAGCTGCATGAACATGCCCAGGAAAGCGACACCTAAGACTTGTCAGCACGGCTATTCGAATGGTAAGGGGTCTAAAGTTTACCAATGATATTGTGCGTCGGTACACCGACCAGAATCTCGTGCAGAACAGCCGACATGAAGAACACGGACAGACTCGCCGCCTTGGGGCTCCATCCCCTGCCGACCATGGGCATATACACGTGTCGCTTGAAGTAGGTGTAGACAGGCTTATTCCATGTGCGCCAGTAAGCTCCCAGGCTCTCGCTGTTCCACCAGTCGTCGTAGAATGAGCGATCGCCGAACCGCAAGACCTCAGCGAGGGCGTTGAGAAAAGACTGGAAGAGAGCAAAGAAGCCAGCGAGCCAAATGACGAGTGAGATGGTGGATAGTTTCAACAAACGCTCGAGGATGGAGGGAATGTCGAGCGACGCAATCTTCTCGAGCGAGTTGATGAGAACAGGCGTTGCGTACTGCGCTGTGGCAAACCAGATGAACACACTCAAGCAGAAGACCTCGCCCAGCCGCTTGATGACGAAGATCCACCTGATTTTATCGGTTCGGGGATACACAGGCTGGTATACGAGGGTGGGCGCCCACCAGAAGTAGACTAGATTCCCCATCGTAATATTCTTCGGGTAGGGGCAGCTAGCGTACAGCTCGGGCACCAGCTCGCCCTTGACTGGGTGAAGGTAGGCATGTCGGAGATCGCGGTTGGTAAAGGCGTACGAGGCAGTCTTGAGCCAGACGACCACCGCGTGCATCTCGGTGAGCGTACCGATGAGCGGGTGGAAGATTTTGAAGTACACGACGAGCGTGGTGATGGCCAGTCCCAGGGTGATGTTGATCCCGTGTGCCCAGGCGACCAGAACCCAAGTCGAATGGAACTTCTTCTTGTCCTCTTCTGATGGGCCTGCTTGCCCATCTTTGATTCGTTTGCGCGAACCAAGCGCTTGCTGTGCTGCCGCTAATTCGATGAGATAGGCGGCGAAGAGATGGCATGGAATAAGGAAGTAGAGAACCAGCCCGATAAATATATCTGATCGGCTGTAGTTGTGACACCGTACACAAATAAGAACGCCGTACTGAAGAGCAATCAGATTTGATGGAAAAGTCCTTGGTACATGGAACAAACCTTTTGGATATTCTCAATCATAAGTCTCAAGTTTCCCACGACTGCCCCTTGTCAGTCCAGGCCTGTCATCTGGGCATAAGGGAGCTGCTTACCCAGCACAATCACCATGAGATTGCGGAACCCAAGGAAACTTGGGTTGGCCTGGGCATCATGACTCAAGCACGACGGCCTTGATTGGGCATGAACAGCCGCGACATGGCGATATTTCTTCTGCAGCGGCGGTGTTGCCTTGACCTTCTCCTCTGTGGTGGCATTGGACGGTTCCACGTCTGTGACGGTGACATTGCTCCTGCGATTGGTGACGCCATTGGCGGCCTGGACGCCTGTCGACGAGGCGCGCATCGCAGCTACGTCGTGAGGGAGAGACGCGAGGCTGCAGTATCCAGGGACAAAAGCTGAATGTGGGAGAGGAAGAGGGACGAGCTGGGCGATGATGATGAGGAATGACGAGTCCTGGGAGGCTGTTAAAGTTCCAGGTTGGCGGGGCAGGGAAGCGAGCATGCACGAAGTTGGATAACGCTATCTCGGCTGGGTTCCTGCCATTGCTGATGCATGACAAGAGACATACTCAAAAAGGTCACAACCCGCAAGACACTAATTTCTAAAGAATCTAGGAGGGGGGGAAATCCTCCATGTCAGACCTGGCCGTGGGGGATGCATGCCAGTGTGCGGGCTCGAGGACCTGGTGCCTGAACAGAAGCTTCAGAGCTACCTGCGGGTAGCACCGGCGAACCCGACAGGTTTTTGGAAGCTTGATGAGCATGCGACCCTAGCGGGGCTTTTTCTCGAGCTTGGAGATCGTTTCCAGGGTCCAGGGCCGGTTTGTTGGCCTTCTTGCAGCATGTGAAAGTCTCCATAGTAATGGAGTCGTTCTTCCTTTCACACATGTACGCAGTAAGCATTGCGAACCAGGAACTCTCACCCATTGTAGCTCACTGTTGGAATGATAACAAAGCTGGCTGATCCTTGCACCATTTTTTATGATGGCTTGAAATGGGTTTCAGCCTCAATCACGAGGTAGTGCAGCACCTGATGGGCTACAGTTGTGATGGCTCAGTGTGATGACTAAGCAATCTTCAGAACTCACGTGATTGGGATTCTCGAGCGCGAAGAAGCTCAGACCTGGGTGCAATCATGAGTGAAGCTCTCATCAGCCTCATTGTCTCAAACGTGGCGCATTCGTGCCCGAAACAGGATAAATTTCTCTACCAGAAGCCTGAAAGAGACCGGATCTTTTATCAACCAATCGAAGTTCAGCGAGGAAGCAAAGGTGTTGGCCCATCTGCCTCACCAGACGCGTCGACGGATGATCGAGGCCAACGAAGCACACCAGCGCCATGGCCTATGAGCCAAGAGGCGAGCCTTATGGCCATAAGGGCGGCGACGGGCAGGACGGCCCTCCGAGGGTTCGCGGACGAAGTAAGTCTCGGTGCAACTGAGTGAATTGGGTTGAGGCGGGCGATTGTAAACAACACCAAGCACGCCAGGCAACGCAGACGGCGCCGATGGGGACTTGGATCTTGAGAGGATTCGGCTCTGTGGTCTATCACCTCCGGTTCCGTGCGGTGCAGCAGTGAGCAAGGTTATCATCACCTGGCCAGTGACCAAGTGCGGGTGTTCATTCTCGTGAAGACCAGGTCGTGTGACGATGGTGCGAACTCTTCAAGCCGAAATACCACAGGGCGCGCCAAAACATCCCACAGCACTGTGGCGAGGCTGCGGTGACTCTGCAGCCTGCCTTCGCCCAATAATTCAACGACCGTGCAAGTTGCTGACATTGCTCAGGACCTGTGACAGACTACAGCGCGACAGTCACGCGATGGCTTCGAGACCGGGGCCCTCTTTACAAGCCCGCCTTTCTAGGCGAAGCTGAACGCCCGGGCATGAGCTATATTGTCGATGTAAGCATGCGTGCCCGAGGGTGAATCCCAGGTTCTAATATACCCAGATGGTCCCACCCGTTGGCCGCCCAGCCAAGCCGGCTGATACGATACCTATCAAACATCTTCATTCCTCCCTCAACAAAATCAAACATCCCGTCAACGTTGTCCGGTGGACACCTCAGGGGCGCCGCCTCCTCACCGCGTCGACCAGTGGCGAGTTCACGCTATGGAACGGCACGGGGTTCAACTTTGAGACGATTATGCAGGCGCATGATTCCGCGATCCGAGCTTTAGAGTATTCCCACAGTGATGAGTGGTTAATATCGGGCGACCACGACGGCGTGATCAAGTATTGGCTGCCCAACTTCAACAACGTCGAGAATATCAATGCGCATAGCGACCCGATCCGCGATCTGGCCTTTAGTCCACAGGACAACAAATTCGTCACGGCATCCGATGATTCGACGCTGAAGATTTTCGATTTCGCGGAGGGTATTGAGGAATCGAAGCTGGAAGGCCATGGCTGGGATGCAAAAAGTGTGGACTGGCATCATCGCCTTGGCCTGATTGTCTCCGGGTCCAAGGACCATCTTGTCAAGTTGTGGGATCCCAGGCAACGAAACTGCTTGACGACATTGCACGGGCACAAAAGTACGGTCACCAAGGTCTCTTTCGAGAAAGTTCAAGGCCACTGTCTTGCAACATCGGCACGGGACCAAACAGCTCGCGTCTTCGACCTACGTATCATGCGCGACATCTGTCTTCTCAAAGGTCACGAGAAGGACATCTCGACACTGACGTGGCACCCTGTGCACGCGAACCTCCTGTCAACGGGAGGTATGGACGGTGCCATCCATCACTATCTGCTCGACACACCCAACCCTCCTCCAGGGCAGGCCCTGACCATATCGCCCTGGGACAGTCCGGATCCAACATCGACACCACCCCAGTCCATCTGGCCTATGCACAAACTTCCCTTTGCCCATGACTACGCGGTGTGGACTATGGACTGGCACCCTCTGGGCCACATTATGGCTTCCGGCTCCAACGACCGCATCACGCGCTTCTGGACTCGTGCGCGACCCGGTGATACAGACGTCGCTCTGGATCGGTACCACATTGGTGAGGCCGCCGCCGAGGCTCAGGGCACGTGGGACCGCAGAGGCAATAGGAAACAACGGCAGGAAGAGGAGATGCAGGAGTTGGACGACGAGGCCGATGCCCTCGTGGACCAAGACTTTCGTGCTGGGCCTGGTATCCCAGGCCTACCGCCCGGTCTTCAGCTTCCTGGCTTGGGCAACTCTGTTCCTCCGCCCCCCCCACAGATTCCCGGGGTCGGCGCCGGCGGACCTGTGCCACCACCACCCATCCCACCTCCTGGCATGAACGGTGCGCTGCCGCCCTTGCCAGGGTTGGATCCGAACAACCCGCCCGACCCAGCCACCATTCTCAAGATGCTACAGGATGCGGGTATGCCTATACCTCCGCCCGGCATGCCTCCACCAGGCTTCATGCCCCCTCCTCCTGGCGCAGGCGGCATCCCCCCACCACCCCCCGGAGGGTTCCCTGTTCCTCCCCCAGGTATCCCTGGCATGGGAGCGCCTCCATCAGCTGCGGATGCTGAAAATGCACGCCGGGGACGGGCACCCCTGCCTAGTCAAGAGGACAGTCTGAAGAGCGAGCAGCGGCAGGGACGCTACACGAGAGCTAGATAGTTTTTGATGAGGGAGGGGTTATCTTTTCGACGATACCTTGTAAAGTACACAGGACACATGAATGGAGTTCAAGACTGAGGGTCTTGTCCTGTGATATTCTATCTAAAGCTGATGATGCTGCTAATCTACAGTAAAGGCATGTCCTGCTCGCATCTCCCTATCTGTGGCCAATACAATTTCCATATGCACGTTGAAGTAAAGAAACCACCTCGAGAACCAGCTCAAGCCCTTGGTGATGGCAGAGCCTTCTTGTCCCCCTTGGCGAACGCCTTCTGGCGATCAGCGTAGTCCCGGATGACCAGTGCGCAGGTCATGTCTGCACAGAGCCTTCTCCTCCTCTGCACCGGGAGCTTGGTCGCAAACTCGAGCCCACTCGCCCTCTCCACCGCCTCGACGGGGACCTCAAAGTCGGTGATCGGCTTGTCGTTGGCAATGGGCGCGTTGGGCAGGACGAAGGCGCCGAGGGCCACGTTGCCACCCTCCCGGCCATCCTCGGCGAAGATGACCTTGTAGAAATGGGTAGGCACGGCGATGCTGGGCGGAGACCCAATCATCTCGTACTTGACGTACCACTTGTTGTCCACGGGGTCCTTCTTGGGCAGATAGAGCGGCCCGGTGACGATGCGGACACTGGGGTACTTGACCGTGAGACGTCGGCAAAAGTCCTCAAAGTGCGCCCAGTAATCCCTGTTGAAGCCCTCGCCGACCTGGGGGCACATGTTGGTCAGGTAAAAGGTCTCGTCCATGGACTTTTGGCTCCATTTGCAGTCCGCCGCGGGGACCTGGTGGCCGCGATCGTAGCCGCTCCGGAAGTAGTCCTTCAGTGCGCCGCGGAACTTTTGCGGGACGGCATCGTCTTCGGTAAAGGAGCTGTGCTTGCGGTCGCCCTCACGGAGGGCGAGCGAGGCGGGGGTGATGTGCTCGACCACCCAGTGAGGGTTGCGCAGGCGGCGGTCGTACGAGGAGATGAGCGCCGAACGGGAGGCGACGTCGGCGACGGGGCCAGGGAATCCATACTGGAAGAGACCGGCTGGATCTACGGGCGCGATTGGTAGAGGGACGCCCGATGTTGTCTGGATATGTGGTTGCGGGAGATTCGATGGCATAGGCAGCGCTGGTGGCGCGCCAGCTGTTGTGACTGTGGTCGTCGTGGTAGCGGCTTGCTGGGTATGCTTGGGTTCGGCTCGAAGAGAGTACATTGCTGCTGTCAATGCGGCACCTCCTCCTGCGCTGAGGCAAGCGATCATGGCCATGGATTTCGACATGGTGACGGTTGGTATTTAAAGAAGCCGGGTCGATTCAGGCGGAATACGAGGCTGATTGCGTCTGGAGACCAACGTCTGAGCTGTGCCAGTTCCTCGTGTTGGAGTCGGAAGAGTGTGACGCTGGCAAAAGGCTCCTGAGGTCAAGAGGCTTCGCGTGCGCGTGTTCACGGGTTTGGGGTCATCTTTTCTCGGTGTCTTGGCAGGGTCACTTGCATTAGCGGCGGGTGTAGCTGTTCAATGAATATTGACTACCCTGTGGACACGGCTTACAGTCAAATACTCGCATCGCCAGACGGGTCAAAACCACAACATCAAACCCCCCAATGTTGCTGGCAGACGGCGCACAACGGGCTGGTGGGGGGCGGGGTGTGATGCATTGTGGTTTTGTCTACTTTAAGACACGAAAAAAGTCTTGAAACGTATTGTAGAGAATTGTTCTCGAATTCGGGTTTTTCGCATCGAGGATCGGAGGGGGACGGCTTTGACTTTGAGTTGTATTGACAAACTAGGATCACATGATGGTCACCATGACTTCACTGTCTAAGACAATTGTCAATGTGACAATGTAGCTTGTGTTATAGCATGCATCGGAATTATAATACGGTAATGGAGTCTTGGTCATCAAATCTGTCTAATACTTATGGCCACCAGCACGCGCGCTCCAAAAACCCTCAGGGTCATTTCGCTTCTGCAGAGCCTTCAGCGCAGCATAGTCTCTGTATGTACCCGTCACATTCTGGTCGCCAGCCGCGTCGTTCATAAAGTACGGCAGATAAAGACCATCGACCTGTCCCTTGGTCCACTGGGGCACCTTGGTCTTCAACCAGTCCTCCATCTCCTTGGACATCTCACGAACCAGCTCATCATCCGAGGGCAGAGCCCAAGAGCATTGCGTCTCAATGATGAGCCTGTCACCATCGTCAGGGTGAATCCCCATCGCATTGCCGCCGGCTTCCTGGCTATGCTTGGCGATGATGGACGGGAAGGGCTGGAAAGCAACTGAGCATTGCGTTGTGGGTCGCACAGCACTCTTGAGGAAATCGTCGATGATGGACTTGAACTTGAGGCTGATTTCGTTGTACATGTGCGGTGCGTCAGCGACGTAGGGGACGGTGAAAGTCTGTTATTGCATGATATGTCAGTGACCACGAACTGCTTCCGAACTCCAGTTAGACTCACCCTGAAAGATTGACGAGCCGACTGCAGGCCCGCACTGGCACCGTTTGCCTGTAGCAAACCTGCATAGCTCTGGGTCTTGGTTGTGTCGAGCGTGGAGGGGATCTCAAGAAAGTTGGCTAAGGCACCCTCCGTCGGGGGCTCAGCATCGTGATAGAAGTAGAATACCAAGAAAAGAGGCGGGCCGCCAGCTGCTGTGAGGTCTGTGGGAATGATCGCCGCCTTGACGTCCTCGTTATTGGCAGGGATAAAGTCGTGCAGTGCTGAGAAAAGCGCATCGACCTGATCTGCAGCATACATGCGCATGCCTCCCCAGACCTCTTGGCCGACGGGCACAGTCTTCATGGTGAACTGGGTGACGATACCGAACTGTGAGCCACTGCCACGCATGGCGGTTGCAAGCTCAGGGTCAGACTCGGCAGAGATAGTCACAATGGAGCCGTCTGCTCGAACCGTTTCCCATTCAAGAACGGTCTGAAGGTTAGCAAGCTGAAGTTTCAAAAAGGAGGTTGTGACATACATCGGCGGCGAAGCCTGTCTGCGCCGAGAGAAACGAGATGCCGCCTTGCAAGACAAGACCACCGACACCAACAACCCCTACACGGTCATTAATTCCTGTTTTCCAAGGGACGTGACTCGCATACTCACCAAGACGTCCACCGACAACGGCAACACCGGCCTCCGCGAGGTCCCCAAGAGGATCATTCCACTCGCCACCCGGCTTCACACAGGCCACCTTCTTCTTCTCGTTGAAAGTGGCACCCTTCATGTCGTTCAGACTGACCAACACGCCCCCGTTGACGTTGGCGTGTCCTGGGTTCGGGTCATGGCCTCCGCTTTTGACCGCAAACTGGACCTTGGGATGCTTGTTCAGGATCTTGACGGTCTCGGCGACGTCCTGGGTTGTCTTGGGCCGGACCAGACACGCAGGCTTCTGGTCCTGGACGGTCAGGGACCAGAAGTCCAGGATTTCGCCAGCATCGCCGAGCTGCAGACGGCGCGAGACCAACTCGGGGAGGGCCTCCTCGAGCTCATAACAGGCCTTCTGCGCCTCTTTGCCATCTGTGCATTGGATAGCGCCAACGACAGCGGCGAAGACAGTGGCAGTGCGGAATAACATGATTCGTGTGGGGAGCGGAGAGTTGTAGTGCCGATGGGAAAACAATCATTTTTCAACAGAGAGACATGTTCCCTTTTAAGCAAAACACATCGCGGATCTTGAGCCCGAAATGGGCATGCTTAAGCCCAGATCTAATCCTAACAAGGGGATCCATTGCGAAGGAACGCGTGAATGAGTCTGCCGCTCAAGTCGATGCGACTACGCAACACAGTATTGTGTTTTGATCTCGAATTCGGGCTCGCAAAGGCTGAGTCCGAATACTTTGTCCGAATACGCACCCCCTGTTGGAGGGCATAGGGGCGATGTTTATGGTGGATACACACGTTGTTGTATTCTGCAGTGTGGACCATCAGCCGGTTCGTCGTCACCGATTCGTAAGAGGGTTTCTGTTGATCCAGGAGAGATAGAATAGTCTGCCCCGCAAACCTTGCAATCAGCGGATCTCGGTCTAGGGTTCCATGCATGGCTGACATGCAGTCTGGCCGCGCATTGGCCCTTGGCTTTGTGATCGAAGCCGAATACGAGTCAAGTCAGATGAGACTGGAATATGGCAGCCAAGAAAAGAAACCATGGTCAGAGTCTAGTCGCTCTCCATGAGTCCATGCCACCAGGTACCTCGGGTTCATAGGGTCTCGCCCAGGGACTCTTGTGAGCTCACGATGTTTCGAAGACCGAAGGTAGGGCGGGAACAAGCGGCTGACAGGGTGTTATAGAACCCAAATCATACCAAACAGCAGCTTTTGGGGTCGAGGTTCCTCGATACAACCTTGAGCAGGCATTCTTCGCCTTCCACGAGACATTGACGAGTCCAGGCCGTTCTGCAAACCGAGCTGTCAGTGCTCATCTGTTGCGTGATAGACTCATCGGCCTCATCGAAGCCGGACGGTGCGGGTAATACTCGACGTGCATCTGGTGAACAAAGCGCTCAGAATGTACCTACGAACACGCAGAGAAGAACTTTGCACAAATCGGAGCAGATGCATTGATGGAATTGCAAATGCAGCTGACCAGACGCGCTCAATGAGAACCCTGATGGCCCTCAAAGCGGGCAGAATTAGTTCTTCAAGTGCTCAAGGTACTTGTACGTGCAACGCGACTGGAAGACGAGTCTGAGCCTCCCTTGCGGTGAAGCGAAGCTGGACAGACCCTTTTCGCGTAACCCGTGGTAGGCCAACTTTTATCTTACCTTACTTAATCCGCGATTCAACCTGGTAAGGAGGTCGTTTCGAACAGCCGTTCCAACACTCCAGCGTAGTCAGTACTTACTAGAAGGCCAAGTGGACCCTGCGTCCGAGGTCAAGACGTCACTCTGAAGCCGCTACTCTGAAGCCGCCAAGCCAGCCCTGTGAAAATCCTCCCGCATTTATCATCTCGCCCAGGCACCCCGACGTCAATCTCGTCCACGCAGAACATCATCTTTATTGTGCGCGTCGACGACGGGCCGCTCGCCAGCCAACGCACGAGACAGGGATTGGCTCTTCGAAGTTGGGAACCAAGACGGGATTTCGCATGAGCTCGCGACCAGTCGCCTCGATCGTCGGTTCACGGTACCAGAGGACCTCAGACCGGGGTCGAGCATCACCATGGCGCTGGCAACAATGGAACTGAGCAACGACGCTCGTGGGTGGATCATGTGCATCATCAGTGGTGTTGGTATGTTCGCCGTCACTGTCAACCAACATTGTGCGAGTACAGTAGAATACTAATCATCCGCAGCTTGCGTTTTCGGAGCCGCCATCATCTTTGTCGATGCGCTTGTGCGACTTTTCCCGGGCAAGCATAAATTTCGCATAGCGGAGAGCAACGTCTTCTTGGCCGCGTCCCTAAGCCTGAGCTTCGGTGTCATGCTCTTTTCAGCGATTTACAGCATGCTACCAGAGGCCAAGGAATATCTCAAGAATGATAACTGGTCGGATCGGAATGCGGGACTCATCATGATGGGCTCGTTCGTGGTGGGTTTCTTCGGTATCCAGGCCATCTCCCGCTTGGTGCACCAGTACATGCCGTCACACGTCGTCGACTGCGACCACACCCACGAGGACTCGCACAAGCACGACCATCACGACCATCACTCGACCGAGCGCAGGAGCAGACACCGCTCACGTACGAGCCACGCCCGGCGCCAAAATTCTCACACGCGTTCACCTCACGATACCAACCGCAAAATGGCAGAAATCGCCGAAAATGGCATCACAGCATCGGAGTCGACACCCTTGCTGGCGAGCGGCGCCCCCCAGTTGGCACCCCAGCAGAGCGATAGTGCTGTTCTGCAGTGTAACCAGACCCTCGACTCTGCGCCTGCGAATCGACCCAGGGTAGCCAACGACTCAGCCAGCCTGAGAAGTCGACCGAGCATGCTCCAGGTGCAAGATAGGGTCATGTCCTTTGTCAAGGACACCAAGCGTGATTGCGATGCGGGAGGCTCATGCTACGGGTACTCGGACCCCTGTGGCCAAGAATGCTTCAAGCATTTGGGCAATCGATCCTTGCTAGCACCGCGACATGGCAGTTTGATACGAACCACGACCGGGCCATTCTATCCAGCCTCTGGCTCTGCGTTGCACGGAGCAGGGCGCAGTCGATCGCGAGACGCGGCCCACGGTCCCAATCCGCCGAGGACACTCCTCAGCCGAGCGACATCACGGGAACCTCTCAGTCCGCCCGAAGAGGAGGACGCAGACCAGGGATACCAGATGGAAGAAGACTCGTCGTCACTGACCAGCAGCGATGTCGAGGTAGACGCCGAATCGCAACACCACCATCACGTGCCTGAAAACGCCTTTCTCTCCATTGGTCTCCAGACGTCAATAGCTATCGCCCTTCATAAATTTCCCGAGGGATTCATCACCTACGCCACCAATCACGCCAACCCGTCTCTGGGCTTCAACGTGTTCATGGCCCTCTTCGTGCACAACATCTCCGAGGGATTCGCCATGTGTCTTCCGCTCTACATGGCCCTGGGCTCCCGCTGGAAGGCCATGCTCTGGTCAGCCATGCTAGGCGGTCTGTCGCAGCCGATGGGGGCTGCTATTGCTGTCCTCTGGTTCAAGGCGGCGAGCCACACAAACATCCAGCCGAATGCGGTTGCGTATGCGTGCCTCTTTGCCATTACTGCTGGCATCATGGTCAGCGTGGCGCTGCAGCTGTTTGTGGAGAGTTTGAGCCTCAACCACAACCGCAACCTTTGTATTTTCTTTGGCTTCACGGGCATGGCGATCCTTGGATTCAGCAACGCCTTGTTTGGTGGGCACTAGACTAGATGGTCTCGGGGTTGGATATCGGAATCTTGGGTAGGCTGGGTTATCAAAGAGCGCAAGAGGGTGATTTCATGGCGTTTGGCAAAGGGACCTGACCTCAACATCACTAGAGAAGAATGTACTTATCGTAAAGACGACGTTGTCTGCGCTTCATCTTCGAGCCGGTTCCCGACCCGTCTATATAGAGTTCATGTGCTTCGTAAAAGTGCAGGTATGTCCCCGCCAGATGCCGTAATGATTTTTTCCGTTCCCAACGCGAGCGCAAATCAAATACATCATAAGAGATTAGGGTCAATAGGCCCATTCTCCCGACGGGGCGAGTCGCTCGCCAAATTGAAGATGTTCTCTTCGTCTTGTGCCCATGCGTCATTCGCAGCACCGTAATCCACGTCTGCAGCGAAAATCACTTCCTGCTCATTGTCTGCTGGGCATTGGCTGTCCATCCCAAACAGACCGGCATCTAAAGCCTCGCCGTCTTGGAAGAAGCTGTCGGGGTCGAACGATTGGTGCTCAGTTGCAATATGCGCATCCACCTCTTCGGGGCCGTTGAATGGCAGGGTGCAGACGTAGCATGTGTATACCGCGTCCACAGCACCGTGGACCAGGGTATCCAGGTAACCAGGTCTCTCTTGCTCCGGCACAATTGCTGGCACGGAGACCTTGGGTCGATCTTGACGCAGATGAACGTATCGAACATGGTCCTCCAGCCTCGCTTTGGAGGTGAAGTGCTCGCCACACCCTTGGTCATTCGACCACCCACCAATGTTAATTGTGATGCCCCCACAGATGAATCGCTGGCCCTCGTGTACCGTTCGAACATGGTTGTTCCGGTTGGATCTGTTGGTGAACCACTTGTCGCAATCCGGATAGGAGCATGGCTCGGTCCGTCTGTCATCAACCGTCTTGCCCGAATGATGCATCTCGACGTGCCTCTCTAGATCGCCTTGTTTTGAGGACCTAAACTCGCAAAACATGCAGTCCTGGTGCTCTTGCTTCAGGTGATTCTGCAGCAGAAGCTCGGTCGTGAAGCCTGTCCCGCGTGGCTCTCCGTCGGGAGACGATTGCTTGGCACATTCGTGACACCAGAATCTCGCCGTCCCGTGCTCCCGCTCGACATGCTTGCGTAGCGATGCTTTTGTGTCGAATGCAGCATCGCAGCCCTTCTCTGCGCATGGGAAGCCCTTGAGTCCCTGATGCTCCTTCCGAACATGCTTGGCGAGTGTGTCCTTTTTCCGAAAGCTCTGTCCGCAGTCCTGACACCTGAATCGTTCAGCCCCTTCGTGAACCGCTTGGTGACGCTTTAGGCGTGTTCCGGTGACGAAGCTCTTGCCACAGCCTTCTCGGGGGCAGACATGTTTCCGTTCCTGGGTATGGGTCGCCTTGATGTGCTGCTTCAGATGTTTGTCGACAGTATAGTCTTTTTCACAACCATCGTAGGGGCAGACAAAGGGTCGAGAGTTGGTGTGCGAGTTGAGGTGATCTCGTAGACGGGCGGGTCGGTTGAAGGTCTTGGGGCAACCCGGCCAGGTGCAAGGCAGGGTCTTCAGATCAGATGGAAACCGGGGAGTCTTAGGCGTAGTAGCTGCGGTGGTAGTTGCCGGAGATGAGACTGTATCCGCTGTCGAGATGGGTGATTGGGCAGTATAGAGGTCGTCGTCAATCGTGGTGTTGGTGTCGGTTTCTATGTTGAGATCGAGGTCACGGTCTAGACGCAATCGTTTGGCGGGTGGTAGTGCCAGAGACTCGGCGACTGCGGTTCTAGTAGCCATCATAATGGCTGTGCATTGGGGAAAATCAGCCCGTCATGCCACATTTCTTGGGTCGGCCAGCTCTTTTCAACAGATGCTGACCAAACTTGTTAGACGGGAGTGCGAAGGTAGGGTATTGCTGGAGTCGCAAGAATTTTAGGTTGGCGACGAGTTTCTGAAAGTTTAGTGGGCCGTGTCGGTGAGCATCCTCTACGAGTAGACTCAATGCAGCTTAGCGCGCATGCAGCTGGCGCTCACCGAGGCTGCAGGCGGCTGCAACTCCAATTCTCAATTTTTATTCACGTTCACCCTCCCGCGACTGTCAAGGACAACTTCATCTTGCGCCCACCACCACAACTTCCGCCACCGGCCGTCCATTCGCTCTTTTTGACGCGCAAAACTTGCACCGACATATAGCAGATATGTCTGATTACGAGGGTGACGATGTCGATGTCGGCGGGTGAGTTTCAACCGTCAATGTCGGTCGACGAGGTGACTCGTGCTAAACTGTCAGCGGCGAGGAGTACTTTGAGGAGGAGGAGGAAATCTACGACCCCGAGGTCAACGTCGAAGACGACGAGAACAACCCCAACGGCACCTTTGACGAGGACCAAGACAACGTCGTGCCCTCGGGCGACCCTGCCGCCGCCGCGAGCGCCGCGAAAGCGTCCGAGAAGTCGCTCCGAGACAAGAAGATCCCCGACGAAGAGCGCACGACCACCCCCTACATGACAAAGTACGAGCGCGCGCGCATCTTGGGTACCCGGGCGTTGCAAATCAGCATGAGCGCGCCGGTGCTGGTCGATCTGGAGGGCGAGACGGACCCGCTGCAGATTGCGATCAAGGAGCTGCGGGAGAAAAAGATTCCCTTGATTGTGAGGCGATACATGCCGGATGGCTAGTAAGTTCTCTTTGCCTTGCATGCCGTCGTCGATGCAGGAGAAACTGACATGCGCAGCTACGAGGATTGGACTTGCGAGGAGCTTTTGCAGTGAGGCCATATACCTCGCCTGAGGACCCCGTGGACCAGCGGATCGCTGCAACAATGTCGCCTCGGAGTCTCCAGGACAATTTCGTCAATTACAGCGCGGCGTTTTACATCATTTTGGTAGGAAAAGAGGGGGTACGACTTAACATAGCACCATAACTCATCACGCATTGCTTGCTTGCTTGCAGCACAATATTCAAGTGCGCTGCTGTACCCAGCGTACGGGATTTCCCTGTGCTGTTCGCGCCAAGGAGCGAGGCCATGGGAGGACATTGCCCAGCTTGCGGAGCTAGACTCGGTGTACCCGTAGTCCCATGATCAACCCATGTTCTTGTCACGGCTAGTGCAAATGCCAAGCAGAGGAAGCAATGCCATAGACATGGTGTAACTGAAACAATGCACAGCAGGGACACTCCCCGTTGGCAATTGGCTTGGTGGTAGTTGTGTAACTTGGGTACAATGCGCCATGAGGTCACGCATGGCGATGGGGGACGCTTGTGACCAAGTGACGAAGTTAGCAAGTAATTACTAGACTAGTGCTCACTGACTGGTCTTATTAGACGTCGAAGCAACATATCCTGTCAAGTCCGTCGCTGTACCTCAAACATTTTTAAACTGTTTCCGCTGGCGACAATTAACATCACCCAGATGTACTAATTCACTTTGAGCACAATGAAGTTGTCTTCTCTATCGTCTTCAATCCTCTTGGCGACCGCGTCTTCCGCTTCGCCATTCATGAAACGCGAGGTTGGCGGCGTATGTTTGCCTGCTAGCATGCTACTTTGGTCTGGGGAAAGCTAACCGTTGTTGTCGCAGGTCCTCATCTGCACCGGCGCCAATGCGACTGGTCAATGTTCCCACCAGGTCTACTCCATGGAGGAGTGCCACCAGCTCCCTGCTCCATACTACCAGAACACCAACACATTTGCCCCCGATGGCGAAGCTTTCAGTTGCTTCCCTCGTGTATACGATTGTGGCGGCATCTGCATGAGTCCAACAGGGTGTACTTTTGGAGGCGTGGACTTTTCTTACGAGAATAAATACAATCTGGGTGCTATCCAGTGGGATACCCTGATCAAGAGCTTTGATTGTTCACTGAAGAGAGGTTGACCCGAGGAGCTGTCCTATATCGGCCGGGATGCGGGCGTCATGGAAGCACGCGTTATGCAACCGTTTATTAATGAAGATGCTCGGATCTCATCCGAATAACCGTTTTCGGACTTTGCTCTTATCGTCAGTCGTGGCGCATCATGTTTCAAAACCTCGACTCCTCGTACGGGTATGTTTAGTGACGTATGAGGAGGTAACTCGGCGATCGCCCGGGATCCATGCATGGTGGGGTATCGGACTTGGTAGCATTGTCTCCTCAGCAGCTTATATCCTCCTCCCCCTCTATCGACTTCAATTCTTTCAGATCATAACTCATATTGCCTCTCTGTATGACCCGAATCTTCACAATGGCGCTCGAGACCAAGGCTACCATCACCACGTTCGGGGGACGCTTCCTCAAGCTCTCCCACAGCTCATCCACCACCTCCACACCCATGAACTTCACAGTGTTCATTCCCCCTGGCGCCTCTTCTTCCAAGCCGGCCCCTGTCCTGATCTATCTCTCTGGTCTGACCTGTACACCAGACAACGTCACGGAGAAGGGCTTCCTGCACGCTCACGCGTCCAAGCTGGGTCTTGCGCTGCTCTACCCTGACACCTCGCCCCGAGGCACCGACCTGCCCGGCGAGCATGACTCGTGGGACTTTGGCAGCGCGGCGAGCTTCTACATTGATGCCACCAAGGAGCCCTACAAGAAGCACTACCAGATGGAGAGCTACGTCACCAAGGAGCTGCCCGAGCTGGTCTTCTCCGAGTTCAAGGAGCTCGACAAGACTAAGGTGTCCATCGCCGGGCACTCCATGGGCGGACACGGCGCCTTGACGCTCTACCTCAAGAACCCGGGCATGTACAAGAGCGTTTCGGCCTGGGCGCCCATCGCCAACCCATCGCAGTGCCCGTGGGGCGAGAAGGCATTTGGGGGGTACATTGGCGACGACAAGGCAGCGTGGAAGAAGCATGACGCCACGGAACTCGTCAAGTCCTGGAAGAACGGTCCACTAAAGGCCCTCATCGACGTCGGCACCGGGGACAACTTTTATAAGCAGAAGCAGCTGTTGCCTGAGAACTTTGAGGCGGCTGTGAAAGAAGCCGGCGTGGAGGACGTGACGGTGCGGTACCAAGATGTAAGTCGCCTTTGCTGCTGTCGCAGTACCGATCTGACGATAGCTAGGGGTACGACCACTCGTACTTTTTCATTTCGACCTTTGGCGAAGATCACGTCAAGCACGCGGCGAAACACCTTGGCTTGCTCTAAGTACTGGAGAATGTGAAGGGGAGAAAAGATGGACCATTAATCAATCACATCGTCCACGCGTCATCATCTCATTTATCTCGCCAAAAACACATATCCCATCAGAAACCCTCCTCGAAACCCAGTGAAATCCTCCAACTTGGAGAAATATCTCGTCCCATGCTGTTGATCTTCGAAAAACATGCGCCACCCGTGAACCCGATACGTCCCCCATGAATGATAAGTTCGCGCCTATACCCACCCAGTGAATGCGCCCGCTCAACTCATCCGCTGCATGCTGCCTGGCGATATCGCCTTCTCCAACGGACTCATGGCCGCCTGCTCGGCCTCCCGCCTCATGCGCTCGTAGGCCATCTTCTCAAACCTGCTCAAGCTCTTCCACCAGTGCTGTCCTGCCTCATGCTCGGCTATGCGCTCTAATAGATCGGCCGTCTTCGCTCTGACTTCGGGCTCCTTGTGAAAAAGGCCGAGCGCGATGTAGAACAGACCCGCGTGCGACTCGGGTGCCACACTGAGAAGGAGGCATATCTCGTCGTACGAATGTATGTGCTTGGATAATGTAAAGTAAATGTCCCGACTCTGCGTAGGGGACAATCGCTGCAGACGCAGTTTGTCGTGCATGTGTGCCACGTCAAGCCCCTTTAGCGGGCGCACCGTATATAGCTGTGCGAGATCCTAGGGGCGCGTCAGATCAGAGTGAATCAGACGATAAAGCGAGCAAGCCTTGACTTACCTGGACGAAGCTGTAGTAGCTCCTCGTGTTGCGCCAGCCTTCGATCCTTGTTATGTTGCCAGCAAGCTCCCTATGCTTGGCCATGTCATCGGACCACACGTAGCCATGCCCACTGGCGCCAGGGAGCGTCAATTGCTCATCGTCGCTTCCAATGTACAGAGCGCTCGCGCCGTAGACGCTCTCCTCGAACTGCGCCGCGATGCGCGTAAGCTTGAGGACCCAGTCCCTCCATTTGGCGCGGATCACACGCTCGCCATGCCGGGCCGCGATGCTACGCAGAATGTCTGCCATAAAGGCCTGGTCCCCCGTCAGATCCATCGACTGACTCGACAGGCCGCCCGCCAGGGACGCGTATGCAGGGTTCTGTTGCTGGTAGTTTTGCAGCCCGTCGGTAGGCATGGCCGGCTCGATCTTGCTGCTGATCTTGACGCGACCGCTGGGCAGGTCACACAGAATATCCCACCATTCCGGGTGGTGTTCAAAGGTAGGGTTTGTCACGCCGGCGATGAAGCCCGGCACGTTCAGCAGGTCGTCGATCTTGGTCAAGTCGGTATAGGGGAAGGCGAACCGCGTGAAGCCTCGCAAGATACCGCCAGAGGCAAGCGCGCAAGCCGCCAGAACAGCCTCAGCAACCTCGCCCGACGGCATGCCGTGGCCCAGGAAGATGACCCTCTTCTGGGTCAAGAGACCGTTGACCAGAACGATGATTGGATGGGTATGGATGCCGTTGGTTGTGAGGTGTGGGTGCAGTGGAAAGGGCTGAGGCTGCTTCGCGTGCACGTCGGAGAATATCTGGATTAGTTTGATCAGGGAGAAATCGCCCACTGTCTCTGGCATGATCGCCGTGGGAACCTTGACTGGGATGGGGATGCCCTTGTACATGATCTTCGTCTCCAGCTCGTGGGTGTCTCGAGGAACTGAGTAGGCTGACGGGCCTCCCTCGACGTAGGCTCTGGTGCCGTTGCGCGATATGCCGGCTGTTCTGGCCGGACTTTGGTTGCCTTCCCCCAAATCTACAGAGGAGCCCTCAGCTTTGTCCTCGAGAATGCGCTGTTGGATCATGCGCTCAAACTTCTCGACAAACAAGTCTCGATTGTCACTGGCTAGTAACAGATGTCTTTCCAGCAGGCTCAGCTTAGGCATCAGAGACAAGTCCATGGCGTTGACAGCGTCGAAGAGCATTGATAACGTCTCCGGGACAGGGGATTTGAAATACTCCTCGAGCGCGAGGAGCAAGAGAGGCTTCCAAAGTCAGTGCCAAGCTCCATGTGCCTACGCGCGCGCGGCTCACCTTGTAGATATGGAGGAAAGGGTGCCTCGTGCATATAGCCATTGCTTTCACCACCGCACCGCGCTTCACCGACTTGTCATGCTTGGTGTTCACCAGGTTCAGCACATAAATCAGCGGCGGTCCCTCGCCGCCCTCGGGCTCGCTCTCCGAAGTTTCGTAGCCGTCCGATCCGTCGTCGTCTTCTTCATCCGACTCGTCGAGCGCGTCCTCGTCTTCCTCGTCGATGATACCTGCGGCCCGATTTCGTCTCCGCCTTCGTCGCCTACGTCGATCCTCCTTAGCCCGGCGCTCCTTATCTTCCTCGTCTTCGCTGCTTTCCTTGTGGAGAAAGAACAAAGTCCAATCCGACTTGCGCGAGTGTGCCTGATCCGGCAACATGAGCTCTGCCAGCATGTTCTCATCGCCTGTGATCGCCAGTGGAAACTGATGTTCCATGACGGGGCCGCGATCGATATCAAACGACGCAACTAGAATATACTCGACATGGTTCTCCGTGGACCCCCGAGGGTATTGGGATCGTAGCTTCCGCGGCGCATTCGAGCTCGCGCGCCGGCGACAAGGCGCCGAGGCAGAGGAGCGTCGTGAGGAGGCATTGGCAAGGCTGTGGTCCGAGGTTCGCGTCGTATCGAAAATCGGTGGTTGTGGCGACCTCGACGGCCCCCCTGAGATCTGCGAGGGAGATCTTGAGGATGGGAACGAGGATAGGGAGGTTCGTCGGGGACCAGCAGAAAGGGAGCCGTTGGGCTGGCCGTTGCTGCTCTGTGACCGTCCGCCACCGCCAGGGTCGGCCATCCTCAACTTTCGATTGACCCAATTCCTGTCCTTGAATGATGGCTTTGGTTGTTGCTCACACCATGGACTTGACTGGCCAAGGGTCATCAATACCCACGCGCGCCGAATCCGGGACCCTGAGGGAAATGTGTTAAATGCTCTCCCACTCCGGCCAATCGCGTGACGTGGGTGAGCTGGGGGTGAGCCGGGTGAGCCTCCACCCACACCATATTGCCTTATTGCTGAGTCACCGCAAGTGAGACAGACATCTACGCATCGACTTGTAGGTGTAGCTGCGTTAAATGGATGTTGATTGGTGCGACAGAACGCGTTAACGCGTGGAGTTTAAATGAGCACCACACTGATTTGGCGTGACATGATGAGCGAGGCACATTCATGATATCAGACGCTCGCCTATCGTATATGACTAGATCTCATCGATGGCATCGAGTGGTCTTGTTCATCACCCCCCTTATTTTTTTTTACAAAAGCTCGAGCTTAAGCCTATCAATATCTAGCACCCCTGTTCATTTTACGTGATCCAGGCGGCACTTCTCACCTAGGTTACCCTCTTTGATCTTAGTCGCGAATACCGCTCTTTTTAGTCTTGCTAGTTTCCGGTTTAGTGATCCATATGCTAGTTGCGACTCACTCTTCACTTCATGACTCTGCCCTAGCGTTGAGGAGCGCGTATCAGTGTGTTCGCTAGCAGCTGGCTGACCTATTTGTCGCACTCACATAGTGCAGAGTCAGTGTCGTTAACCTCCACGAATGCTTGGGGAGTGAGCGATGCTGCTGGACACATTCTCGCCCTCGGAGACGGCGAGTTGTGCGGATGTTGCTGCTCGAATAGATGACATTGCAGCGAACGGCTAAGGTGACCGCTTGGAACGGTCCTTTCCCTGATCCGGGGTTTTGGGTCGTTTTCCTGGGGATCGCAATGAGAGCAGCGGCGTGGGCAAGGCGGTTCGCAGTTGTACCACAAATACCAGCTAGTATATCGCAGCAGCTAACCGAAGCACAGTAGTGAGGGGGGAAAAAAGAGCCTTATCTACTAAACCAACACATCGTCTGTTCGCTCCTCATTGGTGAGGAACGTGACGCTGTTGGTTCCAGAAGTGATTTCTAGTGTGCCAGTAGAGAATGTCGACTTGATTGACCATGTCGAATGGCCATCCTTGGTTCGTGGAATTAAGCCGGGCTTGGCCGACACCGTAAATAAAAAATGGCAACTGGACCTGTCTAAAGTATAGCTCAATTGTTATCGAGGAAACACTTGAAACAAATTGAGATGACTTCGGAATTAGGACTACTCTAGTACTTCATAGCCCCCGCTTATACATCATCTTAACCCTTGGGGCAAAGAGGATGTTCTTACAATTGTGCCGTCTTGCAAAGACCTGACTGCAGGGTGAATCGTTCAAGGTAAAGCATAGCAACCTTGTGGTCGAGTATCAAAGGGTTTGGAATGAATAAGTGACTGAACGTTGATAATACCATGGATAGCCAAGTGATATTTACTCTTGCTACTCGACGAAAGACATGCCGTCCTCCTCATGTGTCAAGTCAAACACGCAATCTTCACTCGGAAGCAGCGATTTGGAAGACTTGCTCGTAGCGAGGGGACATTCCTTCTCTCTTAAACTCACCTCTGCCAGACGACTTCCTTTTTCGCTGTGATTAGGAGAGTCGAAAGCCTCATTTGATGCCTGGAGACTGGTTATATTGTCTTCATTGGTCGTCATTGTGGGCAAACATAACTCTTGAAAAAACGAGTTGCCTTCCTGTGACTGCGTCGTTGTGTGATGCTCCGCAAAGCTTAGTGGGTCCGGTAGTGCTAAGTCGTCTTCGAGTGAATTTCTCAGACTCAGGGGAAAATCGCCATCCTCAGAGAGTCTTCCCTCACTAAGGCTTGAGTCGAACGCAAAGGTGACTCTCAGGTAGAAGTCAGGCTTTGAGACAATCAGCTCAGTCCAGTCATTGAGCCGTGGCTGACAGTAAGACAATCCTCGTCCGGCATCACGCGACTGAATAACTTCGACGACATGACGAATGACCCTTGTTATCCAGTCAGCCTCGTCGTACTGAAGTCGATAGACCTTCATCGCTTCGATGAGCACATTCAAACGATGCTGTTTGAGTGACAGAACCGCGTCGAATTGGGTCGTTGAGCTTGTGGCAAGCTCTGCCATATTAACGTCGAGAATGTTGAGGACCAGAGGCAAGGCCGTCAGCCCAATAGCAGAGATGGGCAGCCAGCGTGCAAGATCTTCTTGGACCATATCCCTCACACATTCTGCCACGCCCGAAGCCGCATTTTGAAGCTCATACCGACTCTCATGAAAGGCAGCTTTCGAGTCCCAGCCGGCTCGACTCTGTGATAGAGTGTGCGCTAGAATCTCGGAATTGCAGAGGACCACTCTCGCGGAGTGATAGAACATGTACATTAGGTTGGTGTAGACGAACACCAAATCGCACGAGTGGCTATCGTCTCTTGCCCGCAGGTCTGACAAACCGCTGCGCCCGAACGAAGGAAACGTCGAGGCCGCATCAGCGAACCATTTCTGAAGATGCGTTTTAGTATCTCTCAAGAGTTGCGCGTCGGCTGGTCGCGGCCTTTGCCAGCCCTCTGGGCTGTCGTTCAGAGGGAATGCCACAACGAGGATATCCGTCAAGACAACGCAGAGCCTTGTGAAATGGGAGAAGACACCGGCCAAATGGCGCTTCGTCTGAGAAGCGCAGACTTTAGACTGCTCGAACTCATCCGCAAGATCAGAAGGCTCAAGGGAGGGACTCGTGTCAAAGTCGAAGTGGGCTCGAGTGATCTGAATCGGCCGCCGCATAAGGAGAGAGACCATACGATCGCGCACTATACAACACCACCATACTCGCTTGAGGACATTCTGTTCATGATGCTGCGTCTGGTGAGCTGATGAGCGCATGCGTCCCATGGACGCATAGCGATGAGCTCGTGCGTTTCTGGCATGTTGAATAGCGAGGCCGAGCCAGGAAGTGTTGGATTTCTTGGTGGATTCCGGCGACCAGAATGAGAGGAGCAGTGATGCTTGGGCCATGACGATTGGCGATGATTCGGTCTCAAAGTCATGTAGCAATTTGGCGTGCCGATAAAATGAGGCCCTTGCCTCGCGTATACTCCGATATCCAAGGGCCTGGATCGTTTCGACCGAAACAAAGTTGCACGAGGCAAACAATATGCTTCTCAGAAGCAGAAGCGGCATCTGGAGTTCGCCGAGAGGGCCGGTCATACTCCATAATCCCCAAGTGTCTTTTTCATTGATTATCGGAAGGAACGGATGGATGCGAAGAAAGTACTTTTCCAAGAACTCTTCCATCAAGTACCGAGCAGGCACATGTAGGCAGCCCTGTTGCTTGATGAAGGTCATATCTTGAACTGGTATATGGTGAAAGTTGGAGAGTGTAATGAAAAGGTATGAAGTGTACAAGAGACACTGGTCGAGGGGCGCTGGATCGGAGCAGATCGTAGTTGTTGATGGTTCGATCGAGGTATCATTCGGGACGACTGATCTTTGAGCTGCGGATCCATCATGCTGCGCTATGGGAAGAAAGAAGAAGTTGGTTAGTACTTGAACCGACCTCGTCGCAGTAGCTTAGTACATACAAGATATACCAAAACGATCTTCGTCCTCTTTGGCTCTCGCGGTTGGCAGCACGCCCGGAAGGGCCGCGTCCGTTGTATTCTTGCAATTCAAGCTGTTGGCACTGGTGTCCTCGGTGTGGGAACCCATTTGATCGTCGTCGTCCGGGGCATCTTTGGACTTTTCTGCCATGACGAACGAGGCCAGCTCGGCTACTCTTGATCTCATGAGTTGCTCCGCCGTCAAACCCGCTGTGCTGACCCCCGAGATATCTGGATCCCGAGACGGTGGTACGCTGCCGTGCGTTTCACTCTGTCTGGCGTGGCTACAGACATGTCAGTGTCAAGAAGATCAGCCTCGTCGCCGCCGGGCACCACGTACTAGCGACGGTTGCTCCTCTGGACAACGACACATTCGTCGCCATCCAAGTAGCAGTTCATGCAAGGCCGGCCCGTTTGCGATACATCACAGCGCACCTTCCTGGCCCGACAAGAAAGACATGCCCTCGGCGCTCTTCTCTTCTTCCTAAACTGAGGCAAAGTATCGGGGTCCGCAGGAGGTGGGTGTTTGTTTTCCAGCATTGTGCTGCTTTCAGGAAGAGTCGTGCAGCAAGACATGTTTTCCAGTCGTGAAGCTGACGTGCGGCCAGCATGTAACAATGCAATGGACCTCAAGGACTCTTTGTCGCCGACTTTCAGAACCATACATAACCCCAATTCCCCTTCCCCCCCTCCAGATCCCCCAGAACGCCGGGACCCGGGGACCCCATGACGACCCCCACAGGAGCCACACATAGACGAATCAAGCAGCCCGGATTGATCCGCTGGATCTTGTTCCCCACGTCGCCTGACTCGAGCGATTGAGTCAGTGTGGCTAGCGTGCTTGGTCAGCATTGCCTTGGCGGCACTCTCATCGAATTTCCGTATATGGGAGCCTAAGACTCGTCCAACTTTGGTTTAGCACACGAGATGTAGCTACTCATGTTCATGTTGAGAGATATGGTGAGGGCATGAGACATCTCCGAGGCGAATGGCAAAGTGTGGTCTCTGTCTCGTCAAACCATCATGTTCCCATGTTTGTGTGTGTGTCGACAAGTGAATGATGATATTCCAAGGGAGCTTGTCTAAACTTGGAACGCTGGGTCGTGGCCAGCACTGATGGGATCTATGTCTTCTTGAGCAGATATTTCTTCCGCCTCTTTCTCTCTTGCGTTGTCCTCTTACGGCCATCGGTCGAGATCTATGGGACAGGTAAGCAAGGCCGGACGGTCAAGGTCGCCAGCGGCCAAGCTTACAGTATGCCAGGTCCACCCCTGGATCCACGTTCGGAGCGTCCGTCACAGATGCCTAATGTACCGTACTATTTGCAGAGACCTAGCGCACTTGCAGACATGCGGGTAATTTGCACGCCAGAAGTGCTAGGACTCAGGTAAATTGCTAATTGTCCGGGGTATGCGGGGTTGTGAAGACGCTGCGGCACTACGACAGTCTAGAACTCCAGGAGATACCCCGGGGAAGAACAAGGCTCCACTGATCCGCAATACTGGGACAGCACGCGTCCATCTACGTGGGGCACACACTCTTCATCCTTGTGGAGCCGCAAATGAGGACCTGCAGCAGCCGTCGAGGTTGACGCAACGACTCGACGTCCCCATTGTGTACCGGAGCGGAGAGGGACAACCAAGTCTGCTCCATGACGTGCGGTGTATCCGGAAGCTAGTACATGAATGTTGGTTGAAGCAGGCTAGGCAACGCCGGGGTTACCACGTGAGCATTTTAGCGACAGTTGAGTGCTGGTCCCAACGGCTACGGATCTACCAATAAACGCTGGTCACTCTCGCCCCGCCATGTGGAGCAGATGGAGAGAAGAATGAGGGGAGGAAAGCATTGGGACTCCGCGTGCGAGACCGGATTCTCATTCGGACGCGTCGGCTGGTAGCCAGACCCCGCCTCCGGGGCGTGGCTGGGGTCAAGTAGCGGCTCCTGCCGAGGAGGAATCCAGTGCAACCCAGTTCAACCCAGTTCAACCCCGTTCAACCCCGTTCAACCCCGTTCAATTCAGTCCAGTTCAGTTCATTTGAGGTTGCTGGAAGCGCGGCTGCCAGGGCACCACCACGTAGCTCTCTCATTGGGATAACCACCTGGATGACCCCAAGAACTCTGTAAGCTCAGCCGAATGGACTCGGAACCGGAACATGCCACGACAGGTAGCGCCGAGCGCCGAGATGATGGTTACGTGCCCGATTGCGCCGAAGACCAAGCACGTCGGGAACGGAAACGGCAGATTGATAGACGAGCACAGCAGCAGCATCGGAAGAGGCAGAAGATCTATGTCGAGCAGCTGGAGGAAAAGCTCAGGGTCTTCCAGTCCACGGATCAGTCCGATGCTGCCCGACTCGGAGCTCAGAACCTTCGTCTTCGGCAAGAAGTATGTGCGCATATCACCATTTTGGCTGCGGCAGCAGTGTTCGCGACGCAGAAAGTATAGCTGCTAATCTGGGTACGAAGCTCGAGTCGTTACACACTCTCTGCGGAGACATGGGAAGGATCATGCAACGGCAGAACGATTTGATCAAGAACTCGATTCTTTCGTCCCTACCGATGATCTCGCTCACCGGCAGACCTGCTGCTTCACCTCACCACGGGACCCCAAGAAGCTTCCCAAGCGACGAGGAAAACGAGGGGGCCGGAGTGACCGCAGCACAGGCCGTCGGCTCAAATATCCCGGGTTCGGCCTATCAGGATCCACCAGACCTCCCCAGCACCTTGCAAGCGGAGCTAGAGATTGGCGCATTGGCGAAGAACGCTTCGAGAGCAGGTGGCAAAGACGAGCGCGAACATATGACAACACATTATCGGCCTTCGGGGTCTTCGGGGGGGAATGAAGGAGGGCCCCCGCTTGCGGCCACCAACTCGGAGCTTGGTCAGCCGACAGCAGGCCACTCCTCGTTCGCTTGCGGCATGGAGGACGGCTGGAAACTGAAAGGGCCCTTGGAAAACCCAACGCATTTTTTCACGGCACCGAACGACCCCAACGATTCGCTAGACCTATTCAACGGCTCGCAGCTGGCGCTTCCTCACGATGAATGGGCTTGCGGTTCGACCGCAATAGGCGCATCGCATCTTTTCAACTCCGGAGAGCTACCCGATGGACAAAGCAACTGGCTTGAAAGAGGAAACGACATGACTGGGCTGCCATCAAATGAGCGTAGTGGTACTGATCGGTCATTCCAGACCATTCGCCCATCGAGTTCGGCCTTATCTGGCTTAGATCGGCGCGTTGCTCACTCTTTTGCAGATGCAGGCGTGGAAGAAGCCGCCGAACCTTCGGCGACGGTTCGCTCCGAGAGGAATGACTTGTCACACTTCATCACACCCAAGGAACTTGCTGGTTATGGCAGACCTTTCTTGGGACATAGCTCACCCGAACGCCTAGGAGATCGGCTTCCGTGGGATGGTGCAGGTCCTTTCTCCAACCCGTGGCGGATATGGACGTCGGATGCGTTGCCGCACCTCCGCTCCTTTCCAGTCCTACTATCGCCTCCGCTTCATAAAGACAAGTCGTTATACGATATCATCGGACGGGCTCGTTCAAAGGCAATGCCCATCAAGCATCCGAGCATCCGGGAGTTTCTCCTTGATCAAACCGAGAACACATTCTCGACTGATATCAAGAGTTACCTGGAGCCCATCAAGCAAACAAGAAGCCCATCTGAGTTCCTGGCTGCCTACTGGGTCCTCTATCTTCTGCTACGGGTAGGAATCAACCACCGACGTGGGGCTAAGTGAGAATATTAAACTGACCGGAACTTAGTGGTACGTCAATTTTGACGACGAGTCCTACCGTACTCTTCCCTCTTGGCTCCGTCCCAGCCCCTTGCAGCTCACGGTTGCCCATCCGGCTGTGGCGGGGCTTATTGCCTGGTCAGTCGTTCCGCTCTTCCGCCCGGTACAGCTGCTGACCCACTAACTATAGGCCCAAAATGCGGGAGGAAGTCATCATGCTGTCACAGATCGATGTGCAGTGTGTTCACGAAGTTTCATCCCAGATTGGCAAACATTTGATTGTTTGCATCGAGACCAACGATGTTGATTTCTACAGTGATCCTTCCAAGATCACCGCTGAAGTCACGAACTTGGCCAATTGGAGACTTGATCAAAGGTTCTATGATGTATATCCGAGGTGGAGGGGGCTCCTCAGTGCGTAAATAGGGGCTTCTCAACATACTCAGGGTCGAGATACCATGCCAGATCCTCTCCAAGGACCTCTTTAAACGTGAAGCCATTGCCCATGAACTCGAATCTGTTGCGCTGACGGTAGTCGATCTTGTAGTCCTCAAACCTAGGCTCCTCTAGCATCAGCCGCCAGTGAACCAGCGAGCCTGGGTATTGAGCAGTGATCTTTCCGCCAGGCTTCCCCTGGTTATACCATGACCGGCATCCAGCTGCCCAGACCCTTCGCCGAAGTGTTAGTCAAAGTAAAACCACACCAACTTGAGCGCCGCTTACGTTCTTTTCAGCCACTCGTGCACATGTTCGTTGTACTCGGCCACAGCCTCCGGCTTGATGTCCACCGCTCGGATATTCTCGGTCTGCATCTTCCGGATGACTTTACACACGTAGTTTTGCGCTGCCTCGAGCACGGTCACAAACGAGCCGTGGCCAGCGGGACAGTTGGGTCCAAGTGATCCGACTAGGGAGCCCGTCAGCTTGTGCTCAAGCCATCCGTGCATCTTGCAGCAAGGTGGAAATGATTAGTCACGTACTCATAAAATTCGGGAAGCCATTGACTGCCAGAGCAAGATACGCTGACGGCTCCTTGTCAAATTGGTCTGCCAATGATTGCCCATTGCGACCAATGACTGGGAATTGAGGCTTGAAGCTCACTTCAAATCCTGTCGCGCAGATGATGACATCGGCATGGTACTCTTCTCCATTTCGTGTTGTGAGACCGCTTGCGGTGAAGGCTTCGATGTCGCCCTCGCCTAGAACCACATTGTCCTGTAGGAAGGACTCGAGGAACCCCTCTGCCGGGCCGAGCCGACGGCAGCCGACCGGAAAGTCTGGAATGAGCTTTTTGGTGAGCCTCTCATCGTGGCCTAAAATTCGAGCCATTCTTTGGCTGATGAACTGAGAGCCATTGTTAGCTATATGCCATGCCTGTGCCCTTGATAGCCTACGTCTCGGGTCATCTTCTGCTGTGGGTGCTCTGATATGTTGCCACGGAAGCTCTGATTGATCTTGTTCTCCATTGCTTTGCGATGTTCGAGGTACTGCAAATGGTTGTCCGAGAAAGACTGCTTCTGCTCAGAGGTATCTGCAAGTCGACAGTTAGATAGAATCACTTCCTTGGACAACAAGAATGGCGATCTGGACTCTTACAGTTAAAATTGCGGCCCTCCTCATCTGTGTAACCTTCCGTAGAAAGACCTGGGCCGATCCACTGGGGCGTGCGGTAGAAAGAGATGACTTTCTTCGCTTGGTCCTTGATGGCCGGTACAATCTGTATTGCAGAAGCCCCTGATCCGATGACAATCACAGTCTTGTTCGCGAGATCGATGGACGTGTCGTAGTCAGCGGAATGCGTGATTTGACCTTTGAATCCTTCTCTCCCGGGGATATCAGGCCATTTCCAGGCATTGAGCACTCCCGTGTTTGAGACGAGAAAGTCGACTCTATCCTCAAAGGTTCTCTCCTCGGGCCCATCTGAAGTCTCCGTGATGGTTAAAATCCATTGACTGGCGCTCTCATCCCAGACTACCTTGTCCACTCGATGGGACACCTTGATATATTTGTCGAGATAGCCGCGATTGACGGCAAATTGGTGGTAGTACTGTTGGATCTCTCCCGCTGGAGAGTAGTAGCGGGACCAGTCTGCCTTCGGGGCGAACGCGAATTGGTACGCGGCGGACGGAACATCGCATCGGCACCCAGGGTATTTGTTTGCATACCAAACACCGCCGCACTGGGGATAGCCTTGGACCGGTCAGAACATGTGGTGGTTTCCGGCATCTGAAAGACCGATACTAACGCTCATATACGACCAGGTCAATAGAGTCACCAAACTCTTTCTCTTTCTTGTAGCACATCATGATTCCAGAAGCCCCGGCACCGATGGAGGCCACACGCATCTTGCGCGGAGCCCATAACAGGTGCTCAGAGACCTGGTATTGGGAATCGACGTTTTCCTGTATAGCAGTGCCTCCTACCCGGTTGTCAAAAGTACGAGCGTACTCGTCAGATTCAGAGTAAGACATCTTGTCAGCCGGTGTGTCGTATCGCGTTTGTTCCGAGTGAAAATTGGGTTAATGTAGGAAACAGGCTGAGAGGGACTATCTTGACAAGTGCGGAATGTAGACCAGTGGATGTAGCCTTTTTGAAAACGGCTGCGAGCCTAATCCAAGGGCTTAAATCTGAAGGCAATCGTCAAACGAATCAAACTCGCGAGGTCTGTCGATCCTCGGATATTCGGTATCCTCCACCCGGTCGTGTGATCCTACCCCACAAACTCCGCCATACCCCGCGATAGCTGACACTTATTCCCCGGACTGACAAAGTCGGCTTTGTCAGTTGACTTTGTCAGTCGCTCGTTTCTGAACATGCCCCAGCAGGTACATTGCGCCTCCTCCGACAGAATACGCCAATGTTCTAGATCAACAGCACCTGAGTTATGTGGCGTATTGCGGGGGATCTGTTCTTCGGTTCCTCTACGCATCGGCAGCACCATTCATGATCAGGCATAAAACCAAAGCATCAGGCAGGCTGGAAGACATCTCATTCTCATACTTGACATTGAAACGCGGACGACAGCATCTTCCCGAACATGGCTAGCCCCGAAAGAATCGAGAAGCTGTCGAGTGAGCACGTCGAAGTGCGCTCTTCATCTCACCAACAGGATCGATCCGATGCGGCGGCAAGACAGGCCGAGTTTGAAAAACAGCTCAGTTTCTTCGAGACCTTGAGAGTCTTCTGGAGATGCACGATCTGGATCCTGTACGGGCAGCTCGTTGTTTTTGGCTATGGAATTGACGGTGTCATCGCCGGAAATCTGTTGGCCATCCCAAGATTCAGGTGAGTTGCGTCTGGTCCCAATGTCCGTTTGGGTGGGGGCTTACAATATATGTTTCCAGAAAGGATTATGGGGTTGCATTTGGCGAGGGAGAGGCCGCTACTTACATCATCCCCGCAACATGGCAGAGCTTATACGGAGGCGTATCTCAGCTTGCCGCTATTTTTGGAGCCATATCTACGGGGTGGATGGCTGATAAGATCGGGAGACGTTACACAAACATGGTCTTTTGCTGTGTTTCCGTCGTCGGTGTCGGCATACAGTACCTTTCGACCTCGAACGGCTCTCTTGGCGTGCTCACAGCTGGTAAAGCCGTCAATGGACTGCCAATCGGCGCCTGGCTGGTGCTTGGCCCGCTGTACGCATCCGAAGTGGCCCCCTTACAGCTACGTGGTTGGCTTACGGCCATGACCAACTTCATCCAGTTTTCCGGAACCCTGCTGTTCACGGGCATCATGTACAAGCTTGGTCCGGCGGACACTGAGAATGCATACGTCCTCCCATTCGCCTGCCAGTGGATCATCCCGTGCATCGTCATCTTGACGGTGTGGGTTTGGCCCGAGTCGCCCGTATGGCTCGTTCGTCAGGGACGTTTGGGAGAAGCAAAACGATCCCTTCGACGGCTTCATGGGGACCCGGAAGACATCGATCGCGACGCGATCCTTGCTCTGATTCAGGAGACTGTCCGAGCCGAATCCGAGTTGCGCGAAGAGATTTCAAGCGTCTCCTACGCCACGGCTTTTGCAAAGGCTGACCGGAAAAGAACCCTGACCTGCATGTTTATTTATGGGTGTCAATATCTCTCTGGGCTCGTGTTTGTTCTCGGCTACCAATCCTACTACTATCAACTTGCAGGGATGGGCGCGCAGAAGTCATTCCTCCTCAGCATGATCAACAACAGCAGCATGTTTGTGGCTAACATTCTGTCCTGGCCTTTGTTGACAGTTGTTGGACGAAGGCCGTTGATCGTGTGGGGCCAACTTGCGTGTGCCTGCATACTGATGGTCGTTGGAGGTACATCGATTGGGACGACGTACGCGACAACCATTGTGACGATATCCTTCATGTTCCTTTGGGTAAGTGATATAATCCGCAACCGGTAGCGGTGTCATGTGTGCTAACAAGACGTCAGGGATTCGTCTATCAGATCACCCTCGGAACTGTTGCGTGGACAGTGGTAGCTGAGATTCCTTCTTGGAGACTCCGCTCACGAACTCAAGGGCTATCGAATCTAGTCCTGTGCCTCGTGCAATGGCTGATTGGCTTCGTGTTTCCGTACATGTTCAACCCCGACGCTGGAAATTTGCAGGGAAAGGTCGGCTTCATCTTTGGGGCGACAACCTTCTGCGGCTTCCTTGGCTGTTGGTTCCTTTTGCCTGAAACAAAAGGGAGGACTGTAATTGAGCTTGATGAGCTATACGCAGCAGGGGTCAAGCCAAGGCACTTCGGTAAAACCAAGCTTGAGGAAGGCGGTATCTCGAAGGGAACTGAATCCGGCTGAAAAAGAGAATGGGAAAAGGGAGGGTTTGACGTCGAGATGTTTACAGAAGAGCTTTCTATAAGCGTGTAACTAATATAAGGGTTGTCAAAGTCAAGACTTCGCAAGCTGTGAACAGGTGCTTCATTGCACGTTCGTCAAGCTGCAAGAATCCCGGGCTGAGGGGCTCGAATTATGGAATGCGGTCCAACGAGTCCTTCAAGATCCTAAACCAGTATTACTCGTCCATACAGTCAGAATCCTCGATCTTCTGTTACCCGAGAATTTTTTTGAGTTTTTCTTTTTTCTTTTTTCCACTCCGGCGGTCATGTCACGAAGCTCAGAAACTTATAATTAGACGGCCGTCAGCTTACTTCGCTGGATGAGATCCGGCTATTCCAACATTGAATTCGAGATCGCGCTAGAGCAATTGTACTTGTCGCCGCTAAGAAGCTACGGATCGCAAACCCTCGTTGAAGTCAACCCTAAAAATACTACATGCAGCTCCTTGAGCATTGCCGGGTATGATGACCAATAGATCAGGAGAGAAGGAAGAAGATGAATTCTCTATAGAAGATACTATTACTATAAAAAATAAAAAAAAGAGGAAGAACAAGACAGCGCGAAGATATTGCCTTTTGAGAGTAGCTATAGGCCGAATATATAGCCTGACTAAGTAAGGTAGTTACTAGCCTAAGGTAGTCACTAGCCTACTATATAATACCGCCCCTTAGGCTTGTAATAAGGCCATTAAGGCCTTTAAAATAGTACTTATAATTTAATCTAAAGTAATCCACAAGCGTGTCGCGCACACAAGCGAGTCGCGCACCTCCCCACCATAACATATCCATATGTCTTTAATATCAAACTCCGATACCATTAGAAATAGAATCACTTCCGGCGGAATTAAGGGTTCTTCTTGCCCTTCAAGCTATTTAGAAAGACAAAAATATTAGTATTCGAGCTATAGCTAAAACCTATAACGTACCCGTAACAATAATCAAGGATTGTGTTACGGTGCCACCAGTAAGCTGGCGGCTGGGTACAAGACCCAGCCCGGATCACCGAAGCACGTCACGTATACCTAGGAGAACGCATAGGCCCCGTAGCGTACCACGAAGTATAGAGCCCGCAAACTCTATATTCCCCTTTCCTTTCTACCTTATCGTTAGATAGACTTAATCTAAGCTACTAAGTTATTCTAATAGGGCTTAGCCCACAATAACTATAGTTAATACTATATATATTATAAGTACATAATAAGGCTATAGTATAGCGTAACTTATCCTTATCTTTATCGTTATCTTTAGTAGTAATCTTATTAATTAAGGCTTCGGTCGGTTAGCTATTATTATTTAAGAAAGCTTCTACTATAGAAATAAAGTTATAGATAGCGTATTAGATATTAGGTTTATTTTATAACAAGCGTTATAAAAAACAGTTTATAGTAAGTTTATAAATATATAGTTAGATTTTTTTATATTTTCTTATTATTAAAGGGGTAAGTTTATTATAAAATACTCTCTTCGATAGTTGATATATATTAAATTAGGTAGAATAAAGACCCTGACTAGCCTAATATAAGACAATATCTACTAAGGAATCAATATAAACGATTCCCTGATTTTTATCACCAATCCTTACTAGAAAGAGGCGTGCTATAGTATTATGCTACTGTAAATATTTTGTAGCACTTATGCAGCAGGTCCCAAAGCTACACAGCCAATTGTGGCACATCTGCTTTTCGAGAGCATGTTGCCCACCCGAAGCTCCGCGTACTGACAAAGAGCACTGAGTCAGGGGGTCATGGGTGTCATGTGGGGAAAAGGCACGATGGCGGGGTTAACTGACTGAGTAATGGCCTCGACAGAGTGGAGCACTTTAAGCCGGACTCCGTTGAGACAAAGCTGGAGAAATTGATATGAATTCATGGACAGCTGAACACTGTCCCTACTGCATACCAGCTCAGACCAGATCTTACACTGTTCATCGAATCCCCGCACTTATTCGTTCAGTAACCATGTCTTCGAAACTCCAGGACCTGAGCAATCGCGTTGCTATCGTGACGGGTGCTGCCAGGGGCCTTGGTCGCGAGTACGCCTTGCTTTTGGCAGCGCAAGGAGCGAAAGTCGTCGTCAACGACTACGGCGGCACTATTGATGGGACCCGGGGCGATCAGAGTGTTTCCCAAGAGGTGGTGAACGAGATCATCGCGGGGGGAGGCGAGGCATACGCCGATGGCCATGATATCTCCGTCCAGGCCGAGGTCCAAGAGATTGTCCAGACGGCTGTTGAGAGATACGGAAAAGTCGACATTCTCATCAACAATGCCGGGACTGCCGGTAGCGCCAGCTCCCAAGACAACGTCAACGTAGACTCCTTCCGCCGGACCTGGGAGATCTCTGCTCTTGGTACCATCATGCTGATCAGTGCGGTCTACCCGTTCATGGAACGGAACGGCTACGGCCGCATCGTCAACACATCTTCCGATAGCATCGTCGGCATGGGAGCAGGAGGAGACGGAGGCTACGTCGCGAGCAAAGGAGCTGTTTTCGGCCTTACAAGGGACCTTGGGCGATTCAGCCCCAAGCACGGCATCAAAATCAACGGAGTCATGCCTTCTGCCGCCTCACGCATGTCGGATCTGTCTCCAGTGATCAAGAGGATTACTCGAAAGTATTTCCGAACTCAGCTTGTCGCCGAATTCGTCGTTGCTCTGGCTAGCGAGGAGTGCCCCGTGTCCGGAGAATTGTTCAGTGCGGGGGGTGGAAGGGCTGCGAGGACCACCATTGCGACGGTCCCAGGTCACACCAACGAGTCCACCTCGCAGGGCTACCTGGACAATTTTGACAAAGTCATGGGGACCTCAAGCGAGCTCTACGTACCAAGCGATACGCTTGACCTTGTGTCGTATGCCATTAAACACGCTACGGGAGAGGACTTGGGTAAAATCGAATTGTAGGGTCCGATGACGCAAAACCTACGACTAAAACCATAGAGCTAAGCAGAAGACCTGAATTTGACCAAACCAGTCACTGTTATGCAAGTTTGTACCCTTTCGTGACTGTACAGCTCTCCAAACTCTGCTGATCTGGAGGGCACGCGATGGAAGATCCGAAGGAGCGGAGGCCAGGTGCATTATCCACGGCTTCGTGTGTAGCTTAATTGGTTTGCACATCGGAAACGAAGGGTTGGAACAAGACTTCAGCAACAATACCATTCCAGACTTGACCTTGGTGAGTACCTCTGCTATCCCTAGCTACAGCTTGTACGTTGTCTTTGTCTTTCCAACAGACGCATTCCACTGATCTTTCAGAACTCGCCGGAGGATCTTACCTGAGGGGCTTTTCGGAATAGTCTTCACAATCTCAATGCCTCCCGCCAGCTTCTTGTATCTTGGTTTCTTCTCTTTGAAAACAGAGTGGATCTCTCTGCAAAGGGCATCTTCAGTTCTGGAAACGCCCTCATGCAGGACCACGAAGGCACGGGGGACCTCGCCAGAATACTCATCCGCGATACCGATAACGGCTGCATCAGCGACAAATGAGATACCCAGAAGAAGGCCCTCCAATTCAGCTGGGGCGACGGCGTGGCCTCGAACCTAAGTCACTGTCAGAAAAGGAGTCTGTGTCGCCGTTGAGGTCATGCTACCTTGATCATCTCCTTAATCCGGTCGTGAATTGCGAGGAAGCCATTGAGGTCAATGGACCCCAGATCACCGGTCTTAAAATACCCATCTTCAGTAAAAGCACGGGCCGTCTCATCTGGTTGGTTCAGGTAGCCTGGAGTGACTTGGGGTCCCTTCACCCAAAACTGCGCATTTGTCAGCATCATTGACTTATTGCGCGCGTTCACAGACGCTGAGCAGGACAGACCTCGCCAACTCCACCGCTTGGCACCTCCTGACCACTATTTGGGTCCACAACACGAAGCGCAGTGCCAGGTACTAGGCGGCCGATCTTTGATGCATTGCTCCATGTCATGAGGTCTGGCGGCGTAACAGTAAGACACGACGTGGTTTCTGTCATGCCCCAGGCTTGTCGGAGGCGGATATGGGGAAAGCGCTGGGCGAGTCGGGCAATGGTTTGATCTGTCAACGGCGCGGCCCCGGTGTTGAACTGCTCTACGTGCGAAAGGTCGTAGTTTCGGGCCACCTTGTCGGTTAAAAGTCGTATCAGCAGAGCTAAGACCAATCAGTGATTAAGTTCCAGGCGTTGCTTCGGTACTAGCAAAGTCTCACGAGGGACGAGCCACAGCTCAGTGCATCGAAAATGCTTGATGGTGTCCATCATGGCTCTCATGTCAAACCCACCCATGATGACCATGTCATGGCCCGTCGCGACCGGCAGGTGAATTAGGTGGACAAGCCCGGTGACTAATGTGTGCTCATTAGCCTCAACCCAGGTGTTTATGAGACTTGGCGACAAGGGGGAAGCTCACTGTGGTAGAATGGAAGAATCCCCAGAACTTTTCTTGGTCCTCTCTGAGTAGGCGAGACATCTTCGACTTGGCGAAGCTGATTGATAATGTTGGCGTGTGATAGGATAACCTGGACCCATTACATGTCAGTTGCTGCTGCGGTTCGCTGTCTCGGCCGTACTTAGATAGATAAAATACTAGGCCGCTGGATTCGCAATTACTTACAGCTTTCGGCTTGCCGGTAGTTCCTGAAGTGAAAGAAAGAAATGCCGGAGGGAGTTGACTTGGTTGACTTGGTAGAACTGACTGTCGACAAGGAGATTCCTTGCTGTTCCTTGCCAAGCCTCCAAGCGCGTCAACCTCATCCTTCGCGGCATCAAGAAGAAGCACTCCATCAGCACAAAGCCCTATACGTCTGCAGGCATCACGAACTTTCGACAGCAAGCCCTTTTCTGTGAAAATGAGCTTCGCGGAAGACGTTTCCAGCATGTAGCTGAGGTCCTCTGCGCTCGCGGTCGGGGGCAAGAGCGTGACGGTTGACCTCAGGCGAGCAGCAGCCAGAACAGAAATTACATATTGTGTGGAATTCTGTGCAATGACCGCAATTGCTTGACTTGGCAGGATATTATAATCGATTGCGAGCGTTGTTGCGAGTTTTTCTGCTGCTTCTTTCAGTTCTCGGTGGGAGATGAAAGAGCCTTCAGCTACATCCCAGAATCCAGCAGTTTCTGAAGGCGTGCGGTCCGGTTTCTCGAAGAGCCAATCCCAGATGGAAATGTTCCGAGTGGCTTCTTCTTGTTAAAAGGCACCCATAACAGAGTCTAGTGAAATGACTTACTGGGTTCGAAAGCTGCTCCGTGGTACGGCATCTTGTGGCGTTGTTGGTAAAGTAGAACTTCCCAGGCGCCGACCGGGCATGGCGATACCTTTATTAATTCTTTGTTTGACGACGACGATGACCATGTACGCCTAGCCGGATCAAGGTGCCAACCGAAATCCCGAACTACCGGTTGCCGGAGCAGGGTACATGTGGTGACCGTGGTACAGCTTCAGTAATGCAGCCCTCATACGCTAGCAGCGCCCAATGCACATCTGCAGTCGCTAGCTACATTCCCCGCGGTTCCACTTCCATCAACTCAGTTGCATCCCCGCGTTTTGATCCTGGAATGGACGGTTTGGGCTACCAGGAGCCCACGGCTATAATTACCGCGGAACAATCGGCGTCAGAGGACTTGTCTCCATAACCGCGTCCACGCATTACGCGATTTATTATAGCCCCTAGAGGTTAATTAAATAAGCGCGTAGAGGAATATAAAGGGAATAGATATATGGAATCGCTAGGAAGATACTTACGATTAATAAAGTAATCACTTAAGGGTTATTAATTAATAAAGCAGTTTAGAATTATTATTACTTTAACATATTAATTATTAAAGAGTAGTATTCTTATAGGTGCAGTGAAAGGAAGATCGCGACTAATTCGATGATCTTTAGGGTAGGCAAACAGATAAAAGAATGACGACTTAATTCAAAAGAACTTTCTAGTAGTGAAGGCCTATATTTATAGGCGTGAGGGCGCTATAATACCCTGTAAAAGAGTGGATCAAACCGAACCTAGTGGAAGATTATAGAAGGTTTGTAATAGCGAGTGTGGCAGTGCTAACCTTCGAATATTATAGAAGGCTTCAGAAGCACTGCATTCGTAAGCGCTATGGACCCTTGTATCAGTCCCCTGAAAGATCCCTGTAAGTTCTAGGGGGCCCCTGCAAGGGTCATGTGAGAGGGCCTCGTGAGGCACCTAGTTGGGGCATTAGGTCCCTATTTTTAACATATAATTAGTATCTTGAAAGTTTTATTATAGAATAATATAAAAGCTTTCGAAATACAATAATATTAATATTATAATAAAATAATTTATAGAAATATAGATTTAATAATAAAATATTAAGGTACTCGTAATAAGGAATTTCAGCCGTCGTAAACTTTTGATATATATGTCGCTATCGTCCGCCGTATACGAGCACAGGCTGAGCTCAATGCGCATGAAGATTTTGGCCGTTAACACGAGAACCATGAACAGTGTTGCAGCCTTTAATATTAGGCCAGTCAGGACCATCGATTGGGTGTTCGGAGCATGAGGGAAGTATCAATGCATCCATATGTTAAGAACAAATTCTCCTACATCAACAACGCACCGGAGAGCGTCGATGTCGGCATAACTTGGGGAAGACTATTCCCACGCTTCTCAGTGCCTCAATACGTCGAATTCTAATACACCAACGTTAACTTTATCTAATGGCCGCTTAACTCGTGCCTAGTGTCAGGGGGGGTCGGTCGGCAGGTAGGACGGGGAACACTCGGTCAGGCTGATCTAGTCTATTGCTACGGATAGGCACTCCTTAGGTAGGGCAGGCTCTATGTATAAGACGTAGCTCGAAGAGCTATAATAGAAGATAGTCGGGATCGCGATAAAATGCAAAAGTAGGCGCGAGTTTATGTAACTACTAGGTGCAGGGTGGGTCCCCGCTCTTAACCAGCTGTGATAATACGCCCCCCTTCTAAGGGCGAGCTCCTGCGAGTATTTATTAAGGACCAGGTTTATCGGGATATCGGCGGTAGTAGTTAGCGACGATCTATTACGCGTTCTCTAAATACTCTGCGGGTTCTTCGGTCGGATTATTATACCTAACTTACTTTATAGTATACTATAATCGTGGGTTACCTCGGCCTCTTCGTTCTTAGCGGGAATCTACTATCTTTTATACTATAAACTCTTTAGCCCTATTAACTTTAATAGGCGACGGGGGTGCGATACGTTATCTAGGATAGGGGTTATTAGTAGCGGGTCGGAGTAGGTTAATATAGAATATAGGGTATACTCTTATACTTATAGGTAGTTCTAGTTTATAGGCGTACGGCGATATAGCTTTCTCGACCTTTAAGGGGCCGATATTCTTCTAGTCTAGTTTCTTCTACGGCCGTAGGGTTCGTAGGTTTCGGGCGTCTAGCTAGACTAAGTCTCTAGTGCGATACGTACGGGTAGGTTAGCGGTTCCGGTTCGCTTGGTCTTTATAGTAGGCTTAGGCGGCGGTTAATTTAGACTATAGGTATTTATTAATCTACTTTATCTTACGAATAAAGCTTTCTATATCCCGGGAGGCGGGAGTATTAGCGGTAGGGATATCTAGTTCGAACCTTATCCGGGGGTAGGAGCTATAGTTAGTAAAGAACGGCGATATACTAATAGTCTCGGATTTCTAGGAGTTAGTAACGAATTTAGCTAGCGGGAGCTAGGTAGACTAGTCGTCTTATAGATATAATACGTAAGATTATAGGTATTATTATAGGATAGTATTAAAGTATTTAGTCTAGCCGTCTGTTTATAAGTATATAATAATTAATAATAGGCTCTTAATCTATAGCTGTCGGTTTAAGCTCTTCTAGAACTTAGAAATAAACTAAGGGCCTCGGTCGGATATAATAGTTAATAGTAGGCTATATAGCTTCTAGATATAGTATAGGTATAGACGGGCAGTCTTAGCCGAATCGTAGGTTATTTTATAGGGTATTAAGTATCTTATCTTCGTTAGATAGTCTACTACGACGAGGATTATATCGTATCCCTAGCTCGGAGGTAGGTATATAATAAAGTTTATTAATATATCTCTCTAGGCGTGTTCGGGGATCGGTAGCGGCTTTAGGACTCCTTAATAGGCGTCTCGGGACGGGTTAGACCGGCGGTAGGTATAATAGTTCTTGATCTATCTTTCTACGTATACTAGTATACCTAGCTAGAAGTAACTTCTTAATAAGATATCGTAGGTACGGGCTCGTCTAGGGTATCTAATAACGGGTGACTTATAATAACGGCGGAATAATTTAGCCTTTAGTTTATCGTAGTTAGGGATATATAAGCGGTCTCGGAAGTATAGGCGGTTATAGTTCTCGGTATACTTAGATAGTATAATACGGGTATAGTGTCGCTTGCTTTTACGGATCGCTTCTTAAATAGATTCTAGGATTTTATTAGCGGTATAGCCTTTATTAAAGAGGTCGGATAAGTTAGTAGGAAGTTCGGTTAGTAAGCGAGCGGCGTAGAACCTTACCCTCGGGTCTAGGTTCTCTTTCTTTAGTATTATCTAGCTTTAGTAAAGAAAGCGTTTATCCCCCTCTTTTAGGAGATCCTCTAACCTCTTAGTTAAAGCGTCGGGCTTAATACCTTATTTCCCGGGTCGGTAGGTGATCTAAAAGTTAAATCGTGATAGGAACTTAGACTAACGGGCTTATCTTTAGTTTAGTAGCTTCGTTATAATAAAATACTCTAGGTTACGGTAGTCAGTGATTACTTTAATTAGTAAAGAGGCTCCCTCTAACTCTAGGCGCTACTCCTCGAAGTAGCGAATTATAGCTATTAGTTCTTTATTATAGATCTTATAGTTATACTTAGTAGTAGTATACTTTTTCGAGAAGAAGGTAATAAGTCGTAGTATCTTATTATCCCTTACCTAAGATAATATCCTAGCGGAGATATAGTCGGAGGCGTTTATCTCTAGGATAATATTCTTTTCTTAATTAAACGGGGCTAGTATCGGGGCGGTGCTAAAAGCGGTTTTTAGGCCTTCGAAAGCGTTATAGTAGTTAGTAATCTAATAAAATAAGACTCCTTTTCTAATTAAGCGGTTTAAGGGTACGGTAATCTTTAAGTAGTCCTAGATAAATCTCCGGTAGAAATTACCGAAACCTAGAAAGACTTATATATCGGTAACGTAGGTCGGTGTCTTTTAGTCTCTTACGGTCCGGACTTTCTTAGGGTCTATTCGGATTCCCTCTCGGCCGATAATTAAGCCTAGGAATTTTATCTTAGTCACGAAGAATTTATACTTTAATATCTTAGTATATAGCCTAGCGTTCTTTAGGGCTTTTAGGACTATTCGTAAGTATTTTTTATATTCGGACCTCGTTCGGCTATAGATTAGGATATCGTTTAAGTAAGCGGTATAGAAAATATTAAGGTATTCTCTTAGTATATTATTAATATACCTCTAGAAAGTTATAGGGGCTTTAGTTATTCTAAATAGCATAATAAGTGACTTATATAGTCTAAATCGAGTGCGGAAGGCGGTTAAGTATTCTTCCCTTACGCGTATCCGGATATTATTAAACGTAGAGATAATATCGACCTTCGAGAAATATCGTATACTAGCTAGGTTATTTAGGGATTCCTTAATTAATAATAGCGGGTATCGGTCTTTAATAGTAATATTATTTAGAGCGCGGTAATCGATATAGAAGTATAGTCCGCTATCGTTCTTCTTAACGAATAATATAGGGGACGCTATAGAGGAGGAGCTTGGTTAAATAAATCCTTTTCGTAGGTTCTCCTTTAACCACTCTTTTAGGGTCTTTAGTTCCTCTCGAGATATCCTATATAAGGGTCTAAACGGTAGTATACTTCCTTCTTTTAACTAGATATAGTGGTCTTTAGGTCGGTGCGGCGGTAGTTTATTAGCTTCTTTAAGCGAGAATATGTTAGCGAACTTAGCGATCTCTAAGGGTAAGGTAGGTTCTTATTTAATAGGTTCTATAATTATCTCTTCGATCTAGGCTATAGTAATAGCGAATAGCCTTATATCGCTCCTTTAGGTATATATAGATACGGCTCTTAGCGATATTAGAAAGTGATGCACTAAAGGCAGATCAAACAGGTGGAAAAGGATCATCAATTCAAACGTCCTTGGGCAGCCAGTCGGCCAGCCTAAATAGGCATGGCGCGGCTGCTCCTCGGATCGTGTGCGCGCAGCCTGATTGGCTGCGGCGTTATCAATGCTATCTTATCGCTATCGTACCTGTGCGTGTACGTGACCAGCACGTGACACCCACACACAGCGTAGATGCATCTTGGTTGAATGGCCACACAACCTACAAAGTGTATCATAGTGCCGGCCACATAGAAAATCGTCACTACCCTCAGTGACTCCCGGCAACGCCTATCCAAGCCAAGGAAATACTCGTCCGGCGCTGTCATCACTCGTGCGAATCGTTCGTTCGTTACTGTCGTTAATACCTTGTTGTTTTGTTGTTCCATCTGTGATCGTGTCTCCGTGTATCATATCGATCATTCCTCCCTGTATCATCGCGGCGGCAATGGGTCCAATCTATTGTGCGGCCGCGGTCTGCGTTCAGCGCCTCAACCTATTGCCCTTCCGGGGGGTTGAGGACTTCTTCTCACGGGCTAATTGCTCCTCGAAGGTGTGTATCGCGGCGTCGCTGATGCCTGTGGACTCCACCCACTGGTCGTATTGGGGGCTCCAACCCTTCCAGCGAACCTTATACTTGACTGTTCCGTCCTTCAATTGGCGCTTGTCCAGCAGCCTCTCGATCTCGTAGTGCACATCTCCTTCATCGTCTTCAACGTCGTGTGAGGCTTCCACAGGCCCAGGCTCGGGGTCGACGTGTGCGCCGGCGTGGGCAGGCTTGAGGTGCTGGACCGATATCACGGGGTGTATCTTCATACTGCTGGGCAGGCTCAATTCGGCGGCGAGGTCGTTGACCATCCGCTTGATCGTGAAGGGGCCAAGCCTCTTCTGAGACCATTTGGGGCTCGGCCGGCCAGCGAGGTGGTATCCGTGATGAAGATTGAGGTACACGCGGTCTCCGGCCTGCAGCTGTATCGGTCGGTGTTTGGCGTCATACCATCGTTTGGCCTTCATCGCTGCAAGATCCATTGCCAATTGAGCCGTCGTTCTCACGGCCTCTCTCATGTACGGCAGCGTCTCGGCGTCAGGGTTGTTGGCGGCTTGGAACGCTCCGTTGAGTCTGAAGCCGTAGATGTACTCGTGCGCGCTGCATTGGCTGCCGACGTTAAAGGTGCTGTTGATGTTCCATTGCATCGCTGGAAGCAGCAGCTTCCAGTCACGATCCGGCTCTTCGACGTAGGCCAGCCGTATCGCTGTTTCAACCACCTGATTGCGGCGTTCGGCCAATCCGTCAGCCTGTGGGTGGTGCGCTGTTGTCATCGCCAGCTTCGTGCCGAATGCCTTCCACAGTCCCCTCCAGAAGGGTTTAGTGAACTTGCGGTCTCGGTCGCTGATGATGATTGATGGAAGACCCCAGTCCGCCATCATCAAGGCTCGGGCTAACACTTGCGCCCAATGTTCTGACGTGTATGTCTCGTGGCCAGGGATCAGCAGGCTTCGTTTGCTCGCGGTGCAAGTGATCGTGAGGATCTGATCGAAGGTGTCGAAGCCAGTCAGGGCCCACGGCGAGTCTGCGGCTGTCGTTGGGGGCAGGCGGGTGATGAAGTCAATCGCGATGCGTTGCATCGGCAGAGGGCCAGGCCGTACAGGCATGTATGCTCCCATGCGCTGTTGGCGGTCGGTCTGGCCTAGGCAGCAAGATCTGCATTTTGCGATGTGTGCCGTGACCTTGGCGGTCATGTTCTTGATGGCGAAGCCTCGCAGTTCCTTCAGTGTGCGGTCGATGCCAAAGTGGCTGCGTTCGTCGTGTGCCGTTGTAATCACATCTTCAATCATCGATTGCGGCACGCACAGACGTACAGATCTATCTGTTGCTTCGTTATACAGCAGTCCATTCGCGGCTTGGAAGAAAGGCACGCCGCGGCGGCGGTTGATTCGGTGACGCGTTGTTCTATCTGGGCCGGTCGAAGTTTTGGCAGCGTCCTCGCTATCCTGGATCATCGTGATGATCTTGGACCAGTGTCGGTCCTTGGCGTAGCCTTCGAGAAATTAGCTGACCGTTTCGTCACTCATGACGGCTTCTGTGACCACGCACACATCCTCCAGCGCCACGTATTAAGGGTGCCTGCGTTATATTAACGGGTCTGATTCGGCTGCTTCGAGACGGCTGAGTGCGTCGGGCACGAAGTTCTTCTTGCCGGGAACGTGATAGACTTCGAGGTCGTATTAGGAGAGGTAAATCGAGGCTGTGATCAATCTACGGTTAGCTCTATCTGTGCTGGCCGTATCCATTATGGACTTAGCTAGGATCTGCTTAATCGCTAAGTGATCTGTCAGAACGCGTATCGGCTGCTCAGACGACTGCATAATTATGTAGGTACGCCGGATCGCCCACACGAGGCCTGCTAATTCAAGTTCTATTGGTCCGTAGGTGCGTTCGGCGTTGGTCAGCGTGCGGCTGGCGAAGAGGATTGGTTTAACCGCGGTGGCGGGCATCACAGATCCGGGCTGCCAGTCGTAGTCATCTTTGGTGTGGAACAGAACTGCCGCGAAGCCACGTTCGAGGCTCGTATCAACCTAGCAGTACAGGTGTTTGTTGGGGTCATCGTGCGTTAATATGCGGCCAGAGGCTATTTCAGACTGTACGGCCTCGAAGGCCATGATCTCTTCTGGTGTGGGCTCGAATGTCGTGACGCGGCAATAGGCCTTGCGCTTGTTCTTATTATTATCGGCCACTTTACCTACCTCGCGGCCAGCTTTGAGTAATTGGACCTTGCGTCGCTGCAGAGGATCAATCAGCTTGGCAAAATACGGTATTAAATGCCGTAGGAAGCCTGCAGCGCCGATGTAGCTCTCTAACGCAGCTAGATTATTAGGGAACTTGAGCTGGGCGAAGGCAGCCATTCGTTCCTTGGTCGTTGCTAACCTAACGCCGTCCACTCTGAAGCCAAGAACCTGCGCTAATAGATATCCGATCTAGCTCTTTTTCGGAGAAATTGTCACGCTTAGTCGTTGGAATAGGCTGAAGATGATTTCGAGGTGTCGGAGGTGTTCTTCTTCGGACTGTGAGTAGATGATTATATCGTCGATGAATCCTCTGGCGAAATGAGCGTATGGCCGTAAGATCCGATCTATGAACCTTTGTACGTACGCTGGGCTGTTACGGAAGCCCATTGGCGCCACTATGAACCTCTCGAGACCTCGGTGACTTGTCACGGTGAACCTGTGGCGATGTCCCCTTCTGACCGCGAATTGGAAGAAGAAGCTGGATACGTTAATTGCGGTGATATACGTGGCACCTCTTAAGGAGCGGATAACCTCGTCTTGCCGCGGCAGGGGGTAATTGTCCGGCACGACCACCTTATTCAAGGCTCGCAGATCAACGACAACGCGGCCCTTGCGTTTGCCGTCGACCACCCTCCAGACCACGAAGAGGGGTGCCGTGAAGGGTGTTGGTTCAGTCGCGTATTCCATGCGGTTCTGCTTGTGCAAGGCTTCGTGTGTCTCGTTAATAAAGTCACGCTCCTTCTTGCCTTAAGGATAAGGTCTTTGAGCAACCTTGTGCTTATGCCAATCGTCAACTAACGGCACAATCAATTCGTCGTCTTCTGGCACCTTCACAAGCCCTGTGTCGGTGAAGACTTTGTTGAAGCGTTATAGCAGCGCCATCGCCTTATCGCGGAACCTGCCATCGGCGGCGTAAACGTGTATGCCGTTGTCTGTGATGGTCTCAGGTAGGTCGGGGGTCTTGGTGATCTGTAGAGGACCCTTGTGGTGTTCGCGATAGGGTGTTTTGCTCGCATCAGATCCCTCGGCATCATCGAGGTTATCGCGGTCTGATAGAGCGGCGCTGCTGGCTCGTTGTCAATTGCTGCGGCCCTGGCGTTGGTCAACTTCGAAGGACCCTGTCAGGTCCATCGCGCCGTCGTCAGTTATTAGGAAATTCGCGGTTTCCTTGGTCTGTAAGGCCTAGTAGCCGATTTCCTCGTGTTCGCCAATGTACCCAAGGCGTTGCTTGCGGGAGATCGTGATGTCTTCCTCTGTATAGTTGACAAGGAGGATGTTTGGTCCCGTGCGGTCGTTAACGAGGGCGTGCATGGCCTGTGGGTGCGTGGAATTGAAGGTGAAGCTTCTGCCTGACGGCAGCTCCTTCCACGAGGCTGGCACGAGCTTTATTGCACCGGCTGGGACCGTGTAATCCCTTGTGGCCTTGACGACCCTGTTCACCGGGGCAGCCTTTGCCTTAACCACCGTGATAGGTATCTCCAAGTCGTTCAACGCGCCGATCCTGATGACATCCTTGTTGTAGTCAATAGAGGCTCCGTAAGGTTTGAGCCATGCGTTGCCGAGCAAGGCGTTAGAGCCGACGGATGGCAGGACCCAAGCCCCAGATTGGAACTTGGCTATGACATTCTGACCGTTCTGTCGGCCAGCGGCGAAGAAGGTGAAGATCGCGAATTCGTTTGTAGCCGTCTTCCCTCCATCGACGCCTCGAATCGTCGCGTGGTGTCGACGTTCGATCGTGTGGTCGAATTGTTGAAGGACTTTAGCGTTAATGACGGGCGTGCCGCAGCCGGAATCAGGGCACACAGCGATTGATAGTCTATCAGCGGAGGGCTTGACCTCCATCCGCATTGGTGAGAAGTTATTATGCGCTGTGCGTGAGCGGCTTACAAGGGCGGCTGCTTCAATTACCGTTGGCGAGGCCTTGACTTCGACAATTGGGGTGTTGGCAGCACAAGGCTGTCGCTTGGTGTCAGCGATCTAGGCTTCGCGTTACAATTGAGCCGTTGACACGCATGTGTTGCTTGAAGTGTGCTGCTTCCAGCTGTCTTCGTTGTCGAACCTTCGGGCACAGGTATTGCATTTGAACCTTCCCGTGGTCTTCGCAATATCAGTGACCGATGTGACGGCGGCAGCCATTGCGTCAACGAAGGCGGCAGCCTGCGTCGTGGCTTTGCCCTCGCGGGTTATCACGAAATTAACGACTTCCTCTTGGCCGTCGGTGGCATCGTCCTCCGTCACGTTGTTCTTGTATTCTTCTTCGAACTTGACCTCCTTGCGGGTTCGGAAGCCTTGTCTGTCGTCACGCTTGCCACGGTCGCGGTTGTGAGCACGATTGTCATCGCGGCGACTGTTGTCATCGCGGCGGCGATTGAATAGGCGTGCGTTATCGCGGTCGCGGCTGTCACCGCGATAGCTGTCACGGCTGCCCTCACGGCTGCCAGACCCGCGGTTCTCGTAGCGAGAGTTATAGCGTTATAGTCGTTCATCTCGGCCGCTGTCAGAAGTGTAGTCGTCACGGCGTCGGAAGTTACCGCGCTCGTCCTCGCGTCGGAAGTTACCGCGCGCGCGCTGGCCTCGTGAGTCGTGAGAATAGCCGCGAGGTCGCGTGGCGTTGATGGCCCGGGCATCGATCATCTGTCTGCTGTCAATGAAGTGTCTGATCCATCGCTCCAAGGACCAGCTGGAAGTCGGGCGCTGGGTTGCTAACAAGATCTCGCCGTCAATCAACGGCCAGATAGCTTGAATGACATCTCTGTCACGCTTCAGACCTATCTGGCGTGCCAGGGCTGCCTTACGTTGAATGAAGGCAGTAATTAAGTCGCCGGCAAGCCAGTTGGAGATGCGGTATTTGCCGTTAAACAAACGGCTGCTGGCTTCGGCCGCGGATGGCTTGAATCTCTTGTTGAGCTTCTTACAGAAGGTCTTAACAGATCCGCGTTCAATCCGGCGGCGTTCTTCGCTTATCAGCTCGGTCATCATCCATTTATAGCTAGCGCCGGCCAGCAAGGTGCTGTATCGTCCTTGAAGCCCGTATTCATCGCCCATCACGTATTCCTCACATCGGGCTATGAACATCGCCACGTCCGTGTAGATCGGGTCTTTACCTTGCGGCGTGAGCAAGCCCTGTTCTTTATAGTCTGGGTAGTCGGGGTCGAATTTGCCAATAGGCTCGTTCTTCAAGCGCTTCGAGATAGAGAGCTCTGGGTCAGGTCGGAGAGGCTCGAGTCCCAGGCTGTCTTTCGATTGATAACCGCGATCGTCGCGGTCATTGCCATCATCGCGGTCGTCGTCCGAGCTGCTGCTTGGGTCCGAGTCCTCACTATCTGAAGGGTTATAGCGTGATCGTCTTGGTTGGCCTGACAGCAGGCCACGACCTCTTCCTCGTCCTCGACCACGGCCTCCTTGTTAGCCATAGGGCCGCGCTAGCAGCGGCGGCTTGTCTGCAGGCTTGTCGGCAGGCTTGTTAGTAGGCTTATCGGTATTCGTCTTCTTGGTCTTCGTCATAGGGGGCAGTGGCGGGGGCCTGTCGTCCTCGGGTTCCTCGTCATCCACCAAGGCTGCAATAGGGATGTGACACTCGTCTTCCTCTTTACCCGTTATTGTGGTGAGCGGGTTCTTGTACCAAAAGCAACTGGCGTTCTTCCAAGTATCGAGGTATTCTTCCATGAAGTTTCGGCTTATTGGTGCTATTTCGAGTAGGTGTTCGTATTGAGGGTCTTCCTTCGCCAATGCAACCGCAATATTGCTGCAGGCGATCGCGATACGGTTGTCTGCGATTGTCAGGTGTTGGTAACTCCAGATGTCGCTTCGGTGGCTCTCGATGGCCTTCAGCAGCGCCACTCCATATTTAATGAACCATACGTAACGGTCGTCTTCCAGGGCCTCCTTGAGGGTGCTCGTCGAGTCGGCCTTGGTCAATGAGTGTCTCTTTATCTTCGAGCGGGTGACCCTGCGTGGCGTTGTATCGCCGAAGAGGTCTTTCGGCAAGGGGTCGACTGGGTCTTCGGACAGCTCTACAGACAGCGGCGCGTTGCTCTGCAGGTCGGCGCCGTGTGTGGTGGTAAAAGATTCATTAGGCCGAGAGGAAGGAAGGTCCGGTAAGGGAGGAAGGTCCGGCAAGGCGGGTTGTAGCTGTGGTGGTGATGGAAGAGTTGAGTCTTCTTCCTGACCGCCGGAAAATTCGTTGGCCCTCCTCCACGACCCCGCCATCGCAGGCATGGACCTGGAAGGCTTGGGCATGTTATGGGTTATAATTTCGCGATATCTAGTAACCGATGATAAGTCAGAACGTTAGTGATAGTGTAGTGGTTTGAGTGTGTTTGCTAGCAGACTCAGACTCTACTATACTTGACCGTGTTCGCTAGGGTGGCGCCTGGTAACTTATCGTTGGCCACCGGGAGGCTCGCCTCTTGGGAAGGGTAGCGTAAGCTCTCTCCGTCTCTAGATCTGTCTCTTTATAGGACTGGTTGGTGTTTAGACCCTCCTCGGATGAATCTGGCCGACCAGTGCCACTTGGTAAAGTGAGGTAAAGATTGAGATAGTGATTCTTTTGCCGTTATATTGATTTTTTGGACTTCAAAGGAGTGCGCGAAAGCAGGTGATTCCCGCGATGTGGGTGGGGGCTCTCTTTGTGGTGTTGTGCTTGACTGCACGCGCCTCTTGCGGTGATGTATGCACTACGCCCTGCTTTTGTCAAGAGGTGCGTAGTTCAATTCACCTGTAAGGCAGCGCGCGCGTGTTTTTTGCCGATTGATAGCCGCGATTGCAGCGTAATCAGTGCGGTCGCAGCGTAATCAGCGGCTTGATCGCGCGTTGATTGAGGCTCTGCGCGATGAGGTGCTGTAAGGCTGATCCTTTGTGGGGAAGATCAGCCTAATTGCAGTGTGGGTGGGGGAAGTTGTCACGCTATTCGTCACAGCCCCTTGGCGCTGATCTGATAAGCGCGCGACGGAATGCAAGGGGAACGAATAGCTGTGAAATGCTAGGGAACTTCCTGCGATTGATCGAGTAGTTGTTCAAGGTTGTTTGATTGATAAGGGAGTCAAGAATTGCTACCACTCTGATGCACTAAAGGCAGATCAAACAGGTGGAAAAGGATCATCAATTCAAACGTCCTTGGGCAGCCAGTCGGCCAGCCTAAATAGGCATGGCGCGGCTGCTCCTCGGATCGTGTGCGCGCAGCCTGATTGGCTGCGGCGTTATCAATGCTATCTTATCGCTATCGTACCTGTGCGTGTACGTGACCAGCACGTGACACCCACACACAGCGTAGATGCATCTTGGTTGAATGGCCACACAACCTACAAAGTGTATCACATGGGGAAGAAGATCGCGACTAATTCGGTGATCTCTAGAGTAAGTAATCAGATAAGATAAAAGAACAACGACTGAGGACTATCTAGTAGCAAATAAAGGCCTATATATATAGGCGAGAGGGCGCTATGCCTTCTAAAGGAGTAGGCTAAATCGAACCTAGTAGAAAATTATAGAAGGTTTTATTTATAGTAGCGAGTATAGTAGTACTAGCCGTCGAGCGTTACAGGAGGCGTTAGAGACACTATATTCGTAGACACAAAACAATCATCCAACTTGAAGAAGCTGGCTACTCGTTTGGGTGTCCATGCGCCACGGATCTCGACCTCTATCTGGACCGCGAGCGGGCTGTTGAGCTGATAAAGGAAGATGACCTGGACGTAGCAGTGTGTCCACGACGTAGGGTGATCAGTGAGATTAAAGGAGGCATGGGGGTGAAGTCACAGTCGAAGAGGTCATCCCACGATGGTTCTTCCACATCAGATTGTTCGGTCATTGACCCGCGCGGGATACTGAGTGTTGTTCGTGAACTGGTGGTCACTGCAAGCCAAGCCTTCAACAACAACTACAAAAGACTATTACTCTTTATCTGTCACTAGAGAAACACATGCATTTTCACTCCCGCCCACGTGAAAAAGGGGCTTACTTCACACATCACATTGTGAGATCATCACCGACTCAGCCATAGCTTCAGACTATCGTGGCTAAGTCTAGCGCGGGGAAGCAGCCTCACGAGTCACGTCGGGCGGGAGCCAATCGAGCACACTGAGCCACGGCGGTTAGCCACGCCTTCATCCCCTCGACTGTCGTAAGCCTACACGTCCGTGCGCGACGGGGGGACTGACCAATTAGCATACTCAAAAATTGTGATACTTACTATGCCACAAAAGTTTGCCTAAAGCCAGGTACCGGCTCAAATAGACGCTACTCCATTCGCGACGCTATACCTAGCGAATATAGCGTATCTTTCTAACAGACAGGGGTGCGTGGGTAATTTGTTGATCTGTAGTCTTACGACAGTCGAGGGGATGCAAGGCTGCGGTCTGTTGTTGTGCCACCGCCCCATTGTTTACTTCTAAAAACGCAACACCAAGACTCCTCAACACCGAGAGCTACTTACAACGCCTATTGCTTTTCTTCGAGCCACAATCTACTGCGAGTGAATACCGCGAAATATTTGAACTCCTCCTTTTCCGTATAACCGTGACATTTCGTCATCCAAACAACTTGCCTCGATCTGCGACAGAGCGGCCCAGCAACATGGTATGTGCTACAGAAGCCGCTACCCAGTTTTCATTGCTGAAACGTGCTAACACGTACTCTTTCAGTCGTCGCCGATCAAAACTTCCCACATCGGGTTCAGCACTCCTCCTCAACGAAACTCCCCCTTTCAACGCCGTGCCGAATCACCAGCCTCACCATCTCCTCTTCGTCACGCTACCCCGGGGACAGGATCACCGACCAAGAACGGCCCTTCGCGATTTGCGCGAGCAGAAACTCCGGTTACCTCGACGGGAACCAGCCGGACACCACGAGAGCAAACCCCAGCAACGCCAACACGAGACATAATGCAATCTCCATTAAGACCTGTCGCGTCGCGCGCACCGGCACCAGCACCGAGTAAGGGGGATCATGGACACGCTCTATCAAAGCTTCAACCGGCCCAGGTCAGAACTCTGCGGGATGGTTTTCAGATCCTAGATCGCGACTGCGATGGTGTGGTCAATCGGGAGGACGTGGCAGACATGCTGAACCAGCTCGGTACGTCATTCAGAGGACGATATGAATGGCCAGGTCGATTAATGCTTCGCAGGCCTTCCGTTAAGCCCATCGCATGTCGCGCAATTCTTCCCCCCATCGCAACCACAGACCATAGCCCTCGCAGCCTTTTTAAATTCGCTAGCCGAGATCCTGGCCGACCTTTCACCCAGCGCCGAGCTGCTGTCGGCCTTGTCAGCCTTTGACGATGACGACAGCGGACAGATCGACATTGCGGAACTGAGAGATGCGCTGGTCAACACGGCGCCGGAGCCTGGCGAGGCTGCGCTTGCTCTTTCGGCTGCCGAGGTGGACAAGGTCATGGATGGGTTTACCGGGCGGCGTGCGTTCAACCGGAACATGAGTGCTCAGCTCGGCGCGAAGAGGGGAGAAGTCTTCAATTACCAGGATTTCGTGAATTCCGTCATGGGTGCGAATGGAGGGACGGAGGAACCCTCGCGAGAGGCATCAGAGGTCTGAAGCTATGGCATTATTTTGGCTGAGAATTGTGGTCAAGCGCAATACACATGCACATGCACAACACAATGTAATAAGACACGAGATGCATGGCTGTCTGTACAAAGCTTGAGAGATTCTGTATAATGACACAAGTCACACAATGTCCAGCATGGGTCCTATTAATAATAATGAATCAATGATAGATTGCCTGCCAGGGTTTGAAATGGCTGCGTAGCTTGGCGAAGGTGGGCAATCAGCGCAGAGTCGCAGACTCAGCAGCATTGAATTTTGGCGCGAGGAGATGGGCCAACAAACACTTTTGAGCGCAGAGGACTCCATTACCATACTAGCCTCAACGCAAAGTCGCGAACGTGAAGTTGAAAGGCGAATCTCGACAGTAGTCAACTTTTTTCGCACGCATTTGGCAACGCTCCGGCGCCGGGACGGAGGGACGGACGTTGTCTTTGCTCCTGCAGCCACTTTACGGCCCCACCGAACCTTCCAGAACCGCTTCTCTTAAGTCGATCTGACTCTGTTAAGCGCATATGCGCGATGCACGATGACCGCAAGCCACGGTGTTGCCCAGCCATTGATTGCTGCGCAGCGCAGACGGTGCAGTCAGATAGGTCTCTTGAGTGCAGTCCCTTCACCTTGGACGCCCCCAATGGCACGAAATGGCATGGCTGGGCCATTCAGGACGCCTCTGTTCCGCCGCACTTGCGCGCATGAACCCGCCCCATTGGATCCTCGCGCTCGTGCCAGCGGGCCGCTTCCGGGGTAGGCGGACGAGCTGGTCCTGGGCGTGGGCGAACCTAGGACTCTAGGAGTGATGATCCCTTGGGATTGGTTCTTGGGGGTGGGTTCGCTTGGTTGACGAGCCAGTCCCGAGTCTTCTGACCCCTTGGCTCTTGATGTGACGCGCTGAATCGAACTTTTTTTGTGCTTGTGGATGCATGTGCATGGGAGGAAAGGAGAGGGCTGGGGTGGTCACTAAGCTGACTTGTGCTGGCTATGCAATGCTGGGGCTTTGTTTGTGCTCGAGATGGCTGACTTCTCATCCTGTCTTCTTGTGTTTGGCGACCCTCATCTCTCTTCCGACAAGGTTTACCTCTGTAGCCGCCTCTCCTCGACTCTTCCTGTACCGTAGATTCACTTCTCTTGCCCGACGTTGCTCGCGCCTGGAATATCATCACCCGCACGCGACAATCGACCTGCGCTGAGCTGAGCTAACCCCCTTTTGCAAACAACCGACGTCGGCGACTGGACCCGTTTGAGCAATTGCGTCGCGTGTTGCGGTACGGTACGCACGTATCGCGCATATCCTTCTGTCGGGTCTGAGCTCCCGGAGGATAGCCTCTGTCTAGTCCTGTCCACAATTCGCCTGGAGTGCCACTACCGCAGCCGGTAGCGGGCCAAATGAAGTTCTTCGGTGGAAGCAGCAACAAGAAATCTTCCTCTTCCAAAAAGCACGCCCATAGCGACTCGGCATCCTCCTTTACAAACCCAAAAGGCCCAGACGGGACCTCGCTCAACTCGGGCCACACATTCCCTCTTTCCCCACCACAAGAGGATCATTCTCGCGACACTGGTTCTGGTTCGCACCGGTCCGAACCATTATCGCCTACCAAGTCCTTCAACACCACCAGGTCACCTACCAAGAAAACATTTTCGAATCGCGATTCCGTTTCCTCGACGTCGTCACACACGGAGCCCCCGAGCAAGCCCTCTCGCCCCTTCAAATCCTCACGATCCTCCGAAAAAACAAAGCGGAGCAGTCAATTTGACCCAGACACCCACCCACTCAACCTCCCGCCCGAGGAGCGCAGGCGTCTGTCCTCGCTTGCCCAGTCCGCCATGAGTGGGAACAACTCCATGGATATCGACCGCGAACCCGTCAACGGCTCGACGTCGCGGTCGGGGTCACCTCACAACGCTTCCGCGCAAAAGAACTTTTCCGTCCCAATCCCCAACGGCACAAGCAACGTCGAGACCAACGGCAACTCCAATGGGACCGAGTCTGCGCCTGCTCCTCCACCCCACGGCTCCAACCCATCTAGTCCAATCCTCACAGCCGAGGACGATGCTGAGGCATACAAGGCCGCCGGCAACCGGCTCTTCAAGGAGAAGAACTATGCGCAGGCCATTCAGCAGTACTCCAAGGCCATTGACTTGTTCCCCGACTCGGCGACGTATCTGAGCAACCGAGCAGCCGCGCGCATGTCCAGCGGCGCATATGAAGCTGCGCTCGAGGACTGCACCCGTGCCGCGGACCTCGAGTCTGAGAACCCCAAGATCCTGCTTCGTCTAGCTCGCATCTACACGGCTCTCGGTCGTCCGGATGAGGCCATTCTCACCTTCGATCGCATCAAACCCCCACCATCCGCCAAGGACATGGCGCCCGCCAGAGAGATGCTGCACCATCTCAGCGCAGCCAAGGATACTCTGGAGAAGGGCAGCGCCATGTCCATGGTGCTCCACGCGCTTGACCAGGCCGAGAAGGGACTCGGGTACGGTGCCGGCAAGCCACGCAAATGGCAGCTGCTGCGAGGCGAGGCCTATCTCAAGATGGGCCGCGAGAACGCCCTGGGCGAAGCACAGAACATCGCCATGAGCCTGCTACGAAACAACAGCCAGGATCCCGAAGCTCTCGTGCTCAGAGGCCGCGTGATGTATGGCCAGGGCGAGAACGACAAGGCCATCCAGCTCTTCCGCATGGCGCTCAACTGCGACCCGGACTTCCGTGAGGCTGTCAAGTGGCTCAAGATTGTGCAAAAGCTGGACCGCATGAAGGACGAGGGCAACACGCACTTCAAGGCAGCGCGATACCAAGCCGCTATTGACAAGTACGGTGAGGCTCTGGGAATCGACCCCTCCAACAAGAGCATGAACGCCAAGCTGCTGCAGAATCGTGCGCAGTGCAAGATCAAGCTCAAGCAGTACAACGAGGCCATTGCCGACGCCGACAAGGCCGTGAGCCTTGATCCTGGGTACACCAAGGCGCGCAAGACCAAGGCCAACGCCCTCGGGCAGTCGGGGCAGTGGGAGGAGTCCGTCAAGGAGTGGAAGTCCATCCAGGAGCTGGATCCCGAGGACAGGACCATCCCCAAGGAGATCCGCAAGGCCGAGCTCGAGCTCAAGAAGAGTTTGCGCAAGGACTATTACAAGATCATGGAGCTCGAAAAGGACTGCAACGACAACGACATCAAGAAGGCCTACCGCAAGATGGCCGTCAAGCTCCACCCGGACAAGAATCCCGGCGACGACCAGGCCGAAGCCAAGTTCAAGGACATGCAAGAGGCGTACGAGACATTGAGTGACCCTCAGTGAGTATTTGACTGTCTTTCTTTCTCCATGCGATCACTAACACATGGCAGAAAACGTGCGGCGTACGACAATGGTGACGACCTCATGGACCCCGCCGACATGTTCGGCGGCGGCGGTGGCATGGGTGGCATGGGTGGCGGCATGGGCGGCATCGACCCGGAGATCCTGTTCAGCATGATGGGCAACCAAGGAGGCTTCGGTGGCGGTGGCTTCCGCGGTGGCGGCGGAGGCTTCCCAGGAGGTGCCCGAGGTTTCCCTGGCGGCGGCGGCGGCGGCGCTGGAGGGTTCCCTGGTGGCGCCCAGTTCAACTACGGCGGCGGTGGTGCCGGTCGCAACCCATTCTCATGACAACCCGAGCGTGAAGATTCAGAAAGCGGGCCCTTTGATGAGGATGGGGGTGACCCCGATGTCTCTGGTCGCGCAGACCAGTCCGAGTCTGATCCTCCGCCGCAGCAGCAGAAGCAGAAGACGACGACGAGTTATTTCGAGGAACGGCAAGAGCAGGCCCGGGAGGCGCGAGTCGCGGCCATGCGCAGGTATGGCGTGTATCTCGTGGCTGCCCTAGTACTGCTGCCGCTGGAGCTCATCGGCACACTGCTTGTCTTGGCGGGCATTGCGTACATGGTACGACGTGTCATAGGGAGGAGGAGGGAAAATGTCGTTTGAGATAGAGAGAGAGAGAAAGAGAGGATAGACTTGCGACGGCTTTGCAACGATCTGCATGCGCATCATACCACGGCGTTATGGATTATCTGAAGATAAAAAAAGAGTCGCTGATAACGATGATGCGCCAATGGCCGGGTGATGCCTTGTGTAGGTATGATAAGTGATTTCCAACGCCGTGCCCTATAGAATGGTATCGTAATGCTTCTTGTCCCGAACGCCCTGCCCAAATGGCACAAATGTATGCAAATGTCCCCTCCAATCCCTCCTTTTCACGATGCGGCTCCGGCACCGCCAGACCCATTTTCCGGCCCTGCACTCATCTGCACATCCCCAAGTCCGTCCTCCGTCTTGACATCGCCTTGCCCAACCGTACTGGGTGACGCCAGCCCCGCGCCCTCCATAATACTGTCCACGTCGTCCCTGAGCTCGGGCATGGCGCTGGCAATGTCCCGCGCCAGCATGTCGCGAAAGCCGGCAAAGGCGTTCAGCTTGCCGTTGAAGGTCTGGTTGCCCCTGCGCACGAGCTCGACAAACTCGCGGGTGTAAATGTCCGGGTTACGCCCGTTCTCGACGTAGTGGATGAGCTCGGGCGGGACCGAGGGCAGCGGCGTGGTCGAGGCGGTGGTGTGCAGGGTGTGCAGGGAGGTGGCGAGGTACTTGATCTGGTCGGCGAGGACGTCGCGCGTGGGGCGGGGCGTGGTGTCGTAGTTGGTGACCTGGACCATGATCTCGTACAGGTCCTGGATGATGTTCTGGAGCTGCTCTGTTTTCGAGGCCTGTTAACAGGGCGTGATTCTAGTGTCGCGTGAGGGATTGGTACGTACGCTCCACAACGGTCTGTTGGTCACGGTCGACGGGCGCCATGGTTGGTGGCAATGGGTGTGTACGTTGGATGGTGAAGGTGAAGGAGAGGTAAGGTAGACAGGCTTCGGAGCTGGCGTCGCAGTTGGAGGATGTTCAGGCCTTGGTGGGGTTGAGGCGCGGGGCATTCAGGGTAGGCGGGCTGACTTGAATAGTTAACTTATTCGTCTAGAGACTCCAGACACGGCACGCCTTTTTTAACACTTCATCAGACTACATCCCGTCCTCAACCCTTCACGACCACTTCCCCCTTTACATTGACAAACCGCACCTTGCTCTTCAGTCCCTCGACACTCGCCTTGTCCACGACACCCTCGTCATCCCAGCTAAAATCCACAGTACCGCCGCCCCTAACCCTCAATCCCTTGACACTGCCATCCCTCCACGCCGCGGGGATCGCCGGTCCCAGCACCACGGTCCTGACAGCATCCACGGGCGCATCGTGCGCCAGGGGCAGGTCAACGACCAGCATGCTGAGCACGGCGCCGCCCAGCCCAAAGTTGGCGTCGATCTGGAACGGCTCATACTGGCCACTGTACATGCTGAACCCGTTGCCGACAAAGTTCTCCTGGATGGCGTAGCGCAGGTGGAAGTGGGCCTGCTCCGTGTCGTTCAGCCGTGCCCAACACGCAGCGCGCCAGACCTTGGCCCAGCCAGCGTTGGCGTCCCCCGCGTTTCCGTCGCCACGAGCAATGAGCGTCTCGCGCACAGCGTCCTGTATCGTTTCGTTGGTGCCGTACCCGGAGTGGTAGGAGGACAGGGAGTAGCCTGGATGCCAGCCCGTGAGGTGGGACAGGTGACGATGGTCGCTCTTCTCGTCGTACCCGTACGAGTCTGGCAGCTTCCACTCCTTGACGCCGCCCCATTCTGTGACGTGGAAGCCCTTGTCCAGCTTCCCGAGCGCGTCGCGAACTTGCTCGAGGAAGTCCTCGTCGTCCTCCTCTGCAAAGGACGCACCCGAGAGCACCGTGTCAAAGGTGCGGTGGATCTCTTGTTGGTAGTGCGCGCAGCCAAAGGTGGTAGGGCCGTGCTCGGGGCTGCTGCATGGGTTGACGACCAATGTGCCGTCCTCGAAGAAGCCGTCCTCCTGCAGCTGCGACAGCCAGAACCTGCCGACGCCCTTGATCAGAGGGTACCCTTGACGCTTGAACCAGGCGACGTCTCGGGTGTAGTCAAAGTTGTCCCAGACATGCTGCATCATCCAGGCTGCCGAGGCAGGGTCTGGCGTCGTGTGTTAGCGGGAATCTCCTTCTGTGCTGTGGGAGGTCGTCTTCACATACAGTGTGCCCAGCTCTCGCCTTCCTTCATGGCTGTGAAGCCCCAGATGTTCATCTCATTGTGGACAACCCAGCCTTCGCCGCCGTACAGGAGCTCGGCTGTCTCGGATCCTCGAGGGGCCCAGTTCAGCTCCATGTAGTCCCAGAGACCATCCTGCGTCTCGCTGAGGCCGGTCTGGTCCGCCGCCCAGTAGTTCATTTGCAAGTTGATGTTGGCGTGGTAGTCGGCGCTCCAGGCAGGCCAGAGCTCTTCTGTCCAGCGACCTTGTAGATTGGCAGGGAGAGAGCCAGGTCGAGAGGAAGTGATCAACAGGTGGCGAGAGTAGTCAAAGAGGAGTGCCTCCAGAAAGGGGTCGCCGGCGCTCTCTGCTGTATACCCCGCGATCAACTCTGCCGTCTCGACATTCGCCGAGCCATTGGGGTCAGGAAGATCCAGAGTGAACGCAGACTCGAGACATCCGTAGTCGTCAGTGTGACTCTGGAGGAGCCTCTTGTAGGACTTGGCCGCCGCGTTCTTGGTCACGCGCTCAACGTACTCGGCAGGGTCTTGCCCCTTGAACGAGTAGTCATTCTCCGCGTTTCCCTTGGTCTGGTCAAAGTTTGTGTCGGCACCATGTACAATCGTGATGGATCGCTGGCCTTGAGGCGCTTGGACTCTCAACGAGGACCCGTCGCATTCCGTCTTGGCTCCGGAGCACTTGGTGACACGGGCGATTGCGTCGTATTTGAGGCCTTCTGGCGGTCCAGCCTGCGTCTTTCCTTTGACGCGGACGAGTCCTTCCTCGCACGACTTGTCGTATAGATCCTCGTCCACCAGTACATTCTCGTAGGAGACGGTAATTTCCGGGAGCGTCTCGGAGGAGGAGATGTGGTACACGCAGACCTCGTCAGGGTATGTGCAGAAGACGACCGTCGACAGCTCAGCCCCGTCCACTTCATATGTGCTTGTGTGGACCCCAGTTTCTAGATCAAGAACTCGCTTGTAGTTCTTGTAGTCCTGAACGCCCTCGATAGAGACGGTCAGGTTTCCCAGCGTCTGATAGGCTCCATACGCGTCTCCAGAGCCGAGGAGGGGAGCGACGCCTAAGAGGAACGTCAGTCTCATGGATGGTTGTCTTAGTCTCGGGTTCTACTCACTCCCTGTGCCATTGGAGAATATTTCAGCGCGGATATCAGGCAAAGCCCAGTATTTGGGTTCATCGGGGTTGCCGCCATTGTAATCTTCGCTCTGGAAAGGGCCCCCAGACCACAATGAGTCGATATTGAGCACAGCTTTCTCTACTCCTGGAGATCCATGCGGAATAGCTGGGGCACGTCAGTCTCGTTCAGGCTGTGGAGTCGTCATTCTGACCTCCCAGCTTGCCATTGCCCACGGGATAGGCATTTTTTAAGAGATAGTCATCACTCTTTCTCCAGGCATGAGTCGCCGGCTTGGTGGACCACAGTGAGCGGCCGGCGACCCCCGCGAAGGTTGAAGATGCCACAAGCGCTTGTAGTAATGTCATCATTCTTTGGGCTGATGAACATGCACAAAGTAATGGGTCGAGCTGAGGGTATATGTAGGGCAAGGGGCCATAATTCTTCCCGTCAAATCTTCCAAGATGCAGCCCCTCCCTGATTTTTTTCAGGCCTTGTTTTAGGCATGACGATTCGGTTGTTAGGGGTATTTCGCGATATTAGGCTCATTGATACAGGGTACGTGTGCTCTCGGCTTCGGGATAATTCGAGAAATGGTGCGGGGAATGATCTTCCCGAACCGTGAGAATGCCTGCTGTGATCTGAATCTGGGATATCGAGACTATTGACAGCGTACATGAGACGGGGAGACATAGTTCCGGAGGCTAATAACGGCATATTCGGTTCTAGTCTATTAGCTCGCCGCGGCAATATGGGGTTCAAAAATGGATGATGACATGGCCGAGAGGCAAATATCTCTAGGGACTATATCTGTATGTACGTAACCAAGCTCTGAGGGGGCCTTAGCCGTGGTCCAATGCGAAATAAACCTTACAGGAGTGTATGCATCCATCATGTCTCTCAGGTTGACAGCTTGAGCTGACTTGAAATCTTTATGCTGTTTGGAGGGGATATTATCGGCCAACTGGCAACCACAAGTCAGTCTCCTCCAACCAACGCACAGTACAAAGACCATTGTAGAACATGAATGCATCAAGTGTGCCCAGCCAATTAATATCACGGGGATCGTTGATTCGCCAAAGGTGTCGACCGCAGCATTCGACCAACGATGGTGTCATATGATTGGCTCAAGATCACGGAACTCGTCTTATTCTCCGCTAATTGCTGTATTGAGCCACAGCTACTCCGTAGAGGGAGGGGGCTCATCACCAAGCCAGTATTATACTGTAACATTCTCGAGTATATTCACTTGCCCCTATGTTGCGTGGTGAACCGTATAGACATCATCTCTCATGTTCGTATTCGTTATTTCATATCCATTTAATGCCACAGAGCATCGTTGGGCTTGACGCCCTTCTCCTTGCAGTGGTCGTAGTACATCTTGGCGAAGCTGAAGATATCCAGGGTGAACTTCAAGCTATCGTCATCGTTGAGGAACTCAATGCTACCAGTGATGGTAAACACAATATCGGTGTTGTCCTCGACGGACAGGGTGTGGATGACGCCGGGGTTCTCGCATACCCAGTCGCCCGGGCGAGCAACCCAGTCGTACCTGTGCGTGGGATCGCTTAGCATAACAAGCGCAACATGCAAAAACGTTGGTGAACATACTCCTTGTAGCCCCATTCGCCCGACATGGTGATGGCGGTGACGGTGCCACGGTGACGGTGCTTGCCTAGACTGGCGGCCACCTTGGATCGAAGCCCGACCACAAAGGTGCCGGTCCTGTTCTCCATGCGCATGGGCTTCAACTCAATGGGGCCGATCCATGGGAACCACAGCGTGTCGTTCTTGGCGTTGATGTAGACGTCGGGGGCGCTGTACTTGTCGACAAAGGCAATCTCGGAGCGCTCGTGCTCGTTCAAGGCGGAGCCATCCTCCCTGGGTCGCTCGGGGAGCTTGGAGACAGGCTCAGGGACGAGATCCGGGGTGGTAGCGGTCACAGCGGGAGCCATGGTGTATAAGTTTGGTAATTGAGTAACGTATGTTCTGCAGGAGGAGTGAAGGTGAAGTGAAGCCTTTGGCAGACTGGACTGGACTGGACTGGACTGGATTGGAATGTGGGATAATTAGCTGGACTTTGAAGTGAATATGAAGTGTCCTGTCAAGCCAACCACGGCACGTTCCTCCTAGACGGACCCTGGGACGAAATGATGTGGAGTTGGCGAGCGGGGGATGACTATGCAAGCTAGGTGATTGGTTGAACATCTGCCGTCGAAACGCGGTGCAGGTTCTCGGCGTTAGCCTCGGCCAGACCGCCACTTGGAGTCTTAGTCTCGTCAACGGGTGCCACAGATAAAAGCCTCAGCCGCATAGTGGCTCACCCAGCGTACCCCTGAACCCTGAACCAAGCCAGCTTGCCAAGCTGTCATTTGTGGTTGTATGGCTAGAGCCGACTAGCCGGCCTATCAGGTCATTCTATGTTATTCATGCGATACATACCCACCTTCGATCATACCAGAAGCCTGGGCCCTGGTTACAACTTACGTTTTCTGTTTCTCTTCATTATTTCATTTCCCCCCCCTGGTCCTCGACATTTGCTTCCGAGTGCTGGCTGGTTGGCCTTAGATATCATCTTTACGGATACCTCGAGGGACCTTCATTGCTACCTTATCGTTGAGCCTGGAAGAATCTCCGGGCTCGGGGAATACTTTTCATCCCCCCCCCGACACGCATCCATTGCCGGAGGCCCTGGCTATCGCTGACTCGTACTGCCGCACTGACTTACCGGGAGTTCGTACTCGGTATCACTCCGTACATAATAACATTCTGTTCCGTCCTCTCGAGTTTGTTCGCTCGTCCTCTCTCCAATTGACTTGATGCTGCCCCTGTGGTTCTCGACGGACTGGGTGCATGTGACCTGCAATCAACAACTTGACCCTGACTGAATTGGGGGCTGTTTCTGTCTTGTTGCTTTTGTTGACCTCGCATGGTCAAGATGGAGTCCAGGCAGACAGAAGTTTGGGTTGTGCTGTTTGTGACCTTTGCCGCTGCCACGATCATCACGGTACTCCGTCTGCTGAGCCGAAGACTCAAGAGGATCTCACTCTCGTGGGATGATTACTTTGCACTCTGTGGCTTTGTAAGTTCCTTGCTGTCCCTGCATCGCATTCTGCAGCCCGCTTATTCGTCCAGGCCATCTCGATTGGTTGGGTCATCATCATTCCTTACTGTAGGTCGTTCACGTCAACCAACACAAGTCAAATCGCTGACCCAATTCGCAAGGGGTCAACCACGGCCTCGGGCTTCACATCGAAGATGTTATGGCTACCCAGAACAAAACGCTAGGAGATGCATTGTTCCAATCAAAGTTACTGCTCTTCATCGCCGAGCTTTTCTACGCCTTTGGCCTGTTCTTCGCCAAAGTCTCCATGTTGAGTCTGTACTGGCGCATGTTCAGCGTCACGAATATCCGACTCCCGATCCAGATTCTCTTCGGATGTTCTTTGGTTTGGATCACCTTCCGAGTACGTTCCTCCCCACACTCGACTCCATCTTGGCGCTGGATCTAATTAATAATGGTTAGATCTTCATGGGCATCTTTCACTGCATCCCTGTCCAGGCCTTCTGGGATTCTAGTGCCGGCGGGTACTGTGCCATTGAGGACAAGAAGTTCTTCTTTGGCACCACGCTTGTCCATGCCGCCATTGACATTGCGATTTTGATCTTGCCCATGTGGCAGATTTCACAGCTACAGCTACCCTTGTTGCAAAAGGCTGGCATCATGGTCATGTTTACCTTTGGCTTCTTGTGAGTGGCGCTACCAAACTGTCTATGTACTGGTTGGATGTCAAGTAGTTGCTAACCAATGTAGCATTTGTGCGGCCGCTATCAGATTGATTGTAGCCGCTAGAGTGTTCGACGATCATTCGCCCGATCTGACGTGGAATATCTGCGACATTGTTATCTGGGCGACGGTAGAGGTCAACCTAATCAATGTTTCTGGTATGTTTCCATCTCATTCCTCGCTCTCGTCCCGTGGAGACAACTAACTCTCTCTCTCCCTCTCTCTCTGCAGCTTCCCTACCTACAATTCGACCGGCCTGCACATTCATCTTCACCTGCACACACCCACGGACACGAACGGAAGCCACCTCGGGCAGCTACCCAAACACGGAGCCCCGAAGCCGAACCAAGCACTCCATCCGGCTCGACCCCATGACCAAGTCATCGCCCAACGACGAATCCAGCTCAACACACCAGCTCGCCGACTCGGACGATGGTGGTGGTCGCGGCTCCGTGTCCGACTTTGAAAGTCACGCCATTGATCGACTGCGACCGTCCGGCCACAAGTACACGTCGACTGTGACGGGGCAAAGTGGCATGGGAGGTAGTTCTCGATCAAACCTGGATGGCATTCTTGTCAAGAATGAGACCACGGTGCACGTTTCCAAACACTGATCGACGGAATCGAACCAGGCGTAAGATAATGGTGAAAGACAACATGTATCATGTGAAATAAATAATTGAAGTAGTCAAAGGGACTCAACTACGTAGTAGCAACTGTCTTACCTGACTAGGCAATAATAATAGGTGCAGGTGGCGTTTTAGTGACGTTGGCGACGGACGTTAGTGTCTTGGCCATCGCATACAACCTCCAGTCCTTGTGGCCAAAGCTGGCGATGGGACTCGACTACCAACAGCACCTACAACAATGACGGACACCTCAAATTGTACGCTGCGCATGCGATACAGGCGTCTACACCGGGAGCGAAACTAGAGTATGTCTTGATGGAAGTCGACGCTGCGGCTTTTAGTGGTATCGCGGATGCCTTCCGGAAAGGCGCTACTCTGTATCGGAATGCCAGAGACTGGGCCAAGCGCCAGAGGGACGAAGCCATATTACAAGCCAGAGAGAGGGCAAAAATTCAAGGTCAAGGCCTTGCCATGATGCCCCGGGAATTGAAGAGACATCCTTGGGTGGCCGGCGGGAGAGTGATTGTCCTGAGAGGAGGACGACGGTACAGGGCGCATAGCGAGGCTTCCTCATCAAGCGCAGGCGTCGACCCGAGTACCTCATCTTGCTGTTGAAGCAGCTGCCGAAATCAGTCCCATGCCAGCGATATCACACTACCAGATTAACTCTAGAAGATGACGACCTACACCTACAGAGTCTCGGAAACGAGCTACTGTCGCGAACAGCAGGCGATAGACCGTGCTTCGCAGCAAACCATCATGAATCCGGCTCGCGCTTTGCGGTATTCGCCGCAAATTTTGGAATGAAAGTGAGTTCTCCTGCTTCGAGGAACTGATGTATTGTTCATTCACTGGTGGTCGTTTGCCTCAAACAACCGAACAGAGACAGACGAACATCACTGCCGGCCATAGCACCTACCAGAATCTGCGGTTCCCTATTTAACCACTCATTCACTCACGCTCATTTCAATGCTCAGGCCTTTCCTACAATTCCCTTCCTTATCTCGCAGAGTACAAAATTGTGTCGAGTTTGGAGGGCTGTTCTCGACACTTTGCACAACTCTGCTGTTCCGCCCGCCGTCTAGCTTCTCGTCTCTTGCTCAGCAACTTCCCAGATATGGTGCACGAAATGCCTTGCAAGGTTCGCAAGCGTGACATTCTCAAGAAGATTTATCACGACTGCCGCAGCACGGGCTTCCAGCCGGCATACCTCACCCCGGGTGAACTCGAGATGTCCACAAACTACCAACCTCGCAAGGCGCTGCCAAAGGGACCAAGAACGATCCATGCACCAGTCGACAAGCATCTTGCCTCCACAAATGAACAGCAGGCGTCGCAAAACAGTGAGACATTAGTGTCGCGAAACAAGGTTCGCTTGGGCAACAAAGGCGCAGTGAGCAGGGCCTGGTCCCTCCTCCCAAAGAAAACAAAATCGCCGGGCTCGCGAATTGGTGGCAACGAACATTGTCCGGCTTCGACGTTCTTACAGGAGGGCTTTGAGCCGTGGCGTCCGGGGAGCAGCCAGCAGGCTCACCCATGCCCGTCGCGCGTTGATCACAGGCCCTCCAAACTCGTCTTTCATCGCGCGTCGAACGCCTGGCCAGATGTTCCACCCCCTGCCTATGTATCGAATAATGAGCAGGTCGACTCGGATAGTCAGGTTACTCCAGAGTTCTTCCCAGCTCCTCGTCTAATGCTGACACCCCCGACGCCGCCACCATACTAGGGTTGGCCTTGATTTGCTTCGGGATTGCACACGGCTTTTTCCGCGAGAAGATCGCGAGATTGGTTGTCCGATTAAACGGGAGTTGCGGCGATGGATAGATATGATCATAAAGAGGTAGCTTTTATTCGTATACTCGTAAACGTATCCCTACTGTTTTTGCCTAAGTCCTCGCCGTGAAAGTCTGTGATGCGTCCAACATGAGACTGACAACTAGCAAAATAGCATTAAACACCGCCATCATGTAGAAAGGTGCGCCAGTTGAGAGCTTGTCGAACAAGTATCCTCCGAGCTTTGTCAGGAGCAGAATCGCCGCGCCTCCACAAAGCGAATACACCCCGGCAATCGATCCCTTGAGTTTGGTGCGTGCTACTGAGTTTTCTTGTGTCGCGATTCGGATGAGAGGCTCATCTTCGGCAGATTCGTCTTCATCGGGCGCGATGGATGGCTCGCTTGGTGTAGTACGCGACAGCTCGACTGCCAGCACGCCTTGACCAAGCGACCCGAGACTGCAAACAATGGCGCCGATCTGACTAATGCCAATTAAAGCGACCACCAAGAAGATTGCGGGTGTCCCTCCTCTGCCCTCTTCATTCTTGATTTCGGGACTGGACAGCTGAGGAAAGACGACGTAGCCGACCATGCCGAAAACGGTCGAGACGACAATGGGCCAGTTGACTTGGCCCGCCTTGTGTGAGATGTAGCCAAACACAGGAGCGCAGATCAAGGCTATAAGTTGCGCAACACCTGTGAGGATAGACGAAAGAATGTATGCGGTGCGGCACTCCTTCTTGAGTTCCGGGCTGGGGTCGTGAGGCGAGCCCTGGCAGAATCCGTTATCGATGAAGAAGGTGTTGATGTACAGCGGGATGAAGAGCGAGATGGCAACTGTGGAAGCGCGTGCGACAAAACCGCCAATGTAACCAATGGCAATCCTCTTGTCGGTTACGCCGAGGAGAACAGAGTCCTTCATCAGGTGGAGATACGGAATGACTTTCTGGATGTGTGTCAGTCGGATAACCAATTGGAGTAGAGCCTGCCGATTTACCTCCTTGCGCAGCTCCCTGCTAACGTGGGCGTCGAAGTCATCATCATCCGCCTTGCTTCCAAGACCGAGCAAGACACCCCAGCCTTTGCCTTCCTCGCCTCTCAAGTTGCGCAAACCAAGGAAAACAAAGACCGCCACCACAATCGCCACACCGGCGACAACGTAGAAACTGCAGGAGACAGCCTGGCCAGGTGTAACCTTCTCGATGTCGCCGAACTTTGTGGGGAGCGGCAAGAACAAGGACAGCGCTACTAGCGCGCCGCATCCTGTGGCCAGCCCAACATAGCCTGCCAGAGCCGAGGCCTTGTCAAGCTTCTTCTCATCTTGCTCGCCTCGAGAGGCACGGTCGCTAGATATAGTGCGAGTGTACCGTTCGGGCGTAATGGTGAGCTCAGAATTCACGGAGAACGCAATGCTCTGTCGCGAAAGGCGTGCATGTTGATTGTGCGATGAGCGGCTGCTGTCAGCATCTTCGCTCTCGTCGGTCAGACATGGCAATGTCGCTGTGACCATTGTCGCGCTACCAACGGTTAGCAAGGCCCCCCACTGGAGTCCAGAGGAGGTGGCTTACGCTGCAGATGCGCCGACCGCAAAGAAGATCCTCGCAAGCAGTAGCTGCGGGTATATGTTCTTTGCTTGCACAAAAACGACCAAAGATGCGCCGATGATCAGGTATCCAATAGTAGCCACCCATCTCACACCTAGCCTGTCAGAGACGAGACCCCATGCTGGACATGCCACCAAGGCGACGACCTCGTCCGCAAACCCCAGGGTACCGACAACATCGCCAATATTGTGCTTCTGCCCGATCAGGTCCGAGATGACAAAGCTCACAGAGCTGTTGAGAAAGACGAGAAAGGAGATGGAGAATAGCGCGACGCCACAGAGGTATGTCGCAGCCTGCAGACGCGTCGTCGAGGACGAGAAGGGCACAAAGCGTGCGAATGACGCCATCTTGTTGGGTGTTCGACCTTGTGTGAAGCTGCAGATGTCCAATCCAGCTTCACATTGCCAGTGCGCGACCCTCCAATGGAAGATCTTGTGGCAGTGTTGAACCTCGAGCGGCCGAAGGGGTACGTACGTCAAGACTCCGTGGCATGTTGACGCGACGAAGCTAGCTCCATTTCGTTGTTACCATTTCTTACATAAGCGCATGTTTCAACGTCATCGATCCCCTTTTCATAATATGTTCAAATGTAGGAAATGAAGGGAACATGTGGACAATTTCTGCAATTATCACAGGTTGAAACTATGCCAACATCATGTCTCGTCAATCGCCGTGCCTATGATAAGTAGATACTCCGTGACCAAGGCCCCCTTAACTCCGTATGAACCTGCCCAGCAATCAAAATCCTCGGATCTATCCTACCAATTCCACAGCACCTTGTGGTGCAAAGTCCTCGCGCCATGCCTCTCGAATTCGAACGGCGTGATCCACGAGTCGTTGGTAGAGAGCTTCGCGTAAACGCTCGCGCCCTTCCACGTGACGACCTGCTCGTCCATATCTCTTGCGCTTCTGCTCACGAGGATTCGGTCGTGTAGATCTGGTCGGCGCTGTTTCAACTTCTCCTCCAAGACCACTGTGAACTGTGGCACCTTGGCGCCGCCGCCAATGACCATGATGCTGCCCAGTAGATCGCGCAGTTTCTTCTCATCGCCCTTGGCAGCATTCTGGATACTGGTGAGGATGGCAATGTCCAGCGGGGCCACGGGAAGCACAGAATCGCGCTCGGCAGCCATGTGCTTGGCCGTCCGGGCTGCTGAATCGACAAACATCCCTGGCGGCGGTTGCGAGGCTTGGTTCGTCTGGCCGGGCACTGGAGTACCAGCGACACGAGAACCGGGAGGAGCAGGGCTACCACCATTCGTAGCATCCTTCCCATTACCAAAGACAAAAGGTGGTGCTGGCGTGCTGTTGCTCTCAGGGGCCGGTGACCCAGCATGCGAGCCCATAGGTGTCCCGTTAACGCCGTCACGGCCAGAAAAGCTGAAAGGATGCGCCTTCTCCTTCATCGGTGTCGATATTTCCGGCTGTGATGTAGGAAATCCATTGGCGTTCGACGTGATGGAGGGTTGGACGAGAGCCAAGATGGCAAGCTGGGCAGCAGATGCCGGGTCGTCGGGCATTTCGACATCATACGCGTTGTACGAGCGGTCTATTAGCTTCCGGCGACCCTTCAACTTGGTAGAATTGTCGAAAATCTCAGGATCAAATACGCCCATTGGCGCCAGGATGACTTCATCGTACGTCTTGAATTGGTACTTTCGGGTCGGTTGGTTCGGCGCACGCACGTGGAACTGGTAGAGCTGCACTGATATATCGGCCTGCGACATGGTGCAGTGCTTGATTTTGAGCTCTTCGGCTAGGAGGAAGTCGTAGCGCCTGCGGATGTTGATGTCCTGGTAGGGAAAGTTATCGTAAAGCATCATCTTGATGAAGGTGTCGGTGATGTCGTATCCTCCATACTTGAGGTTAATCCGCGAGTCTTCCGCCAGCAGACCATCCTCGGCGCAACTGATGGACGTCTTTTGCGCGCCTACATCAACGACACAGGCTTGCGTGTAGCCTGCGCCGAAAGTGGCGGCCATGCTCTCCTGAATAAACGTGACTCTGTTGAACTCAAACCAAGTCATACAGGATCGCAACACCTGCTCCACATATCGCTTGTCGTAGAGATCAGGTATCACGAACACGCAGCTGTACTGCTGCCACTCGCTGTTCTTCTTCAAGCCAAGCTCCTGCCGCAGCGTTTTATCTAGCAGTGTTTCAAAGTCGTCGTAAAGGTGCTCCTCGCTCGTGTAATCTTCCTCGTTCCACCAGCCATGTTGTATCGGCCACCACAGCTTGAATTTCGGGTCGGAGTCGTCGGGGACACGGAGCGCTCCATTTCCTACGAAGCAGGAGGCCAGTGAATTTGGGTCCTCCAGCGATTTCACATCTGTCCACTCAATCTCCAACGGATCGTTGTGCTTCTGGATGACCTCGGCCTCCGTGCGGCGGTTGAAAGTTTGCACCAGCTCTTTCGAGTTGGGTAGCACTTTGCGCTTGTTTGCTCGCATATCAACCTTGAGATCGCTGCACTGCTTGTTGTACTTCTTGGACCACTCCTCCCCGTACTGCTGGTCGGTATTTTTGGCTTCAAACTGCCTTCGCGGCAGCGCCTCATGCATTTCGGATTCGGTCTGCGGGAACTTTGTCGCAAGGACCATTGGAATAGTCCGCGGAAGCGCATCGCTCGCGAAGCCGATTCGCAGATTTTGACTTCCAGGGTGGATGACGATGATCTTGGACGGGTCGATGCCGTTTGAGGGTGTTGCCGTCCCCTCGTCGTCGGCAAGGTCCGGTATCGGTAGAGGAACCTCGCCGTTGGCCGGTTTGGAGAGAACTCTATCGCGATCCCGGGCGTTCTGAACAAGCTTGTCGCGGTTGGCCTCGTTCTGCAATCGCAATGCCAGAATCTGGTCGTCTCGCTTCATGTAATCCCTAGCCGGGGGGTCAGCCTTGCGAGGGTGCCACCAGAATTTGAAAGACGCACGTGTAGTAGTTCTTTTGGTTGATCGCGGCCACATCGGGCCATGTTGTCATTTTCATGCCATTGTCGGTTCTTTCCAGCCCTGCGCAGAGTCAGTCAGTAACTGAACGCCAGTCGCGACGCTTCGCGCATTTGCCAATGATCGCGAAAGGGATAACTTACCCTCCCGGAGGAGCACCCTCTCGCTGACCTTTCCGACCATGGTGGTAGTGTTGGACGGAGCTGTGTGACCACGTCGAGGCGATTGACCTCAGCGAGGTTGAGAAATTTCCAGGCTTGAGATCGTTTCGTCAACCGCCTGCGCGCAAGACGATTTCCGGGAGCCGCGTCCGGTCGTTCATGCTATTCAGAAACAGGCTAGCGTCAGAAGCTCCCGGGCGACTTTTGATCCGCTCCGCGTGGTGTTAGGAGTTTGGCACCGAAACCCACAGGGCCACCTCCGCGGGCTTGGCAACTTCAACTTGTCACTGACGCACATGTACGGTGACGCTCGGTGTCCTGACTCCTGACTCCTGTACTACCACGCACAACTGCGTGCAGCTTGAATGTATATTGCGAATTGAAGTGTCTCCCGAATCCTTCGATGCCTTCATCTGACGATCATTGAACCCTTTGTTAATAGCATGTGATCAATCCCCTTCACTCACCCTGCCCGCTTGGCAGATCACCTAACTAATACCGACCAACCAAAACGCAACTATTTCAGCCCTCTCCCCACGTCCCCTCACACAATCGTCTTACGAGTCCCTTGCCTCTTCTAGGGATCCCAAGCAAAAGACTGCCTCGGGTACAGGTCCATCAATCGGTTGAGTTTCCTGATTGTAACGTACTCACTCATCTTGCGTGATGGCTGTTGGCCGTGCTCACAGTCAAAATCACAGTATCAAGATTGCGACAACAGCCGCGGTTGCCTTCGTACCCCAGACATTTTGTAAAGGCCGCTCAGTAACCACAGACTGGGTCACATGGTACCTTGTATTAGTATCCAGACTGTGTCCTCATTGTCGAGCAGAACACTGATCCTCGATACTCAAGGCTCCTAGTTTCCTTCCGCCTTCTTCGCCATGGGTCTCTCCGACAGCACTTGGGCGGGCAACGCCTCAACGGCCGCCGAGACGATTGACCCTGTTCTTCACCAAGGCTTCGTAGCCCCCTCGTACTCGGCGCTGAAGCCGTACTTGATCGCCAGTCTCATCGGCTATGTCACTCTCTGCACCGCCCTCCGCCATCGTCGGATCACAAACTTCCAGAAGAAGATGGGCTTTACAGATCGAGCTTCCCTGAGCCTCATGAGCGTTTATCAAGCCCAGGCTATAGCCAGAAACATGTATTACTGGGAGTTTCCGCTCTTCTATGATGTTTCACTCCGAATAGCCTTGTTCCGGGTAAGATTGGGTTCACTATCTCAGTAGGCATCAGAGCTGACCAAGTTCAGACTTATACGGTTGAAAATGTGGCGAGAGTTCTTGCCAACTACAGTGATCTCAAGGACCTGAAAACTTCGTCGAAACGATATGAGGACACCGCTATTCTCTATGGATGGTAAGCAGCACACATGTCCTTCTCCCTTCTGCATTGGCGCTTACCTGGATTTAGCTTTGCACATTATGATCCTGCGTCGGATGAATTCCTCAAGGCTGTTGCTCGCATGAACTATCTTCACTCGCCGTACGTCAAGTCTGGGAAGATCCTGGATGAAGACTTCCTCTACGTTCTCTGGGCCAGTATGGCAGCTCCAGTCAGCTTTGTGTCCATGTACGAGTGGAGAAGTCTCACCCCTATGGAGCACGCTGCGCAGGGCACCCTCTGGAAACATATCGGAGATCTCATGGGTATCGACTACAACAAAGTGATGGGCAAGGACAAATGGGCCGACGGTATCGAGTTCATGGACGAGGTCACCGAATGGGCTTCTGGGTACGAGGACAAGTATATGAAACCTTTGCCTGAGGTGCGGCGGATCGGCAGTGTCCTTATGGAGCTGCTTGCAGGCGCCTATCCCAAATTTGCCAAATCAACCGTGGACGTTGGTGTGAAAGTACTCATGGGCGAACGCATGCGCCATGCTTTCGGGTGAGCTGGGGAACAGAGCCATACACTCCCATTGCTGACTTGGGTTACAGTCTAAGCACTCCCGGTCTCCTGCAGACCCATCTTGTCTACAGCGCGCTGTTTTTTCGGCAACTAGTCATGCGCCACTTTACACTTCCTCGCATGTTTGCCCTCAAGAACCTTTCGGAACCCGATGCGCAGACGGGTCGTATCAAGCACTACCTCTACCTGAAGGACCCTTGGTACAATCCAGTTACCATATGGACGCGCTGGGGTCCGGAGGCTTGGCTCAACTGGAGTTTAGGCACACCTATTCCTGGCGATCAGGCCCTCATGCCGCAGGGATTCCTGTGGCAGGATCTCGGTCCAGAGAAGAGGATGGGGACCGGTGTCGCTGAGCTCCAGAATACCGACCACTTGGCCCAGTACAGATCTGTGCATGATTCTCCATTCTGATCCTACATCTGGGCTGTCAACCGAGCATGTTCACGATCAAGAGGGAGCAGAAATAGCAAGGTTCGCTGGAGGCAAGTTTACATCTTCGGGAATAGAATCGGGGCTGTGTGATTTTAGTCGTGAGATAAGGCTAGGGGGGATTTTTTACAAGAATGACTGAGTCTAGTACGTAGACACTTGATCCCAGAGTGTTCACAGATGAGAAGTGCGACATGGTGATCCGTTTCTTTCTCATTCTGACGGAGTGTCAGATGCCACGATAGTTCAAAAAATATTATTTGCGTATATAATGTCTGCTATGGACCCTTCTTTCAACGACAGCACTTCCTTGTCTGGGGTCGGTGGCGCAGCGGTAGCGCGTGGGATTGCAGATCCTAAGGTCACCGGTTCGAACCCGGTTCGGCCCTCATCTTTTGTTTTTGAGATTAAATATCTTTTTGCATTTTCCAACGGGGGTGGTTGGTTGGGGTATATCGTGTGTAAATATGCATATACCGAAGCCAGCAATGTGTGGAATTCACCCGGGTCATGCGGACGGAGTCTGGCAACCTTCTTTCACATGTGCTAGCGCGTGAATCTCAAATATTTTGCCTGATAGCTTCTGAATAATCGCTGCCTCAGGCAACTTATATATATGAACAGATTTTGATTACTCTGATTTCCTCACTCAATTACCATATTACTGTATTCTCCAAAGACTACATGTGGGAGTCAAAGCAGAGACTGCAGCTTGATTTGTAGGGTAGGTAGACACAGGCGACAGTGTTCGATGTGAATGCACATGCCTTAGAAGGTATGTGATGAACACAGAGAGTTCGCAGATCCGTCGCCGCATCCTGTAGTAGTGCATGGAGAAAAGCGATTAATCCTTGTCATGATCGCTTTCTATTCCTCGTTAGGCCTCTTAGCGAGTCTGAAAGGTGGCTGATTGTGAGGGACCACGACATTCGCGGAGGGGAGTCACCTGACGTGGAAAATGACGTCGCTTGGTCAAGGGACACACCTCTGTGATACCTCACCTCAACATCAATCAGCTAACTTCTAAACTGTACATGCAAATCCAGTAGAGAACCCAAACAGCTCTCACGAATGCAAACCGAAACCAAACAACCCGCATCAAGTTACTCACCATGGCGCCCATAACTGTCTACACCGACAGCCCCATCACAGCCGCAAAGGCATCAGGGCCAACGCCTCAAACTGCAGATGCAGCTCAACAAGCCTCAAATCAAGACCGATACGCGCCGCCACCAACCACAACGTCAGCATCAGAAGCCTCGCCAACAGGCTATCCCGCCCCGCAGCCTGCGGCAAGGCCATCACAGCCTGTCCCAACGGGCACGGCTCAGCTGCAGCCTACGCCAACACAGCAACTCTCCGAAGATGGACCTCCGGCTCCACAGCCCGGACCTGTGGCAGTAGCGACACCGACGAGCCATCTCCCACCGCCCCCAAAAGCAGGCGAGGCTAGGTCCCATCCGCAGACAAGCAATCCTGTAACTGCGATGCCACCTCAGATGTTCTACCAGCCACCAACCTCATCACATGCTGCTGGCAGGTCTACGACCATGGGTTTGCCCCATTCATCGGGGCTTACGAGCTTACCAGTGGGCGGCAATGATAAATTGTCTCACCCACCAGGGTATCAGCAAGATTCCTTTGCGTCGGAGTTCAACAGCGCTCAAAGAGCGGCCCACCATAACTCCGGGAGGACGGATATGAACACATTTGGCTCTGGTGAGGACGAAAGTGTATGGGACACTGCGAAGAAGTGGGCGAGTGCTGCAGGCAACAGCCTCGCTGCAGCCGAAGGCGAAGTCTGGAAAAGGATCAACAAGGAGCAGTAATTATCAGGAGCGCCCCGCCTTCATTGGTGGCGAGACGGCGCAGCGGGGAGTAGTTGGCCTGGAGGGTCGTTCCCCGACTGGTGACTACATAAGTGTGCAATTGCAACCCTACAAAGAGAAACATCAGCAAAAGACAGGCCGTATCCCCGGCGCTATTTCAACGACATGCGACGACCACTTTACATGGACAGGCAACGTTCCGCCAGCACGCCGTTCTGGCCGGGAATACCCACAGAGATGCCGCTGCTACATTAGGCGTGGTATACTACACTGTTCGGCAATTCCGCGACCCTGTGATCTCCTCGAATGCCTTGCTCTTACGGCTACGTGCCGCGCTCTAAAAAAAGGTACCCACGCGACGATCACAAGGCGGAAGTTGGAAATCGAAGAGGACAAGGATGTGGCATCATGGTTATACGTGGTAGAAACATACCTTATGCACCAGGCAGCCAATATCAGACATCAGATATACCGTGCCAGCCCGCGGCCTGTGCCCCCGAGGCTAATGAGAGGTACCGGACATGGCCGACGTTGAAGATCCGGGGCCGAGAAAGAAACTCACCATAACTCAAAATAGGACTCACGACGTCGACGTGAATGTCATCGGGTGAAGTGCAATCTCGTGCCGATGGAAGAAAAAAAAACTTTAGCACGTAGTACTACGTGCTTAGTTAGTACTGAGCAGCACGAGTCGTGGCGTGCGCTAACAGGCCTGAAGAACGCGCCGGTGCCAATTTGTCGCCAGATGTACGGATACTGGTGGCGGCAGAAAGGCGAGGCGACCGCGTCCCACTTTGACGATAATAACCTAAGCAAGAAAGAGTGATTGGTAACTTCCTTGAGCAACTTCTTAGTGTATGAAGAGCGCTACAGGCGATGAAGGCGACCGTCGTGAGCCACTGGGGTTGACAACTTGACCATTTTGACTTGTTGGCAGGCGGTGGGTCATGCATGGCTAATTATAACCATTGGCGTCTGACAGATCCGCTGTTCAGACTTCAGAGCCCGGTCCATGTCCCTAGCCAAGTATCAATCACAGGCTAACTTACACGCTACAGAGCCCTACACGTACGTAGTACGTACACGGTACAGTGACGCGGCAAGTGATGGCCAGCGACCTTGACAGTGACATGAATACTCGAGTCCAAGGTCGTTTCTCACAGCGGGCCGTGTTGCTTCGATCGTATGGCGTCGAATACTACGTATAGTAACAACACTGGTGCAGTCGCATGACTCGACTACTAAAAATTGGGCGAGGGACCAACCTACGACGGCACCGCCACGTACTAGATGTCATCACTGCTGAACAATCACACAGGCTCCAGTTCCAATTGCGCACAGCGACAGCGTTGGCAGCTCTTGCTATGTCATCCTCCAGTCATCCTCGAGATTGTCGAGTCTGGGGTTGTGCCTTCCTTCCGAAACTGATCTGAGACAGGATCACGTCCTCCCAGCTCCCAGCGGACCAATTGCGGAGCTCCGTTAACTGGAGAATTTCCAGAAGAAGCATAGACCCTAGAAGAGCCCTGGATGAGGAAAGTGTCAAATCAGGCCACGTCCAGTCGTGAAAGTCGGTCACCTGCAACCTCAAACAGACGGATAGACTTCTTCATCCTTTCTGCATCCGCACAATCTTGCGAAATTAACTGCTCCCCATGGTGCAGCAACTGTTGTTTTGCGCAACCGCTCAGTCGATTGTTTTACCACCGACGTATCATTCCGGCCTTCGTCTGTTCTTCTTCATGTCGGAGGTCGCGATCTGCGCGCAATTCTCAGCCTAATAATAACCTTTCTTTCTTTCCCTCACCCTGCCTTCCAACTACCTACGTATCCTTTTGCCTAGACTCGAGCCCTCAAGTCCGCGTCAAAGTGAGACGTCGAGAGCTCGCAGCATGTTCACACGCCCATTATTATTAGAGTAGCCTGCACGCCAAAGAGGGTTCTTGATGGGACCGTCAGCACCTTTGTTGACAAACAGCCGTGGAGAGCCCGCATCATGACTATATTGCTTCTTTTGCGCGACCGCGGCAAAACTGCCTCTGTCACTTATCACCTAATACGTACTCACAGCTGCTTCCACTTGTCTGTCTGTCTGCCCATGCCGGAGAACAAAGTATCCGGCGAATCCCATTCTCAAACGCGACAGCTGTCGCACAGGACCAAAACGCGACCATGCTTATTACATTCGATGAATCTCTGACACTAGCACGTCGCCCCTCTAGCTCCAGCGCCAGGATTTGCCGGTTGCTGCCGGTTTTCAGTACACAAAGAGAAAAACGCCATGATGCAAACCATGGCAATCACGCGCGCAACGACTGACTCGCGCTCTGGATGACCGCACTGACCGTACTTCGTACTGACCGACAAAGCTACCACGGTGGAGACTGTAGACCCGAAGTCGAAAGAAGACAACAGACTCATCCAGGTCGTTTTAGACAAAGCGACGCCACCTGTGGGCAGCAAAAACACCTGACGTACATACCTCGCACACCGGCATCCAGAGATTCCAGACGCTGCCCAGAATCAGCGACGTGTTGTATTGGGCACGCACACGACGCTAAAATACGGCTCTGTCCCGCATCAGAGATCTCAATGTGGATACACGCCTTTGCGATTCGACGACTCATTCATTGTCCAGGGAGGAAGCTCTCGAGTCTGGTTCCGGCAGTCGAGCCGGAGCATCTCATCAAGACTCGCCCGCGCTGTCAGTCAGCGCCCTTGGACATAGGATGCTCCAACTATAGGCTTTTGGCGATTGCTACTGCCCTGCATTGGTCTGTTTGAAGATTTACTGCTAGGCGTCTTGGCCGGCTCGCCTGATCCCTGTTCGGCCAAGTGTTTCCATCTTCGCCAGGACCCTGGCCCTTGACCCTGGCCCATCGGAACCCAAGCCACTCCTCATCCACATCGTTGACGACATGTAACACACCAGCCTTCGGCCCCCCTGTGTCCGCCGGCGGGTCAGGCACAGCTTCGACCCTCCTGGAGTCCTTCACTCACGCTGGGAGTGCTCACAATGTTCCAAGCTAGCTGCCAGCAGCATGGATGTTGCGTGTTGCCAGGCGTCCTTTGAAGCCCAGCAAAAACATCGTCTTATACACCGCAGTGTCCGACGCCGTTCTACGCCTTTCGCTAGTTTAAATCCTGTCAGTCCGCGATCTTCATTTCAGCTGTCATTCTTTTGCCCCAGGACCTGACCTGCCAGTCGCTCACTCCGTTCGCCCTGTTGCTTTTCCTATAATACCTCTCTTATAGGCACCTACAACTCTCATTCAGAGCCTATCACACACTGCTTGTCGAGTTCGATCTCCCAACCAGTCTCTCCTTACGAAGCCTGTTGACTTGATTCGAGCAACGACAATCTGCCGAGCCATTCAACCTACCTAACTTAGCTATCCGCCCTGACTGCCTCTCATCCTCGATTCGACAAATACATATAACCACTCTCGTCGCACACTGTCTTCTCGGTAAAGAGAACCTCTCTTACACACGCACAATTTTGCGGTAAGTCATGCATGATTAGCCTGGCACTAACGCCAGCATGGCATCAACACTGCGCTGGCGAGCCTCACTAAGTGGTCCCCATATTATAGTTGGAACTGATGCTGACCTGGATCCTTGAACCTAGATCTCGGGCACGGCTGCCGCTCCAATTTCTGCGTGTGCAAGGCTGCCTGCTCCCGTTGGTCTTTGCATAACTGCCATGGACTCGGCCCACAGGAGGCTGTAAGTCCTCACGCGATCTCCATGTCGGCGTGCCTGTACTGATTCATCTGGCTACATAGTCGCTCCAAATTCCAGAATTCCTTCTTCCAGTGCGAATCAAGGTTTCGAAAGCAGGTGTCACCTAGTACACCGCACATCAGTACTATGTCCGAGGAGGACGTTCACAGCACAACGGATGCTGCCACAGCGTGGCCAGCTTCGAGTGCACACCCTCACTCGACGCCGACGGTAATGTCAGAAGAGCTCTCATATCACGTCCCGGTTGAGAGCTATTCGAGGCCGTCCACGGATCACTCGATGCCAATGCTTGCATCTTCCACAGGGACACCGTCGAGACCCATCTCAGCCCAGCAAGACCTCCAAACACCCATGTCAATGGACGGCAGTACGTGGCTACAGGAGCTGAACAACGCATGGATTGCTGACACTCATTTAGACTATTACAAGAAGCCTTATGAGGACCAGTTCGCCTTCCATGCTATGACGTCCGAGGCGCCCATTGGCCAGGCCTACACGACTGATGAGGCCATTCCCATCCTGGACTTGGACACCAGTGATCACCGACAAGGCTACTACAACTATCAAATGATGTTTGATGAGGCCGCGTCACGGAGAATCTCGGGGTCATCTTTCTCCATCTCCACATCCGACATGGTTCACGACGACTTTACGACCGCCATGTCAGACGCTCCTTCATACTGCTCGGATTACCCTCCCACCTCTAACCGTGATTCCTGGATGTCTTCGACGCACCTCTCGCCTGTTGCATCGCCTCGCATGTCGGCTCAGGGCCGATCTGACCTGGTTAGAGCGCAAAGTCGCGGTCGGGCGTCTCCCTCGCCCCGGCCTAGTGTGCGGTCGGCCCCCTACAATGTCGACGTCCCTAGGAACAACAAGAGATGGTCTACTGGCTCCTACGGAAACCCGTCGAACCGGCGACCCATGCACACGCCGCTCATGTACAATCCCGGACCCGAGACTCACGCCGCCCATCATCGCATGTCTCGTGCCCTCGCCGATCCGCGCGGCAACGGCACGCTGAACTCTGCATCAACGACCACGCAGCCGCACTATCTCATGCCCAGCCAGCCCGTGCTCCAGAGGAATAGCATGTTACTACCGACTCAGCTGCCTTCGCAGCTCGCATCTCAACACACACTTGGGGAGGGACGCCACTTTGACGCCGCCCCACCTCCCCTGCTCTCCCATGGACTTCTTCGCATGCTGCAGAGCAACGTGGACTCCCACCCTCTCCGTCGCTATGCCGATTTGTCCGACCCTCCGGACCTGTTCAGTTGCTTGCACGAAGAGCAATTATCGCCTCCCGAGGAAGACATGAACCCTTCGGATCCCGACATGATGCCTCGCGAACAAGATCTGCGGTTCGAGGGCGACTTGTACACACCACGCTGGGTACGTGGGCACGGCAACAAGCGTGAGGGCTGGTGTGGTATCTGCAAGCCTGGACGATGGCTTGTGTTGAAGAACTCTGCGTACTGGTACGATAAGTCCTTCTCACATGGCATCAGCGCGGCGACGGGCAGTCCCTTTCAGGAGCCCCTGGATATGCGCCGCATGGACGGCAACCCTGACGTGTGGGAGGGCCTCTGCAGCAGCTGCAACGACTGGGTCGCGCTGGTGAGCAGCAAGAAGAAGGGGACGACCTGGTTCCGCCACGCCTACAAGTGCCACTCGCATCCCAAAGCCAAGGACTCGGCGAAGCGTCGACGGGAGAACGCCAGCGCGCGTAGCAGCATGCCGGTCAAGGCGAGCAAGACGGACAAACTCTCCTCCCCCGCGCATCTCAACTCGTCAAACAATTTCAACGACAACGGCACCGGCCCGCCGGCCATGCCCACGCATCTCCCGCCCCCACCACCTCTCCTATCTGAATCTTATCCCAACATGATATGAAGATGATCAGGTGCAACCAAGCGCCGGTTCCGCTAGTGCTACGACCGAGCCTCCCAGGGTGATTTGCAGGCTGGCGCCTGGACCCCTGAGGAACGACGAATCTGAACGAAGAGACACCATAACATGATCCCGGAATGATAACCCATATATCTCCTTCCCTTACTTTCGAAATCTCTCTCTAATCAGGCCCTGCTGGCCGAACACTGTTCCTCCACACCCGGGCTGCGCTCTGTGCGGGACAATACACTGCTTTTGTCTGTTTTATACGCCTTACTTCGACATGGCTTTTCACGTGATACCTCGTCTTTGTCTTTTTCTTGAGGCAGCATGTATGGAGATTAGAGAATGGAAGTACTATATAGATCTGGGGAGTCCGGACGGAAAGGGCCTGCTGGACAGCCAACGGGTATGGAACGAAGATATTTAGCCAATACAAATATGGGAGCTATGCACTACGCTACCTGGCAACCACCAAGTGCCCCTCTCCAACTCTCAGATCGCTCCGAGACTGACAAGCGACATGTAACATGGTATGGTATGCCAGACCGACCGACAAGCCGCCAGCGCAGACCTCCGCTGGGGGGACGACGCGTGGCGCCACAATTTCCAACATTCATGCGTCCCGACCCAAATCGCCATCATCCCAGCCCAGCTAGCTCCCTTACCCCGCCTAGATAGATGGGTCTTTGGCAGACGAAACCTCGAAGAAAAGAGGGATTATCATCGCCGCCGCCGCGCTGCGCGCTCATGTGATCGGGCAGCAGCTGCGCGCTAGCAGCCTTATCCCAAGGAAACCCTGCCCAGAGTTGGGTCTCACGCCACCGATGAAAAGGGTCCTCAACGATCGAGGGATGGGAGGGTACAGTACGTGACCCGAGAGGCACTAAATAGTCTCAGGGGCGCTAAGAGAGTGTATGTTGGAACATACGTATGTCTCGCCTAGGTGCGCGGCGGTCAAGGGAAGGGTGTAGTTGGTTAGTTAATAATGTATTCTCACGGACATTGGGCGCCTTGAATTGATTTGGCTGACTACTCACTACACGATTGCCACGAGACTTGGAATGGTGTGTTGTTGTTGTTCACGTGTAATGTGAGTGCGTGTAGGTTAAACACGAGTAGCGAGGCTGAGGTTGTCACACGGGGACCAAACTCTGGCTCTCAGAAGGGTTGCTGCCACTTTGACTCTGGCTGGTCAACCCGCAGTCCTGGGAAATGGTGTGATTAGTGTATATTCTGGTGAAGACGCCACTTTCGGGGCCTTTGTGGCCGTGAAAAGGGTGATTATGAACGATGTGATCCGGGGTTTGCCTTTCGGCGTCAACCTTGGTGTGCTTTCCCATGGAGAGGTTGTTGTGCGAAACCTGCAGCAACTAGATATGGCATGTCGCTTGTAAACATAAAGCTGGTGTATTCATTGATGCTTCTGGTCTGAAAGATATCATGATCAGTCTAGCCGATGTTCTGAGGGTAATATTCGCCTCGCTCTCGTCTTGGGCTCTTGTCGTCGAAGTGGGAATCTGCCCAGTCGACATATAGACTGGTGGCCGGCGCCAACGCCTTGTCCCGATGATGGCAACCTAGATCCCGGAGACGATCTGTCGGTGAGTCGTCCAAGCGGCTGACCACTTGCTGCTGTGCTTCGCGAAGCTTGCTCCGGCATGATGGATGAGCGGATATTGCGATGGGGCACGGACCAGCGGCTTGGCCGACGGGACTGGGGTCCGGATGACGTCGTTCTTGGACTGCGGGGCTTCAATACCTACCTTACCATGAATGCAGATGGTCATGTAAAGATTGCGCGCACAAGTCGAGTGTATTCTCAAGGAGAGACTGGGGATATTGCTTCGCTTGACTGGAAGTGCGTTCCAAGACAGGAAAAGCACGTATCGAATCGAAGCAAGATCGTACCGACTGGTACGGGGATTAATGAAGACTTCCACCGGCGACTATCAGCGGGGCAGGGCAGAGATCGAGATCTGACCATAGAGCGCACACTGGGGAGGCCTGTGCAATGTAATGCCCATCATGCGAAGATGGGATTCTGGCCGACGGCGCCAGCAACGTGGAGTCTGGTTGAGCCCTTGTGGCTGGCCGGCCGCAATGCAATTCGCTGCCATGGTTCCTCGCGCTGTGCTGTGTGCCCGCGTGAGCACTACCTTTGCCTGTTTGGGACTATGGGAACAGGCGCAAACTCAAATCAAGGAACTGCCCGGAACAGGCGCATTAGGATATTAGGTGGCGGATCGTGTAGTCGGGCAGACAGCTGGCTTGGCCTCGGCACAACATGGCAAATTGGCCGCTCGTCGGATTTGCTGTTGGGCCAACGCGTCGGGACTGGACTTGGTCGTTGGTTTTGATGGATTGAGGGAGGACATTTGGAAAGGTTGCGGTTGCGCCGTCGTGGTTAGCCAGCCTGTGCTCGTTGGCGCCATCAACCCCTTACACTAACGGGCGGCCTGGAGGCTAATGAGTTGTCCAAGTAGGTATTGTATCCATATTCGTACAGACACTACAGGGCGGTATCATGTGTAGATTGTTGGCATTGTGGCCCCTCGATCCGGCTTTGGCAAAGGCTAGAGAGCGTTCCTTCCCTAGCTACGTCGTCTAACCATACGTACGGAGTACTCCGTACTTGAACAGATTCGAGAGATTGCCGGCGGAGCATCTTATCAGCGCCAGTATGCATATAGAGTTGCACAGAGTCGGCTGAGCTCAGCTGTTATCGCCCAATTGCTGCGTGTACAGCTGTTGCGCATGCGCATGCGCAGAGTGGCTGCCTGCCTGGCTGCCTGCCTTTGGACTATTAGGGGTTGTCGAGAAGGCGTAATTACAGAATGTCCGTATAGGGCCAGAACGAGTTGAGGATGAGGCAAACTTGCAGCCGTCGTTTCGAGGGTCGTACCTGCGCAAGGCCGCCCCGCTTGTTGAGCTCAGGCGGCTGATTCTCTCGACTTCTTGATCCAATGGATTTTATTAGACTTAGGTAAGGTACCTAAGCTAGGTAAGCAGTCAGCTTGGCCGCTTGTGTCTGTGCAGATCTCCAGTGCTCGGAAGTCCAGTCGTAACCCACCCATTGCTCAAGCACTCAAAAGTACAACGAGTGCACTCACGGTGCACTCGCCCGCCCTAGACTGGTGGGGACCACCTAACCACCACCACCACCACCACAAAATCCATCCATCTCCCTGCCCACTCCAGTCCCTCTTCTGCCTAATAGGTTCTTAGACGCAAGCTGAGACCACGCCAACGGACTCATTGGCCTGGGCTCGACGTGAACCTGCACCGCTCCGTCCATGCAATCACCGCACTGCCGTTGCGATTGTCAATTGCTGACCGAGGGTCTTGCTTCTTCACGAGATCCCTGGTTACCTACCTTACCTTGGCCGGCTTGATGGTCTGAGCTTCCTTCTTTTCTGCCTCTGCCTGCAGGTCGACGTCTTCCCGTTCCTCCTCACTCGCCCGCGTAGCGTACCTTATCACCCAAGCTCTGCGTTTGTGCTCTGTTTCCAAAACTGTAGACAGCCTAGTGAGTTCATGTCGCCCTTCAGCTTTTGCTCCCCCCTTTGGACTACCAGCTTGTGACCCCTTGACTGGCCTTTTGACGCTGACCGGTCCGATTGTCCATTCACAGGCACGAGACCAAACCGACCGACCCTTCACTCCAACCTGTTGACTATCTGCTCTACGCCTGTCCGGCACTGTCCGCTCGCCCAATGAATATTACCCTCGACCACGACGCTTAATGATTTCGACGACGACGAACACTGTTTAATGACCAATACGAACGATTGACGACCTAGACATCCACGTTTACCCTGCTTCGTCCCTGTCCCCAACACCGTTTGGCCGCGGTTGTATTTCCAGCAGCATAGGCCCTGCCTGATCTGTGCACCCCACGACTCGACTCCCCATCCATGATCGCAGGTTGATGTGGCAATAACCACAAATCAACTACCGCTGCTCTCTCCTCTTACGGACTGGAGCTGCTATGAGTAGAGACCGTCCATCTTCTAGGTAAACTCGCACATGCTGCCTCGAATGCAATGTCTCAGCTAACCACATTCCCGCCAGCTTTGGAGATCCAGGCGCTCAACCCCCGACGCCAACCCAGACTCAGACGTCTGCAGTCTTCCCGAGCCCTGTGCTCGCTTCACCTCGACTTGCGCAAGGTTCCCTGACCCCTCGATTCGCCGAGAACTACTCCGTCTTCAACTCTACGCCCGGCAATCTCGACGGCGGCCAGGCCAGATTCGAGGGCTTCGCCCCCTTCACGCCATCGAGTCACACAGACGGCTTGGACCCCAAACAACAGCATCCTGCCAACCACACAAGTCCGCAGCTTCTCGGTTCGGGTTCCTGGCCTAGCCAGACGGCGACCCCGCCGCCGACTGCTCACAGACGCAACAAACACAGCACCTACGAGCCTCTCACGATGAACCAGAATGGCCAGGACTACGGGCAACCTGATTTTTCCACAGCGTCGCAGCAGCCGACGGACTTCAACCCCTTGCTAGCAAGCCCGGGCGACATATTCTCCTACCCCATGTCCGCACCGGTGACGGCGCCCGAAACCTTCTGGGACCCTGCCAGCTTCGCCATGTCCATGGATATGGACTTTAACACGTCCAACATCTTTAACACCGAGCACCCCACCACAGGGCATCGGCATTCGGCTTCGTTTGACTGGAATAACGAGCCTCAGATGTTTCAGGACCCGCCCCCGCCCGCGCAAGCTCCTCCACCACGAGCAAACCTACCTGCCAAGGGCGCAGCCACCAAAAAGTCACGCCCACTGGCGCCCAAGCCCCCTGCGAGTCGAGCGCCGACAGCAGGCGCTTTGACCGCGAGTCTGAGCATGGATAATGCCTTTGGCATCACAAGCCCAGCAGCCGGCATCGAGCCGGGCAACGTCTTCGGCGGCTCTCGACCTTCGGCGCCTTTCTCCAGTTTCCGGGCAACCGACCCTCAGGCATCACATTCCCTCGTTCCTGCAACGAGCATGCGCAGGTCCAACAGCTCGCGGGATGTTGGCAGCAGCAAAGCTCCAGACCGGGCGTTTGCTAGTTCCCCAGTCAAGCCATCAATGCCTAGACCGGGCTTGTCGAGGAGTCAAAGCGAGAACAGGGGGAGGAGACCCAAAGGCAAGGGGGCCATTGTCAACCAGCCCATGGCGCCTCGCCCATTGCCTCCCAGCAGGAGCGTCCCGGGCTTAGACATGGGTCGGGCGACAAAGACGTCTGGAAGAGTGTCACCTCTCAAGAAACAGAATCGCATGTCGGGTCTAGCCTCCATCCCTGAGTCGGCCAGTCGGCCGAGCTCACGGGCGTCGGTCAAGTTCTACATTGGAGCAGACGGACGGGCTCACGCGCAGGCTGCTCACTCCGCTGTCGGTCCATCCGAGTCGTACACTGGGCCTGCTGCTCGGTCATCAGGGCAATGGGACGATGGCTCAGAAGGTTCGTCATCGGAAGACGACGAGCCGATCATCATCCCCAGTCGGAACACATCATTCAACGCGTCCTTCGCCCTACCCGACCCGAGACGCCCTGTTGGTTCCATCTTCCACCCCGCGCGGAGGAGTATCAGCGATAAGAGCACGAGTACGTTCGCTGCGTCGGCGGATGGCGATAACAACGACATGGAGAGCGAAGCGGAGACCATCATGAACGACCTTCCTGTGCACAACGGTGGCGATGCTGCGAGCGAGCTGCTCCGCGTCAAAGAGAATCGCCAGTTGATGGCGAACCAGTTATCGGGTGCCAAATCGCAACGTTATTTCGGCATGGGGCAAGGGCCCAAGAGCACTTCAATTTCGCCGTGCCGGACTGATTCGGGGAACACGACCGATGAACCAGGTGTCCGCTGCGTGTGCCACAACACCGAATTCATTGGATTCTTGGTACAATGGTGAGTTCCGACCATGTCCACCTGCCCTGTCGACCTGTATGCTAATCCATGACCGAAGCGAATCATGCGAAATGTGGCAACACGGCACCTGCGTGAACCAAGCGGCGCAACCGCACGTCTACGTGTGTGCTTTTTGCTCGAACACGCCGAACATGAGGGGAGGCAGGCTTCGAGGCTCAGGTCGTGCCGGGATGGACTTTGGGGTGGCTACGTCCCCCTTGGCGAGCAAGTCGTTCAGAGCGTTCCGTTGAAGTCGGACGTGGCTTCACTTAGCATACTAGGCGTTGGCTGTTTTGGTTAAGGATCATAGTTACGCATTTACGATAGACTTGTTACTTTTATGTATGGGCATCAGGGCGACGATAATAAGGGGCTAGAGGCGCGGTTGTAGACATGATACCCTGGTATATATATCACCTGTACGGTTAACCGCGGGATTTCAATAAGGGGAAAACTCGTTGGCGCACATACATATACACACAAATCTCGCAAACACGTACGTAATAATCAGAAGCTCAAATCTTTTGCATTCATACCACAACCAGAAGTATACCTAAGAGAACCTCCCAGGCACGCAGTCATTGGAGCCAAACGTAGCTGCGAAAAAAAAAGAAACCAGATGTTGCCGTCCGTCCGTCCGTCCGTCCATTTCATTCATGTCCGTTTCCGCCCGCCATCACCTTACAGCACAGCGCAGCTCAGCTCCTTATCAGCATACCGGAGCGACACTCAGGTCGGCCTTGTCCATTTCCTCTTTTTTTTTGGTGGTGATTGTCCCATTCTCATTTCTTTTTCTTTTTTTTTTTTGTCATACGTCCGTGTTGATTCAAGTTTGGTCAGGTGAGATACTTGAGCAAATTATCTGCTTTTTTCCCTTTTTTTTCTTCTTCCAAGCCTCCCGCACAGCAGCGGAGGGACAAAGAGGTCGGAAGAAAGGGGGATAGACAGAATCGAGGGCATCGGCGCATCCACATCAACCTCTCATCAGAAGAGAATGTGTAGCCCACGTTGTCGATCGAGGCTGTCCGTGGTGGAAACATTCTATTTTCCACCGAGGCTGGGGAAGGCCGACTCGTCGCGGGTGTTGATGGGAGCAGGGCCCTCGCGGCCGCCACGTCCACCACGGAAGTTGCCGCGCGCGCCACGCTCACCACCACGGTCAGAGCGGTCGCCACGGCCTCCACGGCCGCCACGACCACCGCGTCCACCGCGGCGCTCGCCGCCGGCACCGCCGCCGGTGCGCTCGGGCTCGACGAAGCGGGGGTCAAAGTCGACGGTCTGCTTGACCTTTTGCTCGCGCTGGCGCTGCTTCTTGCCGCTGGTGGCGGCAAAGTAGTCCTCCTCAGTCTTCTCGAGAGCCTTGGCGTCGGCCCACTTCTTGTCGGCCTTGCTGCCCTCGTTGGCGGAGCGGAGGTTGAGACCGAGACCGAGCTTCTTCTCGGCCTGCTGGGCGAGGTAGTCGGCGTAGGAGACGGACTTGTCCTCGGGCTCGGCGGGCTCTTCGGGAGCGGCGTCCTCAGCAATGGCCTCCTTCTGCTCGGTCTTAGCGATAGCTTCGCCGGCCTGCTCGTCCTTCAGCTCAGCCTCGCCCTCAGTGGCGCCCCACGAGGCAGCGGCCTGCTTCTCGGAACCGCTGGATACGTCAGTCAGCCCTACTACACCAAAAACAAATGGTGGACATACCCCTGACCACCGTGCCTAGAGTGGCGGTCATCACGCTCACGGGGACGACCCGAGCCACGGCCTAGGCTCAGTTAGCTTGCTGGCACAACCAAAGGAAGCAGGCACACTGATGAGCAGCAGAGCTGGAAGACACTTACCACCACGGACACGGGCACCGGCACCGCCACGGCCACCACCACGGCCAGACTCCTCGGTGGAACGACCGTGGTTACGGTTGCTGCCAGCATCGCGGTCGCGGAAAGCTGTAAACTGGGTTAGCCGGCAAGTTCACATGCTCGAGGCCTCCAACACAAGTTGGGGCTGGACAAGTTGGACAACGTACCACCGTCGTTACCGCCGGCACCAGGGCGACGCGAAGCGGCTCCCGGGCCCTTGGCAGAAGGGTTCTCGGGCGTGCGCTTAGCAGGACCCTTGACAGCCTTATCCACAGTCTTCACGGGGACGACAGGCTTCTCCTCGCCATCGTCGTCATTGCCTGCAACACGAAAAAAAAGGGTATGTTAGTCAGAGTGCTCTCTTTTTTGGGTCTGTATGTGTCGTCATCGCAACGGCTTGCTTGACCATTCTCCTTGTGATTGTGGCTCGGTGGAGTTGGAGAGGAATATGGGTTTTCGTACCGAGGTAGGCAAACAGGTTCTGTAAAGGTTTGCGTCAGTTACAATTTCCCGAGCCATAAGGTAGGTTGGTGACGAAGGTAGGGGAAGCTACTCGCGGAACTGCGACACAGCTGCTGCTACAGGCACGCAGAATTTCGCGGAACCTGATGTGTTCACGTTCGAAAACACAGATTGACGGCCGCAGCAAGACAAGCTCATGTCTCTCACGACAGGCGAGACGGGCGGGCTGGTTGTGCTGGCTGCGGAAGAAGAACGTACCTTAGAGGCGACTGACATGATGACCGCCTGGCTTGTCGCCTCTCGTCAGACGGGGGAAAAGATTAAGTGAGCAACAATGCGACGCTGGTGAGCGTATGTGTTTGGTGTGCCGAAGAAATCTTCAATTGCGCATGACCCGACGACGGTAGAACTCGAGGATGGTGGGAGAGAGGTTTGTTGGCAAGCGTCGTAGTGGTCGGGAGTCGGATGAGAGTGTGAACAGCAGCCTAGGCAGAGCTCTTTAGACGCAGCGCCAGGCCGCTGTAGGGGCCATGGACCGCTGTGGGCGGTGGGGCTACAGCGCTATGGTGAAAGCTTAATAGGTGTGTCGGTCCCTTGGGCAACGCCAGACAAACGAATTTCACTCTCTCTTTCTCTAGTTGTATGCAATTCTAGCTCAAGGTTGTCTCATTCTCTACATGCAGCTCCTCCAATTTGACCTTAGATTGGTGTCCCAGTACACTATAGCTTCCGACAGCTCATAATGGCCTGGGAATGGGCGTAAGAGCTGCCACGGGATTTGGGGAATTTTGATAATTTTTGTGTGGTTGGCAAGCGGCTCGCGGTTAGGGCAGCAGACGTGGCTGGTGGTCGTTGTGGCTATTACCTCATCCTCCACCCCGCCGGCAATTATCCGCTCCGTTTGCGGACCAACCCCTCCTTTGCTGGAGCTCTGACACGACGTCACATGATTGAGGGTATGACTTGGATACGGCCGCGATGGGCATGTTGTTTGTCAATAATCCGTGATTAGGGGTTAGAGGTGCTAGCCTTGCGCAACTAGGTGCCACCATGTCGCAAGCCTTCCCACTACCTGGGGCTGGCAAGTACTTGTCTACGCTTAGATCCACGAGCCGGCATATGGTGAACAGCTCACCTGAACAGCTCGTCCACGTGTGGAGTATTAGTGCCTGAGAACGAAAGCTCTTGAATGAGGACTGAATTACTATGAGAACGCCAAACTAGATAGCATGCAACCTTACGCCCTGTGCGTCCGTCCTGAACTCCTTTTTCCTGTGTTGTCCCTCGGGACAATAGCCTAGTCGGCCAATATGAATCATCCAACAATGTCGGGACTGCAAATACAAACTCCTGCATCACCACCCAACAGGCGGCCTAAAACTCAATGCCAAATGCTACCAAACACCTTCAGGCGTTCTCTCCTCTGCCGCTTGATGCCACTACCTCCACTAGGTTCGGTTCTTGGGGCGCGCCAGCATGTTGAGGCGGCTCAGGCTGAGGCCACCCTTCTTGATTGGACTCACGGAACAAGGCGGCTTGGTCGGGGTACGGCCTGGCGCCAGCTTCTTGGCACTGGAAAGTGGGGTTGAGACAATGCGACGAGCCGGACCAGTCTTGCTGCCTTGAGCCGCAGCCTTGCGTCTTTTCCCAGCGCGCTCATCAGCCTCTTTCTCGTTAGCATCGTCGTCAGAGGCGGCACGGTGACGCTTCTTGTTGGCTATTCCATGCGGAATGGTCTTCCTCATCGGAGTCGGAGCCTTGTTCTCCTTGTTTGTGTCGGCACTTGGCGAGGAAGGCTCCGGGAAGCTTCCCGGGAGGTCCTTGGGCGCTGAGGAAGCATCGACCTGGCGGATACTGGCCTGGCCACGTCGAGCGCCGAAGCCAGCGGGTGAGGACGCGCCAAAGTCAATTGTATGGTCAGCACGAAAAGTGAAGGTACCGGGGGCAGAAGGTTTGGGGCTCTTCCGCTCCGAGGTACCTGCTTCCACAATGTCCTTGAACGCTGACAGGTCGGGATAGACAACCGTATCTGTGGACTTGGATCCAGCAAGGACACTGTCCATGGAGCTGTAGTGCCCGGCCCGCGCCGTAGTGGATTGGCCAAATTTCTGAGGCGAAGGACTCTTCGGAGTCTCCGCAGCATACTTGGTGTCCGGTGTGAAGGCAACGTGCTTCACAAGCCTACGGCGAGGCGTGGTGAGAGGCACTGGAGGAAGCTCCCTGTCTGCCGTTCGGGTCGGACCAGGTGTTTTGGAGACTGGCACAGAGGGCTTGGGCAGGGCGGTGCGCGCCTCCCTGGCAACCGACTTCTGGCCACGCAGAATGGACTTTACGTTCTCGAAGCGAACGGGGCTGATAACCCTGCGACGGATTTCGTTCGCCTTGAACAGGGGGGTGCCGAAGTTGGTTGTGCTTCTCGGTTTCGGCAAGGTGATTGCTTCGCTCACTGGGGATGTGTTTACCAGAGAGATGGTAGACTTCTTTGGTTGCAGAGAGTGCCCGAGAGATGCCTTGGTCGGACTTGTCAAACGGGAGATAGTTGATGCTGTCCTGCTAGGCGTGTCCCCACCGGGCGTACCAGAGGACGTGCTCTTGGAAGGTGTGCCAGTTGGGCGAGGAATGGTGCTTCCATCTCGAGACGTGGGTCGGGACTTGGAAGTATCGTCATCGCGAAGCTTCTTAACTCTTTTGGCGAAGGTGCTCTTGGGTTCATCCATGGGAGTGTTACGCTGCAATGCGCCAGCAGACCGTTGGGAATCAGCATCATCAAGCTGAGCGTGCGAGGATGTGCGCTTGAGGCTTGACTTGACTTGTGCCTGGGGCGTGCCAAGCAAGCTGGTCTTGGACAGTGTACGCTTCAGGCTGGGCTTGACTGTGGGTGTGGTAGGTGTGCCCTCCGTGTTCGACTTGGCCGGCGAGTGTTGGCTGCCAACCTTGACTGGGGTAGTACGCTGAGCGCGCCAGGCCGAGGCATGGTTCTCAATGGAGTCCATCTTCTTGAACTCGCGCATGTGCGCTGCACTGAAGCGACTAGACTTGCCCTTGGGTTGGGCTATCTTCCTCTCCTGGTCGAGCTCTGTCTCCGCCTCTCGCTGCGCCCTCAGGTCGGCCTTGATCTTATTCGCTTGCTCACGAAGCTCTTTCATCAGACGCTGTGCGTTCTCGCTCAGTGGCATCTGAGGTCCTTCCTTGGAGAAACGAAAGGTGAAGTCTGTAGCCGGCACGTTCCGCAGGCGTGTCGGCGTTGCCTGCGCTACGCCAGGGATGTCCATGTTACCAGGTCGAATCTCCGAGAATCCCAGCCTCAGATCGGAGGAAGGCTCTGGCATGGTAGTCTTGTGGTATTGACTAGGGTGCATTTCTTCGTGAGAAGGCGCAGGTCGAGGAGCCGTCTTTGGGGTTCTGGGTACATCGCGCCCTAGGTCTGCATTCTTTCCGTTGGGCTTGGGCGACTTGAAGGCGGGTTGCTGAATAGTACCATCGGTCTCCGCGACGGAGGACAGCTCGGAAGTGGCCCTTGGCTTCAAGGCAAGCCGTTAGTATCAGCAAGCTCTGGGGGTTTGGAGAGCAGGCTTACCTTAACAGCAGAACCAACAGCTGCCAGCCGAGATGAACGGCGGCGGGGAGGCGACATTGTGCTTTGCGATGAAATGAAGCTGCGCAATAAAAATCACAATGCGATATCAGCAGGGGTGCTTGATTGAATCTAATGGGAGGTTGCAATGCTTGGAATGGAGAATGATGTCAAAGTAGACCCGGAGTTGCGAGCGCGTCAACAACTGGTGGGGGCGGCTTTGTTTACTTTCTGGCACATATGGTCCGAGCGGCAAAACAATCACAGTGTGTGCACAGTAATTTTGACATTTCGCACAGTCCTCTCAACGGTGAGACGTTAACCTGAGGCAGCATGAGGTAGAATTCAGGTCCAATCCACAGAGCATCGCGTAAGGAAGGTACTGGCTGGTATAATTATTTCGCGCTTGTTTTGTTTTTTTTAATCTATTAGATATACTCAAGTAATTTTCCATGTTGAGGACCCAAAATGAACAACTTTTGTTAACAGAACGCTCATTTGATCATCAACCCTCTTCTCCGCCAACAAACCTTTTTCGCGCTATATATTGAGCCCAGTACGCCAACCCGTTCATAACCTGCGGCCTCCTGTACCAGTTCCATGCGAATCGTAACAATTATACCTGCAGCCTCGACAGCGTGCCTTCATGGGGATACGTATCCCCATGGTTGTGAATATGTGTCGAGCCAAAAGTGGCAAGATCAGAACAAGAAGCAGCAAAACTCCAGCGAACCCAAGTGTACAAATACTGCGCCTCCCGAATATGAAACGGGCCGCCTAATGAAGACGTATAAGGCGTAGCCGAGAACCTGCTCGAGCTTTAGTGGCTTTTTTGCTCGCGCATAGATTCGGGGTGCGATGCCGTCTCAGCGAACGCTGGGATCCACCTGATACGATTGTGAAGGAAACGCCATGCTGGCGCTCAGGCCGAAGGGATCCCAGTCCATGTTCTGATGATCGAGCAACGAGGTCATGGATGGGTAGTTCTGGCCACCGTTCATCGAGGGCGGTTGGTGCTCGTGATGCGGGTGTGGAACGTGTCCGGGACCATTCGACGCGGGGGACAGCAACTGGGGACCTTCGTTGGCAAAGTTGCCTGCCGCATAGGGTCCAGGGCCGCTGGGTGTCTCAATGTCAGACTCCTCCGCCACGTCTGGCGGCGCATCGTACTCTTGTTCTGCGGCGGCGTTAGTCACTACAGTACACCACGATCGTTTTCATCAAACTTACCCAGCTGCTCCAAGTGGGTCTGGAACCCTGGTGTAGGATAATATGCTGCACCGTTGCTTACCGATGGTGTCTGTCGCATAGCCGGTCGTCGTGGTGGCGGCTGGGAACGGTGGTTTTGCTGCGGCTGATGATGCTGTTGCTGCTGGGAAACAGGCATTCCATGGATGTGTGGCCGTGGCAATCCAGGGGCCGTTCCCCTTACCGAGAGATTGTCGGAGGCGGCTGGGGAGAAGCCAGATACCGGGTTGGTGGGTGAGTTGGAGTGTGAGGACGGGGTTGGGCGCGTCTTGGGCGAGGCAGAAGTGATGTGTCCTTGCCCGATGCCATGGGCAGGATCACTCTTTGGTGCAATGCCAGAGTTCGAGCGCCGTGAATGATGGTGGCGGTTGATCAGCGCCCTCTGGATTGGAGGCGGCTGGACCAGGTTCTGGGGCATGTGAGTCGCCCCGAGGTCTGAGCCACCAGTCTTTGCGTTCAGCTCGGACTGGACGTCAATGCCCTTCTCGAGCAGGATACGCTCGAGGAGTGAGTTTTTGTAGCGCAGCATCAGGCACTCGTCCGCTGCATTGCGGTGAGCCGTCTGCAGACTGTGGAGGTTGGTCTCGTGCACACGAATGGTTTCCTCCAGCTGCTTGATGTACTCGGTTCGACGTTCTCGGAAGGCCGCCTGGGCTTGCCTGTTCCTCTGCTTGCGTTCCTCCGAGGTGGCGTAGATCTGGGGCACGTGGATTAGTACCTCCACTAACACACAGGGTCATGACACGGGGAGCACTTACAGGCTTGCGACCACCTTTCCGCTTGGGCTGCTGGCCGTCCTGAGGGATGGAGTTGTTGGCCGCGCCAGCGGAAGGGGGATGACTGCCTGGGGGCGCATGAGCCATGTCATCGCCGTCTCCCATGGGAGACGAGCCGATGGAGTCGTCGTCGTCCTCCAAATGGTGGTGTTCGTTGGGATGATGATGATGGTGTGGCGGCGGCGGAACAGGCTTGGTGTCGATGGACATCTTGTCGGCCATGCCTCCAATCGAGGCCGTGTCCCACGAGCAACAGGCGACGGCGCCGCGTGCGACGCACGGCGACAGCGGGCAAGGGACCCCGGGGCACCGGGCGGCGGACGGATCAGATCGCCAGCGTGAATTCGGCACGGCGCCGGGTGAAGCAGACGGGCGTGCAAGTGACGTCCGGGTCGCGATTGTGGAACGTGCTCTCCGTGTCAAAGGCCGGAGGTGGTCTTGGTGCGCCCGTTGAAGATGCTGGATTGCGGGCGTTGCGGGCGCAGATGACAGATGGGTACGACGTACTGGAGTCGACAGGCGTCTGACGTGCCTATCAGAGAGCGAGGGCACACGTAAGGGGAAACAGGCTGGGAAGCGCGCGTCCGTCTGTGACCAAAGGTGGTGGTATCTGATAAGGCGAGACGAGTATGCCTGCAATTTGGTTTGCTAACGTTTTGCTTGCGTGCGGGCGCTGGCAAAAATGGGGGGAGATAACAGTGACAGAGAGAAATTGAGGGACAGCAGTTTATGTAAGGTAATGAGAATGGAACGCCGGGCGGGGGAGGAAATCTCTGGCCCAATTAGCACCTCAGCTGACCTCCATTTTTGCACGGCACGCCTCCTGTCCGACCTCGCTCCAGGACCAGTCCGCTCCATGTTCAGCTTAACTCAATCTTTAATGAGCCCCCTGGGCCCCGAATCTGGGGAAGTTGTCGTGCGAAAGATTGAATCCAATTGCCTTCGCTTGGTGCCAGTGGTTCATCATTTGGCTTTCCCTCTGTCGCCGGATCGCCCTGTCGGCAGGCCTTGCCTTGTGTAGTGGCGGTCCTTCCTTGCCCTGAGCCAAACGCACTGAAGATCCAGGTCAAACCCAGGTCAAACCCCCACACACCCCTTCTCGCTAGAGACACCCTGCCTGATAAGCCTTCTTCAGTTGATCATCAGTCAATCCGGTTGGCAACACCTCGTCCATCTCTTTATAATAATTAATGCCGGGCAGCATCGCCGCCAGCTTCTCTCGTTTCACTCGGGAGCCGTCACCTCTTGTGCTGGCCTCAGCGTCGCAGATTGACGGACCTAACCTGTTACTCCATGGGACACTGCTGCGATTGGCCCCAGGCGGACAGGCGCCTCCAAGTCCGTGTCCACCACGTACGCATCATTCATGTCCACTCCGCCCTTTGTGGCCTGAGCTGAGGCATTTGCCCGCTTTCACCGTTTGGTGCTCCGTCACATGAGGCTTCTTCCCCTCTCTTCACTCTTCATGAACGTCACGTGCATCTGGCTGAGCTACAGCGAACGAGCTTTCATCCATGCATCAAGTGAAGTTACAGCCAGTACCTCATGTGAGGCCACTCTGCAATTTGTCAGGAGAGAAGGTCATGATGATATGGTTTTCCCTTTTCTATCGTGGCAGATCTCTCTCACTCTGCGTGTTCCGAAAGGTCCGGCTGTCGTATCTTCTTCGGGCCCCGCCAAACCAAGACGCGCATCTCCGCGGTGACTTCTGTCATACCCTTTTCTTCGTGACGTAGGTACTTGTACGCTCACCAGCTCAAGAAATGAACGGTTGGGTGCTGGTTTTCACCTGACAACAGACGTCACGCCCTCGGCCTGTTTGAACCTGCTGCTATTTCAATCAAGTAGCGGTTGGGATTCTTAGAATTGGCACGTTCAGGCGTACGCAATGGCTTCTTCAGCCCAGGTCCAGTCGACAATGTGCCCGAATAACCAAATCGCTACGTGTTTGCAGCTATCATGATGTAACGCTCATGTATCAAGTTATGCCGTCCGTCCCTCACATAGTGACAATTACTTTTCAATCCCTTTTCCTTCCAGGATCCAGATACCCCCACGCCCACTACGCCTTCAAGATACGCTCGAGCTCTTTCACAACCGCGTCGCCCACCTCGGCTGTCTTTGCGCTGCCGCCCATGTCCTTGGTGCGTAGCCCTCCGTCGATCGCAGCGCGCACGGCCTCCTCGACAGCCTTGGCCTCCTCCGGCAGGTTGAGCGAGTAGCGCAGCATCATGGCGACAGAGAGAATGGTGCCGATGGGGTTGACGATGCCCTGGCCCGAAATGTCCGGGGCCGATCCTGCGACTCTTGTTAGCTGCGCGCCATCACTGCGCTCATGGGAGGGGCCACTTACCATGGATGGGCTCGTAGATGCCGTTGCACTTGCCCTTGCCGTCGGGGATGCCGCTCAGACTCGCGCTGGGCAGCAGTCCAATGCTTCCAGGGATGACACTGGCCTCGTCGGAGATGATGTCGCCAAACAAGTTGCTTGTCACCACAACGCCGTTCAGACCGGTGGGGTTCTTCACCATGATCATGGCCGCGCTGTCGATGAGCTGGTGCTCAACCTTGAGATCGGGAAACTCCTTCTCAAAGGTCTCGGTCATGACCTTGCGCCACAGACGGCTCGTGGCCAGAACATTGGCCTTGTCCAAAGACCAGACCTTCTTGTCACCTCGACCACGGGCGAGGAAACCAGCCAGTCGCGCAACGCGCTCGATCTCGGGGCGTGAGTACGGCTCCATGTCCCATGCCTCGCCGCTGCCATCATCTTCTTTCCGGTCGCCAAAGTAGATACCACCCGTCAACTCGCGGACAATGACAAAGTCGGTGCCCTTGCACACCGAGGCCTTGAGCGGCGAGTAGTCGACCAGGCTGTCCGAGGCGAAGAAGCAGGGCCGCAGGTTGCCGTAGGTGCCCATCTCCTTGCGGATCTTCAGGAGGCCCTGTTCAGGGCGCACCGCGCCGGTGCCCCATTTGGGTCCGCCGATGGCTCCGAGCAGGACGGCGTCGGCGGCTTGTGCGGCTTGGAGGGTTTCGTCTGTGAGGGGAGTGCCGTGGGCGTCGATGGAGCACTGCGGTGAGTTGTTGTCAGTATATGGTATAGGTTCATGCTCGTCTAGCCGAGATCGGGGAGCTGCAACATACGCCGCCCATGAGATGTTCCTTGAGATTGAACTTGCCAGCGGAAGGCTTGTTCGCCTCAATCGTTTTAAGGATCTTTGCATGTGTAAGCCATGGCGTACCACGAGCAGACCCGCTTTGTCCGTGTATTCACCTTGATGCCCTCGGCAACGACCTAACGCAGACGTGTTAGTGCTTGTTGGACTCTGGTCTGGCAGCTTGGCCGCTCACCTCCGGACCGCAGTGGTCACCACCAAGAACGACAATGTTATGCTCCGCCATTGTAGACTACCAATTGATCCCAAAGGCGCGTCAGGTATTAGTGAATAGATAGAAGCTTGGGTATCGCGGGGTTGATGAAGCTCCCTTGAAGAAAACCCGCCCCGCCTCGCGCCGGGTTTTGTAGTAGGGCGTCAAGGCGCCGATGTCGGAATCTCCGGCTCCGTTGAATACCGAGTAGTTCGGCATTGCACTGAATATTCTGAGCCTTTGATGAGCACACTAGTTTTGGGCGTATTTCTTTTCCATAGTTGCATTGCTTTTTGCGAGAGTGTGCTGTCCAAGCGTTGATCTGAGTGCACGCATTTGCTATGATGTCACACGAACGAGTTCTGCTCGAGGGTTATACCTCGAATTGTCAAGGTCGCGAGTGTGTATATGATCGAAATCACTTGCGATATGATGGATACCGGGCAGTTCATGGCCCAAAAAGCACGAGGAATCAATAAGATACTGGGTCAGCTGTATCAGTGGCCAATGTATGTAATGCGTAGGGTAGGTGACTAAGCGGAAACAGAAGGACATCCGGACACCAGCGAGGAGTATACTATCCTCCAAGTCCACATCCGACCAGGACCCAATACGTCCAAGTGCTAGCTTGAGCACACGTACAAATCTACGTCCATGCGTCAACGAATTTAGATGGGTTCTGCCTGATCTAATTCACGTTGGTTGTCGCATCTCTTACAACACACCTTCCGAGGGAGTTCTGGGTGTCGAGGTGCTTGTGGCACTAGCAAGCGTATATTCGTCAACTTGGTATCACCAAGCCAAAAGTATCAAGGCCACGGCGGTAAAAAACGCAGCCCATGTTGCGCCGACCCAACTTCCCATGCGAGGTGCGCCACTGTCCCACAAGAGCATGACCTCGCCCACCTCATCACGCTCGTCGATACTGCACACTGCGGTGCAGCCCTCGTCGTCATCGTCCCGAACGGACAAAGAAGCAGACCTCTTCTTGCTGGCCTCCACACCATCCGTCGTATTGTAGATCATCTCGATCCACTGTATTTGAAGATAGGCCTCGTCGTACACGGACATGTTCCCGCTCCAGCTGCCACCGTTTCCCCAGGCGTTGAAGATGACGCGGCACGGATCTGTTGGTGTCTGAAACTCAATGTTGGCCGTCTCCTCCCCGTCGACATACCAGATCACCGTGTCGGGCGTCCAGTCCATGCGGTGTACCATCCACTCGGACCACAGGCGGTTGCCGGGCGTTGATGCGTTCCTCGTCGCCTCGGGAAATTCGTCACCATCATCAGAGTAAGAGGGCTGGTTGGTGTACTGAATCTTGTCCCGGCGCCCTTTGGTTAGGATCTCGATATCTGACTCTTGCACATTTGCAAGCTCGTCGGAGTCTCGGTAGGTGAACATGGCGGTGACAGCACCTGGGGCCCCGATGGTGCGGGCGAGCATGCGGAGTGACACGTAAAAGTAATCGCTATTGCTGCTTATCTCGGCTGCCGTTTGAAATTTGGGGAAGCGCTTGGTACGCATGGTGAGGAAGGTATCTGAAGTAGCGTCGTCATCGTCATCGTCTTTGGCCTCAATGTACACATTGTTGGGTGTGTTGACCATTGTGACCGTGCTGCCGTCATGGTCGACGTGACGGCTCCATCCTTGAAGTTCCCACACGCCTAGAAAACCCTCGCTCTCGAAGTAGTCGCTTGACGTCGAAGCGTCCGAGTTGGCCGTCACACTATCCAGCGGGTCTGGCACGTTGACACTGGCCTCCAGGTCGCGAAAGTCAAAGAACATGCGCTGAGAGTAGTATGTAGGCACCGAGCCGTTGATGAGGTAGCAGCCGCAATCGCTTTGGTTGACCGGCTGAGGCTCATCTTCTGCAACCACGATAGTAAACAGAATTGCAGCAAGGGCGAGCCTAGTCGCCATGATGCTGGTTAGTATGCTCAAAGACACAAAGGTGAGAGAACCGGAGCCAACCGGGACTCAAAAGAGCCCAGCTCGATGTTAGCATTTTGTTCAAGTATAATTATGCTTTTCTTCTGAGGCATCGTGCCAATGCGACCATACGGCTTACGCAGATGGAGCCTGACAAAGGAACGCGCCCACTTCGGCGCTAGGCGCAGCAGCTGATTCTGCGGGAACTCGGCAACAAGAATATAAGAAGCACATTGGCATCTGCTAGCTTGACACAGAAAAATGATCGCAAGATGTCAGCTCAAGGGTCCAAGGACCGCCGTCCAGGCCTTGGTGACAGGGGTAGACGTTGGGCCTTTTGAGCCACCGCCGTAGCCATGGTGGTACCTGGAGGATGCATAATGTAGGCCAAGGAATGCAATGACAGCATAAAGTCCAGCCTTGAACCGGTCAAGGCTGACTGTATCTACCAGTGCGAACTGCGTCGAGCCAAAGGCACTTTTCTTGAGTACGACACATGGTTTCAAAAGAGGCGAGGGAACTCATTGCGTGGTGGTACATAGTAGGCAGACAGATGGCTGTCATAACTCACGGGTGTGAGGAAAATCCGGAGCCGTCCCACAGAGTGAACTGCTTGGACTTCACCGCCTACCAATACTGCCCGCTAAGCGACGTGATGCGCCTCCCGCTTCCCTCCATCAACAATCTTTCGTCATTCACCAGCGAAAAGCGCTGATTGACTTGCAGCCATATCACATCTTGATCCATCACTGCTAAACCACAGGTGCACACCTAAGTATCATGACGTATAGTATGCCTTCAGGAGACTCACACCTGCAGATGACAGACTTCACGTGAGAGCATCTCTTGAGCCGCCATGTCGTCGCAAGATTCGCCCAATACCCCTGCGCAGGAGGCATCGCCCCCGCGCGCGCAAGGCCAGGCCCAGGAGCAGCATACGCCGGAGGCATCCGCAGCGGGCCAAACCGACGCGAGTGCGCCAGCTGCGAAGGATGCGCCAGAGCCAAAGCCAGACAGCGAGGCGCCGCCCCTGCCCAGCGAACCCGTCCCAGATGGCCCTCCTCTACCGAACGAGCCTCCACCGCAGCCAAAGCCAGAGGACGATGGATGGGACTTCCAATGGGACCCCAGCTCCTGTTCGTACTTCTTCTACAACCGCTTCACAGGCCAGTCGCAGTGGGAGAACCCGCGCGTAGCCACCAGTGCGACGACGGACGCCACTGCAGCTGCAGTTGCGGCTGCGCCAGCCGCTGCTGCTGCTGCTGCTGGGCCCCAACCACCCGCGTCCGAGAAGCCGGCGGCCGGTGGCTACAATCCCGCGATCCACGGTGACTATGACCCGAACGCCTGGTACGCGCAGGGCGACGAGGCAGATCCGGCCGAGGGCGAGCAGACAATAGGCGACGGGGCTGTTCCTGGCGTGCCGGGCGTGCCGGGCGTGCCGGGCGATCCATTTGCGACCACGGCGCAGTTTAACCGCTTCACGGGCCAGTTTCAGACAGAGGAGGATGGCCCTGGGCGGCACACGGACGAGGCCAAGTCGAAGCGGCAGATGAATGCCTTTTTCGACGTGGATGCCGCGGCCAACTCGCACGACGGACGGAGTCTCAAAGCGGAGCGGTCGAATAAGAAACCCTCGAAGCAGGAGCTCAAAGCGTTCAAGGAAAAGAGGCGGGCGAGGAAGGAGGAGAAGCGGCGCGCGTGGCTGCGGGACTGAGGATTTGCATGGTGGGAGTTTGGATCTAGGAGTCAGGAGTCTGTTTGGGTCGGATGGCGTGCGTTGATCGAATTCAAAAGGCTTTAGTATAATAGAGGGTATGCATCTAGATCGTTTCTGCTTTTACTTTTTTTTTTTTACCTCGTGATAATGCGTCCAGTTACTCGTCATCACTGTCGTCATCTAGGTCGATTTGTAGATGCGCGCTCTCGCCGCTGTCGCTGTCCTCATCGACCGCCATCGTGGAGACTCCGGCTTGGGGCTGCGCCAGATTCGGAGCTGGCGTCTCCAGCTCTTGACGCTTTGGCGATGTGACCTCTGCACCCTGATGCTTGCGCTTGGGCGGCGAGCTTTCTCTAGGACGAACGTTTCCGAATCCGCCATAGACTGTAGTCGTCTCATCATCGTTCACCTCGAATGGGTTGTTCGGCTTCGGCAGATCGAGCTGGGGGGCGGCAGGCAAGGTCCCGGGTTGTAGTGGTGCGGCTGCCTGGGTCTCTGCGTCGCCCATCTCGTGGTCTTCTCTCTCGTCGTCCGCCGCCTCGTCCTCGCTCTCGTCGTCCTCGTCGTGCTCATCCTCATTCATCTCTCGATCCTCTTCAATCCCCGAGGCTCGACCTGCCTCAGGGCGCAGATTGGTCCTGAGTATCTCGAGCGTCTGGTCCTGGGGAAACTGCTGCGTCAAGTGAGGCAGTATGCTGGGATATTTCCTCCCACGCGTGTCGACATATGGGTTCAACACGCTGGCCACCATGGCTCCGCGATTGGACGTCAGGATGGCCGTTTGATCAAGAAGACTCCGGTGACTCGGCTTGAGGTGCTTTTGCGGTAGGCGAGTCAGCAGAGTAGTGAGCAGTGTCGAAGCAGCGACCTTGTGACCAGCCTCCAGAGGCACCGCTTTCTGTTCGGCTGTCGCCTCTGGCTTCTGGAGGAAGAGGTCGGCGTTGGCGGCCAGGCCATTCTTCTTGCCGTCTCCCGCACTGGCTGTATTCTTGGGCTGCTTAAGATAACCAGCGTCCTCTTGCAAATCGCGGCAAGTCGCTCCAATGACAGGCTGCAGCATATCGACAGTGGTCTTGGGCAATGCTGGCCCTGTAAGCACCAAGAGGTCGTGGAGCGTAGCGTAACTTGTCGAGCGGATAGCGGGTATGCTGATGGCCGAGTTGAAGACGCGCAGAATCGTGTCGGACAAGTCTGATACGTAGGGAGTCATGTCATCTCCCAGCCGCTGGAAGAGTGCCTGTATGAGGCGTAACGCAGCCATGTGCACGTCCGGTATGACGCTCCAGAGGTCTTCCTTTTCGTCTCTCCCGATTGCAGCCTTGGTCTGCAAGGCCTGGTCCCAGCTTGACTTGGGAGACAGCCTGGCGACCGCGCACACACGCGTGACTGTATCTGTGAGCTTTGTCAATGGCACAGCAACGGCGCCTTTGGTGGAGTGGCGCAAGCAGGTTGAGAGAAAGTCGAAGAGCCCAACGAGCCGCTGCGAGCCTGCATGTACTCCTGACCATGAAGGATAGTCGTCTGTCTTGGCGCCGCCAGTAGTCATGGGCCCATCGATTGGCACCTTGGGGCGAGGGTTTCCTGAGGTTGGCTCCCAGGACTCGTCCACAGCACGCAGGACATGGTCGGCCGTGTCATGGATGTTACTGACGATGCCATCCAGCAGCTTGGCCCACTCTTCACTCCCGCCCGACTTGGCTGCCACATGGTGCTGCGTGGCAGCCAGGCGCCTCGCAGACTCTTGAAGGGACTGCGGCACGCTGAAGTCGTCGGTCTCTGTCGGCGCAAGGAACGGCCGGATGGCGGTCAATGTCTGGTTGCTGGACGGTCGGAATGTGGCTGGGTACAGAGGAATAAGGGTTGAGAATGCATCGCAAATAGTCTCGACGACACTGAGTGGAGTGGACGTCACCGCGCCCGTCGCAGGTACCTTGATGAGCTGCACACATGCCGTGGCGAAGGCTGGAATGGTGGGCGTCGCAATCTCGCGGACGAGGGTCTGGTAGGGCTGCAGAAGCGCATAGATCCTCGTAAGAGTGACAATGGCCAGTTCCTTGGACGCGACAGGATCGCCCTTTTGGACGATGGACAGGAGACCACGCACCCAAGGCTCACAGCCGCGCAGGACCTCCCACCCCCCCACATCGACGGCGGATTTGATGAGGGCAATGGCAGCGAAGCGAGCCTCGCGGGTGCGACTGTTGACGAGTGTCGTGATGCTGGTCTTGAGCTTGTTGACCAGCTGTGCGCTTTCCGCCGCCTCGCCCTTGGCCTTGCCGTCTGCAGGCGTCGACAATGCATGCCTGCATCGGACTACATGGCTGACGAGGGAGGGCAGCGCATGAGGCAGTTGCTGCGGAGGGACTGAGGTGAGTTTCCGACAGAGCACGCGCAGATCCGGGGGAAGTAGAGTCGACGACATGGCAACTGGGCCGGCTGCCTTGGATCAACGGGGAAGGATCGATGGCAGCGGGACGCTGGGCGTGCAGAATGAGTCTGATAATAGTATGTTGAACTTTTTTTCTTCTTCGAATCTGCTGAATTGGGACCGGGGACCCTGAGCTGGGGCCGCTTTGAGCATGTGGGGTCCAAGGCAGCCTCATCATTGGCTGATCAGCTGGTAGTGCGTGGAAGCTTTCCTCTCCTCGGTCATCGCTCCATGTCTGCTTTCTCGTCTCGCTGGCTTGGCCATCCATTGTCAGCTGCTCGCCGCTGTTGTCTGGTCTACTTGTACCTGCGACTTGTCCAGCGTTGTCATTTCGTGTCTGCCAACATTCTTTCGCAAAACGTGCTCCTCTGCCCTCTCCTCTGCCCGTGTGCATTCGTGGGACCCGACTCTCGTTGCATATCTCGTCATGCTCACAGACCTATAGTAGCTGCGCTCCTAGTCCGACTTCCCCTGACCTAGGCGCACCATGTCTGTAAGTCAGAGGCAACACCAGGTCCACGGCCTGCACTCCTCAACCTGCTAATGAGACTCACCTCCCCCAGACCAAGGCAGCCAACTACCTCCATCAGCTCGATCGCGCCCGCTGCGATGGCAATTGGTCTGCGGTCCCCGAGCTCGTGCGCAAAGTCCGCAAGCATGCACCTGAACGAGCTTGTGCGCCACCTTCCCTCTCGACGTCACATCACAACCACTGACCCAACCCCTTGCAGGCCTCGCACTGACTGCGGAAACCGAATGCTCCATAGCAAACGCGACCCTCCCCTCATCGCAGCCCAACCGACCCTCGACCGACGAACCGGCTTCCACCCAAGCGACCTCGGCACACGCCGACTACTCAAACAGACTACCAGCACTCCTCGATTCCATCGAAAAGGAGACACACTATGTCGAGGATAGGTTTCAGGCCCGCGTCTGTGTGGGGTGGCTTCACTGGACTGTGGCGGAATACACGCAGGCCGCGAGCCAGCTGCCCAAGGGTCTAAACCAAGCAGACTCGCAGCTGGACGGGGCCGAATCGCTCACGGAGTGGACGGCGGTGTGCGCACTCAAGTCGGCCTTCCTCAGAGCCGACTGCCTGAATCGGGACTACTCTAGGCACGAGGCCCTTGATGCTTTCAAGTCGGGCTTGCCGGCACTCGCTAAAGCCTGGTCAGGACAAGGGGCTGGGCAGCAGCTGAAGGAATGGTCCGAGATGTACTTGACCGAGTACTGCATGCTATCGAGCGAGGCTCTAAATGAAGGTGACGTGTCTCTAGAGGATCACAACGCGCTCGCATGCTACAGATCTTGGGCCAGATACTGGGAGGTTCATTCGGCGGCGGCGGGCTACGCGTCCAAGGGATCCACGCCCCGTCGTCGTGTGTGGAAGGAATACTACGTCGCCCTCTCTCGAATCATTGAGCAGGACCTACCTTTCCCTACCGGATACCTCAGCAAGATTACCAACGAAATGTCGGCGCGCACGCAGTTGCGAGACGAACTCAAAACGACTGAGGCGGCATACCAGAATCTTCTCTTCTCGGAGATGAGCTTCCCTCGCGCTGACGAAGAGCGAGCCGAAGTGGAAGAACTCGTCACGTTGGCAGTCAAAAATTGGTCCATCCTCTGCGGTAGGGGCTGGCGCGAGAGCGATCTCGGACCAGGTGGCCGCATCAGTGCAAGCCATCGAGTGCTTGATCTTCTCTACAAAGCCGCCACCAAGACGTTCCAGTCAACGTCCGTGTTGCGAAGCCTCTTCCTCGTCCACATGGCCGTTGGGGAGTTCGACCTCGCATTCAAGGCATTCGACTCATATCTCGGCATCGTGAAAAAGGTCAAGGCGAGGGTCGAAAAGACGGGCCAGTACGAGCCGAGCTTAGACACAGATGGCGTTGTGCTCCAGACCATGGCCCAAGCTGTCATTACGCTCTGTCAGTACGGTGGTGCCCAGTCGGCAGAAAAGGCACGTCATCTGGCATCGGAGCTGGAGGATCTCCTGGCCACGCTGCCTCAGCTCAAATCTGCAGAGAACGGTGACGGCACGGCATCCGGCGGCCCCCAGCATGGAGACAAGGCCGGACTGCTTCATCCACCTGTGGCGCCGCATATTGTCGCATTGTCGTGGCAGGCCATCGGCTTATCTCACGCAAACTGGTCGAGAATCACCAGGGAGGCTGCGTCGCGCACCGAAATACAGGGCCGAGCCATTCGCTGCTTGCGTAGATCTTTAGCTGCAGAATACGGCAGGTCAAAGGACATTAGGAGCTACTTTAGCCTCGGCCTTCTCCTGGCGGAGAGACGAGAAATTACAGCAGCCATCGAGGTGGTGAAGACGGCCCTGGTGTCGAGCAAAGGCAAGGAAGGACAACATCATCTCCATTACGGACAATACTGGCAGGAAAGGTCGCTGATTCCCATGTGGCATCTTCTCTCGCTGTTACTGAGCGCGAGGCAAGATTTCGCAATGGCTTCGAGAGCATGTGAGGGGGCACTGGAGCAATTCAAGGACCCCGCGGTGCTGTTTGGCAAAGAAACATCTAGTTTCAGGAGCGAGCACCTAAACGACGTCGAAGGGAAGGTCCCGACCCACGATTCACCCAAAGGGCTCGTGGATGAAATGGACGATATGGAAAAGGAGGCCATATTGGAGGTGAAGATGACCCAGCTTTCTCTCGTAGAGCTGCTGGAGGGACCGGATGTCGCAGTCAACGCCAGTTCGGAGCTGCTGGTGCTTTTCGCAAGACTCTTTGGCAGCTTTGCCACTCCAGCGCAAACTCTCAAGCCTCCCAAGCCCGCCGAACCACCGAAAACGTCAGGTACCCTTCGCAGTATAAAGGGCAGCATCTTTGGTGGGCGTGACCGCTCACGGCCACCTACCAGGCAGACGAGTGGTGCGACCACTCTTGCGAACCCGACGGCACCTCCTACGGTTAGCGAGGAGCCATCGGAGTCTACAGCTTCAGACGCGAGGCCTCCGACCGCCAAGACCGTCAACAGCGCCATGCCATCGATACAGGTGACTGGTGATGGTGAGGGGAAGCCCACGCGCAGCGAGAGCACAACCCGAGCCCGCAGGAGTGACTCACGCACGCGAAACAGCTTGAGGAAGAAAGAAAGAAGCGTCAGCCGCCGCAGGAGGTCAAGTGCCACTGCGCCCTCGCAGCCCGAGCTTGTCGATGGGGAGCCATTCTTCACCCCAGCCGCCGGGGCCGAGAGAGACCAGTCTGATTTCTTCACAAACGCCGGCAAGCGGCAGCCTTCCTCCATGTCATCATTCTCCCGCGGCCCGACTCTGCCTACGCTGAATTCGTACTTGTCAACAGTGTCGAAAACATCTGACCGCGGCGAACTCGTTGCCGACGACACACATCCGCCCACAGATATTCTACCACTGGTGCAGCTATCGAAAGACAAGGCGAGGTTCCGCAGAACAAGCATACTGATCAGGGTTTGGCTGATGATTGCGGGTTTCTACCGCCGGGCCGATCTGTACGACCAATGCAAAGCAGCCGTGGCTGAGGCACAGAAACTCGTGCAGGGACTAGAAGCCGATGCGCGACAGGAACCATCAGCTTCTCCCGTCCAAGGTGAGGGCTGGGCTGAGAGGAAGAGCGTCGAGGACTTGAGAGGTGACGTATATTCCGAGGTAAGTGGGCATCCATGCTTTCTATCAACCACCAGGCAAGACTTACTCACCCTTGTTTAGCTCGGACACCTTGCCTTCGCAGAAGGCGACCCCTACCAAGCCCGCAGCGAGTTCGAGACGGCGTTGATGCATGCCCCAGACCACCCCTCCGCGATCGTCGGGCTGTCCGACATCCTCCTCGACGTCTACGCCGAAGTCCTACGACCCACGCCACCTACCCCAGCGCCAGCTGCGGCGGACTCGACGGCCATGTGCTCCCACAAGGCTGCCGAGGACACGCCCAAGACACTACCTACCCACCCCCTCGGGCTCCGCTCCACCCCGATACCACACACGCAACCGCAAGTGACGTCCCAGACCTCCGTCAGCGACGACCTGCCCGCGCCTTACAAGGCCACCTGCCTCCCGCTGTCTGATCGTCTGGCCGCGCGGGACCGCGCCTACACCCTCCTCTCCGGCCTCACGCGACTCGGCACGGGGTGGAACTGCTCGGACGCCTGGTTCTCTCTCGCCAGGGCGTACGAGGAGAGCGGTCAGGAGGAAAAGGCCAAGGAGGTGCTCTGGTGGTGTGTCGAGCTCGAAGAAGGACGAGGCGTGCGCGAGTGGGACTGCCTCGGCGGGGGCGGCTATGTTCTGTGAGGGAAAGGTCCGTCGAGGTAATTAATAAACGCAGCACACGCAGCTGGGCATCGAGGATTCCCCGTTACTTATAGACATCATGCTAAATATACGCTTCACAGGTGGCTTGACTTGCATATGCGTGCGGGGAGTTGTGTGTGCGTGTGTGTGTGTGTGTTAAACTACTAATCCAACAAGTGTAGAAGCGTTGGGTTCTTTATTGGATTTTTGCTGCTCTATGGGAATCAAATCCATCATCAATCAACCTCCCCGTTCCAAATCGCTGCCGATTTCCTGCTCAACTCCAAGAACGATGAATATGTATGATAAGCGCTTTTTTTCTTTTGTGCAAAGGGAACCGATGTATATCCCAAGGCGAGAACCCTCGGGTTACGAAAGCCTCCTTTCCACCCCCTCTCTGGTCGCCGTCTTCCCATGTCGTCAAACAGTGTCATAACAGTTAACCCCCTCTTTCCCGTCCTACTGTTGCCAGCTCTTGAGAAGTTCAAGGAGATAGTTGGAGAACCCCTTCTTATCCGTGTTGGTGGTCAGGGCGCGTAGGAAATCATCGCCGTTGACGCCGATGCTCGGGAAGAGCTCGTTCTGCAGCTGCTGGATAAAGACATCCCCCGTCTTGGTGTAGATCATCTGCTCGAGGCCGGCAATTTCGACGACGAGCTGCTTCGACTGCGCATCGCGAGTCTTGAGGTTCGGGTTCCGGAGAACCTCCCAGCAGATGGCGTGGAAACGGCTGATCATAAAGTGGTCAAATCCGGGAATCGCAGGCGTGGGGGGACCTATTGGCGCGGTCGGGTTCTGGGCAATCGTCGCCACGTCTGGGCCGCCCCATATGGCGGAGATGCGGGTCATGACTGTAAAGGCGAGACGGCTGGGGCCGAGATGGGCTTCGAGGTCGCGGGCAATGTCGACGATGGTCGCGACAACCTTTTCAAATGAGCCTTGGTTGGCTTCACTGATGAGAACGCCATCGAGGTTGTTGTTGAGAATAATTTGAATGAAGGAAAGGTACTCCCTCCTGAGCTCGCCCTGCTGGACCTCGTCGTCGGTGCCAACAGGGGGTTCGGACAGGCCCGTAAAGATCCTTTCTAGAAGTGGCGTCAGAAGCATGTTGAGCACGTCGAAGATCTCCGACTTGAAGCCAAAGACGATTTGGTCCAGCAGCCGGAGAAACATGGCAATCTCATCCTTGGACGAATTCTGCGACAGGAGACCTTCGATCCACTGTGGTAGTTGAGGAAGCACCGCTGAGCCGAGGACACCCAAAAGTCGTGAGAAGGCTGATCGACAGGCGAGTCTGATGTCTGACCAAGAACTTAGTTCTTTGAGCGCGTACAGAATAGCTTCGGCCGCGCGACTGAACTCTGCTGAAACGGCCTCGTCCGGACGAGCGTGCTGTTGGGAGGCAGTAGAACCAGGCGTCCAGTCCGAGAAGCCGTGCGCAAGGACGCCAAGAGCCATGATGATGTGGTGGATCTGGAGAGTCGCCTGTGCATCGCCTGCCTTTGCGCGGGGCAGGTGCGCCTCCATGTCGCTGAACAGGGGGTCTATCACCGATCGTGCGTACATGGCTTGCTTCTCGGCGGGCGTGCCAGACGTTGAGGCCATGCAGCCAATGGCCTCGAAAAGGTAGAGCTGGCTGGTGAAGAGTGCGTCCGCAGAATGATCAGACTCGTCCGAGGACATGTCGTCGTCGGCATCCTCGCCTGGGACCTCCGCCTTTATAGGCAGGAGGTCGCCGATGGACTGGATGACGGTCTCGGCGACGGTGCCGACCTGGGCACGGAGATGCTTGATGAAGCGGTGGAAGAGATACCACGACCGTGTCTTGATACGAACGTGATCGTGATGGACCAAGCGGACAAAGCTTTCTAGCACGGCAGGGATGTAGTCCTGGTGGTTTTCGAAGACGACACAGTAGCGCACGCAAATCTCCATGTACTGGAGCAAGATGGCAGGATGCTCCAAGTTTGCCACGCCTGTACCCGTGTTAGCCAGTGTTCTTGAGTTCGTAACCACAGTCAGAACCTACCTGATTCAACCATCTTCCTGATCATCACCACCAGGCGCTCCGAAGCCTCGCCTGAAGGCTGGTTCTTGGTGTGCAATCCGTGGTTCGGCAGCGCCAGCTCGCCAAAGACGTACATCTCGTAAAGAGCCAGGTCGAGGTCCCGCCAGTCCATCTGGGAGCCTTGCTGCTCCAGAGTCTGGAATGTCGATGACATGAGATTGCTGAGTGTCTCCATGTATAACGACTGATCTATAGCCGCAATGGTCTTCTGAAGGTTTTGCAGCTTGCGACGCAATTCCTGGAACTCGGCCTCGTCGGTCTGCTCGTCCTCGTTCCCCCAGTTTGCGTCTTCATCGTAGCGCATTTTCCGGATGATGGCGTCCAGGATTGGCGACAGCATTTGCGAGTATTCTTGAGGAAGCTGTCCAAGCTTGCGCAAGAAGGTCAGAAGATCGGTGAGCGCAGGAATCACGCTAGAGCATATCTCGTCGTAGTCGTCGGTGAAGAAGCGGAGTAGGAATGGCAAGAAGGCGTTCAGATGCTGGTTGGCAGCGTTCCTGGTCTCGCTGGTGATTGAGCTGTCTTCGAGGGCCCGGACGATATCTGCGATGACAACGTTCACCAGGCTAGCCACAGCTTCACCGAGGTCCGTGTCGTAGTTGGAAGTACCCTTGTACTCGCCCAGGGCCGGACTGGCGATAAGCTGACTGGCAATCTCCCGCAAGTTGAGGAAAGAAATCATTTCCACCTTGTCCTGTGGCCGCATCTTCTTCCCAACAATTTGGGTGAGGGTCTCAATGGCTGAGTCCCGAACCTTGTCCTCACCACTGCCTTGGGTCGGCCGACCAACAAGAGGGATCAGCAAGCTAAGCATATCTTGGCTGACAACCAGAGAAATATCCATCCAACTGACCCACTTGGCGATGACCTTTAGGACCAGTTCGACAACGGCATCGTTGTTGTTGTATTTGACAAGGAGCTGCTTCCAAGAGTCTGCTACTTTGTAGACATCCTGCGCGCGCAGCTGGTCCTTCAGTTCCGTATTGCGCTTGGCCTCGCCATTCTGCCGTGCCAAAAGCATGTCGGCAATCTCGTCGTGGATCGAGCTGAGGATGCGAAGGTAGAAAATGACGCCGTTCACATTGTCCTTGTTGCTAGGCAAGCCCGAGATGTTCAAGAAATCGTCAAGGAAGCTCTGCCAGCCATTTTGGTAGAGGAAGACAAAGAGATACGTCAGGGTCTGTGCCACCTTGTTTTGGAGCGACGGGGGGTCGGGTGCTCGCTGAGGCTCTGGGCCATATACTTGTTGCACGTAGTCCAGGAGCAGGTCCTTGAGGTATGTCAGACTTGCCTGGTCGAGGCTCTGTGTGTGGACCGCATAGTTGACGGCTTCGAGACAGAAAAGCCGTAACACATCGTCGCTCCCGGCGTTTCGCACGAAGAGGTTAATGCAGGTCTGCCAGGCAGAGGGGTCGGCTCGAAGCTGGTGCAGGTAGTCGTGGGCTTGTTGTTTCAGCGACTGGTCGGAGTAGGGATTGCCGAGGATCCCCACGGCGTTCTCGATCTTTGTGAAGAGCTTGTCAGCGATCCAGACTGCAGAGTCGGCCTTGATGGCAAGCAATGGCTTCGACTGTCGAGTGGCACAGCTTCAACATGGCGGGGCAGGCAGCCGGGGTTCGGGGTGCGGTTTGGATTGACTCACCTGAGCTTCCATGGTCGCGACGATGCCCTTTTTGACAAGAGGCCCGGCAGTTGGGACGGGAGTGATGGTGATCGCTACCTAATTGTCTGGCAGCCTATGTCCCGCAGCATCCGGCATTATCGTATCGACCGCGAGGTTTATTGAGAGGACATGCCGACTCACGAGGGCGAAGCGAGGGGCAGTCAAATTGAGCAGGCTGGTGAGCAGGGGTCTGGATGAAATACTGCAGCAGCAGATAAGGTGCAGCCGTTTCGGTAAGACGGTCCGTGGGTGGTCTGGGGAGACGTTCGATCGATAGCCTAAGGTACGTGTCGATATAAGTGTCGCCGGTGAAGCAAAACGGTTGGTGAGGTGCGTTCTTTCTCGTCTGGTGATGCTACCCAAATGTCGGTGCGTGCGTGCGCTACGTCGTGGTTTTGTCAGTGTGGGGTTCGCAGACTGATCACAGCAGACGGATGCTTGCACAATGCAGTGAAATTGGTGAAGGGCCCCAAGATGTGTGTGACTGGCCAAGACTGCAGCTTTGGTGGACCCACGGAATATTCTCGGCCTCGTCTTCACCTGTACATAACGTAGGCTGTCCTGTCCTTTAGCAGCCTGGCCCTAATAGCTCGTCACGACTTCACTCGTTGCCTGATGGATATGGATCTGGATCTGATTCTGACTACAAGACCTATCTGCGGCACAGTACGCATCCGCGAGGGGCCTAGGTCCCATGGCGAGACTTGGACAGCTCAAGGCATGGCTCGATGCTAGGGCTCTTTCCCCGTCGCTGCCAAGACCATGGCAGCCCATCATGCTACTACAAGCATCAAGACAGCAGTTTCATCATCAAGGCCGATATTGGAATGCGCTCTGGATCTGGCGGCAGCGGCAGCGCTTCCATGTCGCATGAGCATAGCAACGAGCTGCTGGAGTAAAGGCATGACTGAAGACCATATCACCAGTGGCATGGCCACGCGCTCATTATCGTTTCGACAGACGGAGAGAACAAGAAGCTCACCGTCGTAAGGAGGGGGATGGAAATGGCGCTACTCGTTGTCTCCTGAAGAAGGCGCGCGGGTCATTAAAGCAGTTGACCAGGGCCAAGTGACGAACAGCAGCGGGGTGCAAAATAATTTACCTAGTGGGAGGTAGTTAAGTTGATTGGAACAACAATCGACATGAGTTCTTCTTCCGAGGCATTCTTGCGGCAATCTTGCCTGTCAAGCTGGGTGCAAGTGGCCCTTTCGGACAATACTGGGGATGGTCAGCAACAAGTCAGCAAGTCAGTCATCGATCTCTTGATTCATGCAGTGACTGTGGTTGTGTAGAAGGGTATAGCTGCAACTCAGGCATGCCATCGACACATGTTTGTGATGATGACGCCCTGCGTACGAGGCGTGAGATTGTCTGGTCGGTTTCAAAATCAAAGTCATCCCGAGCAACGCGTCTTTATCACAGCACGCACTTGCAACCTCAGATCGACAGGCTGATGATTTCGTATATCCATAAGTACTGTGAAAGGGGGTATTAGTGAATGACGCGACTTGCGGCTGTGGCTCCTCTGATCATCACGCCGAGTTGCAGTTCTGGCCTGGTGCGACAAGCCGCGTAAGGATCTGCTGTTGGAAGCACCAGGGCAAGTGACTCGTGAGCGAGATTGCAGAAGCAGTGGACGTGGGGCGCGGCCAACAGATCGACAAGGCTCGTGTTCTGGTGACTGCCGGCGTTTTAAACAGGCCTGTTTCGTGTCAAGAGTGAACGAATGAAGGAAGAGTGGACGGCGGCCAGTGCAGGGCTCGGGTCGGATGGATGAGGCGATTACTAAGTAAGGTAAGTAATAATCGAGATGCAGATATCGCCTCGAGATTGGTTGACCGAACTTTAGTCAATGCGGCAAGTGCAACATGGAGTAATTAGAGCGCGCCTGCCGTTTCTGCTGGACTAGTCAGACGGTGTGCATTGCTGAAACGCGACTGTCCTCCATGTTTCCATTCGCTGGCAGAGCTACCAGTCAAGGCCCATCGAGTCCGTTTTTCTTCCTGTCTGTACTTCGTACCCGCCAAGCTGTCAATGCGACTTTCAAAACATCTCCAGTTTTCATCACGCTTGATCAAGTCGTCGGAGAAACACCATCGTGGCAACAAAAGCACTTGGCCTTGGGCGTTTCGTCCCGTCTCTACTCAGAGTCACCAACATACGAAAGTCACCAACATACGAATTGAGGGCTCGAGCTTCGTTGACAGTCATGCTTGAGCACTGGTGCATCGGACGGGAGCAAGATCCCGCTACGAAAGGTGCCTTGGCAATCTCGAGCCCTCTAATAGTCTCCCTGGGTATTTTGTCGGCCAGTGGAAACGCGGGGGCGGGTGACAGTTGCCTGTGTCGACACTTTGATTATTGGAGGCTATTTGAGTCCAGACTGCAAGCAATTTGCCGCCTTGCCGCCAGCAAAAGCCATCGGCAAGGTGGTTGCAATCCCGCTGGTTGCAAATCCGGCTGAGATCGCCTGCTCGTATGCCTCGTGCAGCACGGCCAGCTTCTGGAAGAGGAAAATGAAGATGCAACAGTTGGTTCTTCCTGTTGCTTGCGTGGCCGCTGGATGCAGAGGACGATTGGCGATTGTTCCTGCATTAGCGCGCTAGGCCTGGGCAAGGGGGTGCACAATTCACAAATGCTCTGTTCTATGCTGACCTACTTCTCAGCGACAGCCAGCACCACGGCTCACTGCCCTGGAGCACTTGAGACTGGTACGTACAAGTCACTTTAATCAGCCTCCCTTTCCAGGCGGTACATCAAGATCTGCCATGCACCAGCAGCTCATTGCTGGAAGCGCACTGGCACTAACAAGAGACACGGGTACGTAGCAGGAGGGGCTGGAGATGATGAGACATGTACGAGTGAAACTTCTCGGCCACTGCCGTGGACGACGGCTTCCCGCATACGTACGTACCTGCGAAGCATGGTTCAGTACAACAAGGCCGGCCAAGTTGCAGGCTGATCTCAACGTACACCGAGTCCGCGGGTCCTCATCGTCTCGGATTCAAAAGTCTATAATATATCGTCGTTCGCAAGAAGAGATCTCGGAGCGATCGCGGTGCCGGGCCGTTCACCGACTGTCTAATTACAATGGACAGTAGGGTCCAAGTTTACGAGGTGACTGTCATTTGCACAAAATGAAGAGTGGTCAATGCACTACAGACTGGTGGTGCTTTATTTTGTCTGTCCAGGGGGGCAAGTCGTGCATCGGTCAGTCCATGTCCTTTTCGATAAGCTGCCCTGATAGTGTCTCGCTTCTCAAGTTCTCACCCGCTCAGCCTCATGGTTATGGTAGATCAGACACTGCTGAGTCTCCTGGTTGTTGTTCGTGAGGCGAAAGAAAAGGTCCCGACTGGTTGAGCAGCGACAGGCGGTGACTGATGGATGGCCAGCAGCAGCGCAGCGTACTTGTACGTGTATTGATTAGGACCGATCGAGCCAGCAATACACAGTAGCCGCCGACAGAAGTGCAGCCGGCAGCCAATTGCACAGACAGCACAGCACGGGCAATTTGGATCCCTGCTGGTGGGGCATCTTCAGGGATCAGCAGGAGCAGCGTGCTTGGTCCACCCCAATTTGACTGGGGCAACTGGACCTCTCCACCGAGGCGCGTTCCCCTGGATTCATTTAGCGTTCATGGATGTCGAACGGCTTCTCAGCCTTCTGTGCAATTTCCCAGGCCCCATCGCCCACCCCCCTTGTCAAGAAAGAGGAGAGGCCTGGTAAAGGGGATGGATGGATGGACGCAGAGGTTCACTCGGTATTAAAGTGCTCATATCCTCCAGCCTGATTCGGGTCTCTTTCTCTTCTTTTCTCTTCAGCCACAACAGCCAACCACTTTAGCAACGCTCCAACTCTTTGACTTCGGTCGTCCATTCTTTCAAAACCACAAACAAGCTTAACGGCTCCCACATTCGTTCTTACAACACCCCAAACGTTCACCCGAACAAAACATCAAGATGCGTTTCACCGTCGCTGCTTCTCTCTTCGCCGTTGGCGTCGTGGCCTCCGAGACCCCCATCTCGACCGCGTACGCCACCAGCCTGGTCACCATCACCAGCTGCGGCCCTACCGTCACGGACTGCCCTGCTGAGTCGACCGTGGTCACCACCGCCACCGTGCCCATGACCACGTCGACCGTCTACACCACCAAGGTGCACACCGTCACCGACTGTGGCCCCGAGGTCCCTGACTGCCCTGCCCACAGCACCATCATCAGCACCGAGACCATCCCCGTCTCAACCACCGTCTGCCCCGTCGCCACTGAGACTCCTGAGCACCCCGAGACTCCTGAGCACCCCGAGACTCCTGAGCACCCCGAGACTCCTGAGCACCCCGAGGAGCCTGAGCACCCCGAGACTCCTGAGCACCCCGAGGAGCCTGAGCACCCCGAGGAGCCTGAGCACCCCGAGGTCCCTGAGCACCCTACCTGGACTCACCCCGCCAGCAACGCCACCTCCACCCACCCTGCTGAGCAGCCCACTGCTCCCGTTGAGGAGCCCACCGAGTGCGTGCCCAGCCACTCCACCACTGCCATCACCAAGAGCTACACCACCGTCCTCACCTCGGTCGAGTACTCCACCATTGAGATCCCCTGCGAGACTGAGGCTCCCACCACCATGCCCGCTGTCACCTACACCCAGCCCCCTGCTGGTGGCAACACCACCGTCCCTGAGGTCCCTGCCCCTGGTGCCGCTGGCAGCCTCGCTGGCTCTGCCTTCCTCGCCGGTGTCGCCGGTGTCGCCGCCTTTGTCCTTGCGTAAATTTTCACATTCGACTTGTCTATAGTTGAGGCCTGAGGGCTATGGCACATTTACGACTACGTTCTTGGAGTATCTACTTGGTATCGGGGAGACGACGCAGTTGCGGGCCGGAAACCCTTCTCGGGACTATGGCTAGTCTGTGCGGCGATTAATGTTTATACGTCGGTGGTGTATAGGCTAGGAAAGAGAGTAATCTTTGCGCGGAACTCGTCTCTTTTCGTTTCTAGGAAAATACTACAGGCATTTCTTAACGGCATCATCTCTTCACGCGCAGGATTATCTATTTTACACGTGTTCTCAAGTAATCTTTTAAATCACACCGGCAGGAGTCTGGGGCCGAGCTGTTGCTGACCTGAATTGACAACGATACTTCCTTTTTGACCTTGTTTCACCACCAGTGACACCAGTAAGCCAAGAAGACTTTTGAAGGTCAAGTAGGAAAACGTGGGGGAGGAGGGAGGTGGTGGGAGACGTCCAATCCCTCATCTCGTCCTTGTCTGCCCCTGGCTAATCCATCTTGGGACTGGCAATGCAGATTGGAGGCTGCGTGACCCTCCCCTGTCGCTCCTGGGAAATTACACTGCGTAGGGGCTGACTGTTGATTGGCGCGTCCTGTGCGTCCATCCCAGTGCCGCATTGCCGTTGAACTTTTTTGTCTGCTCTATTGCATAGTTATGCGAGCAGCGCGATATTGGTCCTGTGCATGTCCGTACGATGGAAGGATGGATGGAAATTGGGATTGGCCTAGCAACGTGACAGTGCGACGACGCGAGGCGCTTGCTAAATTGAGGTGACAGTCAGGGCGCGCGTCGATGAATCGCTGTCGCAATCGCTGGTGCTTTGTGCCTCTGTGAGACCGTCATAAGTACTGTTGTGATTTTGGACTCGAAAGGTAGTTGCTTGGCGTCGGCATGCCGACGACTGCCTTATATCCGCCGAGACATGACATTGGTGGGTGAGGGTTTTGGTGACACATGGCATCGGCATTCCAGCGCAAGGAATCCACACAGGCAACTAGCGGGTACGCCCTCGTGAGAAAGCTTGGTATGGCTCTTGGGGATGCGTGGCATGGCGGTGGGGTCTTGACTTCAATGACTTGAAGTCGGATGAATTGACTTGCACAGGTCAGAGGCTAAATCATGTTGGTGATAGCGATCTTCCGACTCGAACTTACGTTCATGATGTGAGCGCTGTGGCCAAACTACGCCAGCGTGATGAGTCCGGACTTCAAAATACGTCCAAAACGGAGAACAATGTTAAACCTTGACCGTAGACCAGTGAGTATTTCATATCTCGCAATTCAAGGCTGGAAAATAGCATGATGTCCCAACGTGCAATGTCGGTACAGGGTAATCTGGCTGTTGCACCACGAGCAGCCCGCGAAGCCCGAAGACCGGACCGGAGGCCCGGTCCAAAATCATCCCAACGGGCAACCAACCACCAGCTCATTGAACATGAGCATAACCCCAAAGACGCTGCAATGCGGCGTCGAGCATTCAGGTGATAGTGATTGGAGCGATGCGGTGCCTGTAACAAGGCGGGTCAAGTTCAAGGTGTCTGCCACTCGACTTTTACCCGCTCATTTACTACATAGGCGACAGGCGATGCTAAGAACAAGATCGCGGCGTGACGGAGAACGGAACAAAAAACAGCGGATACCAATAGAAGAAACGACTGAGGAGCAACAACAGAGGAACTCAGGCTGCGTGGAATCGTGCGTCAGTTGAGATTCGAGTCGCGCGGGAGGGGAGTTAGTCCTAGTATCGACCCAGCTCTGTGAAGACTATGACCCCGTCTCTTACTAATCTAGATTTGAAGCCGTTAGAGTTGAGTGATAAGAGCCGCATATAATTCTGTGGATATCTGTCAGCGTGGCTCAGCGAATCCTGCGGGATGGGTTTCATCTTGTACTCACGTCGATGCGACGCAGTCCTAGGGGCTGAGCTGCAGGGAGACGGGCTGAGCATGATGTGTCCAGTCTGTGCTGCTTACGCGTCAAGACAAAGAATAGAGTGTAGATGCAGTCGCAGATCCGGCCTGGGAGTCGGCGGACTACCTTGTTAGAGTTTAAGGTAGGAATTGGATGTAACATGAACATGAAGGTTGCGTGGCGTCCGGCTCTCGCCATTTTGTGAGTCGCACTCGGACTCGGAGTCCGGAGTCTAGACGTCACTAACGGAGCTGAGTCAGCAGATGGGACACGATGACTGGCTGCCTCGCATACGCACGCACGCACATGCGGTTCTACTGAGAATCGACGACCGCCCAAAGGCGCCAGATTGGAGATTCTGTTCTCTCTGCATCTACGTGTACTCACTGTCTATTATGGATCTCAAGACACTTCCTCGGGTTAATTGAAGCTACTGATGCGGTTGCGAATGCGAAGATGCGCCTTCGGACGGCAAGGTTTGACGTGTAGGAAACCATGAGCACGGCGTTCTGGTCAGTCCGTCCATCCATCAGAACGGTTCGATACACGTAGGTAGGGCTGTCATGATTGCCCCCGCCCGGGCCCACGACCCCCCGGCCTGAGCCATGTCCGCGCCGCTCCATGTCAGCATGGCGTGTTGACCAGAGTCCGAAGCAGGGGCGGCAAGCACAGCCTATTTGCTGACTGACGGTCAATGACGAGGCCTCTCTGCGTGGCCATCCGTAGCTGTAGACTGACAATACGGAACGAGGACGAAAGAGAAGTATATAGTCCCGAGCCCATCTCACTCAACATTGCTTCATCCGGTCACCATCATTTGTCATCATCACCGCCAGTTCAACACTACCAGCATCGTCCGCCGTATCCACCGCTTCGAGACCCATTGTCGCTCCACAATATCACGAAGCAGTCAGCCTCAGCTCTCTCAAATCTCAAGTTGCTTAATCAAGACTCTCTTTGCCGAGAAACGCAGGCTCGGAGCAACGTAGCAGTCCGCCACCACGATCTGCACCACCATTGTGTCACAAAAATCTCCGATCGACTACCTTGATCGCCCGTGATATTTGACAGTGGACATTGTCTGTCCGCCTACCTGCCTTCCACATCACCATCAACATTAGCAGAGCGTTCCATCTTGTCGACATATCCTCGAGATGACGTCCCAGGACTACAGCGACTGGGTAGGCCCGCCTCCTCCCGGCCTGGTGACCTTTGGCGGAAACACGCCCTGTACCTACGACACCTGCCCCATCCAGTGGAGCATCTACCGTTACCGTCCCGACCTGGGCGCCAACATCTTCTTCGCCGCGGCCTTTGCCGTCGTCGGCCTTGTCCACATCTACCTGGGGGTCCGCTGGAAGAGCTGGGGCTTCATGGCCGGCATGCTCCTCGGCTGCGCCAGCTCCATCATTGGCTATGTCGGCCGCATCCTGCTGTGGGACAACCCCTTCTCCTTTAACGCCTTTATGATCCAGATCGGTATGTCATATCCTTCATCAGCAACAACTGGTCAGCCAGCCAGCCAGTCAGTCAAGTCTAACAGCCCCAGTCTGCCTCACCATTGCGCCCGTCTTCTTCACGGCGTCCATCTACGTCACCCTTTCCAAAACCATCATCTTCTTCGCCCCCGAGCTGTCGCGCTTCAAGCCCCAGCTCTTCTACTGGATCTTCATCCCGGCCGATGTCGTCTGCCTCATCCTCCAGGCGGCTGGCGGTGCCCTGTCCGTGGAGATCGAAGGGGGCGAGGTGGGCGTCGACATCTCCATGGCCGGCCTCATCCTCCAGGTCATTGTCATCATAGCCTTTGTCGTTGCCTTTGCCGACTACATGGTCCGCTACTGGCGCACCGGGCGCATGAGCGCCTTTGGCTGGCGGCTCAAGGCCTTTTTTGCCGGTCTGGTGGCCGCCATTGTCCTGATCCTGACGCGCTGCGTCTACCGTGTCGCCGAGCTCAAGGACGGTTACAGCGGCGACATGATCCGGCACGAGATCCCATTTATCATCCTCGAGGGCGTCGTGATCGTGCTGGCGTCCGTGGCCCTCATGTGGGGGCACCCTGGCCTGGCCATCAAGGACCACGGTGGTAGGCCTGTGAGCAAGTACATGGACAACAACAACAACAACAACAGCGTCGAGAGCAGGAAGGACATTCCCATGCAGAACGTATAAGGGGGGCTTTCGGATGCGGCAAGCAGACGGCAAAAAGGGTGCGTGCTTGCTGGCTTGCTGGCTTGCTGATTGTTCAGGATTGATTTCGAGCTGGCGTTCTACAAATTGCTTCCCTTTCCTTTGTCTCGGTAGCATTTGGTAAATGCCTTGGGATATAAAATACGGATATAGACGGCTGGTGTAGAACACTCCATAGAGGGTCGATACATACACTGCCAGCTGGCCGACATGAACAGAACGTCCCTTCAGATCTGATATGAGCACTACGCAGGGGTGGTGTCTTTGACCCGTCACCCATCGCGTGGTGAATGAGAGGTGACTAACTTTATAAAAAATACCAAAGCAGTAAAGATCGGTCATTCTGCAAGTTATCAGATGTGTCCAGGGGGTCACTGATAGATCCCAGTCCGTTGCCGTGCCAAGGCCTCCGAGGCTGGAGGCTTCAGCCGCTGCCACCCTCCAGTCCGCTCGTCCTCCACATCCAGCCTCCAACCCAGTCCTTCCCCGCCATTTGCCTGCACAGACGTCGTGAACTCTCTCTGGCCCCCTCCATGATTCCATCTCCTCGCTTCTCATCGGCTCGCATCATCTCCAGAGCATCCATTGTCTCCCTCCGTGTCTCGAGACTCCCTGTGGCAACCTTCTCCACCTCAACCGCCGTCATGGCTCCCAACCCGACCGCGCTCGACTTTGTCGACTTTGTCAATGCGTCGCCCACTCGTAGGCAGTCCCATTGCGCCCACCGATCACCCGTTGCTCACCCGCTGACTGACTCCTGACGTGCAGCCTTCCACGCCGTCCAGTCGGCCGCCAAGCGCTTCGAAAAGGCCGGCTTCCAACTGATCCGCGAGCGCGACTCCTGGGCATCGACGCTACGCCCGGGCGGCAAGTACTACCTCACACGCAACGGCTCCTCCATTGTCGCCTTCACCATCGGCCGCAAGTGGCGCCCCGGCAACGCCGTCGCCATTGTCGGCGCCCACACCGACTCGCCCTGCCTGCGCGTCAAGCCCGTCTCCAAGAAGAACAGCTCTGGCTTCCTCCAGATCGGCGTCGAGACCTATGGCGGCGGCATCTGGCACTCTTGGTTCGACCGCGACCTGAGTCTAGCCGGTCGCGTCCTCGTCCGCGACGGTGACAACTTTGTGCAGAAGCTGGTCAAGGTCGACAAGCCTCTCCTTCGCATCCCCACATTGGCCATCCACCTCCACAGGCAGTCCAACTTTGACCCGAACAAGGAGAAGGAGCTGTTTCCCATTGCAGGCCTGGCCGCCAAGGAGCTCAACAAGGGCGCCGGCAACTCGGCGGACAAGGCGGCACAGGAGAAGGAAAAGAAGGAGGACGAGGACGAGGACCCCGAGTTCACGCCCCTGTCCGACATGAAGGAGCGCCATCACCCCCAGGTGCTGGACACGATTGCCTCCGAGCTCGACATTGACGTGGCCGCCATTGTCGACTTTGAGCTCGTGCTGTACGACGTCCAGAAATCCTGCATTGGCGGCTTCAACGACGAGTTCGTCTTCTCCCCCCGCCTCGACAACCTCGGCATGACCTACTGCTCCGTCGAGGGCCTCATCGCCTCGGTCAAGGACGACGCAGCCCTCGACAACGACACGACGATCCGCCTGACCGTCTGCTTCGACCACGAGGAGATTGGCTCGCAATCCGCCCAGGGCGCGCACTCCAACCTCATGCCCGCCGTCATCCGCCGTCTCTCCGTGCTGCCCGGCAACCGCGACGCCAACAGCGACCAGAGCTACGAAAACGTCGGGCACGAGGGCGACGACGCCACCGCCTACGAGCAGACGTGCTCCCGCTCATTCCTCATCTCCGCCGACATGGCCCACTCGGTGCACCCCAACTACGCCGAAAAGTACGAGCCCTCGCACAGCCCGGCCATGAACGCTGGCACCGTCCTCAAGATCAACGCCAACCAGCGCTACGCCACCAACTCCCCCGGCATCGTCCTCCTCCAGGAGTGCGCCCGCTCGGCCGGCGTGCCCCTCCAGCTCTTTGTCGTCCGCAACGACTCGCCCTGCGGCAGCACCATTGGGCCCGGCCTCGCCGCCGCGCTCGGTATGCGCACCCTCGATCTCGGCAACCCGCAGCTCAGCATGCACAGTATCCGCGAGACCGGCGGCACGGAGGACGTCGGCTACGCGGTGCGCCTGTTTGCCGATTTCTTCCAGAACTATGGTACCCTCGAGCCCCGGATCCTGGTCGACTGAGTGGGCTTTATGGGTGGATGATGGCCTGTGTATACCAATATTGTGTGTTTCAAAGAGCACAGCGAGGCGTGAGGATGTGTGGTGAGATTGTGGTTAGACAGGTACCAAAGTGGAAATTCAAAAAGAATCAATGTAACAACGATGAATGATGCCGCCTTTTTTCTTGACTCTCAAAATAACGCCCATTGCAGTATAGCTTCCCATGATGTTGTGTACGTATCCACCCTTCCAGACAACAATGATTCAAACGCCAACCATGTGTCCCCCCTTGCCGTCCTCTATCGCGCCATGACGAGGAAAAATAAACCAAAAAAAAGAGTCAATCAGTCATCAGAACCTGAGCGGGCAAGGCTCAGAAGCCCATTCATCGCCTCGCCCTGTAACCGCCTCCTCCTTGCATCCTCGTCGCCGACCACGGGTACCACATCCTCCAGAACCTCTGGCAGGGGTGGCAACACGGCCTGCTCCTCCTCCTTGTCTTCATTCTGCTCGTCGGTTTCTTTTGTGACTTCTTGGGCCGTCTTCTCGTCTGCTACGGCGTCTCTGGGCAGCGGCTTCTGCACAAGGTCCTCCAGCGGAACGTTCGTCTGCCCTGTCCGCACTTTATAGCTGGCCAATCCAAGACGTAATCGCAGAATCTCCGCTCGCTAAAAGGGAAAATACTGTTAGCCAATCTATTCTGCTTGTTCACTCTATGCGAGGACAAGAGGAGCATACCTCGCGCGCCTGCTCACGGGTCAATGTCCTGGTGGGGCTGGCTCCCGGCGTCGTGCTGCTGACCCACGTCACTTCCTCGTCAAAGAGGCTGCTCTCGTCGGGCGTGCCGGTCCTTGACCCGGTTGTCGTGTCATTCTGTGCATGTCAGCGCTGTCTCTTCTCCAGTAGCATCTCGTCAACGGACGAACGTACTTCTACGCGTGCCCGCTTGGGGGTGCTATCCCCGGCGACAGTGGCAATGCTCCTCTTCAGAGGACTCTTGGCTTTGACAGGCGACGCGGTTGTCGAAGAGGGGAATATTGACTTGGAGAGAGGACTGGGTCGTGGGGAGAGGTTCGCGTTGGGGTTGAGAGCGCCGAGGACGCGACGTTTGGCGGGCTGATGATCCATTAGGTTCGTGTTGGGAGGTGTTTCCTGCGCAGCGTGTGCAATGCGATATACGTAACACAAAGGTAGAGATCGTGGAGAGTGAAGCGATGAAGTGAATTAGACGCGTTGCACGTATTTAAAAGAGGTTGGAAAGGTGTAGTATGGTACATATGTCCAGTCGTGGTCCCCACGTCCAGACGCAGGTAAGTACCTCGTGGGCCGGCCGATGGACAGACGCGACACACCACCCATGCCAGAGGCGCTGTACCCCGGCGACGTGCATATTGACTTATTGCCGCTTCGGGACTAGTCCTAACAAGCAGACGCGACCGTGGAGACGTGTCGACGGGTACGCTAAACTAATAGGGTTCTAGCGCCCGCGCGCGATGGTGCGTGCTGTATGGATGGGTGCCGGATATGTGGGGTTGTGATCCTCTATCACGGCATCACCAATAATACGAGAACCAACTTCCCAGGCGAACGACAAGTGACCGATCTACCGTGTCAGTATCTGTCAAAAGATAGCACATGATTACATTTGGAGAGGCACGACATGGCAATCTTCAGAAAGCAGAGTGACATGTCATTTCATTAACCTGGCTTTCCTGGTCCGATCCTTGGGTATCAACACTCGCGCCACCATCATCAGGACAATATACTACCAGACCACAAATGACGAAAAACCAACGCTCGAGAGACATAACGCCGTATGCAGAAAGAATAGAGGAGGTCGTCCGCCATCATCGCGCTCCCCATTGTCCAACCGGTTGCCGGAGCACAAAACAGCCCGTGCGCCTTGCGAAACCCATGATTATCCTTTTCCGTTGTCCCCTCCTATTTTCGCTTGCCATCCATGTATGTATGTATGCCCCCACTCCCCCACCCCTAATTCTCCGTACTGTGATTGATGACTTAAATCCTCCAACAACATTGAGAAAAGTACAAGCTGTCTTCAAGTCACGCAGTTAACTCGCGGCCCCAACGAAATCGGGAAACGAGTACTGCGAAGTGTCCCACTGGAAGGGCTTCGAGAAGTCATTGTCCCAGTCCACCACGTCCATGGGTGGTGCGTTGTCGAGCAGCGTCGGGTCCAGGCTGAGAGCCGGGGCACCCGCGTCGACGTCGGCTGACAGTGCCGCGCTGAAGTCGTCCTCACCCCCGAGCAGATTATTCGCATCCACCTCCTCGAAACTGAACCACTTGACATCAGGACCATCGTAGTCGACCTTGACGTCGAGCGCGTCCGAGCTGGGTTCGCTGCCACCCTTCGTCGAGTCGGGGGTCTCCTTTGGCGTCACCAGGTATCGCATGTAAGCCACGTTCTTAAAGACACTGCTGATGCCTTCGGGTATGCCGAGCTGGGTCAAAACGCCCTGGTTGTCATAGCACGCCTTCGTCCACGCTTCGGGTGACGCAGGCGCTGACCGAGCGGCGGGGCCGAGCGGTTTCATGTCCACTTTGCTTTGAGAACTCGCCGACCGTTTCATGGCGCTGCCATCCATAGACTTGGGCGTCCCAAGATACGCCGGCGTTGCTGCTTGTCTGGACGCGGTCCGGCTCATCGTCGCCATCGCCGACGGCTGCTTCGCGTCCTTCTTGCTCACGCCCGTAGGGTCCAGGCCCAGGGCCAACGCCAAGTTCTCAGAGAAGAACCTGAGAGGATCTTGGCGGGGCTTGAGGTGCTCGTTCTCAATGTGTTGCTGCAGGGTCTGCTCACTGTCAAACGTGGCAAGCGAACCCTGGCACTCGTCGTCTTTGCATGTGAGCACGGGGCGAGGAGGTTGCTGTGGTATCGCTGGCTGAGGAACAGGGGGAGTCCTCATTGTCGTCTTGGGGGACGGCGTCGCTCCCTGCGCCCCTGGGCCAGCCACTTTGTCGATCTTGGCCTTTTTCCTCGCAGGTGGCAGCTGCAGATTGATGTCCTTGGGCTTGCCAATGTAGCTAGGGTTGCCGTGCGGAGAAGAAGAAGCATGCAGCGAGAATGGAGGCTGCGCAGTCGTGGGTGCCGTAGGAGGCTTGTTGTTGTTCTTACTGGCCGCCTTCTGGCTCTTGAGGGCTTGCGCATTCTTCTCCAAGTTGGCAGCGTTGAGTGGGACTGGAGGAGCCTGCTGTCCTGCTGGCGGCTGCGACGCCTGAGCTGTTTGCTGCGCCTTTTGCGCCATCAACAGGCGCTGTGCGTTTACGCCATCCTGAGCCTGGTACCCAGGCTGCTGACCTTGCTGGGTCTTGGCCTTCTGTTGCACGTGTTTGGTGATGTCTTTGGCCATGGATTCAAGTGTGGACCGAAACTGGTCAACATCGGCCTGCGTGATACTGAAAACTGGCTGCGGTTGCGTCGCAGCTGAACCATCAACAAACTGCTTCACAATGCGATTTCGCTGGGCACGTGTTAGCTTAGTGCTGCTCACAAGCACATGCGGACGCATCTTACCGATCGGAAAAAAAGCCTCGCAAGACGGTCCCGGTCATTTGGATCAGCGAGCCCGTACCACTTGGCTAGTCCCTGACCAATCTTGTTCATATCAAACGATATGCGGCGAAGCTTGTGCAGGGTTTGCTCATACTCTCCCGGGCTCATATGGACTGGGTCGGCAGTGCTTTGCTTATCGTTGCGCTGCTCCTCCGCACCAATACTCTTGAGGCGAAGGAAGTCAGCAGTCTGGGCTTGCTGGGCCTGACTTGGTCCAGGTCTTGCCTGACCCTGCGCTGCCTGCGCCGGGTCTTCGCTAGTGGGCATGGCCGCATTCGGACCCTTGGTACCTTGCGATTGCGAGCTCTTGCGCTGTTGCGGGCCTGCCACGTTGGCCACGTCGACATCTCCGCCCATGTCTGCCATGGAGCGCTTCAGATTCTTGCCACCTTGGGCGGGAGATGGCGTTGTTTGGTTCTGCTGTTTCTTGGATCGACTATTGGTTGGCGGAGGCTTCTGCTCTTGCACTTGGGGCTGCTGCTGTCCCATTGTCGGCGGCCCTTGGGAACCGGGGACATTGGCTCGCTGCATACCTTGCTGCTGCTGCTGCTGCTGCTGCCCGTTTACCTGCGACGGCGTCTGGTTCTGGTTCGCGGTTTGGGCTTGCCCACCAGGCGTTGTCCTCCCGCTTGGCTGGGCGAAGCCACCCATTTGTCCCATTTTCTGGCGCGCAGTTGCCTGTGCCTGGAGCTGTTGCTTGTGCCAATTGTCAAGCTTGACGCGCAGTATGAACGACCTGAGCTGCTGCTCGGTGGCGTTCGCGGCTTGTGGCCTTGACTCCCTGACCTGTCGAATCTCCTGATCAGTGACCTGTTGGATTTGTGGCGGGACCTGCATCTGAGGGTTCGGCTGTTGCATTGGTCCGCCAAAGCCCGGCATGCCAGCCACAGAAGGGTTTGGTGCCGCCTGCTGCATCTGCTGTTGTTGCCGCTGCTGAAGGCCGGGCTGCGGCTGCATCTGAGCAGCAGGCTGCTGGGGCTGTTGAGGTGCCTGCACCTGTGCCTGCGCCTGCGCCTGCTGCTGTGCCCGCATTTCCCGCTGCTTCTGCATGAGAGCTGAAAATTGCCTGTGCTGCCAATTTCCCAAGTTTTCGCGGACATTCGGCGGGAGCTGGTTGTTCCGCTGGAGCCAGACTTTGAGATCCTTCCACTTCTTGATCTCGGGAGGCAAACCGGGCATGTGGCTAATCACATTAGGTGGCATATCCATATTATCCATCATCTGCTGCGCCTGCGGATGCATATGGTTGTTCCCAGGTGTTCGCGTCATGGGGTTGTTCCCAATGCCTTGCCCCATGGATTGTCCAGTCGGATTCTGCTGCTGCTGTTGCTGCGGCGGCGGCGGGCCAGCCATATTGACGCTGTTCTGGGCCATCCCTGGCGCCCGGTTGGCCATCTGTTGGCCTTGTGCTTGTCGAGTTGCGAACCACCGGCTGATCAGGTTCTGCATTTCTTGCTGAGGCATGGCCTGCACTCTCGACCTCTCGTGTGCAGGAATGTTAGCCAGGAACATATTCACCATCTGCTGGTTGGTCCCTTGGAAGCCAGGCGCGTTGAACCTTTGGTCCCCGAAAGGAGACGTTGAGGGCTGGGCTGACATATTGGCGGGGCGCGCGACTGGCGTGTTCAAGGTACCCATAGGTGGGCTTTGTTGGGTGCCCTGCATCATGTTCTGCTGTCCTTGCATCTGCTTCAAGTGCTGCGCTTGCAATTGAGCCTGAGATTGTTGCACAGTACTCATCTGATGAGGGTTCGCAATGGCGTGCCCTTGAGGCGTCGGCTGCGTGGGGTTTTGCCTGGGAGTCCTATTGGGATTCTGATTCTGATTTTGGCTCGACATACTCTGTGCCATGGGCTGAGAAGTGGCTGTGTTCGGTCGACCACTGGCAGGAACAACCATTTGCCCGGCATTTTCGGCCATCAATCCGTTCAGTTGCTGGTTATGGATATTCTGAAGGTTATTTGGGAACTGCGAAAAGTCGTTGGTGTCCTGGGAGCCTATGCCCGCCAGGTTCTGCCTTTGTTGCTGTGGCTGGAGTTGCTGGGGATTCTGTTGGCTGCGCTGTTGCTGCATCATCGCAGCCTGAGGATTTGGCGTTGGCTGCTGCTGTCCGCCTGGTGCAGGGAAGCCCTGCTGCTGAACCGGGGGCTGTTGCTGCTGCTGACTACGAGCAGCATTTGCCTTCAGGTGGAAAAAAGCCTGTTGCTGGAAGAAATATGTGGCAGGGTCCCGACCTTGGGCTTGAAGGTCTTGCAACTGAGCGGGGCTCATAATCTGCCGCATTTGATTCCTTGCATGTGCCTTCTGCTCCTCTGATGCGTTCTTGAAGAGGTTCGTGGCAACCTGGCTCACTTTGTGCTTGTCGGCGTTGCCCAGTTTCTGAATTTCTGCGAGGGCGCTCATGTTCAACGAACCCTGGGGCTGCCGCAAGGCTTGGTTCATCATTGGCTGATTCTGGGCCATTCCTCGTCCAGCCTGGTTCCCTGCATTCATGGCCATTTGCTGGGCATGCAATTGCTGCTGTTGTTGTGCATTAAGCTGCTGTTGCTGCTGCTGCTGTGAAAATTGTGGCTGTTGTTGCTGCGGCCGGAATTGCTGCTGCTGTTGTGGTGGCATGTTCGGCATTTGCATCTGTCGTTGCATTTGCTGAAGTCCCTGCTGGCTCATGCCGCGCCCCATTTGTTGCGGGTGCATGTTCATCATAGCCTGTGCCTGCTGCTGTTGCGCCTGTGCTGCCGCTTGGTTGTTCAGGTGATTTTGAAGATTGGGCGCATTGGCTTGCCGCCGGGCAAGAAGTTCTGCGAGCTTGGTGTCAAACTGATTCATGTAATGTTCCTTTTGCCCTGTTGTTAGCCAGATGTTCGTTCAAAGGCTATGTCAGTTGACATGGCTCACCTTTGATTGGGAACCGTTATACAACGAACGCTCAAACGCAAGTGACTGCTCGACGATGCGCGCTGTTCCTTGTATGTTTCCTCCACCTGCCATGTTGAGTTGTGTGACACTGCCCAAGTCAGTTCCTGTGAGTGAGGAGGGGGAAAGCAAGCAAGACCTACAGCTGCAGTAGCTTGTTGACGCGCTCCTGATGCATAAGTGTGCTCTGCCAGGTGATCCCGTTCGGGGGGATGGGTGTGTTCTTGACTTGATTGACAAGGTACGCTGTGAGCTGGGGGTTGGCTCCCTGCGGCATGCCTTGATGCTGAGGCATCATCTGGGCCTGGCCGCCGCCCATTTGGGCCATATTGGCAGCCATGATATTGGCGTCGAGTTGTGTGCAGCTTCTGTACTAAATCCCTGGTCGTGTGAGACGAGGCTTGGTCTCCATGTAAAGCCAAAATGAGGGTGGCGCAATGGCAGAGACCGAAGGAGCCAGTGAGACGAGCGATTGGAATCGTCAACTTCGCAGCGCGATGGCAACTACGACAAGGGTGCCACTATCCCCCATCAGACAGCACCGAACGGTGCAGCGTTGCCGGATTCCAAGGGGGTGGCTGACAGGCTGCTTGATCGGTCGGTCGGTCGAAACAATGTAGAAAGTTCGTGTTCGCGTTTGTCAAAGACACTGGCGCCGGTCGTTTCGGTCGAGTTAATCGACGCAATAGAGCGTGCGAGGGAGAATTCGGTGTAGAAATTCCGTAGCGTCACAAATCGGGGATCGTGATGTTCACTCGGGTGTGGTGTCGAGAGGGTGCCAGCAACGCCAAGGATCGTGTCCTGAACCAGACAGAGGGTGCGAGCAGCGATGAATAGTTTTGAGCAAAAAGTTTCCTTTGTTCGAATGATCCAAGGCGCAATGAGAAGTAGTGGTTGTTCGTCGAAGGGTCGAGCAGACTCGATGGTGGTGATCTGGAAATTGGAGGAGTTGGGCGGTAGGTGGAGTGGGCACGGCGGGCGTCCTCTGGCGGAGGACAATCGTGAATAAATACGCGTCGCAAAAGCAAGTGAATCGAGCGTTGAGAATGGAACACCAAGACGAGTGAATCGCGTCGTGATCAGGCCGTCACCGTAGCCAGATATGTATCGTTTTTCAAAACTGGCCCAAAAACCAAAACGACGTTCGTCAAACAACGTCCACGATGGGCGGGAGCTGAGGAAGAGAGGGAGAGGGAAGAACTGGGCGGAGCAGCCAGCTAGGCAGGCAGCGAGGCGACTGGCGTTGGCTACCTTAGGTCTGGGCTGGATTGGCTAATAAACTCAGAATGCACTGGAGACGGGCAGGGATCAGCCACAGACTGCACACAGTGGCCAAGCCACACAGCTCCTACCTTTGAGTCCTTGACACCCGATGCTGCAGCGGCCACGACGCTAAGCAAGGCAGCGATGCCGCTACTGGTCGACGCTACAGGTGCCGCCGCCGTCACAACCCCTGCCATGCCAATTGACTGAATGAATGTCTGTGGCGATACTTCAGCCAAGCATTGCCTCGGAAAATCGCACCGCGCAAAGCTACTACGTACTTCAACCTCGCCGAGAGAAGTGAAGGCGAAGCGAAGGGCAGGCATGCTTGCTGCTTTCTCGCACGCTCATGATGTGCCAGCAACTCGCGTTGGTTGGGGCCAAGCAGCCATCACCGGTAATGACCCTGGACTGCCTTACCTGGTCCTTAGAAGGGGTCCAAGGTCCTACGGCACCCTAGCCCAACAGCTATGTACCTACACGTACGATCTGGACTTGCCATCTAGAAACGACACAAGTAACTTGTACGGCCTCAATTCGCATGCATGAGAGCGATGCGAAGGTTGAAGTCGAACCACCATTCGAAATGACAATCGCAATCTTATTCCCAAGTTCCCGGCGACTGGAGGCAGGAGCAATATTGAAGCAGCAAGGGATACCGAGCAAGGCGGGTAGCATGATCATCATGTTGCGGGTGTGGGGCAGCGGGATTACATCTGCGCGCCCAGAGCAGGGATGCCATTTCACCACGGTTCATCTTCGAGAAGGTGTCGCTGGTTGTTATTAATCACGAAAGGAATATGAAGGCGACATATCTCATAAGAAAATGCCATTCTCAACGTGTGTGCGTCGATTTCTGTTTAAATGCCTACTTGACACTTACTTCATCAGAGTCCTTCTGCGTCCTTCCGCAGCGCCCAGCCGGTGCACCTCGTTGATTTGTAAAGCGCATTCAGATTGCCGTTATCAAAGGCTGGCCAGTCGGTGCAATGGCAATGAACAAGTGGGTCGCTGAAAATCACACCTCTTACTGACGGCGAGCTCTCTGTTTCTTTGCTGTCCCCTGGTATTTACCGACTAGAATTGTCCTACCTTTCGAGACCTTAGGTTAGTATTAGCCCAAGTGTCGAGAGGCACGGCGCGGTGGTTGTGGGCTAAATTCGGTACGTACTAGGTGGGCTGTGGCTGGCGATGTGGTGTCAGCCGGTGGCCACGTCGATCAACCAACGGCCCGTGAACACCCAGACCTGTGCAGCTGATGAGCAGTCGTGCACATCCTGTATTTCGTGGAGGGGGAAACTGGAGTTGCCTGTCGGTCTGCGCAGAGCAGCAGTTACGCCGGCTTACCCAGACTGCTTAACACCCTTCAACTCGAGGGCCACGATTCAAAGGGACTGGAGTTGATGTTGTTTCAACAGATGCCCTGTGCCACGTTAGCGCTCTGGCAGTGGCACCCCTGTCAGGCTGTCAGTCTGGGACCATTGCGGGAGCCCCCGTTTCTGTGCCCACAAAACGCAGGCCGCCTCACGTGCGCTGATCGCCCTCAATTATGCTAGTGCGCCTCCAGTCACGAATCACCTCCAGAATCCAAAACATTGCTCCCGCTGTCGCAATCAAGATGATAGACTCATCAATCGTTTCTCGCCTGGTCGACACGAACAACAGACGCGATATCTTCCAATGATAATCGCCTGCGACATTAGCACTCAGCTCTCCTTGATCGTCCACAAGCGCCACGTGGCTGCAGCTGTGCCCTCATTCGGTGTGTGCAAACTGCAGCGCAAGCTCCGCCCTAACGAAGAGGGCCGAATCTGCCCCAAGTTGTGTACAGAGTGATGTTATTTTGCTTCTCATGCCCGAGAAAGATCAACAGACCGATTGAAACTACGCAGTAGCACTAACCTTACCTGGCGGACCTCGAGGTTTGCGTATGGTTACCCTACGCTGGCATCCATTGTCCCAAACGAGCCTTGTCGATGGCCACCGAGGATGTTGTAATCGGGCTACCTTAATCGACCGATCGGCCTCCGTATCTGGTGTGGTGGCTGCCTTCGAGTCACGCCCCTCGGCTAACTCGTTGTTCAGTTTGACAACCTGCAGAGCGTGAGCAAAGGACGTAGCCAATGTAGCCACCCGGGATGATAGATTTACATGGAACTGGGTGGATACAATACTCCCAATGACATTGTCTACTTCTTGGCTCGATGCTACAATGCAGTCCAGCACCGATTGCTCATCCCTTCGTGCGCATCCATCGGTGTACTTATATCGTCACGTACGCACCCAAGTCGCTCAGCTCCGGAATCAGAGAGAATTACAGACGGCAATCCACGTTGCGGCATCTGTCCCACCGACTGATGTTTGTATTTCGGCATCTTTTACGCTCTGTCAACTAGTAGCCACGCTGACCCATTGATAACTTCCCGTCTGCATTGCGCTCCGACCCGGCATAGCTCCATGCATCCCGTTGATTAATATTAAAAGTGAATATATAACGCTCTGGTAGTACGTCTCTCCAATGGCAAGATGCCCAGTCGCGGTAATAGCTCGCAGAAACGATCGTCTCGCATCGTCAATCCTTGATCCCGGCGGCTCATGCGCCAGTACTGTGGCGGGGACGCTTGCGGCCGCTGCCAGTCGAAGGGTGCATCTTGTCGCTACGCTCCCGCTTGAGCTTGTCGTCGAGCACACGCGCTGTAGCTTGTTAGCATGTCGCGCCACACCCGAGGTGCATATCTGAACGTACTGAGAACATCGTAACCGAATTCGGGGAACTCCAAGCACAACGCCTTGAACTCGGTCTCGGCCTCGGACCGTAGGGTATGCGACCTTGTCGCCCAGAAGCTCGCAATCGGCGCGCGCACCGTCGTGTCGTCCTTGCGGGTGTGCTGGTACACGTAGCGAGCATAGGCAATCTCGCCCCTGGCAGTCGAGTTGACGCAGTGGATCTTGGAGCTCGCGAGCGTCTTGAGGCCGGTGACACCATACTTCTCAGCAAGTGTGTATATGCGGGCATGCTTGAGCAGCTGGTCGCCCGTGTCATCAACGCTCGGGGCAGCAGGATCGGTATCGAGCTTGCGCGTGCCGGGTACCTTTTTGGGGAAGTATTCGCCCGTGTAGAGGAATTCGAGGAAGCTGCCGACAGCCTCAATGTTCTCGTCCGGAAGCTCGATTTGACGGGGCTACTGAGGGTCAACTCTTCCGATCTGCAAAGCTGATACGGGGGAGTGATATGATACGCACGCTGCCATCGTCCACAAAGTTCTTGCACACCTCGGCGAAGTAAGGGCTCTGTGTCAGGAGCGTCTGATGAGCTGTCAAGCTGGATAGGGAGTCCGGAGGGCCAACGACAAGCCTGATAACCGAGCTCATCAAATAGCTGATAAAGGTCGTCCGAGGGTGTGCGATGGTCTCCTCTCCAGCAAAGGGGAGTTCCGTGTGATCGCCAGTGGCCTCCACCTCAGCAACCTCAGCGGTCGCATCCGCTGCTTCGGCGCCCTCCCCCATGTCGACATCGTCAGCCTGGGGCGTGTCCTCGGGCACAGTCCCACCTGTTTCCTCGTTTCGGGCCATCGCGCTGACTGTCGGGTTTTGATCAACTGAAGGGCTCAGGTGATGCGAAACGGGCGGATTTGGCGTAAGTTATCGATCTTGACCCGCGTGAGGCTACAGTGCTGGCACTGAGATCGAATTGATGCAGTTACATGAGGCAGATGCCGTGGCTGGCAAAGGCATAGTTTCGCTGTGATCAGTCTCGTCGCAAACCGACACCGCGAGCTCGCTCAATTGATTCAGTGGTGGAGACCTTGCTGCGCTCGTCCGTCAATTGGGCAACCGGAAGGTACCTGCAGCTGGACGCTGCATGGCTGGCTGCCTCGCCCCTGATCAGTGAGGACACTAAGAAATGAGTGCCCTCAATCCTCGTTTCTGCCAACCCTGCACAGCGAACACTGGCATCACCTGTACGCATTTGAGTGTCGATAACCTACGACCTGATCTCGCGAGCCAGTCTTGTGGCAAGATGATGGATGCACACAAGCCCATATCCATATTTGTAATGAGAAACTGAACATGAGC